TAAGTTCATAAGTTCATAAGTTCATAAGTTCATAAGTTCATAAGTTCAGGGTTTGGAAGTGGGAGAGTGAGAGTTCGTAAGTTCATGACTTTGGGGTTTGGAAGTGGGAGAGTGAGAGTTTGGAGGGGTTGTTGTAGAATTTTTTTTTAGCTATATAATATTTGTAACATACAAATTGCATATTCAACAACATTGAGTTTCTCGGTCGTTCTTGTAAGTCGTTGCGTAACTTCTATGGGTAGTGTAGCATTCAGTGTGCAATCAGAGACAGTAGAATGAGAATGCGTCGTAGCTGATATGGCGTGATTTCCTTCTAGTCGGTTGCTGACGTGGTTCATTGAGATTCAGTCTCTTGTCGTTTACGTTTTGATAATTCGTTCAACATTTTTGTACAACTATGTTTCTGCGTGCACCTCCAAAAGCGTTATTATAGTAGCACAATTTTTACTTAGTTGTATGGTTGCGACTGCGAGAAAGTACAAGTTAGTGTTAGGTATCACCCTTAAAAACGACTAAAAATATGAGGGCAGTAACCTTCTCATCGTCTTCATATGAAAATTAGGCAGCGCCATCTGTCTCGTGTTGATTGTTTTTTTTAACATTTTTGTTATGGAATGGATTTCAGCATTCTTGCCATCCGAAAGTCCCCGCGATAGAACTTCCCCTGGTTTTTCGGCTTAAGAAGTGCTTATTTCATAGTCGTGAATGCTGACCCCTTCGAGGCCAGGTCCTATCCTGTCCTATCCTATCCTAATCTGAATAATCAGAGTTGAGTCATCTTTCCGTTTTTTTCAATTTGTCGTGACTGACCTTTGGCTGTTGCGCTATGGTTTTCTACCTGCTTTAATTATATAACCTTCCCCTTCAACCTACTACTTTCCTACGGTTGGTGTAATCGGGTGTGAGAATTGCCTTGTGTTGGTAAGTTCCTTTGCTTTTGTGAAGCATCGGCAAGGTCTCCCTGCGTGCGGCGTTCAGCTGCATGTTGGTTCGTGGATAAGAAAGTGTGTTGGCTTTTTATTTTCGACAAGGAAGAATTTCAAAGTTCGCTGTTCTTGGCAGATACCACCGATTAATCCTTATCCCTCCGAAGGTTATCGACCACCATTCATCTCCTGCAGCGCTCGTCGCTTGTTAGTGTATCCTTGCTAAGCGTAGTCGACGAAGCCCGCAGTTGCTGCTGCAATAACAACAATAACAACCTTTCTCTCCTAGCGCACGTCCACGAAGCGAATATTTGAGTCTGGAAGATTGATTGTTATTTGGCTGCTTGTTTGGCAGCGGAGTGGGTATCAAGTTGCTGTCGTTGTAATTTTTTTGAAAATGTTCCTCCGATGAGAGGAGAATAGCTGGTCTGCTTGGTGTGCTTTGATTTACGCGCATCGGCCTCCATTATTTCTTGTATTTTTCCACATCCTAGATCCCTCGTCAAGCTTGCTAATCTGAAACGCTGAATTCATGCATGAAGCAAGCAAGCATGTTGTTTGATTTCTAACTATTTTTGAGGTACGTGCTACTACTACTAGTAGTACTTATTCTTACTCGAAGTCGAACCCGCCATTACAGTTATTATAGATAGAGTGATACTCCTGAAAGATGACGTCGTCCAGTGCGAGTCTGGCCGAATTCGTCGCGGAGTGGGTGGGTTTCTTTGCTGGTAGTTCGTTCGTTCCAGCGACGTCTTCTAGTGGAGGCGGCGGCTTGTTGGGCAACAGCAAGCAGGATTATCTGCACAGCGGTTTTTCGTACCACAATATGATGACTCTGTCGGAGCCCGTTGGGTTTTTTCTTTTTTACCTCGTCAGCGCTTTGATGGGCTTGGCTTTGTTCCTTCTGGACGCGAATCCGGCGAATGCTGGCTACGTCACCTCCCACTTCGTCTGGCCTGAAGACTGTCCGCTGGAGGTCTACGAGCTTCTTTACAACCCTTTCGCAGACGCAGTGACCTCGTGGTTTACGCTAGGATCGTGGATCTGGCCTAACCGAGCAAATTTGAAAACGCGAGTAGTCGACTCTGGACGGGGCGAACAAGCGATCTCAAGAACAGCGGCCTCAGGTGGAAGGAACAAGAGCGGAAGGAGTGACCGCTCTACCGCGTCTGGCGCAATTACGGCCCAGAACAAGCATTTGCATCTGGAACCAAGCACACGAAAGGGAGACAGTACTATGATTGATTACATGCTAAAGCTGATGCTGATCAATTACATTTCAGGCATATTATGCTCCTTGTTTTCGCTGAAGACTGTCTTCATGCATGAGTGCAACTGGAGGTAAGTCCTCGTACATGATGGATACTTTAAGGAGGAATGCGAATTATGAATCTTTCGCGAGGAAGATGCAGAACAGGCGACCGTCCGAAATGGGGGTGAGCTCTCGGGCCGGCGACTTCCGAGACACTCATGATTTCTCTTCATTCAATCTCCAAGTAGAACATCAACATGCTCCCTCGTCCAAAAATATGGTCGTTCTTCACATGAATATAAAAATTTCGAACCAAAAATCAGGTGGCCGACGTGGCAGCAACAACGGACCTTACGCGTCGCCAGTATTCCGAAATGATGTAGTTCATAAAAGTGGTGCTGTGATAGTCGAGAAAGCGAGGGATTCCACGACCTACCAGAAGTTGCCAGTCGAGGAATGCGAATTCCCCATGTTTCCGCCACATAAGTTGGACACTAACATATGGTTCAAGCTCAGGGTGGTCTGGGGCTATCTTAAAATCACTGCCGCAGCTGTAGTGAAGGAAAACGTACTTACTTTCACAAGTTGTATATAGTATGGTAATGGTAGCACCTTGATGCATTATAGATACAAAGGAGCATAAATAGATGCATACAGAAGGAGAAGCCTGTTGAAAATGCACACGCGTCTAAACATAGAATTATCATGTGTTCTAGTTTTATGGCTTTGCCTTCCTTCAACAAACAACAGCTGTGGCTGATCCAGTACTTGTTGCGGATCGATCCGGGATACACCTTCTTTATGCGATCGAAGCGCACGGGTTTCCAGGCTCTATTCATCGAGCATGCTTACCAAATGTATGAGGACTGCTGGAATAGACCTATTTGCAGTGCTCCGTCCAACACGGTGACCGTCCTTTACCGAGAGAGGAAAAACCAACCAGCACTGGCACCTTACCTCCCGCTCACAATGACCGAACGCTCAGTGAAGTGCACCAATCTGGGGAGCTACAATTACCTGGGTACGTCTTATAAATTTGATATATCGCTTACTTCGTACAACCGCTCATATTAGAAGACGCCGACTTGATGGTTCCAAGCCTGCAAGTCCAGGTGTTTTTACCTCTAGTAGTACTTGGCACTTTTCTACTTACAAAGAAATGACTTCTTCTTCTTCTTCTTACTGCAGTAAAAACAAGGCTGTTGGTTCATTGTACTTGTAGGTTTGGATTCCATCAATCTTGCTCATTGACCCGCGCTGCTAGGTTTCGGTGGGGTGGACGAATATTGCACTCCTTTGGTCGCCAAGTGCATCCGCGACATCGGCTTGAGTTCGGGAGGGACACGCGGTAGCCGTTGCGGCACAGTTGAGGTTCACAAGGAACTGGAGCAAAAAGTTGCAAACTTTCTGGACAAGGAGGATGCCTATGTGGTTGGCATGGGTTTCGCTACTAATTCCACCATTATTCCCTGTCTCGTCGATCCGCAGGGCAACGGCAAAGGCTGTCTTATCATCAGCGATGAACTAAACCACAAAAGCATCATCGAAGGCGTCCGCATGTCTTGGGTCACGGTAAAAGCTTTTCTACACAACGACATGGTCGATTTGGAGCAGAAATTGAAGCAGGCCTGCGACGTGGGACAACCGAACGGGAAACCGTGGAGAAAAATCATCGTCATCGTTGAAGGCATCTACTCGATGGAGGGCGACTTCTGCCGGCTTCGCGAAATCGTGGCTCTCAAAGACAAGTACGGTGCCTACCTCTACCTGGACGAAGCGCACAGCATCGGAGCTGTTGGTACCTACTTGTTCTATTTTTCATCGAACTAAATGTTTCATGATTATATATACTTATTTACTTAGTTGATGTGGCAACCGAAATTTTTACCTTCTACATACTGGTTTTGATTCATTTTCCTCACTTTCTTCCACGTGGCGATGGCGATATTCTATTTCCATGGCATCCAACATACTTGCACGTCCAGGTTCGACCGGGCGAGGTATTACGGACTTGTTGAACGTTCCTAGGGAAAAAGTGGATATTATGATGGGGACCTTTACCAAGAGTTTCGGCAGTGCCGGAGGATACATTGCCGCGGATGCGGGAGTGATTGCCAATTTGCGCAAGAACTCCCCGAATGCGACTTTCGCACCATCGATGTCACCGGCATGCGCTGCGCAAGCTTTAGCCGCCTTCGAACTTCTAGGGACCGAGAGGGGAAAAGAAAAAATCAATGGCCTACGAAACAACAGCAACCATTTCCGAAAAAGACTCGCCGAGATCGGATTCTGGGTACCATACTACTCCTTATCAATGATCTTGTATTTTTTACACAAGCTAAGTAGTTTTAGAAGTATCGCATTTGTATTTATTGAGAATAAGATGCACCTGAAGTTATTTTTCTCAAGAAATCAACATCAGAGTGTAGCCAGGTGTAGCCCTTGTTTTTGAATATCAACTGGAACTGTTGGATACCAAGAGCATCGCGATCGTTTTGTTGCGATATTTTCAGGTCCTCGGTGATGAAGACAGCCCTGTGGTGCCAGTATTGATGGATCAAGAATCCATGTGGTATTTTAGTGTGGACGGGATGAAGTCTGGCATTGCTGTTGTGGTCGTGTGTGCACCTGCAACTCCGTATATGCTGCCCCGCGCGCGTTTTTGCGTTTCCGCCGCCCACACGCGGACGCAGATCGACGCGACACTGGAGAAGTTAGAGGCACTTGGGAAGAGACTCGGTATCCTCTTTCGCAAAAACGATCCATGTCTTACCAATCCTGATTACTATGCGTGGCTTCGGGACGCACCTTTGACCGTTCAAAAGTACGCCAAGCAGCCGAAGTTTGAGCCGCTTGCGACCGCAGCGCCTTCTTCTAACACGGCCAGCGCTAGTAGTCCAGTAGCGTTGACTGCGCAGCCTGCAGCTGCACCGAGTAAGGAGAACGAGACGACGAAGTTATCGAAAATCAGTGGTGGAGGTGCTGTCGAGCATCAGGGGGGAGCAACAGCTGTCGCTGTATTCGAGGCATCGGGTGAGCCTAGCCTGGCTGTGATCCACGAAGAGGCTGCGAAGAGAAAGGCGGGTCGCGGGTTCAGCTTCTCCGCCTTCGATCCGTTGGGCCTGATCCAGATGGTACCGAAAAGACTCCCTGACGCCTGCGACGCGTATCTAACCACACACGGTTTTGGCACTTGCGGCCCTCGAGGCTTCTACGGGACCACCTTGGAGCACTTGGCGCTTGAAAAGGCGCTCGCGACGACCCTGGACACCGAAGCAGCCATTTTTTACGCACAGGGCGTCAGTGTTGCTTCTTCGGTCCTAGCAAGCCCCATGCTGGGAGCTAAGGACCTCGTCTTCTGCTTTACAAAGTGCCACTACGGAATCAAGTCGGGACTCCGGCTTAACGGAAAGTGCACACTAGTCTTCATCGAAGACATGCGGGAACTCTCAAAGTGGCTTTCATCGTGGCGCCAAGTCGAGAGGATTGATAAGGAAAAGGTACTGCATGTCAATGCTTACTACTTATGAAGCAGCATTTTGATTCTCTGGAGTACTAGTTCTTGTACATCAGGAATAACAAGAAGAAGATTTACATTGTCACTGTCGTTTTTGCAATTGAATCTTCATCATGTTCATGCGGCTGCATCATGATAGTGAAGAAGTAGGTGACAAGAACAACTTTTCATCATCATTTCAGGTCGGTTTCCGTGATGCGGTGTCCGACATGCTCTATGCGGACTTGCCAGACCGATTTCGTAAGATGGAGCGCGAAGTTATTCCCTTGCAGGAGTACAACAAGCGGTTTGTTGTTGCGGAAGGGCTTTATCAGGCTGACGGTTCCGTTTTGGATCTCCCCAAACTGAGGGAGCTGAAGAGCTCTTATCAGCTGTCCCTTATTGTGGATGAATCCCTCTCGCTAGGAGGTCTGGCACCGCGCGGCGTCACAGAATACTTCTACGGGGCTGGCCGCGGTGCTGCCTCTAGGGCTTGGGAGAGAGCTTCTAGCATTAGTACTGCGTCGAAACATTCCGAGAGCGTGCAAGGCGGCGCACGTTCATGGAGAGAGGACGATCCCGGTGCGGGTAAAGGTGACCTAGTGTCATCGTGTGGTTCAGAGGAAGAGAGGCTAACACAACGCCCAGGAGGTGGCGCAGCCGACGCGACTACGTCAGCGAAGAACGATAGGCAGCTAGTACCAGCGTCAAAGGGTGCTAGGTCATCTCCGGTACAACGCAGCAGCGCAGTTGTGCCCTCGCAGCCGGTCTTCTTAGAAGAGAGTGATGCGAGCGTGATCGACATCTACTTGGGCTCCCTGGAGTTTGCAGTTGGCAGCATCGGAGGGTTCTGTGCCGGTGCCTTCCATGCGGTGCGTGACTTGCGACTAACGAGCAGCGGCTACTGTTTCTCGGCCAGTGCTCCAGGCGTCAGCTGCCTCTGGAGTAGGCAGGTTGTGGATGAGCTTGCTGAGTGCCGAGCAGGGCTGCTCTCAACGGGCGCATCAAGGTCAGCAGGTGCTGTCGAGAAAAGTGGCGGCTCCTTGTTGCCAACACGTCAGGGTGGAAGCCGTCTTCCCTCGTTATCCCGTGCCGATTCGCCATCGGTACAGAGGGCTATGAAAGCGAGAGCAAGAGCCCCAGGAGCGTCAGGCGAAGGCAGTGCCGCGACCTCGCGGCATTCCTTGTCGCCGCGAAGCGGGGACGGTTCGCGATGCAACGCGAAAAATCCTCTAGATCAACTAGTACCACCGATTACAACGAAATTATGCAGCGCATCTCTCTCGAGAGAATCAGCATCAGCGGAAACGACCTCAACCACAAGTGACAACAACGAGAATGACGTGCCCTCCTCGTCGGAAGCTGGTCCAAGTGAACTCGGCGGTGACGACGATGTTGCGTTTGTCAACAAGAACGACGCCGAGGCGGATGCAGAGCAAGAAGATGACGAAGACCTTGTTCAGAACCAAAAAACTGGAGTCGTCGCGGACCAGTTAAGCAAGGTGCGGGTTGCTAGTTCATCCAAGGGCAATAGTGGCAGTGCTGCTGCCATGGCGGCAATGTTATCCATGTCTAGTCCTTATGGTTGGACGCGGGACGGGCCTCTGAAGGATCGCGTCGCTGCTCTAGAACGCAACGTGAGGCACCTACAGATCTCAGCACGTCACGTTCTGAGCGAGAAGTACTCAATTTCCGGAGAGTCGTACATCCTGCATCTTCGACCGAAGATCCTGGTATCCGCTCCCAAGGGCAGTCCTTTGCCCAATAGTGCACAAGCCAGCGGGGCATCTTCTTCCTCAAATGGCGCTCTTGATAGCAATAGAGAAGGGGCTTCAACCACCGGGGAGGATTACACAACCTCCGAAGGCGAACAGGAGACCAGCGCTCCCTCAGACCGGGAAGGCCTGGTGTCGCGCAGCCAGTCGGGAACCGAATCGGACGAGCAAGAAGCGCAGAAAATCGCCACCGGTGTCTCAGGAGAGACGCACACTACATCGCCATGTGGAGCAATGCTGTCGCAAGTCGCGCCTATTCGCTTCTCCAGGTCACGCGCTGTGTGCGAGAGGACGTACGCGCTTTACTCCAACGCTTTAGAAAATGTGCAGAAGGAGACAGGACTCGACATATATCAGCGGCCAGAGGTGGAGAAAGCCCTGGATACGCGCCTTGCCATCGACACAGATTGGACGCCAACACTGAGGGTGGCAGTGACGAGTATGCACACGCTGACAGAAATCGACGCGATTATGCACAAGTTGCGACTCAGTGCTACCTGGTGATGAAGAAGCGGAAATTATCCACGCATAAGCAAGCACTAGAGGTAGGTACTCCATATTTTACAACAGAAATATAATTAAAGAAAAAGGGAAAGCTACAAAAGTGAACAAGCCGAAGAAACTGATTTCAAGCTGGAGTTCAAATCTTCTAGTTTCGTGACGCAGATGACGGCACCATGCTCAAGTCTAGTTTATGTTTCCATTGCTGAAAATCAGGAGCGGCGTATACTTTCGGATCGATTCGGTTTTGGAAGTTCTTCAAGTAATTATGTCGTAGGACTCTTCATCTTTGAGATTACACTAAGTTTCTTGATATTCTAAGGTCTACATGCTTATGTCGTAGGACGATAAGGATACAAAAACTCTCAAGATTCTGACCGTATGACACACGAAGACTAATCGTGTTTATCAAACGAAAAATGAATAAGAAAAAGTAGTAGATTAGGTTGTAGAAGATGATAGCAAGGAAGGGATGGATAGCGCCTTTCGTAGCAGCATGAGAGGTGCGCATAATAGCGACACGCGTAAACACAACTTTGGGGTCTTCCTGTGAGTGTGTCTTTTTTGTCTCAGAGGTTGTTGTGATTCTAGGGTGTAAAGTCGAAACCCTGAGACCAAAATTGGAATTTGTCTCTCCACATTACGCTTATCTTATCATCGCCCGATTCTTGTTCTATTATTTCATCATCAACATACTAGAACAAGAGCAGTGAGTTTTTTGTTTTTATCTTCGTGACTCAAAAACAAGGTTCCCCCTAAGATTCTCTTATAAGGCCAGGACGTCCTCGCAAGTACTCCGACGAAGGGAAGTGATGTGCCGTTAAACTACTTTTTAGCTTACAGCTATCGTCCAGATAGGGAACTCATGCTTCTCCCGAAGTGAAAACTGTCTCAATATTGTTGTAGTAGGTCATACGAATGGATATGGAACAACGACTGGAAGTAGGTTTATGCAACTTAATTCGAGAAGAAGAAGGGTGGCTGCATGCATCTACATGATATGTGGAAAAACGTAGATGATCTTCTAAAGTTCTACTTCAAACAAGAAGGGCATGCAGCTTCATCTTGATGAAAATCGTGGGCTAAAAGGTTTAATGTGCTTAATTGATGTTTCCTGGAAAGGTTGCCTCCCCTACAAAATTGTAGATCAATGTAGACTTTGATGTTCTAGCAGTTCTTAGTGTATGATGTTGTCGAAAATTTTGATGGTGCGCGGAGGCGGACCCGTTTTTAGTTTAGGTTGATAGTTAGCATATTTATAGGATACGTTCCCAGCTATAATGGAATACTGTTCTCCAGATCTTCCAAATACGCTGCGAACTATCCCAAGGTCCACCGCGAACGCGTTGAAGAACATCACCTGGAGTTAGTATGATCTTATGGTGGCGAGGAGTGACCTCATCAATGGGATGTATCAGGTCGGAGGTGTGGTGGTAAAAAGGAGTGACCACGACGAGGTGGAGGTGGAGGGTGCGACGGTCCTCAGTCGTTCCGCTCCCGCTAGGAGAATATCAAGCAATAGTTTAAAAAGCACATGTCACCCTTCATCATGAAAATGTACCAGCTGGTTCCAACCGGTATTGCATGTATGTTGTAGTTTATGGTTGATCTTACTGTTAGACCGATTTTATGATGTTGTCGACGACGTGTAGCAAGGTAGACATGGCATCAGGGAGACTCCTGGTACATTCATGGCGATATCATAACTGAATTTTTCATCGCGCAGTTCTAGTTTTGTTACAGCATAAACAAAAACATAATCCTAATTGTAAATCTATAACTATTCAACAAGATAGAAGTAGTGACAGGGACATCAAATATACGTATTGCACACAGAAATCACTTTATGACGGCGCTCAGGAACTAGATTACGCTACTTCAGCCTCGTAGAGCATAGTTCAGTTAGGACAGGCGCAAAGATATACCGGTGCACGTAGGGAAAAGCCCTTAACATGGTTCGACTTTTCGGGTTACTTCTCCAGACCTGAACCTGCATATAAAAAGTAGCTTTGGTTCTCGTTTTCTACATTCTTCATTGGAGATCCATGTCATTGGCCAACACCAACCGTGATTCAGAGCAACAGCCACGAGAATTCTAAATCTAGCAGAGCATGAGAAGCAATCGAGGTAAAGATATATTTCTCTCTAGAGGATTGGCTGGCTACTAAGACGATGCGCAGATGCGAGATGTTGAACGATGATGTTGAGCTAGCGCCACCATGGACACTCGACTTCGTCTTCTTGGGCATATTTTTTACAAAAAATATTTGGTCGTCGTAAAGATAGAATCTGAGATTGTCGCCATCTACCTAGAGGTGAAAGATATCTGGAGTAGCAGCGGGGCCACCGCGCTTCTACATATTCAAGCACCGCTGTCGCCGAAAGTGTGTGCGTTGTTCCTTTCGGTGACAGGGAGAGCGCGTCCTGCTCTACTAAAATCGACTGCGGTCTAAGACTCGGGCTATTATTCATTGATTTGAAAAGCCGTGTCGGTTTTGAAGTCTAGTCAATGGATGCGATAGAATGACCATGGAAGACGATTTTTAGCTGTTGCATCTTCTGAAAATCAAAGTATTCGACGAAAAATGTTGCATCCTCCGTCTCGGGGTAGGAATGCCGTTCGTCGGACATGTTGCGATTGTCCGCTCCCTCCAATGCTTTCATCCACTCACTATCGAAGCTGCGCAGCGCCCGTGAGTAGCCCTATAGGGTCTCCTGATCGATGCGGAACAGGCAATACAGTTATTCGCCGCACCGTATCAACCACATCGTGCACGATCGAAGGTGCTGCATCTCGTGAGGGGGAGCTGACTCCACGTCCAGGACACCTACTTGGAAGTACGAAATCAAGCGAGAAGCTGCGCTTCGAGAGACTTTTTGGACTTGATGCAAAGGACAGTAGACCCTCTAGATCTCCAGGAGAAGGAAATCCTAGCGACTCTATTAGTAGCTCTACTAGGAAGGCGGACTTCCTTGGCGATTTGATGCTAAGCGAGCAGACAAGAACGGATTCATCGTCGGCATCTTTCTTCGCGGCTACTTCACTCGCTGCTTCTTCCTCACCAGCAGCTCCTGGTAAAAGCGCGTTTTATATACGGTCATTAAAATCGACCCCATCTTCACCCTCGTCCTCGTCTACTGCTTCGTCAATAGCTGAAATCATAACTAGTAGTAGTACATCTGCAAGCAAGAAATCTTCAACCACGCCCTCGACAGTGGGTGTCGGTAAAGCAATCTGGAGAAATGCCATGCGAAATTGCAGAGACGCTCGAGTTTGGGAACGCCTCATTGATGACGCAAAGCGGCACCTCTTGTACGTACTATGTTGTATCAGATGAGTCAAATCTTCTGCAGCTGTTCTTAAGCAAAGCGATTATACTAGTCAGTTGTGAAGATGATCAAGATTCTACTTTTACTTATTCAGTGAGTTGTTTGTAGATGGATTTGTACTATTTCTAGAAACGATTGCTGGACGTTGTAGGTACTCGTAGGAGCAATTACAAAAGCATGCTGTTCCTGCTGTAATATGTGCAAGAACTGTATGTTATTTACTGGTTTTTCTACTTTCATTCGTAATTTCTCGGAGGTGGAGAAATTCTTGCCATCTACTACGGACTAGGCAGAGTGCGGTATCGAGACCCAAAATTTCTGAAGGAGCTACATTTCCAGGCAATCCGGCAAATTGACTTTATGCCAAACAACTTTATGTAAGTACCTCCACGTCGTGAACGTGAGCAACAGGCACTCTCACTCGTCCTTCTCATTCATTTTGCAATCATTTTTATTTAGAATTTGATCTTCATTTTCCTGGTACGTATTTCACGACTATTGCTCTGGTGTTTTAGAGAAAATATATATCTTCTTGAAGTAGATATCTAAGTTATAATCATTTCCTAGTTTCCTTTGTCGTAGCCCCGCAGTTCTTCTTAAGCTTATCTGGTTGTATAAGAATTCTTTTTCTACTCTTTTCATTTCATCGTTCGCCCCTAGAGGGCTTGCGCTTGTGCTGAATAGCTTCCGGAAACTTGAGCTCTCTCGAGACGTCGACACCTTTCAGCTGTTTCTGCACCAGTACCTTGTGTTGCACGAACGATGGAGCGCCTGGGACGTCGCTCTCGTTTGCAATGCTGTCGCTTATTTCCACTTGTATGAGCCAAGACTGTGGAAATTGATAGGGGGAAAAGCAAACAGCAGAAAGAGTCATGTTCCATGGACGACGAGTGGTCAACAAATCATAAACGGAAATGCGAACAACTACAACAGGCTAAAGCCTTCGTCTTCTGCTGAGGGCACTCATCTTCAACAGCATGGACTTATTCTGCACGAAATGCGGCCTCAGGGTTTAGCATTAGTTACTGCTGCCATGGCACGTATGGACTTGCACGATGCAGCCTTGTTGGCATCAATCGCCCGAGCAGCGATACGCCAAGCTGAGGACTTCACGGCCAGCCAGCTTTCCATACTCTACGCTGCAATGTGCCGATTGGATTTCGATCGTCCGCGTCTCTACATCGCATTGGAAAATGCAGCTATTCGCAATCGCTTTCTGGGAGAGCATTATCATGCTGATTGCATGGACCACGATTCGGCAGGAGCGGCTGGTCCTTCTAAAGAGAACAATGGAGAAGAGAAACGTGGTTCTAAGATGAATTATAGTCTAGTACGAGAAAGAGAACGGGAAGATGAGCAACAAGAAGTAAGACCACGCCCCGGCAATATGACGACTTCAGAGGAAGAAATTAATTTTCTACGGCAGAAGGCTGCTGGTCGGAAAATTAGAAACGTCTCTTGGTGTACAGACGTTCTGGGAGCTGAGGAAGTTGTTAAAGCGAAGATATCTACTGGAATTGAAAATAATGATATCCTGCCTGGACGACAAGCAGGTATGACTGCAAAAAATACCAAGATCATGAATACATCAAGATACAAAGAAAAAGACGCCATGGATGGTTGGGATCCTGTCCTATTTTCTGAACTTGTGACAAATCTTGAAAAGTCCTGGCAGGAGACGCGGCGGAGCGATAGCGCGGCTTCAAGTTCAACGAAGCAATCGTATCATGTTGAGGAGGATCCGGATGACCCTGCTGTGCTATTGGGCTTAGAACAACGCGTCACAAAAAGTCCTGGGTCTTCTTGCCTGTCCAGGTCCACCTCAGGAAGGACGCCGGGCGACAGCACCACCATGACCCCATCACAACGAACTGATGGTGGTGTCACCCATATTAATGTGGAAGTACACGCATCCACCTCCACGTCCACGTCCTCCGGCGTTGCAAATTGTTCAGGGAATACTGCAGGGGAGCCATTTGACTTACTCGCGCTGTCAATGCTCACTCAGGCTTGTGTGTGCTTCACAAAGTGCGCATCGCGGCGTCCTGGTTTCGTCCGCGCTCTCTTGCATCTGATCAATGATAAAGCTGCGATGCTACGTAGCTACCATATGCGCAAGCTACTGACGGTGGCCTTATTTCTGCAGTATGAAAATAAGCAGCTAAAGCGGGCGTTCAAGCCTGAAATTGACATGCTGAAACAATTTTCAGAGAAGCAGAAGGAAGAATGTAGTAAAGCTTCTCCTCTAACGGGGGGAAAAATACAAAGAAGAACAGGTATCAGATCCTCGCCGGGTTCACAAGAAGGGCCTAAAAATTCCTCATCAAATTTCACGGGGTTGGGAGAGCAGCGTAGTGAAGACTTTTACCTTGGCGAAATGGATGGTGAAGATGGGTCTGAGGAAATGGGTCGTGAGCACCTGAATCTAGAACCAGAGGGACATCATCAGCGTGAAAATGTGAACGGAACACACGGAAATCATGCTGCTAATTCGAAAGGAGAAGGAGTGGATGGAGGTCTCACTTACAGCACTAGCCGATGGAAGCGTGAGGTGTTCGAAATTTTAGAGAAAGAGATGCTGGTGAAACTCGAGCCCAAAGCGCTGGTTCACGCTGACGTTGAAGATGCGGTTTTGCTGCCAGAGCGCAAGACAGTGGCGCATTGTCTCGGCGTTTACAGTCACTACGCGAACACAACAGAACGCACGGCACAGAGCAAATTGCACACTTATCTACTCGAGTTACAGGGATTCACAGTCTTGCACATTCCCTACTATGAGTGGGCGGAGCTCCGATCTACAGAAGACAAAGTCCTATATCTCGTGTCCAAAGGCAGGCAACTTGCCAAGCGAGCAGTAACGCCAAAGTAGTTGAATACCGTGCGCAGTTTATTCCTCCTGATCGTGAACACAGTATCAGGAGGAGTTACTTCTATGCTATATGACCTTACATTGTCCACGACAATGACCCTATTTCGAAATTCAAGTGACTACGTTCACGTCGTGTGCCGTTTTGAGAGAGTGTGGAAGAACATCAAAACGCAAATTCTGTGGTGAATGTCAGAGATATGGATCTTGATGGACCAATATGTTGTCCACTTTCTAGTGAAAATGATGAAAGTGAAACACACTGGGTACTAGTTGCCACTTTCTTCTCTTGCAACAAGTGCCACAGTCCTCCTAGCATTAGCAACAGCTGATGAATGATGGCTGCAATCAGACAGCGCTGAAACACGCTCCGTGTTCTTCGCAAAATAGAGAAGCAGGATGAGGTGAGATGAAGGGATAGGGAAGTGAAAAATGGCATCATAATGAGGTGAGTGAGCGATGTGGGATGCACTGTCGTGACAAAATAAGGGAAAAGGGATAGCACGTATCGAACGATTCTGTCATGAAAATCATAGATGTTGTAGCTTTTCATTGCTCAAGAATTATTTTGTGAATTGAATAGCGGGAGATTAAAGAATGTCAAGTTTCAACATCTGTGACTCTTTCATGTGAAGATAATTAAGTGACTTCGTGCCGACAAGCTAGACTCCTCATTGACCTCATCCAATTTGACTTTTTCCTTCAGGACCGCACGTTCATTGTAAAACCTTTGCCTCAACACATTTCCCTTCGTGGTTGATAACCTAGCGTCTCGCTCACATCTTCATCAGATTCAGAATCAAATAAGGGACTGCTCGTGACTTTTCTCGCACAATTTTTCTTCATGAGCTAGCAATCGATCTTTTCGAAGACACTCAAAACCAAAAAGCAATAGAAGGTTGAAGAAACCGCACACGAAATACTTTTGTAAAGAATAGGATTGTAGTTTTACTAAAGGTTTTACTAGGAGATTTTTCTGCGATCGTCTTACAACGTCATCAACTGAGAATCTGAATCTCCTCAACAGCCTTTCCCCTGCAACAAGAAAATGGCAGCTATAAACCGCATGGGTGAGCGCAAGCCGCGCTTGGACCTACTGACGCAGCCAGATATGTTCTTGCGCCCTGGCATGCCACCGAAACCGGGTCAGGTTGCTAAAGACGCCAAGGAAAAGGAGGCCAAAGCTGAGAATTATGCTTGTTTGTGATATACCTCTGTTTCGTAATTGTAATTGCAACGTAGATGATGTTTATTGATTTGAAGTACAGTTGATGGGTAATTGTTGAAATGATTGAATTGTTTTATAGTGTTCACCAGCAGGATTTCTGCCATGATGTGGATGTCGACGACTTCGCAATCCTATCTTGTTCTTTCTCATGTTAGATAGTTCATATCTCCATCCCCTTCCCGTTCCCGTCCCTCTTGCTCTAAACCGTATCCGCGGCCGCTGCTGCAGGTGGAGGTGCGGATGACCATCAGCGTCCGGGACAGTGCACGACGCCGCCTGCTCTTCAGGCTATCATTGATCGTGCCAAGCAGCTCGCTCAAAAAAGCATTATTCCGAAGCATCTCCTTGAGGCTGGAAATGCGGAACAAGCGGCTGAAGGAGAAGGTGACGCGCAGAATGCGGCAAACGTGGGAGAGTATAATTAATGATGATCATCATCTCGATCTCCTTGATGTCCTTCTACATCATTTGTTCCGACGATATCATTCATTGATTGGGATCATCTTCGTTCTTCTTTTTTTTCCTCCTCTCTCGTCATCATCAACTTCCTCCTTTTTATCTATAAACTGCATCTCAATCACTCAGGAAAACACCCGGCGGCGAGAAGGCACGCAAAAAAGGAAAGTACGCCGATTTGAAGCTCGCATTTCCTGACGACCACGCACTGGCATTCTTCTCAAAACCTGCGCAGTACTATCTTTCGATGATTTTCCATTTGCTAATAATGTGAAAATATGCAAAATGAACGTTGACAGGTGTCCATGATATTTATTTTCTTCCTCTTCTCCTCTCATGTATGATTTTTATTGAAGCTTAACTTCAGAACCGATGCTGAGGAAGGAGCAACCCAAGTGAGTCGCGTTTGGAGTATGACGAAGGAGTCAGCTGCGGATTTCCCGCTTTTTCTCACGGATCTTGCTGAGTTGTGCCGTACTTTGGGGATTGTCCTATCCTCTCGATGCGACTACCTGAGACAAAAACTGAAGGACGACCCGCAATCGCTGGCGAAGGGAAGCACAACACACAAATTGTTGCTCCAGCTTGCGACGGCGACGCAGAACGGCGTCTATGTTTTGCAGAAAAGCAACTATGTGCTTAGGTACACTTCTCTTCATCCACTTTTGATACAACCAGAAGAGCAGAATTGGTACACCGTCTCCCATCCCCTTATTTTTCGTTTACAGCTCCCTCGAACAACTCCATTTTGCGCGGTCATCCATCATCCATCCATCGTCCTCTATTCGTATTATATCAATGTTCCCCTACCCCTCGGTCATCAAGATCAATACCATGCATAACGATAAGAACTACAACAACATCATCTCCAGATTGCACTTCACCGATGATGAGGGTTTCAAGGAGAAAGATTCGACTTTCGAGTTGAAACGGCCACAAACTTCCTTACCCTTGGACGAAGAGGATTCGGCAGAGGATTGCATCCGTGTCATGCACACAGGCGCAGCAAAGTTGAACACTTTGATGGAAAACATTCTCTACATCGTACCCAAAATCAGCCGTGCACCGAATCAAGGTACTTACTATTGTTTATATGTATGTTGTAGGGAATTATAGTAGCCCTTGAGAGACGAGAGTATCAGCATCATCGAGTACATGTCCATGTTGTCCACTCGCAATTTCATATCATGCACAGTAATGCTCCATACAACGTGATGTAAATCTCAAATGAGATGAATACACCGACACCCATGACAGAGCGTAAGAAGGGTGGCAGTTTGAAACAGCAGAAGGATTTTGCTGAGAAGTTCATGGCAGCGCTGACGAACTGCTGTGAGAACGGATTTGAACCCAGGCGCAGAAAAATTACCAAGATTATGGCTTCACATACATACAGATACAGGTAGTGGTTGTGGTACTAGACCGACAACATAATCCATTTTTTGTGTGCTGCTAATTTTTTCCTCTACCTGTTAAGTAGAAGTAGAGTCTCTTCTACGTCGTGTTCCAAATCAAATATACAATAAGAAAAGCTAAAGGTGGAGCAGATGACGATATGAGAGCAGCCGTAGGTAAATAGAAAGCAAGATGGACGACGATAATTACGTCGGTCGCGAGCTCTAATAAAAAGGGACAGAAAGAAGCAAAGAACAATCCAGAAATCCTCGAAGCCTTGTCAACGGTCATATCCCCGGACGACTTCGATCTCACGATGAAACAACTCTACGGCCTGATGGACCACTTCAACTTGCTCATTGTACTACTCACTGTGTTTTAACTTTTAGTCCAGCATGGATTTACATTTCCAACCGTCTATCACTTGCTCAGGAACGGATCATTACATTTCCAACCGTTTTGTTTTCAGTGCTTATACGTAAAACATGTATTACAACGAGGTACAACATTCTTCTCGAGGAGTAAAAGGAAGGAGTAACAACTACAAGAATGTCTTGTTGTAGGTTTATTTCATCTTCTTGTGTTCACCAGCGCCTTCCTTTTTTTTACCCATTCTTTCTACTTTCAATACCCCGCAGGCAAAGTCATCTACTGTCGCACGTCTTTTGGACACGAAGCTCAAGGGAGCTGCCGGCTTAGGATTGGGCTTCATGATTATCATGGCGATCTGCCGTGCTCAGCGCAACTGGCGTAAAAGGAAGGCAGCTGAGAAGGCTGCTGCCGAGGCAGCGGGGGCGGCTTAAGAAACTATCAACACTGATAGAACAAAAGAGCTAAGTATTAAATCGAAAACTGCTAGTAGAGCTAGGTGTATAGCCAGAGCGCCGAAAGACAACAATTCTATTTCTGTGACCACTAAAAATTATGATGATGAAGATGATCGTGATCAATGTGAAATGAATACAATAAAAGGATGCTCGTTGCGCAAAGACGTTCTTATTTATTTGGACCAACTATCTTTCGATTTGATTAAGTAGTTTTGGTCAACAATCTTCGACATAAGAAGCAAATGTTTCGCTGGGAATCTAAAAATGTACATGCGATTTGATAACGGGAATTTTCTGTAAACGACTTATTTGGAATAGCTTACATAACATATTAGCTACAGGGAAGATAGAAGAACGTGAACAGTATGCAAAGAGAACAACTGTATGAAAATGTCAATGAAAATGTATAAATCACAAATTAAGACAACGAGGAATGTTGATTAGATGAAGTTTTCGGTTTCGGCGAGGGTAGGTACCTAGTACAGGGATGAAGCACTTTTAGGAAGATGTATCCTGTGACTGTCATGGGCTTTTTCAATCGTCACTCCTACGACAGGTGGGACAGGAAAGGCACGACAATATGAGCATGTACAGTAAAGATCGCGCAAAGTAACAACCTGAGAAGAAGTGTGGGAAACATAAATATAGTCATAGGTCAATCATGAATGAAACACAGGACCTCGTCCTAGAAGATGGCTTCGAAGAAGTAGTAAATTTCTACTACCTATTAAAACTGCAACGAAAAATACCTAATCTTTTGAATTTCTAGAAGATAGATGGGGGGGTATCAGACTTGTATTCTTGAATTGAGACTCTTGATATAATTTGAAATCTGTACACTACGACTACCACAAGAACTACAAATGTACACACTTGCGCATTATCACGCAACATCTTGACGTTTACGCCATACGGTATACCTGGGAAATAGCAATAACAAATCTATGTCTAGTTTGGGTTGCATTCGCAAAAAATGCACGATGTCCGACATACGGACGGTAATAGAACAGGTATTGCGACGAAAGTTTCTCGTATGTTCAGAATGATTTTTTGGTAGCAGAGTACTTAGATTGTCCTCCGTTGATGGTTTGATTAAGTATTCGAATCCGAGAGTCGAGAGGTCAGAATGAAAAGAGGTGTGTTAGGAATAGGAAAGAAAATTTCCATTCTTGATCTGAAAATGGACGCGGGAAAATGTAATGTTCTTATCGGTCAAACAACAAAAGTAGAAGGAAGGAAAGATGATAAGGACTACATAGCATAAAGTTATTATAGAGTCCTTACATATAAGATCTCCCCTAGTACCCCCTCCCCCTGGTGTACTTCAAGAGTTTTGTTGAAAAGGCTGAAAAAAACTTCAAGTCGACAAAACGAAGCAAGTCGTTGTACGACTTCGATCTTCCTGTACAGCACACTATAGAGAAAAAAAGTGAAAGTGTTTCATTTTTGATTTCTTCAAATACCAAGCAAGCCCATCATGGGCGCCGGGCATTCCTCCGATCACAAGGGCGTCGTTCCCGGCGACCAGACAAGCGCGCACAATGAGCCACAACCTTCGTCCGAACAACAGCCTGGTGGCAAATCCGGCACCTCCGGAGGAGCAGACCACGCTGGCTTGCACCAGGAAGGCAGCGTATTGCAGCTGCGCGCTCGCATGCAAAAGCTAAGGCATAAGCTGCTTCGATGGAAAGGATCGGCGGTAGAGGGACAGCCCTTGGCAACAACGCGACTTTCCAATATCCGACAGAGCCATCCGGATCTCTACCTTGCTCGCACCAACAATGTTCTACCCCAAATCTCGAATTTGCGGGTCGTCAAAGGCTCAATCAACCGAGACTGGATCATGCAGAAAAGAACTACGCTGGGGACTGGTAGGAGTGAAGGAGTTTTTTTTCGTCGTATACTTATAATTTGTTAGAACGCAATGTTTGCCTTTGCGCATCGGGATATCCGCATGATTCATCGATTTTCTTGATAGATTCTGCCAGATTTTTCGGCGGTGGATGCTTCCATGGCGATGATGATGTTTTTCCTTCTACCCTAGGATGCCCACAATGATCAATCGTCAAAAACGATAGGCTTCTCCGGCGCTGTCGTTTTGGCGACGCACCGACAGAGCGGACAGCAGGCTGCAGTAAAAGGGTTTGCTAAGGATAAGTTGACCCAAGATGAGCGGCGCATGGAAATGCTGCGTGATGAGATCAACGTTTACCTCAGTCTTGACCATCCGAATGTGTGTCGACTGCTCCAAGCATACGTTAAGGCTATTTGATGTGCATGTACTTAGTTGGAATGTAAGAGGAAATAGCGAGTTGTACATGTAACCCACGGGAGGGATCATACTAGATTTTTAACCTTGTAGCTGTATCACTATCAGAGTTTTCACCTCTAATCCGAAAGATAAAACGCATTTGTGGCTGGTGATGGAGTTGTGCACCGAGGAACTGTACGACCGACTCTGTAATTTGGGCATGTATCCGGAGCTGTTGGCTGCAGAAGCGCTTGCGCAAATGTTTCTAGCAGTAAACTATCTGCATTCACATCACATTGTGCACAGGGACATCAAACTTGAGAATTGGATGTACTGTACTATGATTCAGGATCAAAACGTGGATACTATGGATGAACCTGCTGAGCAAATGGTGGAAGAGCAAGGCGATTTTGTTGAGAGTACAACTACGACGAGTAGAACAACAGGACGTCGAGAGACAAAAATACATAGGAGTACTGTTCCACCAGAGTGGCAGCAAGAGAAGGACCACGAGCAGGAGGCTAGAAGAGGGATGAAAGATACTTCACCGGAAGATGCTGCTACTGAAGACGCCGAAGCGACTGCGTTAACAAATACGACCGCGAGTTCTGCTTCCTCCAAAACCACGATGAACAATACAACAGTTACAACAGAAGCTGAACAAAGCTCAGGCCCAGGCTCTTCGACGTCGGAGCCCACGACGACGGTCAATAGGGGTGCGCGCGCATCTACCTCGTCTTCATCGGAAAGCAGTGATAAGACTGGAGAATCATCGGACTACACAGAGGCCAGCACCGTTCGATGGAGCATTGCTTCCTCAAGCGGCTCCACCGGAGTTGTAGAAGTGGCTGCGCAACCGCAGGTTGCGGTGCCTTGTCCCGAAGGAGGTGCAAGTGATGAAAACAAAACAGGAGGACACGGAGCAATTATAAACTTGACGACATCTTCAGGAGCGGATGGAGCTGGAGCTGGTACGACGAACATCAAAGATTCATCTTCTGTAACAACTTCAAAACCGGTTAGAACAACTGTTGCATCTACTTCTTCATCCTCAACATCCGCGACCCAGCGAAGCTCAGCATCTTCGCGTTCTCGACTATCATCCACGTATTTCACTGAAGCGCCCAAGGAGAGGCTGAAGCTGATTGACTTCGGTTTCAGTAAGCGCCTGACACCGACTGGAGACGAGGTTCTGCGTTTACCCTGCGGGACACTGCACTACGCGTCCCCTGACGTGTTGAAAAAGAAGTACAATCGCAAGTGTGACACGTGGTCAATGGGTGTGATCGCTTTCATGCTGCTCACTGGCGCGCCACCATTCACCGGAAGCACTAATCAGTCCGTCATAGAAAAGATCCGGTCCGGTCGCATACGATTCAACAGTCGGTGGGCCCCGCTTTCCCCAGCTGCAAAGGTTATGTTGTCAACAAGTAAGTTGTAAACGAGTGCACCAGCTGCCTCCGCCTTTCTTAACTACAATATGCTAACAAACTACTACTTCTGCAACAGATCGCTGCAGCTGTTCCCTAGTACCCTGCTTCTTTAATGAATCATCTTCTTCTAATCTCAACTTCGTCGTAAGGCTTTTGGAGGTTGACTCTGAGAGACGCCTTAGCGGCGAGGAAGCGCTTCAGCACGAATTTTTGCGGCGCAGCTTCCATCGTCAGTCCGTTGACGCTCTGCGGGACCGTTTCCCGGGTCTCTTGTTAAGGCGTGAGAATATGGAAAAAATCCCTTGTGAGGAGAACGAGCAGAAGTATCACAACCTGTGACAAATTATGTCACATTTCTAGAGATGAACTTGCAGGACGGCACAGAAGGGGAATAATGTTTTCCTTTGATGTGCATCATGAAGAACTAACCTATACTAGTAGAGAAGTGAGGATGCCGCGGATGTGCAGGTGCTAGCACTAGTAGAACGAAGAGAAGATGGGTTCTTGCCAATTCTTGTACCTGATCTAAAGTTATCCAGCTTGCGCTCCTTTGCCAGCGGCAGTCGCCTGATGAGAGCGGGTTTGTTGATGCTGGCGTATCAATTGAACAGCGCACAGACAGCAGACTTGATGGAGCTGTTCTTCGTCATGGATTCTAGCGGACGTGGCGCATTGCAACGGCCGGACTTTACCAGGATTTTGCGAAAACTAGAGCCTTCAATCAGCAGTCGCGAGGTGGACGCCATTTTTGATTCACTAAAGGGCAGGCAATCTGCAATGGCTATGGCACGAATGAGTGCCGAATCTTCTAGAAGAACCGGCATTATGGCGGGAAAAGCCAGTACTATGTGTCCTGAAGCTGAAGGCGGCGAGGGGAATATTGATGTCGGAGACAGGAGCAGCAGCAGCAGAAGATGTAGCAAGAGTACCTCCATAGGTGGAAGTGCTGGTGCTGGAGGTGCGTCGACGAGTTGTACTATTTCAACTTCGGACACCGACGGCTCGCGTTCGTCTAGTGTTGCGACACAGCAAAGCTCCTCCAATAGTGGTTCCTCGGATCGGATGGAGGCAGTCGATCGGCATGGGCCACCTGAAGAAGTCTTTTTTTCTCAATTTGTTGCTGCCATGTTGCAACGGCACAGGAGCCCTCTCTCCTTGAGAGCAGACGAAGGAGAAAAATGTGAACAGCAGCTCCGTCAGGTTTTTGATACACTTGCTTACCTTATGGTCTTCTCCAAAATTGAACTTGCGTATTACTTCCAAAAAGTATACCACCTGAATACTAGAAGTACTGTTTTTTGATGAAAGATCGATGACGAGGCCCCACGACATAATAGGTTAGACGTTTAAGATGAAAAATTAGCGATAGCGACATCTCTAAGTACCGTAAAGAGGGAGTCCTCCGGAAAGAAGATTTGCGAGACGTCTTAGGACGGCGCTTGTCGGACGCGCAGGCCATGATAGCTGAGGTCGATGCCAGTGATAGTGGTGGAATCGATTTTGACGATTTTCTCAAAGTCGTCTGCGGTCCCGACGTACTCCTTAGTAAACCTCGTCTTACTTCTCTAGAAGGTGGAGTATCTTCAAATAAAGTCTCCGCTCCTTTCCGAGCTGGGTCAGCTTCCACCGGGGAAAGTGGGTCGTTCGCTACGGCTGCAAGTCAAGAAGCGTCCAGCTCCCCACATAATGCGGTGCTTTTGCGTTCTGCTGACAGCACCAAAAGTAGCGTAACAACCATCGCACCAAAAGCAGGGGCATCCTTGGAGGAGGCACGACCAGCCTGCGGCGCAGATGATGTCTACCTACCGATAACTGGACAGGACGAGGATCCCTACCCGCCTCCAGGCGCTCTCTCTTCCTCATCGGATGAAAGTGAAGCCACAACACGACAAGAACTGGACGACAGAGGAGAATCAGGTCGAGCATCTACTTTGGGTAGTATACCTGAACAAAATCATGATGGCCCTTGTGCTTCTCAAGACGATGTAGCAGATGATGAGGATCGGGCACCCCAACCGCGCTTGATGCGAGTGTCTTCGTTTGCCCGCATAGGGTCTTTTTATTACGGCTAAGAATGAAAACGAAAAACATTACCACGATTAAGTACAATCGCTAAATCGCCGTGTTTTCGAATTCGATGTCCTGGGTACTAATAACAATGTCGTCCTCCATTATAAGCATAGGATGTTGTAGGAGCAAACGACCTAGCAGCGTGCAGCTGCTCTACTCAATCACATGTGGGACTTAAGTACTTCTGCATACGTCCTCTAACACTATGACAAGGAGAACAAGCTTGCTGCTCAAGCCGTGAAAGGCGATTCATCTTCTCGTCTAGGGGAAACGACATCCACAACGTGGGCACATTCTGGCCTGACGTTGGCAGATTCGAGTACTAGCAGCCCATGCGCAAATAGTTTCACTGTCAGCCCAGTGGAAACACTACATCCCTCAGACCAACAAGGCGTTGTTTCTGTCGACGAATTAGAACTACAGGGCCTCAAGGACGACGAAGCAGGACAAGAAACAGCACGACGTTCATCAACACATGAGCAAATGCTCACAAAAGATACCGCAGTGCCGGCGATGGGTGGAGATGGAGATCGTAGTTCATTAGTACCCGAACAGCAGCAAGGTGACGAGCAGTACCTCTCTGGATCTGCGGCAACTACAGGTGATCTTCATCTTCACAATACGATGCATACCGCGGGTACAAGCGCAGAAGACGCTTTTTCGTTCGCAACCACAGTCCTAGGAGGCTGGGCAAGAACGTCAGCATCAGTAGAAGAAGGTCCTGATGCACATGCAACGCAGAACATGATTGGCAACTTGGGCAGAGCCTCTGCTGCTTCATGCGTTGCTCTAGATGAGGAAGATGGAACGGAGGACGAGCCATCGGCCGATGCACGACTCACTGCGGTCGCACGCTGCTCGTCAGTATCAGACTGTGGGGACAAACAACAACAGAAACTGCTGAAAAATCAGGGTAGTACTTTTAGTACAAACCGAGGTGTTTCCGCACTGTCTGGCGATGGAAAGTCCTGCGGGTCCTCGGTAGTATACAACGTCCGCAGTTGTAGTGCGGATCTCTTATCGAGGGAGACCGAGATTTCGCGAGTCACATGCATATCTTCGACCACAAAAAAGATGTCGCAAGACGAGTTCACAGACCGTGTGTCATCGATTGTTGGTGCGATCGCAACGTCTTTACGAGACCAGGGCGACGATGAGCCTGGCGCGTCAACGTACCACTAGCAAATCAGAGTGTGCGTATGATTTGTCGCAAAAAAGAATTATAGGATTTAGTTTTTTTTGATCTTGATGAAGAAAGGCTAAAAAATGTCAGATAATATTGGCTTCGTCTCATAGTACATCGAAAATTTCAACTTCGAATGACATGCTCACAAGAAGATTCATAGTGGATGGAGTAACACTATGCCAAAACGCAAAAAAAAAACGCTGTTTTGTACCTTATTCGTTTCAGAATGAAATAAATTTTCCATTTTGAGACGAATATTGCCCAGCTAATCCCTGGGCTTTATGTACGTTTTTTGGCTAAAAAACCACTTTTCTATGTTCGTTTTTTGGCATAGTTTTCTTCCATATCGTAGTGGTTTCTTAGTTTATAAGGATCGTTTTTATTGTGGAAGGTAACTTCCATGTGAACTGATTTAATGAACATCAGAATTTAAATTTTTTAATTTGGGATAAAATTAAAATTTTCTTGTTTTTATCGAAATTTCAAATCAAATTTGGAAAATGAATATTTTGATTTCCTCAATAGAAGATACATGTACGTCGGCGAAAGTTTCCATCCAATTATTGTAATTGAATCAGAATTAGGTTTGTTAAGGTACCGAAAGCGAAATTTGGTCTTCAATTCCATACTTCCTCTTCAGGACACGAAGAAATGCCTCGATTGTTTCTCGTGCCACTGGGCAGAAAACGAGCCATGAAGACCACGAAGCTGGCCTTGTGAAAGGCTCCTCTCTATTTAAGGCTTCACACACGAAGAACTACTTACATTACCTCCTAGCGCAAACCAACGTATAGCCAAGAAACCATAGCGCAGGAGCGATGCTGGTTCCTTTTTGTCAGCATGCACATCTAAGTACGTTAAGCATGCAAATCCACTTCCTCTAATGTGGCAGACTCAACGGGTACGCGGACAACTTCGCCTGGCACAGCGTGTTCACCAGTTGAAGTTGCGACTGGTGCAGCGTCTTCGGGGGGTAGCAGCATGATCGAATCTAGCAGCGCGACTGTCGAGGAGCCTACGTCGTCTGCTCATTTTCCTTCAACAGCCGCTCCTCACAAACAGCACAATCGAAATAAATCTGTTGCTGCTGTAGTGGAGGAATACACGCGTTATCGTAAGGTCGCATCGCTCATCCGCGTCCATCAAAACTATGTCGCTAATGCGTCAGGGGGAAGTGGAAGCCGCATTCGAACAGCCGCAAACTCACCTGCAACCGATTTAGTTGTAGAAGAAGGATGCGAAGAGATGAAAGTTGTAGTTGGACAAGTAGGTACAACAACAACAACTACAACAACAACAACAAGTCAACAAGGCGAATCCCAGATAGAAGAAGATGCGGACACAAGTGCTGGAAGTACCCGAGGAGGTGCTGATGACGCCTTCCGTGCTGAAGCCGCAAGATCTTCTAGGAGGAGGTCAACTATTGACAGGGGAGCAGACGCCAACAGTCTCTTGCCACGCATGCGCTCGCGCAGTTTAGAAGTATTATCGGACGAGGCGCAGACAGTCGCGGTACCTCCGCGACTCTCGCTGCATAATGTGGCGTAGACTTTTTTTGTCGTTTTGTTTCAGCATCAGCATCGATGTCGAGCTCATATTATTCGTTGATGTGAAAGTAAAGTAGATTTTGTCACATGAACTACAAGACAGTATCAGGAGGTACTGCCAGTAGATATTTTTGTTCGACGATGATGTCAATGTTGACAATCTTTCTTGAGACGCGACCACGCATATTTGCACATGGCAAACTCTGGTATTGATGGGGCATGTAGCGCATTTTCGTATTTTGTACGTGATTTGTGCAACTTGCCTGATGAAGATGAACCTCTACATCATTTTCGACAAAAATAAATCCACCGACATACGCTCTTTTTTGTGTCGTTCGCAGATCACAAGATTGATGAGTATTGGCGAAAGTGCACTCCCAGAGGCGTAAAAAGTGTACATGATCAGGAGGACTGGAAGATTATAATGCATTCCAATTTCAACATCTCAACATACGCTGATCGGGGATCAAGAACAGAAATTGTTTTACAGCTCATACAAAAAGAAACGGATGATCCTCTTATAGTAAATTCTTTTCAAGGTGGATCAAAATCCTGATCTCGAGGTTGAACTTGAGTTAACTGGTCTGTGCACGTGCTAAGTAGCCACAGATCCATAATTTTTGTATCGACTGGGATTTATATTCTCGGGATGATGCAAGTAGGACGTGTCTGATCCTTGTACTTGTTCTTGTTCCTGGTGCGGATCATACGCTCAGTCAGGAGAAAACACCAGAGATATTATTCATGTTTCGCATTTTGCTACAGTTCTTCAGAATCAGAGTACTAATCGACATACTACCGTCCGCGTACCAGGCATACACAACTGACTTATCTGCGACTTTCTCACCATTAAAGACACAGCGCCGGGCGTCTTGCTTTTTCGAAGACTCATTTTTTCAATATAGATATACAGCGTTAATATTTTCATTGAGATTCTTCAGATCATTAATTTGCTTGTGTCACATTGATACTTTTCGATCATGGCTTTTCTGATAATTTCATTTTACTAAATTTGTTACATGATCACGGCCAACTACACGACTACGACGTTATTTTAAGACACACATTAATATCAAGATGATCTTCCTGCGTGGGGTCGTGGGCCTCTCAGTGGGCCTCGCAGCTTTTGTTAAGGCTCTAGTGGACGAGCAGGTCGTAATCGAAGATTTAGCCCCGAAAATGAGGAAGGACAAGGCATCGGAGAATCAAAGTACGGGACCTACTCCGGACAACAAGAAGAATGTAGCATCGTCCAAGACTAAGAGTAAGAAAGAGGAGTTGTTAAAAAAGAAGGACGAGATGGAGGGTGAAAGTGCGGCTGCAGCAGCATCAACATACTCTACAAAGTCAAATAAAGCTTCCGGCGGAGATGAAAACGTCAAATCGTCTGATAGCACGACGAGTAAAGGGAAGAAGAAATCAGCATCCACCGTTGGATCTGGAGATGATGCATCTTCATCAAGAAGTTCGAGCGACAAGAAGAAAAGCGCCGCCGCAGCCACTAAATCCTTCGAAAACGTTGAGTTCGAGAGCATTCCGATCGCTAAACCGTTTCAGATTATCCAGCCTACTCCTGACCATAAAAGCATGCGCGTAAACGCGGGCAATCTGGCTAGGCTGAGTAGCGTGAAGCATAAGATCTCGCTAGTGTCGGTCGTTGGGCCGTACCACAGCGGCAAGAGTTTTCTCCTCAACGCAATGTTGGGTAATATGCGAGCGTTTAGTGTAGGCCCGAAGACGAGCCCCGAAACAATGGGAATCTGGCTCTGCCGAACCAATATCACCTCCGCGGTGGACGGAAGCGAAATCTGGCTCATGGACAGCGAAGGTTTCTTCGGTCCTGGCATCGACGAAGCCTACGACGCAAAAATCTTTACCATCGCCACACTCTTAGGGAGCCACTTAGTGTACCTTTAATGATTTGTGGGCCTAGTCCTCCCAGGAGTGGTCCTCGTTGGACCTGTAAATAAGTGGCTATTATAGTAATCGTGCAGCCGAGTAAAACGTTGTTCTCGTGTTGCTGAATAGAGATTCAATAAAATCTTCGAAATTATATTTCAATCCTTCAACAAGAACAACGTCTCCAAAATGAAACTTACTTCAGGTACAACACGGTAAAAGTGATCAACCAGCAGGCAGTGAATATGTTGGAGATGCTAGCACGCAGAGCACAATTGTTCAAGACGAAATCGGGACAAGTAGCTACCGACGATGGCGCCATTACCCCTGACTTCTTAATGCAAATGAACTTTCCTAGCCTTACCTGGATTGTCGAGGACTTCACGCAGGATCCAGGTATTCAACGAATAATATGAAGATACAACTGATTCGTTTTTGTAGGCATGATCTACTAATTGCTCACACCTCCAACTCGTGATGTTGTTCTTGACCCAACATTGTTCAACCATATTTTCCACTATTTACAACACCATATAGATATTCAACACCGAGGACTATTTTTCGCTAGACAACGTAGACTTACTTACACACTTACTCACTTCCTTACTTCAAAAATCACAGGAGAGAGCTCTCTCCTCGATTGGTTGCGCTCGTACCTCTCACACGAGAAGGGATCAAATGTCAAGGACGGTGACCATGCAGTGGTGACGTCGACGGCAGGTGGGAAGCAGGATCACTACTTGAGCCGTCTGTTTAACGATATCTCCGTGAAAGCTTTGTTTCTGCCGGCTCTCACTAGAGTAGATTTGAACGACTTGTCAAGGTTGGAGTACAGTCAGCTCACAGCGGAGTTTCGCGAAGGTACTACTTTATTGCAACTTCTTAAGGATTTGCATCTGCTCTTCCTCTTGTTCGTGCTGGCATGATGATCTTGTATTCACGAGTCGAAATTATTGAAAAACATCATCTATTTCGTGTCTCACCATTCAACATACTCTCATCAAAAGCTAATTTTATTATTTGAAAACAAATTCTGAATCTAATACTAATTGTAATTCGACTGATTCATTATCTTGTTGTGTGAAAAACACGCCAGAGCTCGAACAAGACGTGAAGCCGCACATTTTCCGACGCGTAAAGAGCAAATCTTTCTCCGCCACTCGCGAGCATATGACGGGTATAGAACTGCAGAAAGCGATCCACTTTATCGTGAATGCTCTGCAGACAGGCGTTTTTCCAGAACTGCCCAGTCTGTGGGCGAGTTGGACAACTCAAGTCGCAGAACATTCCTTGTACGACAGTGAGCGCTGGTTCCGCACCATGGTATTAGAAACGAAAGAAGGAAACGAGGTAACGGGGGGAACCGCAGTTTCGGATACAACCGGCACAGGTTTCTATCACTATTGAGGCTTAGTTCCTAGTGTGGAGGCTTCCACTGACTCTAGTTTGGTGAGCTCTTCTTCCCCTTCTGATTTCAGTGTCGAACCTGAAACTGCGTAGGAATTTCGACAAAAATCTCTATCTAAACAACTCACAACAGATGTTGATGTCACCAGCATTGGCGGAGGCGAGCTCCGCCACATGCCTCCCTCCGTCGGGGTGTTCAACGACCGCATCGCCCTTGCTCGCGACCGCACGTTGAAGTTTTATACTGAGTTGCTGAAGGATTTCGACGTTGCACCCGATCTAGAGGGTTTGCAGACGAAAATGGCGGCCATCGTGAAGCAAGCGGTGTCTCAGTATGCAGCTAAAGTCCATCGTTTTGTGCGGTCATTGGTCGACGAGTTGAAAGAGGTCTACAAAGCGAAATTGGGACAGCTTAGCCTCCCCCACGAGCCCGAAACTCTGCGACGTACGGTTCAGGAAGAATCCGCCCTGCAGGTGCGGAATTTGACGACTACATGGACCTCACTATCGTCAATGACGATCGTATCAACGACACCAGTTGGTGATGCTAGTAGTGGTTCGTCAAGAACATCATCTTCTTCATCTGGCGCAGTAGCTCCATCTTCATCTTCTTCAACGACGTTCACTAGGAACGCCCCTGTAGAACCTCTCAAGGAACTCCCGTGGACCGAGAAGAACCCTATGACCACTCTTGCTGCCGATTTGGAGTTGATGGCAGTCGCGAAGCATGCGGAAAACGAAAAAGTAGTCCAGAGCATTTTCCAAAACGCCGTACAAGCGGCTCTGACAGCGTGTGACTCCGACTTGACGTCAAGGGAACAACAGCTCTACGGAAAAGCGGCGATGAAAGAATTCCGGGAATTGACGCGACTAAACGCGGAGAAATTATTCGAAAACCATCTGAAGGGAGAGACGTGGTTCCAGTTTCACGCGCTCTATAAGAGTCAGCTGGCACTTGTCAAACAAGAGGTGCTGACATATTTTTTATGTTGGTAAGGCTAATTAGTAAGTACTATTTTCATGTTCATCTAGTTCTTGTTGTAGTAGAAGTACAATTGGTGGTGGTTGTATTGTTGAAGATGATATATGTAGAGACTCTTGTCGCAACTACAACATTTACATCACTGTTCCCATCATGATCATCATAGTTCCTCTCTTGTTCTTTGTTCTCTTCTTCTACTTCTACAACTTCGCTGCAACTAAAACAAACTAGGTCGACGTTAAGCTGACTCGTTTCGAGGATTTGAATCAACAGCGACTAGCGGTGCACATGCGGGAAGTGCACGATAAAGCTCTGCAGTATTACAAAACAAAGAAGCAAGATTTGAAGATGCCTATGGACGAAGAAAAGCTTGCTTCTGCGCATGGGCTGGTGCAACAAGAAGCGGTTGACCTTTTGGGGAAAAGTGTAGAGGATTTGAAGGATACGATCCAGTTCACGGAAACAACAGCCAACTTGGAACGAAAAATCATGGCTGAATGGACTCGCATGACCCAGAAAAACATCGAACTGTGGAAAATACACAACGACGAAGTCACGCAGTGCGCATACCAAAAAAATCATATCGCAAGAAACGTACTTACTTCACTTTACCTAGTCACTTTTTCAAGATGAGAATGATGTTTACGATGCCAGCATGGCTATTTGTTCCATCTCTCACGCAATTTTTATCTATCAGTACTAGAAGGTTCGAGATCTGCATTGTTCTCATAGCTTGCGTTCACGTTCACATCAATGATCCTTTCAGGAATGCGGCGTTGTGTGCTTGCATATGATAATTCCGTTTTTGCACCGATCAGTGGCGCAGCAGCATCTAATGGATTGTTTTAAGATAAAGGAGAAGACGTCCGGCAGCGTGCACATGGGCCCCGGCATGCAGCAGAAAATCTTCGATTCCTGGTACGAGAAGGAGCTGGCGTACGAAAGCAATTCCACTTGGAACAATTTCGTGATGATCTTCGGCACGCTCGCTTTTGGCTTCTTGTTCTTCATGTGGCAGCGAGGGGGCCTGATGGGACTGTTTTTTGGTCGGGGAGCATCATGTGCAGGAGCAGGAGGTGCCTATGGTTCCTACGGCCCCAACGGGATGCTTCGAGGCAAGATGCAGGAACCAGGGCCAACGATTGGAGGTATGCCCAATCATTCACCAGGGCCGATGATGAACGGCGGTGGACCTAGCGGCATGATCAACATGAATGGACCTAGTGCTGGTACGCCAAATATGCCGACTCCCGCAAGCAATAATATCGGAGGGGGACGCATGTCTCCAGGGTCGTTCCTCTTTGGCAACTCAACCCCAGGCGCAGGCTACAGCACGCCGCAAGGCACTCCGGGTGGCGGTTCGTATGGAGCACCCTCATCACAAACACCTAGTCATCAAGGGGGCTTTAGCAGCCAATCAATACCAGGAAGTGGTGATCCACGAACACCAGCAGGAGGCGGAGGTTTTAACTCAGGTCTGCGATCACAAAGTGGTTTGCGAGGACGATTTTAAACTCGACATCGCTGTTGGTCCGATCCTCAATTTTCCCCTTATATCCTCCACATGTTGTTGTATGAAGACGCTTATATCATGATCATGTAATTGTAAATATATCTGAATGCGCATATTAAAGAACACTTTTTTAGATACACTGATAGGAAGCAGCAACTTGTTGCACTTTGAAATGTTTGAGATTCTCGCCTGCACGGAAATACAATCGGTCGGGTTGAGAATCGACTTTGATCCTTGATATCCACATTTAATGATTTTGGTCTGTCCCAAGAAGAATTGCATGTTGATGAAGGTTCTTCCTCTTTTTACGTCACCTTGTTCTCTGATTTTGGCTGGTGTAAGTCAGTGCCTACTTTGCATCGGTCTTCATCCGTGTACTGCTGTCTCGGTCATTTTGGAAGATATCAGAACCTTGTGCAAAGAGCTTGCTTCACTTTCATCTTCATGTAAGTCGATGCACTTCTCCTTCTGTTCTTCGGTAATTATCGTGTGCACCTCAACTGCGTGTAAAGAATCAGTTGTTTCATAACAAATTCTGCATCAAAAAGAGATAGAGCCCATGCCTGTTCAAATAAAAAGGTCGGTACTCTTCTGTTGATCATGTTGCTATTAAGAACCGTTTTGTTTTGTCGGAATGTTAAGGTGGATGAATATCGTCTCGGTTATCAAAAACAAGGACGGTGGTTGTCGTTTTTAATGCAAATTGGCTACCATGCTGGTGGGTTGTCATATTGGTTTTTCTTGTCTTTGATTTTCAAGCCAGTCTTTCACGTGATTCATTCAATTTTGGTTTCCTCCTACTCTTTGTCTTTGAGGAATCATCAATCATTAACTGAAAAATAGCGTCTGCGTCCCACTCGTGCTCTCTTGTCTTCCTACCTGTCCTCGATTCATTCGACTTCTACCTTTTTTTTTTGGCCACCTTATCCCTTTTACTCCCTAAATTGAAAAACTATTGAGTAGTGCTATTTCTATTTGGATTTTGTCAGGTGATCACTTTCGCTTTCCTCTTCCAACCATTGACATCAAAATTTGGGCAATAACCATCGGGTAACGCATCGTTTTTGCCAGGTCTTCAATCTCACCAAAAGCTCTTTCTATCAATATAATGCCGGAACAAGTAGCCTGTACGACCGGTGCCGTGCCCGTGTCCTCTGGTGAGTTTGATGGAACCACATGGGTGGCAGAAACAGCGCTTGTTGCGGGAGCATCAGATGTACCCGCGATTACGGTAATTGACACGGAACAACAACTACAAGGAGGACAAGAAGAACCACATCAAGATCAACGGTCGTCTTCGTCTACTGTTGAAGTAGACACTTCAACGTCGTCCACACTGCTCCTGGGCGGTAACAACATGATACCTTCCCCCATCGTGCTTGTTCCGCCTCGAGGTCGTGAGGAGGGAATCGATCCTACAAGTCAGCCACAAAACGAGGGTCAAGGAGCCGGCGCCCTTTGCTTACCCGCTGTTCCTGCCGACCCTGCCAGGAGCACTGAAGAAGCTACCGATCATGATCCTGCTCAAGGAGGCACACCAGCAGATGTGTCTGGCACCTCCTCGCTCGCCATTCGCGGTGGCCGCAGTCCGCCCGGAGCCTCCGCTGAAGATCTGACGCCCCTTTCTACCTCATGGCACCTAAGCCACTTCCTCTTCCTAGCAGTAGTATTTATTATCAATCTTTCTTGTAAGATCATACTTTAAACAAGAATACTTACTTCTTCATTACTTCAAGGAACTAATTATATCTTCACAACCACTAATCAATATCTGCTTCGTCTTCATCCGGAGCAGCAGTAAAATAAGAACTCAGTGGATATTGTAAGAATCAAAGAAGGCAATGGTAAGAAAATGTTCAAGCAACGACTTGAACTCGATTAATCTCGTTGAAGGACACGGGTGGACCATCAAACAAGTTCTCCTCCGGCATCTGCCTTCCTTGCTGGACCGTCTAATCTTTGTGTGTCTTCCTCCTCATTCTACGGATGTCAGAGGAAGGGCGTGCGATTTCCAAGCCACTCCCAGTCCGCCGCGTAGCGCTGCGGCATTGACACCCGAAGAGCCACCATCCACTAGTCCTGTGCGACCGACGTCATTGCATTTGATGGAGCCCAGTTTTCGCCAATCATGTGAACAATCTCCGGGGCCTAACCAGGAGGAGAAGCGGCGCACAACTAGCACAGAGTACTTTAAGATAGCGTCTTTGACGAGCAGCTCAAACGAGGCTGCTGGTGGAGCTGGGAAAAATGACGCAGCACTAGCAGTAGCGATAGAGGAGATAGATAGAGATGACAAGGACCAAAAAAGGGACTCGAGTAAAGCAGCAAAAGAAAAACAGGTCGTTGTGAAAGATGTAGAAGATGATCAGCAATACGAACAAAACTACAAGAAAAACAAGCAGGTGGGCCAGGGTGTAGAGTACTACAACATTGCGTCGGTCAATTCGGTGGCAAATACGACCTCTTCCTGCTCGCTCAATTCCATGGAGCAGACGTTTGACGTGACAAATCAGCTTGCAGCGAAGGCGGAAAAGATACTGACGACGGAAGATATCAAGAAAAGTAAAAGTTCAATTAACAGTAACTCTGCAGGTGCTGGAGAAGCCACGACGACGCAGAAAAAGCAGAAGAAGAAAAAGGGAAAGAAAAATCGCACGCCCATTTTTACACCTTCAGCAAGTAGCTCGCCCTCTCCTGTGGAAGCTTCCTCGAATACAAGGGATCACCATCACGACTCATTCATTGCTGATGGTAGTGGTACTCCCACAACAGATGGTGTTGTGAAAATTGGGAGCAAAAGATCATCACGAGGAGGAGGTCTAAGTACGAAGAAAACTGCCCATTTGGTGTACGTAAAAAAGGGAACGCTCGTTCCCGGGCCAGTCCTTAGTGGATCGCTCTCTTCGTCGAGTACTAGCGCTGCCAGCAGTGTCAGATACTATTCAAAAACCGAAATCAACACTTCGAGTAGCACAAGCATCCCTACGAGGAAATCTCCTTCAATTGATCTGAAGGCCTCACGGGGAACGCCTGCAGCACTTGCGTCGCCTTCGCCTCGAGTGCGGCCAATCGCAGCACCAACACCGCCAGCATACCAGGACAGCCTGGATCCGCTTTTCGTTTCTCCCGTGGTGCATGTCGTCGACGAAGAGTATGAAGATAGCCGCGCCGCGGCACTACTCCAGGTGGACTCGCTGCTCGGCTCTTCCCTAGGAAGTTTGTACGATATGCCTGAGTCGCTTGCTGGAGGAGCCAGAAGTAGAGTTGACGAAGATCAAGATGCTCTTGTTGGGGTGATGACTTCACTTTCAACTTCTCTAGGAGGACTTGACCAGCATGCGGACAAGAACAAGCATAGCTTGGCTGGAATGGACGAAATAGATGAAGATCATTGCTCGTTGCGCGGTCTGGGTGATAGCTTGAGTGCCAGCCTTGGAGGGTCCACTTGTTATGACAGCCTTTGGCAGATAGAGCAAGAACTCATCCTGAACAACCCGCTAGGTTTTTAACACCTGGGATTCATTGTCGAAAGCACATTCCATTATATGCAAGCATTTTATTTGTCGCAGCAAATAAATTCATGTTCATCATTCTTGTCGGCTACAATTTGTTAGAGCTCGTCTAATTGCGTACTGAGCAAGAAGGAAGATCCGTGCGTGAGTCGCGTTTAGATCGTAATCCGACTGCGGAGCTACTGGAGGCGCATTTCCAGCAGTCGTCCGAGATGCCTCCGGCACCACAGAAGAGTGTGGTTCTACGGCTATCCGGTGCTCGACTGGTGACGCCAGGTGTCGCATCTAACAATGGCTCGCCTGAGGCGAATGGTGGCAGTTCGTCTTCTAGTGCAGGAGTCGCGTCGCGCTCGGGGTCCTCCTTATCATCTAAAAAGACTGTAGTCGCAGGTGGGGTAGGTGGTGGTCCTGGAGCAGGTGTAAGAAAAACGAGTTTACCTAAGTCGCCATATTCCGCCAAAGCGAAAAAGGCAGCAGCGCTGCTTCGAAGAGCAGCTGCGATCTCGTCTGGTGAGCCAAGCATTTCAACGTGGGCGGCCGAATCGACATCCACTACAACGTCTCGCGAAGATCAGCAAGGTGGAAGGAGCACGAGCAATGTCAGTCTGAACATTTTCAGTTCTACCACCCAGACTCCCTCGACGACGATGTCCCAAACATTAAACACTCCGAGGAACAATCCTGGTAGTGTTGGTGCGGCGACTGCGGTGCGTCCTTCCGAGACCCCAACAACAACTGGTCTTGTAGGAGGCAATGTTCCGGTTGTCGACACGGAGACGAATGCCGCGCCTTTTCACAAACAGCGCAAATACGATGACGCACGCCGCAGATTGAGTGGTACTCTGTTGAAAATCACACCCGGTCACGATACAGCAGTGTCGAAGCAATCTAAAAATTCCCTTAAGACGACCGCTACTGTGAGCACAGTCTCAAGTCTGCTCGCGAGGAAACCCGCGCTTGCAGCTGCAATGAAAATCACAAAAGCAAACAGTACTACAACGACTGCTACAACAAGGGCGAAAGCACTTCTAGAGCACGAAAAACATGACACTCACATGCGCAGCCACCAGCAACGGAATACTAGTGATAGCGTCCTTGTTGGAGAACAAGAGGCTGATGTTGTACTTCAACAGCCTGGTCTGTCGCATTCGGATTCAGTTGAACTCAGGTTATCAAATCTGACACCGAGCACCTCCCTACAAGAATCGCCACGATCATCAGCTGCAGCACCGTCTCCACCTAGAAGTTGTGGAAAGAATCGAGATGGGACCGAGAAAGCTCGTTTGTTGAGAGGTGTGCAGAGTCCACGAAATTCTTATCGCGCAACTTCGCCATCGGCACGCAGATCTTCAGCACAAGGCTCCTGCTTTGGCGGTACTCATTTTCCCGAATACTAGACGCATACTTGAAGTTGATCTTCTGCTCCTCCAAATTTATTTATCTAATTTTACTACGCTAATCAAATTCAAACAAAAATAGCTTGATACGATTTTCTGAAATTATCCTGAAAAATGTCAATTCTTTTCAATCCTCTGACTCTTTTCCAGCACTTGACCACCGTCAACCTAAATCAGATGAGTCCGATACAACGAGTAGCAGCAAAGGTGTTCCGCACAAGAAACAATCATCGTCATCGAAACTCCTCGTGAACAATAGCGAAGAAGATTTTGTCAACGTCAGCACTGCTGTGGCCGCTAGGAGGAGCTTCTCCTGGACGAAGTGGTCGGTGGGAGTGCTTGGGAGTTATCTCGTAGTGCTTTTTTGCGTCGGTCCACGACCGACAGCGGAAAATCAGACGGTCGTTTATCGCAGTATGCTACGAAATCATTTGACAGCGTGCGTCTCTGTTCCTGTTGCTCCTGTGCAGAACGCAACGGTTTCTGCCACGGGTTTTTACCAAACTAGTACAAGTGGAACTGCCGATCTTTTCCAGAAATTTCTAGGATCTTCTTTGCGAAAAAGCCTGCCTTTCCTGCGCATAGGAAGCGGTCTTTTCAACGTTATGGCCTGAAACTACTTGTACTTAGTTTATCTTTTTGTAGTAGTGGTCATTAGAACAAGACGGATTCCGTCTTGTTCTAATGACCAACCAGAACTAATTATGCAGCTGGCTCTGAACTACAGTCCAGGTGTAATTTTCTTCTTTGTAGTTGTTCTTCTTGTTCGATTGTTCTCGATGGTGAGACGAGCTCTAAAACTTGCACCTCCGCCCTCACGTCGACGCAACGTGCCTTGAAGGAAGGAAGAGATCAGAAAGTATCAGCTCAACCGCGATCGGGTAGTCCGTGTCTTGGTTTAGAGTCACCAGCTACGCAAAGTAGGATGCTCTTGGATTCGACTGTCACGCTGTTCATGACCTCGAAACAACACATACGACATGCTGGACACACCGTGCCTCACCAATCAGAGAAGATTATAGAAGACGACTTCTTGTACTTGGAAGGGATTGAAGATGATCTAGCCACGACATCTGGCGAAGATTCCTCCTTTTCTAGTAGTTCTATGTCGCGAAAAAATCTTCTGCATACTAGTTGTAGTTCGAGTGCTGCAAGTTGTTCAAAGATGAAAAGTAAGATAAATTCCACTACTCCAACTACATCATCTACTAATGCAACAACAGATGGACGAAATGATGCACCACTTGTCCTTTCATCATCGAGATCTTCAACAGCAGGCTCCTTGGTGAACAGAAGTGATCTTCAAGTTCAACATAGTAGGACAAACGAAACGGCCACCCTGAAGGGGACAGCTCGCGATATAATCGAGAAGAAGCACCAGAGCGCGTGGTCGAATGTTGTCGATGTTGATATGCGAAACGCTTCGAATTTAGAAAGTCAGGCGTCTTCACCAGCGACTTCGAAGCGAGCAATGTCTTCGACTTCGACTGCAGCAACATATTACCAGGGACAAGGAAGACGAGGAATATCAAAGGTACTATCTCGTCCTGCCTCCACTAGTACAACAAAAGAGGAAGTCGAAGTCCTGCTCGACGATTCGGCCTCCTCTGGACACGCTGTAGCAGAAGAGACTTTGCAGGATGAGCCAGTCGCTCTCGAGAAGCAAGTTCCAAACAAGGAAATGTTACCGCAGTGGGTCTGGATGTCGGCGTCATCCGTGGTCTCTGTCGCAGCAACAATCACAGCGCAGACACTCTCGCGAGCCCGTGGTGCATGAAGCGGCCCAGACTTCTTGCACGATGATCTAATAAGTTTAGTACTTGTAGTAGTGGTGTCTACTTATATTTATGGTTATAATATGGTCTTCCTGCTCCTGCAGCTGACGGTCGAAGGAGAAGTTGAAGAACACGCTAAGCACACGCAGACAGAGTACAGAATCTTGCGGTCTAACCTTTGATGATTGGAAAATACAATTTGAATAGCTCATCATAATGTGTATGTCGTGCGTAAGCAAAAAGGTTTCTCCGGTTCCACATGCTTACTTACAACTTGATGTTATAAATCATGAAAATGTTGGACGCAAAACTATGCTATAGTAACAAAGGCTTGTTCCGGATGTGCATAGATTGAAACCCCCACGACCAACAGATAGATTGTCATATGCTTTTTAGTATGTTGATTGGTTGTCGTCGTGCATGTAGTTATCTCACACTTCCACTTGGTAATGTGATGAACCCGTCGTGCGTTTCTTAGACGTTGGGTCACAGTTTTATTTTTGATCTACCTCATGCTCATAACTTCATTATTTATTTGATTTACCGGTTCGTGATCGTGCTTTTTGCTTGGGAATGCGACCTACTTGATTCCGCCAGACATTCGATCCATTTTTCATTTCTTCGCAGCATGCACACGCTTTTGCAGTTATGTCATTTCGATCATGTCCGTTCTCGCTCGATGTTGTTTTTTTGTAACAGCTACATACTCACCTGGCATTTATTTTTACCTCACGTGTATAGGCACGCATTGAAGGGCGTTTCTGAGTTTCGTCCATTTTTTCTGTTATCGTAACATATGTTGGTATTATCACATATAGGCTTTTGTTGACAAATTGAGTCATTTTTGACACAAAAACATGAAAAATGCCATCATTCCATCCCCGGTGCAGGATCATGAAAGTACTATACTAGGATCATGAGAGCGCCAAAGAAAGGATGAAACAAGTGTGTAAATCAGATGTTTGCTGATAAAGTATTAGTATTCCAACATATTTATCATGTATTTTTTCAGCCACTGCCGCAATGAAGGATTGAAGGAGCCATCTTCATCTCGACAAATGAAAAGAAAGACAAGAAAGAGTATATATCTTCTTGTCGCAATTGACACAAAGAGTACATCGATCGTGATTTCAGTGCAGTTGATGCTAGCATGACGCGCACGGTCCTCAGACTGGCTCGCGTCAGTCACAATCTTGCTCTTCTATCGAACGTTGTGTGCACGTGGTGAGGTGTTTTTTCCGGCGACATTGATTCTTTTTCACCTGTTGAGGCATTCCTTCAAGAGAGAAGAGTGAAGTAGTTGGCTAAGCAATGGAGCCTTTTTTTTTGATAATGAATCCGAAAGCGGCAGACGAAGGAAGCTTTTTTGATTTTTTTCTTCACTCAACTTCAACTTCATCATTCGAATAGGAAAAAGGAAACATCGGTGTCGTTGGAGAAAGATGAATCATCTTTCTTCGACGTAGACGTTACAAAGTCGGTTGTCTCTCATCGGACGCGTCTGTCGTGTTTTTCCGCTAAGCATCGCGCATGAAAAGAACTACAAAATGAACTCCCATCTTTTCTTGAGAATCGGTCCCACATTCAGTTGCATGAATACCGCAACCGATCTCACGCATCCCTCAACAGAGCGGACCTGGTCCGTCCTCCTCCTCCATATTTCATATTGGTTTCAATAAGGGATTTCACCTGATCTTATTTTCGATCCAGCACACTCACCATTATCAAACATACAAATCAATTTTCTCATTTCATATTCGATTTTTTCCAATCGTGTTTCAGTTTCTTTTTCGAAATACAAGCAATATCGTACTATCATCTTCGACCGTAGTAAATAGTGGTAGGCAAAGGGAGTCCACCTCACATCGTCATACATTACCACAAGTGCTAGCAGGCGGCAAGTGAAAGCAGTAGGTGTCTTAGACACTGGCTGCATGTCATTGTTTTAGTATTGTTCTTGATTTTCGGCGAAGGACCTGTCCTGTCATCGAGTGTCTTCATCTTCATCGACGCTGCGGAGACACCGAGGAGGACACTCACGCGCACTAGTAAGTACTTGCTCACGTCGCTTCTTGTTGTAGCAACACACAGACAGCAAGCAGATAAATACAGCATCATCAAGATGGCGACTGGCCCCGCAGGACCCCTATGCACGGGGTTATCCTCAATAAAAAGAGCGCCAAAGTGGACACTCGGTAGCAGGGAAGAGGACAAAGCAACACTAAAGCGACAGCAGTTTGGACCAGGACCAGCAGCCTATTTCACGAAAGACATTAGTGTTGATGCAAGGTACTATTATTTATCAATAGAATACTAGCCTGGAGCGTCCGATAACATCCCTCCCACTAGGATCCCCCTCCTCCCCAAAATAAGAAACTAAGCAAGGCAAAGACGTAAGCGATAAGCGTTTTCAAATTTCGAAAATTTTCCACGTTTTGCCATCGTTTGCGCATTGGATCGCGTGCGTTTGAAGTCAAGTGCTAAGATCCCAAAACTTTTTGACTTTAAGCCCTTCCGCTGGAATTCATTCAACTTCTTGGATTTGCATTCTTCAAATTTCGAAAATTCTCCACGTTTTGTTGTCGTTTTGGGATTGAATTTTGTGCGTTTGAAGCGCTAAAGCCCTAAAGCTTTTGACTTTCAGCGCTTTCCTTGGCTTGAGGTTCAGCCTCTTGGATTTCCATGATTTTTCAAATTTCGAAAATTTTCCACATTTTGTTGTCGTTTTGGGGTTGAATTCTGTGCGTTTGAAGTGCTAAAATCCCAAAATTTTTGATTTTAAGGCCTTTCCCTGAGATTCAAGCGCTTGGCTTCGCGTTTTTCCAATTTCGACAATTTTCCATGTTTTTCGTCGTTTTGGGAGTGAATCCCGTGAGTTTGAAGCGCTAAGACCCCAAAGCTTTTGACTTTAGGTCTTTTCTTTGAAATTTAACGCCTTGCCCTTGGCTTCGCGTTTTTCAAATTTCGAAAATTTTCCACATTTTGTCGCCGTTTTGAGTTTGAGGCTCGGGAGTTTGAAGCGTTGAGATCCCAAAATTTTTGATTTTAAGCCCTTTCCCTGAGGTTCAATCTCTTGGCCATGAGTTTTTCAAATTTCGAAAGTTTTCCACCTTTTTCATCATTTTGGGAGTGAATCCGTTGACTTTGAAAGGCTAAGATCGGAAAGCTTTTGACTTTAGGCCTTTTCTCTGAAATTTAATCCCTTGGATTCGCGTTCTCAAATTTCGAAAATTTTCCACGTTTTGCCGTCGTTTTGAGGTCGAGTCTCGTGAGTTTGAAGCGTTAAGATCCTGAAATTTTTGATTTTAAGCCCTTTCCCCCGAAATTCAATTCCATTGCTTCATGGTTTTGCGGTTTCGTAAATTCGTAAACTCAGAAATTCAGAAATTCAGAAATTCAGAAACTCAGAAATTCAGAAGTTCAGAAGTTCAGAAATTCAGAAATTCAGAAACTCATAAATTCGCAAATTCCTAAATTCATCGGTTTCGTAAATTCGTAAACTCAGAAATTCATAAATTCATAAATTCATAAATTCGTAAATTCATAAACTCATAAATTCATAGACTCATAGATTCATAAATTCATAAATTCATAAATTCCTAGACTCATAGATTCATAAACTCATAAATTCATAAATTCATAAATTCATAAATTCATAAATTCATAAATTCATAAATTCATAAATTCATAAATTCATAAATTCGTAAATTCATAAATTCATAAATTCGTAAATTCATAAATTCATAAATTCATAAATTCATAAATTCATAAATTCATAAATTCATAAATTCATAAATTCATAAGTTCATAAGTTTGGAGTTTGGGGTTTGGAAGTGGGAGAGTGAGAGTTCGTAAGTTCATGAGTTTGGGGTTTGGAAGTGGGAGAGTGAGAGTTTGGAGGGGTTGTTGTAGAATTTTTTTTTAGCTATATAATATTATTCAGGACGAGATGGACGATTCGATCTTATTCACTTCATGATTACTTATTCGCTTTGCTTACAAATTACAATTACAACTTTTTATGCTATGATTTCCAAATCATGCTGGTGCTGGTACGTAGTTTAACGAGAAAAAAAAATGGATCAAGTCAATAAACAAGAATCACATCCCCACAAAAATTAATATATTAGGCATGTGCGGCCTACCTCAGCTGTGTTTCCACATTCAAAGCGGGACGAAATGGGAGCAACAAGCGGCGGCAAGAGACCTGGCGTCGGCACATATAATCCAAACTTCATGAGTAGTAGCACAATGTCATTACCAGGCCGACCGGTATTTTCCAAGGGCTCACGAGATGACGCAGGAAGCATGACGGCCGTTGCCACTAGGGCGAAGACGCCAGGTATGATGACATTCGCCACGATTCTACTTGTGATCATATGCTAGACCACCTAGAAGTAAAAAATGAAATATGAACAATTGATACGTTTGCCACTCGGACTACGTGATTGGTACAATAATGTTCATCAAATCACGACTAGTACAGGTCCGGGAACGTACGGCTTCAAAGCATCGTTGTCAGACATATCTTCCAGCATCTACGGGCGAGCAAAGGATTTTTCACGTACGAGGACTAAGTCATTTTTGAGTTATTTTTGAATTTCAGATTCTTTTTTTTTGCTTTCTGAGTGTGTGACTCTGACTGCTCGAGCAACAACAGCTGTGACTGCTTGAGCAAGATTTCTGCATCAATAATTAGTATGAGGAACAACCGTTTTCAATTTCATGAGATTAATTTTGATCTTGTTCTTCTTGATGTCAACACGACCACAGGTCCAGTAACGCCCGGTCCAGGTGCTTATTCAATTTCTAGGGAACTAAGCGGAGCCGGGTGGAAGATGGGTACTGGCCAAAGGTCGGGTATAAGATCGCGCTCCGAGTCACCAGGACCTGGGCAATACTCTCTCACGTCGGCGATTAGCACTAACCACCCAAGCATCCTCCGCATGCCACAGTATTGTTATGTTACACTAGACGTCGATCTCGATAGGCTAAGGCTATAAATAGTATAGTTGATTAAAGTATAATTGATATTGAAATGATCCAAAATGATATTAATAAAATAATATTCCATTTGTTCTTGTTCCAACCCGTACTAGTTAGACCCAGAATCTGTTCTTTGTAATATCGATGATACTCTATTCATCTTCAAGGTACACCATGGTTCCGAGGCGGGCTATTCTTACCGGGAGGAATCAGTCGCCTGGCCCTGGCGCGCATGGTGGTTCCTTCACAACCTTCGGCTACTAAAAATCATGGTCTTCAGCGGAGGTCGTGGGAAAGAGACAGACCATCATAGTTGATTCTTTTTTCCTACCATAGAAATTTTTAGTCGAGCACTTGGTTGATGGTGAAGAGAATACCAATATCTTCGACTTCTACTCGTCCCTGTGGTAAACGATTTCATCTAGGATGATGCATGCACAAGCAACATACAAAGACTTTCAGAATGTTTATTTTTCCTCAACATATTTATTAAGTGATAGAAAACACAGCATCTATTCTTCTTGATCAAAAAAGTGATCAACACTAATACTACTTCTTATAATCTACCTTGCAACTACTTGTATTTATTTCTTCTAGATAACTAGGATAGACAAGAAATAATGGTCCTCGAAATTTGCTTGAAATAGTATTGAACAGTCAACCATGCAAATTATTCTTATGCCTTTTCCGCGGCCTCGACGTCGACGCAGAGTATCGTGCACAGGACTGTTAGAGAGGAACACAGCGAGCACACAGTTGCAGTAGAGGTACCGTAGCATGAGCAGGAGGAGGAGGTCATTTCATTTCGTTTAGATGCACATCTGTCCTTATAGCAGTTCATTTCACAACATCAATAAATTCAAATTCAATGTTCATATTTTGGTTCCTTTCGCTATCGAAAAATGTAATACACTAATTAACAAGAAGGATTATTATCTTGGTCCAAAAATACCTGCTGTATTGATTGTTACTTTTTCAAATTCTACTATTTCAAATCATAAAATTCTACTATTTCAAAATGAATGTTCATAGACTAGTCAGAGTCTTGATCAGGTGATGCGCGGAATCAGGAGTACATCTACATGTGATGTAAGATCTATGTATTTACTTACATGGGGAAGGGTTGCCAAAAATTTGAAATTATTGATTCTTGTAAGATAAGGACATTATCATGCTGCAACATAACAACAATGCTACTGCTTGGCGACTGACGACGTCGTTTTTCTGTAACATATTTTGAGATCATCATGCTCATGGTCTACTTCTAGTAAACGAGAAGATGCTGCATGATTATCAACTAGAAGTGAACATGTACAACATCGGTCAACATCAACGACATTGACTAAGTACAACATAGTAAAACACCATAGGTAGACTCCGCATCCATCAATGCATCTTCATTGTCATACAACACACTGGGATCTTGAACACACGACACGACAATAAAACTTTGGAGCAGAAGATAGTATCAAGTCGCGTGAAAGAATTGAGACCACCGGTCGCAGTTAAATTCTCGCGGAGGCCGTATGAATGTACTTGAATGAAGGATGGGACTTCGGCGCAGAGGTCATCTCTTCACCTTGCTTTTCCTGCGCAGGAGGAGCAGGAAAGAAATATTTCGAGGAGAAAAAATCGAACCAGCAAAACGTAAATCGAGTCAACCACTGATACGGAAAGCACATCTTGATCTTCGGGGGAAAAGTTCTTGCTACAACTGATTGTGTCTTTTATTGTGTTAAGACATGTGAGAATTCGAAGATCACTGCACCCTCCAGTGCATAGAGTACACACCCTACGCACAAAGTAGTTCCTCGACCGTTTTAGGAATTGAAAATGATGTGAATAATTTCGAAAGGAGATGGAGACGAAAATGAAATTATAATTCGCCTCACATTTTTTTAAATACTAGTTTGTTCGTTGATGTTTTTATGCCAGCTTGATGTGGTACTTTTCTTACGATCTACTAACGTTCTTAGTAAAAAGTAACTGTGGCTGACAACCCATTTTTCCGACTCTAGCTGCAAATTAGGACTTATCAAAGAAGAATTCAAATGGCTTGAGAATGCGTCCATCCTCGAGGACGTCTGTACAGCTTTACGTTTACTAGCACACGCATGAGAATGAGTTCACATGTTTCACGGGCCAAAAAAAGAATAAATGTCCTAATTCCATCGAGAGTGCATGATCCTTTATATATCCCTCATGATATTTTTCGACGATCATTCAAGCAGCACACTCAAACGTGAACAGGATGCTCAGCCAAATGGACGAGTTGTTTTACTAGGTAGCTCTTACTTTAGTTGCAGCTCTTGAGACGCTGTTGTAACACAAATATTTAGGATATTTTAATAGGGTCTGGCTCGTACAGAATATTTGTCCATATTATTCAACAATGCAAAAGTATTAACAGGTTTCTACTTAGATGTAGACTGATGTGATTGTAAGGAAAAATTTTCTTCCCCCATGAAAATATTACTTAGTGGTTTGAAACATGGTTAGAATTGTTATCTAATTGTACTTGTGTGAGCGTCCTCCTCCTCCTCCGCCTTCGTCCAACCCGTCCCGAGGCCCGTCAACGCACCCTCGCTGTATTTTGTATTTCCATCTGATAAAAAATATTAAAAATGCTATGTCTGTGGCTATGGTCTTTAGAAGATTTAGATATATGTCACGTCACGATTTTGCATAGTGTGACTGTAGAATGGCTATAATTACAACATCATACATAGAACAATAGTGATTGATAAATCCTGATACTCAAAAAAGCAGCCGCTAAATCATGTCTATGCCTCCGACGAGCGCCTTATCAGTGCCGCTTCATCGGCCTCCTGCGGAAGCTCGTGGCTGGCTGCAATACACGACAACGCTGAGACGTGGTGGCATGAGTTCTTTTGCTTGGATTGTTGCCAATGGCAAAGCACGACTAGAAAAGCGTGTGCGCCAAGAATCCCAGATGAACGAGTCGTATGGCCGCGAGCTACACAAACGGGAACAAGACGATCTTCGCTTACGATCGCGACGGGGGCATTCTTGTTCGCGCGAGCGGATAATCTTGCGAGCAGTTGATCGTACATGCATGTTTCGCCAACAGCAGCTAGCGCGTGTTCTCTACGTCTATCTCGCAATTATCCAGTGGTTGGAGCTTCCAAGTGTCTCTGCGAGGACAGGAGTAGGGTTTATGGAGGCTGGAGATCGCCCAGGGTTCGTAGTCGAAGCAGGTGGCGCCTCTGTGCTTGAAGCTTGCGGCGTACCACAACAAGCTGAGGAAGCTCTTGAATCAAGACCCACGACCTTCTCCGTTCAGCCCGTATGCTTCATTCCTGTCGTGGTGCCGGTATTGCCTTTTTTGTTTCAAGTGTACGTGGCGTCGCCTCCTGTGTCCATAGACCTCGAGATGAAAGCCTTGGGCTTTGCGACTTCCGACGAAGCTGCACCGACTTCTTCGTCGACGCTGCCATCAAGGTGGGCGGATCATGTAACGGAGCTGCCAGATCAACTCAACATTTTGTGTACGCAGGGACAAGTGGGGAACACCGGTGCAGCTGTAGGATATGAAGAAGATGATGTCGCTTTTGTTCCCGGTTCTGTCCATCCTGAAGAAAATCCCGCGTGGGCTCATGCCGGCGATGCAGGATTTTTGCCAGTGACTACATACGCGAGCTCCTGCATGAATTGCGCGCGCGAGAAAGACTGCCAACATTTGGTTTACCAAGCAAATGCAGACCTTCTTGTACAACAAGGAGCTGCACATTCTACCCTCCAAGAGTCAACAGACGGAGCGGATTGCCAGGAGCATCTCCAAAGTGGTCCACGAGAGAGTTCCTCCGAGATGGCCGAGTCCGCGGAAAATGGTTCTAAATGTATTCAAAATACCGACGATTCGGATCACCATCAAAAAATCCAAACAAAACTTGATCAACCTAGCATTCTATCTGGTCCTGGTGTGCTGTTGCCCTGGATGGACTGCAAGGTGACGATTCTTGTGTCCTCGCAAGCAGACCCGGAAATTTTGGAAAAGATGGGAAATGACCTTGCATCAGAGCTTACAGCCGCAACACAAAACATCTCAGAACGTAGACAAGTACTTCTTGACCTCTTGGTTGCACACGACGGAGAAGACCATGGACGAGAGAATGACGATCTACGACTTGATGAAGATGCGGAATGTACTATTCCAGAACCAGCAGATGACCACCCTCTACGACTAGATGAAGATGAGGAATGTACTTCTGTTCTAGATGAACAACCAGCAGTAGAAGGAGTATTTGGTCAGCGGCAGTATGATGTGGCAGATGACGAGGATGCCGATTGTTCTAATTCTGCTCCGGACGTGACTTTATTATCTGATTCTACTCCACCTGTTCGAGAAGTAGACCAATTGCGAGAACCTCCTGGACCGTCGACTCCTCTTTCCGCGGCCGAGCGAACGAGTGGAGGTCCTCGGGCCACCAGGAGCCGCCTCCTGGGTGAGATGAAATTGGGACAAGAAGGCGAAAAAGCGTCTTCAAGAAACCCGTTTACCAAGTCCGAACTTCGACAACTGATTGATCAGTGGGCCACCGTGCGATTGGAACGCGCACTGAAGCATGTTGAGCAGCGCGTGAATAATACTTATCTCCACTCAGCTTCGCTTGTCGAGGAAGATGGACTTCGATCTAGAAGTAATGATTCTTACGCAACTGGTGGAGCAGGAGCCTCATCTCATCAAGCAGGACCTCCACGACCAAATCTATTGCACGTGAGCGTGGCTCCTCCTAAGTCGACAGAGCCTGGCATTCGGACTTGGGAAGATATTCCTGAACAAGATGATACCGCAGCGTCTTCAAATGCATCCCCCGCAGTCTCGTTTGCGGAGGGGGATGACAAAGACGAGGAACCTGCGTCAACGGGCGTTTCTTCTGATAATCTATCTGGATCCGACTCTGATGATGTTGTCTCAGCAGAGGAGGACTTAAAAATTTTCGACATTCTAGCTTCCTCCCTCGGAGATGAAAACGGGGAGTTATGTAGTCCGGACATCGAACAGGAGACGGAGGCGACCATGGAAAGCAAACAGATTTTGGGGGGAGGAGCATGTCAAGAAAGCTCTGGAGGATGCGACATTCTGAGAAAGCCCTGCGGGACTAAGGAGGAAGCGAAAAAGGCTTTTTTCTCAAAGACTTTCCCCTCTCCCTTGTTTCGTCGCGCAGGCCTGGCTGCGCAAGTTGAGGTGTCCAAGAATCCTTTTGACGCTTTAAGAGAGTTAGTGGAACCGGATTCCGAAACAGGTATAGATGATACAAGGGACGCCAACATCACGGAGAGGAACAAAGGCTTTGACGTGCACCAGCAGCGTGCACACGATCCCTTGGACATACCCTTTCAAAATGAGAAAGTGGCGGCCTTCGGCAGTAAATTTGGAACACTTTTTGAAGTCGAGAGAAAACGCGTCCTAGGAACCTCACAGAATCGGCCTGCTAGCGCAAAAGATGGAGGTGTCGTTACGATTTGCGGTGCTGCCAGTGCTAACGATTGGTTACGCAACCGCGAAAAAGAGGCAGACCAGCGTTTGACTAGGAAAAGCTCCGCCTTAGCTGAGCATATGACGTTGTTAAGATCGAAACTGTCGGGTGCTGCTGTGAACCAAGAACAACGAGGTGGAAGGAGCCGTCAAAAAGACGAGTTGGGAACTTTTGAAAAACTATGGCGATTGTCAGGAGGCTGCGGATTGGTCACTTTCGCAGGAAGAACTGCAGTCTCTGCGTCACGAGAAGGTCCTAGATTCGTGCGCAGGTGTGCCAGCGCCTGCAGGACCCGAGTCCGTATCGTCTTTGACAATGTTCGTGACGCCTGTCTGCCCATAATTCGTGAGATGGAGCAGGATTTCCAAACCTCAGATTTGCTTCGCACCCTCGGTGCCCCAGAAGCACTAAAGTACGTGGTCACGGATATTCGCCACCGGATGCGCAGGTGCGGAGTAGACACGTGGCCCAGCAATGACGCTCGGCAAAAGCGAGAAGTTTCGAAAAGCAGCAAGGACGAACCGCATACGCAACGATGCGGCAAGGCTGGCCTCGGAAGTCGTGCGTCGAAGAAGGAGCGGAAGCAGAAATCCTCTGACCCCAAGAAGGCTGACCGTGCTGGTAGCGAAAAATCATCTGGTTTACGGCAGGGTTGCTGCGAAAATAAACAGCTGCATTCTATTTGTCGGACCACAATTGGGGCCATATTTATTGCTATCGGTGTAAACCGTGGCCTCAATAATATGAGCATGGGGATTCGACTTTGGGGTCATCATGATGACATTCGACTAGGTTTGCTTTCCGAGCTTGATGAACCTCCAGATTGTCCTGTAGGCACGATGTATGTCGACTACGATTCCACAACGAATGAGTGGATCTGTCATGGTGCATATCGCGCAGCACCAGAAGATGTTGAGCCATACCATTCCTACCAGCAGAACAAGGATGTACTAGCGGTAAAGCCAGCTGTTATACAAGAATCTGGTGAAGAAGAATCTTGAGATAGCTTTCCCTATCACGACGCGAGAATGTTGATCAGCATTCAAGAACGAGAACATCGTCACACGGATAGAGGTTTGCTAAATTTAAGAAGTCCTGAGGTGTGTGTGGTACGGAACCGGCATTGAATGCTGATTATAATGATGAATATCACTGCCAACCACAACTCACAATTACAAGAACTAGTACTCATGAACAATTTTTAGAAACATCATACATGGACTCAGTCTTTGTTTGCTTGTATGTTTCGAAGCGCTCCAGGAACAAACGCATAACTACAATCATCCCGGCCTTTGTCAGTTATCTTTTCGTTTTCCAGAATGTTTCTCTCTCTTATTTAATTTTGTGGCTATGGTTTACTGGCGTGGGCAGGGTGGCATCTATGTCCTCCTCGTCCGCATATGGTGTACGCGGTGTACTACGAGCCGCTAGTGTGGTTTTCTTGTTTCGTATTCACACTAACAGAATGTTGACAGCCGCATCTTCTCACTCGAGCTCGACTTCTCTTTTCTTTTCTTTTTCTCTTTGTTCTCCTCGAACACTGACCACGTCAACCCTTCTTGCATTTGATGAATGAAACATTTTTTTACATCAAATAACGACGACGAGGCTTTCGGGAAAAGGACACTCCCAAATACACATGGTTGTATACAAATAACGAGACGCCAAGTCATGCTCCAGTAATCAACATACTTAAATGGGACAATGTGTTTCCTCATGAGATGCTCACGAGGTGCGATCATCTTACACAAAAATGAAGGAGGAACGAGAAAAAGGAATGGTGAGATGCTATTTTTATATATAATTAGGTTCATCATCTAGTACATCATCATGATTCTTCTACTTGATTTTTCATCAATCATCTACATCTAGCTTACTGAATGAGGCAGTGAGAGTGAGCTGTTTGTACTAGAGACACACGCTGCATCTGCGACTAACCGGAAGTAAAAATCAAAAGAAAAAGGAAGCTCTCCCCGCGTACCCTTTTTGCGCTCCTCCTGGCTTTCACAGTCTAGTTCTACGTTATAAGTATCCATCAGGCTTTTACTATTACTTTTTCGAGATTGTAGCCCTGGATAGTACAACAGAACAGAGATGGTGATAATGACGGGACGACTGTACACACCCAGTAATGTTTTTTCAAGTTAATGCTATGCTTCGAATGGAAAATAAGAAGAGATGATGATACTAGAGTAGTGGGTTTCGTGTTCGTCGTTCAAGAAGATTTGTGCTGTGTTGACGAGTGTTATCTTCGTATCCTCGATGATGTTGTAAGCAGGATAACACCCGCCTATCTATATCCTCACAGAATTACGCAATTGAGCATCATTTTACTTATACTAAAACGAATATCACCATGTCAACGCCAGCGGGGAATCAGGCAAGGGTGCCGGATGATAGTCTTTGCGGCAAGTGCTTGAAGAAGCTGTCACTCCTCGCACAGGCGCAGAGGTGTCGGTGTGGTCTTGTCTTCTGCGATGCACACCGTCCGGTCGAGCGACACGACTGCCAATTTGATTACAGGCATCACGAGCAAACGCGTTTACGCGACGCCAATCCCCGTGTGACGAAGGCCGCGACCAAGGTCACGACCGACGAGGAGTGGCGGAAAGAGTATTTTCGACATCATCCGCCTCGCAGCGCGTATGCCGCGGGACATACCTTAGGCTTTCTCGTTGTGCTGTACTGCCTCACATACCGCTGGTTCGTCTGCGCGTTGCTTTTTAACGAAGGAGGAAGCAGCACAAGTCCTGGAGGTGGCAGCGAAGGTCTTTTTGCGCATCTACTTCCAGATCCGTCGCAGTGGGGACCCACAGCGCAACCTGGTGCAGGAGCTGCTCGTGATAGTTCCTACAACGGCGAGGATGCAACAGGAGCATCAAGTCGAGTCAATGAGAAGCTTGTAAATTTGTATGATCCCGGAACTTACGCTGACCTCTTTGACGAGGACACCCCCACTGCTTCGACTACGATGAAAACAAGAGCTGCTTCTACTCAATCTGGCTACTTAGCGGGAGGTCCCATAGTGGCCTTCTTTCGCGAATTGCTTTGTGGTTTCTTCTTCGGCTACCTCCTTGCACACGTCGCACCACACTTATACGAAAAGCACGTTCTTGGACGGCTAATCCCGGCGCAACCACTTTGTGGTGGGCAGTGTCGCTACTGTATTTAAGAACAGTTTCCCACTTATGCTCTCATCGTCCCGCGTCCTCGCAGAGTACGTAGTATCTATAGTATGCCCATAATTTATGATTACTTCGTCGGATCTATTCTGTCGCCCTCGGCCTCATAGATTTGCTTGATCCAGTCACATAGGGAATTCCCAAATCATGCCTACGTACTCAATCGGGACGGGTCGATGTTGATGAAAAGTTTGCATACTCTAAAGTATTTTTAGCTGGGATCTCATCTCCGGTCCGCGACGGGCTTTCCTAGCAGAGTATGAAATGGTGAAAGACCACCTCTTATTCCACATCATCACGCAAGGGCGAAGCAACTGTCTCTCGTACCTCTACACGCAAAACGACCGCTCTACAGCGACGATCTACGCAACAGTAAAAAACAAACTATCCGAATTGTATTATGGTGGGAGTATTAATAATAAATAGAGGTGGACCACGCGACCGGGGTTGATCTTCATTCCTACAATTATGCGCCGTTGTAGATCCGGCTTCCGCTCCCTAGGATTGGGTCATGTATTGAGGGGATTGAGATGATTACTTATGATCTTTTTTTAGCCTCGGAAGGAATTTCGAATTATACGATTACGAATTCCTACTCAACAAGGAATGAAGCACTGAAAGTATATGCGGGGACTTTTTGCAGTAAAACCATCTCGGTCTTCGGAGCAGTATGGAAGTTTTTTTTTGTGGATTATGTGTTCCTGGTGCTTGTTGAGTAGAGACGAGTTGCCAACGGCGTCGTGCAGCTCGGTGAAAATGACGGACATTTCTTATATTCACAGCTTGTGTCTCATCAATATGCAAGTCATCGCATCAAACTGTTGAAGTGAGGATCGTGCTTTAACTTCTACAACAATCAACATCTGTTGGCGTTGACCAAGCAGGTAAAAACACGCACCTATCTGTTTCATGAGGATCTACAGATCGATAAAAGTTGCGCGTTGCGCAGAGCGCAAAGAGAGAAGGTAGGACCTAGATCCTGTGTGATGAAAAGATCAGCTGCAGAAAGTGATGACACTGCAATCCTGTTAATGATCTGAGTGAATGTCATCTTGCATCTGTCTCCGAGTGAAAAAAGCCAATCTACTTAGAGGTGGCAGTCGTGCTGAAGCCAGAGGATTATGGATGCCCTGGTGTGTCACATAGTAAGCTGATTACGAGAGAGGCTGTGACTGATCTTGATGTTTTGAGCGAGATAGATCACAAACACATGAGAGCCTTCGAATTTTATCCATGTTGCTCGTACGTGAATGTAACTATTTTGGATAATTATTATGTTGCACAATTTGATACATCCACCCAGATTCATTGTTTTTCTGCTGATTTTTGGTTAAATTCTTTTCTTGTTGGAATTGCCTACGCACGTTAGTCTTGGTACGACCCTCCCCCCGATGAACCCGATGCCCTGGCTGATGTTGAAAGCGACGCTTAGCTGTGCTTAAAGAATAAAGATTTTGAAATTCTTGTTAGAGTCGATTTCGTCTTTTGCAACATCTTCATAAACATATTGCGTTTATTGAACTTGTTATCTTCTTCATCACTATTCAGTGACATCTTGTTGTTTAGGACAGGATGAAGATCGATGTTCGGTGTGAACCTCGTGAGGCGCTTGAGGCCCGAAAAATGCAGGTGCCTGCTCACAGACAAAAAGGTTTCGTTGTCGGACAGCCCATTGGACATGTCAACAAAATGGTGCGGGACTACAAGCACAAGAATTTCCACACAACCGCAGAGAAAGAGCCAGCCTCGCGGCGGTACATTCTCGAATTCTGCTTGTGCCACGTTTATGATTTTAACGTTTCTGGGTAATCACAAGCAAGGTCTTCGATTAACTATGTAGGGGCAGAGCTTGTTCGACGGTGACGGAGTTTCAGCGACTTATGTCGCCGTAATTTTTTACGCAAGATGAACGGAGGAAGTTCAACAACATGAGCTATTATTATAGTCCTCGCACAAGAACGGATTTCGATCTGAGTTTTAATATATGAGTAGATCGTTAATCAATGTCTGTAGAGTCATGGACAACATTTTTAGCTATTTCTATCATGTATTCGAAAAATAATAGGTGGTTGGAGCCTCATGGCAACGCGATAGAGGGTGGAGCAGAAATGACGCAGTTTTTTGTCGAGAAATTGCAAAACGGCTACGAACTTGAGAGAACCCAAGCGCATGGGCCGACAATCATGACTGCAAAGTCCATCGAGTCTCCATGGGATGCGGCAGTAATATTTTCTTATAAGTCAAGTTGTAGATGTTGTAGTTGTAGATCATCTCTATCTCTATCAACATAAACATGTTCTAGACGTACTTTACTTTTTCTGTTTATTCTTCATCGTGGTTGTATTCGGATTTCGGAAGATATTTACATGTGATGAGAAATTTCATCTATTCTCCTTTCAGGTACAAAAGTATTCGCCCGGACTGAAGGGGGACTTCCACGATCCCACTGCCAACAGAGGATACGGACGAACGCCTTCGGGAAATGTCTTTACCAACTTCAGATAAAGCGATGCTTTTCTTGCGCTTTTATGATACGAAGGCGGAGCTGAAATAAGGAAGAGAATTACGGGGCGCAAAACCTACAGCCATAGTCTCGTCCATAAAAAAATCACAGAAATGCAAAGACGTGCTACCAGATGTTAGAGGATGCAGTAGTTTCTTCGATAGTGTAACTGCAGTTGCTTTTGCAACAGTTCTTCGTTCAGAAGTGATAATTAGTCGTGAGCTACAACGAAGTAGTATGAGATGTAAGTGTCAGGACAAGTATGTCAAGAAAAATTACAATTAGTTTTCGAAGAAAATGAAGATGAAAGACGTAGAATTCATTAAAAATATCAACAAAAATAGCGATTAAAGATAGTATTGATGGGAGGCACCCAAGTTAAAAGTCACAGGCAGGTCCTGAGTATCGTGTCAGGTTGTACATTCGAAAGTAAGTACCTGCGAATGCCTCCACTGCTCTTGTTCACGTCTTCTACACAGCCGACGTATAGATTGAATACCAGATGAGATGTAAGTTGTAGAAGATGAACACGAAGTCTAACGTTCACATATCCTTGGCTGTTAGATGCATAGTATATTGACATTCACGCTCACAAATACGGGGCCGGCACTCCTGCATTGCCCAGGCAACAAAACATGTGCTTATACGCGAAGCTTGATTTTGACTGCGCTCTCGACCACACACCATTTCAGAATTGTGCTCCAGACCCATTTGCTGCTGCCAACTCCCATGTTTATTACAGATAGCTCAGCAAAGACAATCTCAAACTCAATCATTCTAGAATCATCTTCCGAGTCCCAGATTCGAACAATACGAAATAGTACAACTGTGGTTTGTTCCACCTCGACGTTTTCATCTGTGTTGAACACACCACGAAACGCAGGACACGCAAAGAGAGGTGGAGGATTGCAATGCAAGAATGAGCGTACGCGGCGACGCTCTTTTTTTTTCATCGCGAAAAGGCACGACCAACAAAATTTTACGAAATGAAACAAGCACTTGAAGTGACTTCAACATCCGAGAGGTTACGGCGGAATGGCGAGTGATGGCTATTCCGGTCCTCGGTACACTAATAAATAGCTAGTTACGATGCATGGCCCTTTCTACCAACCTATTGTAATAGTACTACAACTACATTCGTCGTCTCGCAGCACTAGGTTCGCACCAGTCGAATTATTTGCTGCATAATTTTGTCAGCGATCGCAGCAACATCGAACGAACGAGCTCGCGGGCAACGAGGACGAAAAGTAGTACAGGGACAAATATAGGACTCCGCTGGGTCGTGCGCTGAAGCGAGGAGAAAAAGATGTTACCCAGTGTGGGGGGCGGGAAGCCGCCCCCTCCGGAATCCTCCCAATCAAGCGGAGGAGCGAAGACTAGTGGTGTTGGCAACAATATTAAGGCCACTAGCGCTACAACATCAAAACTTGGTGATCTTCCGGGTTTCTCGACGACGAGCACAGCTGGGAGAAAAGCAAGTTCAACCACACACTTGCCTGCAGTTTCTGCCAGTAGTACAGGCAACGGCGCCATCAAGTCGAGTTCTAGTGCGACAAAAGTTGTGGCCTCTAGTGGTGGAGATGACTTCACAAGTGTCGTTCCTAGAGAAGAAAAGCAGGTACCGGTGTCTCCGACACAAAAGCCAAATAGTGGAAGCTCCCCGAGGCAACGAAATCGAAAAGGAAGTACCAAATGCCAGCTTGAAATAAAGGAGCTTGGAGGTGTCTCGACAGCCGCGACATTATCTTTATCACCTGGGCCGACAGGGGCGGCTGGTCCTGGTACAACTACAGATGGAGAGAAAAATACAGTGGCGAAGCTTGGATCTGGTGAACAAGGCCAGATGAAGAATCCTCCGAATTTGGAATTGGAGGAAAAGGCAGAAGCACGAAGCTCATCTGGCGAAAAACCTATTCCGACTCTCTTGCAAACGCAAAACGATGCGAAGAGCTTAGCGGGTGCTGAGGATATTGATATGGTCGGTCTGAAGAGTTCTTGTAGAGAAGAAGACAAGAATGTGAAAGCCAAGTACGAGGATGACCCGGCGGTCACGACTTCTAGGGATGATAAATCACAGAATCTTTATAGAAATGATCTTCAAGCACAAGCAGCAGACGGTCCAGGCGGAGCGTCGTTTACTGATATATTATCTGGTAATATGGAGGTTGGCTCCTTGCTGCAATCCACGAACGATAACAACGAAAGCAAAGCGCATGATCGCACCAGCGTCGACAGCAACAAGGTCAAGGATGGCAAAATAACGTCACCAACGACACCGTCTTCCGCGATGAATAAACTTACGGATTTCACTAAACTCCACTAATGCTACTAAACTCCACTAATGCTGCAAGTCCATGATTTTGTTGGAATGATATTTACTTACTCTCTTATCTTGTTTTCAGTAGAATAACTCGTATTCAATCGAGTTCTTCGAGACGCTTTCAATTGAAAAAGGGAAATAGTAAAAGGCAGAAGTGCATCGAAAGATGGATTGATCAACATCCTTGAAGGCTGCTCTAACAAACGAGTGAAACTGGCAGATGACGAAAAGGAGGACGAGAACGCCCCCATTGAAGTGCCATTTCACAGAGAAGTGACTCCTGTGGCAAATGCGGTCTCGTCTTCATCAAGATCGGGAACGAGCTCAGCGCTCCTCAATTTATGTCGTCGCTCGGCGTAGTACACATGTGCCTAATACATCAAAAGGGTAGATTGTAGTGGTGATCAGTGAAAAATCGAAATCCTCATTTTCATGATTACATCATGATATCCGTATCTTCCCCAGCCCCGACCGCCCCATAAGCTTAAAAAATACATCAACATCCTCATCCCCTCTGCAACTATGAAGGAGATGTGGCGCTGCTGTGCATTTCATCTTGGTAACCTCTACGTTCTCTCTCGCCCCCTTCATATTCTAGCCTGCAATGCGTGAGCGGTGATGATATGGATGGTATGGGGGGAAGCAGTCGAAGTATTATACGTCCTGGGTCGCCAAGCGAGGACGATTCGTCGAGCGTTCCCGCAACCACCAGTATTTCGTTCTGCGGTGTCGTGCAGTCATCATCCCACGGGGGACAGTCGTCATATTTAAGCCAGCATCGAAAATCGGCAGCAGCGGGCTCTCCAACAGGAATTTTGACGAGCAACAAGCTGCCTTCAGCGTCCGTCTCGCCACCCAGTCGCGTGTCGAAAGTGCAGCTCTCGCCAACGCCCAGCATGATTCCAGCAACAAGACACAGGTCTGATTCAGAATGTATGTATATTAGGGAACGATCGAGTGCTCATCTTGATCTTTTTATCGTCGACGTGACTGTGTTTTCTGCTTTATTCATACCTTGGACATCTTCAGGCTTTAGTTGTACAACTGCAAAACTGATGCTGGAATATGGAGCAAAAGATGTAATTCATGGCCACTCCGATACATCATTATCACAGCATGTCGGCTGCGTATCAAACAGATCATAGTGGAAGCATAAAGTTTGCAGGAGGAGGCAGAAAAAGTGTGCGTGAAGCAAAAAGGAAAACCATTTATGAAGGGTCTAGAAAAAATTATATGTAACACGTGCTGGGAGCTCTGGGCTGCAAGTGGTGCTCATGGCCCAGAGCCCTGACCACATGCACATCCCTCATTCTCATCGCTTAACATAAAGAATTACTACCATTAACTTCCTCCTCCTCACTCCAGTGTGTGCGTTTATGATTAGCTTATTTAACTGCGGGGTTTGTGAAGTTAATCGACCTACAATCTAATCCAATCATCATTATATATAAATAAGTAATTTGATTTTAAAGTAGGTACGCATTCGCGCAGGGAACCAAATTGCAAACTATTCTAGTGTGCATAAGTGTTTGCTAACGATGCTTTGTCGCTCTTCTTCTAGCTTCATACAATCAGTGGCGCCTCTTCAGACGTGAAGGATATGCTTTCGGCACCGACAAAGAAACATAAGCAGAGTGTCGTAGTCCAGCTTGACCATGCTGTGCAGTTGGTCGATTTAGAAGAAAAGGACATTCAAATGTGCGACCTTGTCAGAGATCAAGAAAGGTATCTCTCTCTAAGTGTAATGCTAATGGTTGTAGTATGCTGTATTTAATTGCGTAGTTGCCGTCGTGCTGCTCCACGTACTACAGATCGACTAAGTAAAAGAAAAGATTTTTTCTCCGACTTTGACATCTTCAAGTACGAACAACACAAAACAATTTATTGCTCAGGCGCACGCAGCTTCTCGCGGTGTGTCCTGGCTTAAAACAGACGCTGGAGCATGTAGAGCAGGGTCTCGAGCACACGATCGAGTCCGCTGTTCGTGTGGCGGAATTGCGACCGCAATTAATCAATTGGCTAGTGCATATGATCAATAGGGTTGCGGGAAATGAGGTATTAACGCTGAGTCTTTGATACTAGATTCAGTCACTTTCTACGACTTATATTTGATGAAGTAAATTCAATTTCAACATCAACTTCCTCGTGAAGTATTGGCGCTCAATACGAATGGTCAACAAATAGTCTCCCCAAGTCTCGAAATTCATTGATCAGGGTAACGAACGTAGTGCCTTAGACTCAAATGAGTCTAGTTTAATCCGACGGAGCAAGCTGCTCCTCGGGCGTGAGCGGTATGACAACCCCGCCCTCCCCCGTCCTTCAGTCTAGCTTCAGGGTTTTCATGATAGGCGTTAGTCATCTTCGTGACTCGCTTTTAATACCATAGCTACTTCATCCCCTTTCACTAGCCTTTTATATGGTCCGAAAGTATGGATTAGCCATAGCCTCTTGTGTAAAGTTCGTGGTATAGGTCCTTGTTCGCGGCTGCAGCCTTAGCTAACTTGGCTTATCCAAGTAGTTGGCCATGCTAGTATGCAAATCTTCCTTTGATGAGGTTGCGGTCTACTCTTTCTGACGAGTAGAGCTTGTAAACAGGGTCGTAGATACTAAACAGGCCTTTGTGCCGTTTTCCCAGGATCTAGTTGTGCTCTTGATCGGTGAATATTGGGACTTTTATGAAGGCTGGCCAGGTTCTTTGGCCATAAATATTATTCAAGTTCAAACTGTTCTTATTTGTTATGACTGGCGTCTTTTTTTTGTTTCTCCTGAAGCTGTAGCTGCTTTCGGTGGATACTAGATTATGGAACGTCCGATGGCCGTGGGGAGTCAAGAACGTGCGCGTAGTAAATATCAGGTAACTCAGCCTGGACGATTTCTCTCGCACAACCATGGCGGCCGAAATTCAACAGTGTCGGACCTGGCTTCTGATTATTCCGATTCGGTGCCTTCCGAACTAGACCTCTTCGAAGACCGCGAAAGAATGAGCCGTGTCGAGAAAATGCTGCCGTCAGTTTTATGGTCCGTGACATCTATGAGTAAGTACTGACCTATCAGTATGACACCTCATACTGAGTTGAACATGTAGTAGTACCACGGGTTGAACATGTACATGATTAAAACTGAGTGGTCTATTCGAAACTTCTACACTTCTACTTCACAAATGGGAGACTGTTGTTGCTTCACTTTGATGATCATTCTGTACTTTTACAACATCTACTACAAAAACAACTACAACGTGGTGCTGCCCCTATTTTTCGTTGCTTCTATCTTCTCTGCTTCATTCTTCCGTTCTGTGCATGAGGAGTTGCGGCGGAAGAGCAGCACGAGGCGGGAAACCGCAACGAAGTTAGTTGAATTTCATGTATTACTGCGCACTTGGGTCGGCGACATGCTGGAGCGCCTTGTACAGGAACGGGAGAATCTCGCGGCGACGTGATGAAAAATAGTCGACAGAACGAAGCCAATTTGATGATTACGATCGGAAGTAGAAGTAGACCTTGTTGATGAAGGAGATAGACTTGGACATTGTGAAATTGAATGGGGATAAACGGCGAACGAGCTTCTCGTCCGACACTTGCTGCTGCGTCTGATTTGTCCTGGTGCAGGTACGAACATATTTTCCGAAAAACTACTTCTCCTTCTAACTATTAACGCGTGTCAGCAGCACTCAGTAAAGTTCGACCTCGAATCAAATTTATATAAAGCAAAAAAAATGTAAATGGCGACTCTCTTGTATAGTGCGCTCTATACTCGTACCTCTTGCGGTAGGAGTAAGTTCTGAATTCTAGGCTCAGAAAGATTGTGTTTGTTTGAGAAGATATAGCGTCCTTTTGTCTTCCACGTCGGTCCACCTCATTATAGTAAATATCACGCATTTCATCTTCTCTGTAAATCATCGGAAGATGAGTAGATGAAGTAGAACTTAACGCTAACGAAGAACTCTAGTTGTTTTTCTTCGTCGAGTTTATTTCAAGTCCAGTAAAACAAGCAAGCAAATGCAATGAAAACGAAAAAGTCGCTTTGTGAAATTATAAGAAGTCAAAGTCAAATTTCGGAAAGCTAAAGTATGCGTCAAAGTCATTTCGTTAAAAAGAAGACAAACTTTAGTTGACCGACACTGAGATGGAGTTGCAAATCGTGGTATCTAAGAAGTAAATTTTGTGCAGACCAACAAGGCCATCTGGGCAGCTACTAGCAGTTGATTTACTTAGCTCTAATAGACTAGCGATGTTGTCGAAGCACAAGAAGAGGATCATTATCTATCATTTAATGTATGAATAGTTCTGGTACTGGTTGTAGGTTGTACCGACTCGACGTCATCTAGTGGTTTGATAATCGCAGCTTAGTTTTAGCATTGATGTAAAGACGTCATTTTTCATCGATGGGCTCACCATGTGCTGCAGTATCTAATATGTCATGCTTGTCAAACACATTGATTCTACAGCGTAAAAGTATGCTCATACTTGTGCCGCGCTTTATTTATTCCTACGTCGATTCGTTTTCGTCCTCTGAGAATCTAATCATTGGACGTGATCAGAAACGCTCTCAGCTTCCAGCCTCTGCATGATAGATCAATATGAAGAGCGAATACTAGTAGCGGGCTTTCCTTTTTGTTTTTCGATGCTCTCCCCTTGTTGTCGAATACAGCTAAAGTTACTTGGATATTCCGACCTGACAAGGACAATAATTCTGACAAACAGGGGTTATGGTTATGCGGAGCAGAGTAGTACGTCAGAGCGAGGCTTTTCGTTTTCGCTTTGCGCAGGTTGCAAGGACCTCTGCATGTCGCTGTCTGGTCTTCAGAGGGACCTGATTCGGTCGTGAGAAAAGTCGCACTTCAACAAGCTGTTCGGTTTACTCTTTCGGTGCAACTATCATCATGAGTCAATTCGTGATGTGTCAAATAAACCAGCGTCCGGCGCGAACACTTCCCTGGTTATGCTGATCTCCTCGTCCTCCTCCATCGGGCGACGCGGGTGTCCCAAAGGGATAGCTCGGTCCCAATCCTCTTCACCCCTCCAGACGCTTGTGTACTCTTTGAGAACCTCTGACATCATCGGAAAATGTGGACTACGGACTCTCTTCTTCGCTGACTCCACTTATATACTTACTTGTTCAGGAGTCGCGGCCGTGTTGAAACAAAAGCAAGAAGGATCGAAAGTAGTAAGTACTTTCTCTCCTCTTTGATTCGTACGAACAGCTACCGGTTCACAAGGTGACGAACTTTTATCCTAGGGGTTGGTAGAGGTATTATTTGCACATAGTTGCACAAGCACATTGTTTTTTACAACATCATACATAGGAGAAGGAACCAGTTGAGACCACCGTGCCCTAACAAGACGAGTCTACGTTTGTGCCGTCCACGCTGCACTTGTAGTCAGTGAACATCAAGGGGAAGATGTTGAGTCTCTCAGCAGCGCCGTCCAAATGGCGAAGACTAGTGCGGGACTTAGACCAGGGGATGGAGAGTACCTGGCTTCTACATGCCCTGCAACAGTACCTCGTCGAACATGGTCCCGGCATTCTCTACCACGCAGAAGAGCATATGGACCGCAACTTGGCGCACTTAGCTGCAAAAGCCGGAGACCGATGCTTGGACCTTTTCAAGTTTCTCCTCGACCACGCGCCACGCATGTGCTTCAAGAGTCGGGATAAGTACGGCCAAACGCCTCTTATGTTCGCTCTGGAGAGCGGAGGACTTCGTATCGCGTGCCTGCTGCTTCAGCGGCAAGCTGAGATCAATGGCGGATGGTTGAACGAGTCCCTGGTGCTACAGAAGCAAACGCAGGACATCGAATACGACTTCTTTGCATTTCCGATGATGTACGCAGAGGCGCCAGGTGGCTTTCGCTATGACTTTCAGACACCAGTCCTCGAGGTCAGGGCAGAAGAAATGCAAAATGCTGGTGTGCGTGCTGTGGATGCGGCAGAAGCAGTCGCAGCGGGATTCGCCTCGCCCCGATACGCCGCAACCATTGCGAAAGTCAAAGAAGAGGAGATGGAGAGGCAGAAACAAAGAGTATTTTTTCAAGAACATCGTCTTCTTAGTCTTTCACAAGGATGAATGCGCTTTGATTTTTCACTAGATTGATGATGCGTCGCCAAACAAGAATTTGTTCGTATCAGAAGATCAAAGTTCGTCTCCTCGATGAGGATGGTGACATCAAATGCAAGGAGAGAAATATGTCCACGTGGTCCACTTGTGATTATCTCGTCAATGTTTTCTAGCGGTGCTAGTGTCCTCAAAAGCCAACACTTCAACACGTCCTTCAATTTCTTCAGCTCGCATTGAAGATAGCAGGCGAGTCGGATTGGAAGAATGGTGTGGACGAGCGACCACCGGAGCCGCCACCGCCGCGCATGTACAAGCCCATAGAGGACAATCCTGATCTGCAGATTTACACACCCAACCCGAGGCCGCTGACTCCCGCGGGTAGGCCGCGGCCAGAACTCGCGAAGCGCGTGAAGAATTTGCATTTGGCGTGGGAACCCCAGAACATCGTCGACACGACGAGGGTTTCGGTTACCACGACGACGCCGCGCGGTCGCGTTGTGACGAGAAACGACCCTTTTTACTGGAATGCGACGTTGAAATTGGGGATGTTCGCAGACGAAAGCGAAGTCTTCAAAGATTTCTCGCAGGTGGTGGTGGAAGAAGCAGTCGTGCGAGTTAAAAAACCGAAGAAAAAGAAGAAAAAGCGGCCAAACCAGTGGAGCATGGGAAGCATGGGAGAATTCGCGGGCAAGAATGTGAAGCCAGTAGGCATGCCAGATTCGGAGCGAGCTCGAAGTTTTGCGGCGAATCGACGTGGGGCGAGCATTGGGGCCTCCAGTGGTGGGAGTGGTAGTCGAAGTCCATCGCCTCCTGGAGGCGGCCCGCCACCGATGATGGGAGGAGGCTCCAGTGGAGTGCTAGCGAAAGCAGGCGTTAAGGCCAAGAAGAACGAGTTGTTCGTGCTCTTTGTTCTACTCTTGTCAATAAAGTAAAAGTGGAACTGCAACTAGCTCTCTTTCTTCATGTCGAGCTCGAGGTCGAAGTCGATCCTTCTCCTCCTCGTGCTTGTTGTAGCCTCTCCATTAAATATAAGATACAAGGCTTGTGATGTGCTGGATCATTACTGATAGATATGCTTTTTAGCACTACTAGGTCTAAATAGAGAAGTGGCGGCTTATCGGTAAGTGGGGAGCAGTCGACGTCTCCGCGGCAAGGCAGTAAGAACAATAGCAGCACTTCGACGAGTGGCAAGAATACGAATTCTACGTCATCCTCGTTCAACGCGGCAGTGAAATTACCTGGGCTAATCGATCCGCCGATAACGCAAGACGTCGACGAACAGGGACGCGACGCGATCTGGTACGCAGTGAAGAATAAAAGATACCGCGTTACCAAGTTCTTGATGAAGGAACCCCGTGTCACCAGCAATATGGAGCTTTTTCGCCTAGCCTGCAAAATCGGTTGTCGCATTGGTACGCGGTTGCTAATTGACGCTATAGAGCGGCAGAACAACAGCCAACAGGCGATGAAGTTGACGGCTTCTCCTGGACGTAGTGGAGGAGCCCCTGCTGCAATTCTTGGCCCGCAAGACCAGACACAAGCAGGCGAATTGTCCACTTCTCAGTCTTCGATGTCTCAGCATTAAGAAGAGCTTCTCAAGTTTTTCCTCCCTCACATATTGATAGATTATACGTCCAAGTGGTGCAGTAGATGGTGCCCCTGTTGCTATAATATCAACTTTAGACTTGATCTTGAACAACTACGACTCGATATTGATAATTTCAAGGGGAACAACAACCAACCCGTCGCGTCGTTGGCATGATTTTGATCCCTGAGAACCATGTCATTGTTGAATATGAGTAGATAGCGAGGAGACCCTTTTTCATTTTCTTACCTTGCTCTAATGTCAGCAGCAACTGATCCCGATTGAGTGTTTGCACGACTGCGCGAAGTCTCAGGACGTGAAGGCGTGCAAGCTTCTTCTAGATCGCAAGTGCTTCGTTGACAGTAGGTACGGAACTCTCAACGACACGCCGCTGATGGTTGCGTGTCGGCGTAGTGACAAGCGCATGGTTGAGCTGCTGTTGCAGTACGGCGCGGACGTGACCCTGAAGAATAATCTGAACTGCAGCGTCGACAAGATCGCTTTTGAGCAGTTTGCAGAGGCAAATCGCTTCGAAAACCGTCTCACGAATAACGAGCAACTTCTAGTGACGTGCAAAGAGATTTGCATTGCGATCCGCAAGCGAGCAGCGGAACTGGAAGGCAAAATCTACATCATTGTAGACGACCGGAGTCTGGACTACATGGGGGGCAATGAAAAAAGACTCAAGGCAGCAGATCACAACCTGCCGCAGGATATCGCATCTATTATGCCCCCGCTCTCATTCCAAATTGCATTCTCCATTAGTACCATTACCATCTCGTACTTCTTCTTGTTGGTTTGTATTTTCTTCTTTAAGACGGATTCATCAAGAAGTTAGTACCTGATGTGCGAGAATGCAGCAAGTAGAGAAGTCAGTCGTGTACTGAATATCCTCTAATTCTGGCCGCAAGAACAGTCGGTCGCCATCGCCAGTTACAATTAAGAAAAAATGATGGATCTCATAGACTTCTCAGTGGAGTTAGAGAAAGAGTTGTCAGACCGTCAGACCTGCTCATGTTGATAAAAACTATTGCAACTTACCACGAATAACAAAAAATGAAAACGTCAAGTATTTAAATGTAGAAAAACTCGTAAAACGAGTGCATTCATTCTCTCAACTACCGCTACTTGCTTACTCGAAGAACAATACTAAAGTTCTAACATGCATATCGCGAAAGGGGGTACGGGAATACCTGGATCACCGAGTCAGCATTCAGCAACAGCATACGAGCTTGCGAGTCAGCCAGATTCAGAATCAACATACACAGCCATGGTCGGTTCCGGGAAGAAGAAGAGTAAGAATAAAAACAAGTAAAATCGTCCACGTCGTGGCTGGTTATTTATTTATTTTGGTCGTGGTTAGTTCTGGTCCTCGTTTTATTTTGTTGAATTTACTTGTCACCTATTTCACGCTGTGCATTCGCATACCATATCTTCTATCACTCTCTTCACTCGCATCATCTAACTCGATTGGGGGGAAGGGTTACTTTCCTTTTTCTTTGTTCATTGCTCATAATACAATTTGGCATTGGCTGTCTACCTAACCTAACCAATTGCATTTCGTGAATCGTGAATCGTCGGCGTCAAAGAAGCAGTGCTCAACACCGGGCGTGGACACATCATGTCATGAGGCGCATACTGCAGCTGCACCATATAACAAATGAATCATGCCCGCTTATTGTGTGCAAGAAGAGCAACCGGATCACGATTCATAAAAATACAAGTCAGCCATACCGACTTTCTCATTTTTCGTGAAGTGCCACTTGTACCATCAAGATTCAAGCATGCAGGTTACCTGCTCATACATCAGACCTACTGTTCGAACTATTTTTCATGCTGGCGTGTGGTGCACGAAGATAGTGTTTTGCATTGTCTTTGACGCTCTATCACGGAGTAACAAAAAGAATCGATCGGTTCACATGCAGTTTCGGGCAGTCTGTCTATCGGCGATGCTGGTGATCCTGCCCGAGTGAAAGATGAGACTGTCTGAGTAGACCAAACGCTCTTAGGCATACTGGATGTGGTGCTGATACAAAAGTAGATTGTATCCTACTCCTCCTGTCTTTTGCATAAGGCAGACCCGTTCACGTAGAACTACAAGGCCACCTGATGGAAAATAAATATATAGCTTCTATGCGAAATATGAAAACTTGGATCCTGCTCAAAGCAGTACTTTTGCCAATGTTTTGATTTATATTCTGCAATGTTGATTGTGTACAATAAAGGATAAGCCTGCTGCTGCTTTCAAATATCTGTATGCACAAGCATCGCTCGTGGTAGAGAAATTCGCGATCAGCGCGTGGTCAATTCTCAGTTGTAAGTGTACGGATAGTATGTAATATCTCTACCTCCCGCTCGGCGCTCCCCAGTGCGCTGCTATGTGTACACTTGTAGTATCTTCGTACTAGTAATTATGTGACGAGTATCTTCTCCATCTCCATCGATATTCGCCTTCATTAGGTGTTGAGCATCAAATTATACGCGAAGATGCAGTTTTTTTCGAAGACGCAGGATTACAGCCGCGTGTTGCGTGGCGCATTTCTCTTCCTCAACCTTGCTGTAGCCATTTTCGCCACTTACCAGCTGGGCGATTATTTGACACCACAGGTGCTGAAGCAACTCAAGGACAGCGTCGACTCCTTCATCAGCAATTCACCTGTGAGATCAAGGTTAAGGAAAAGGTGGCTTGATGTTCCAAAAATACAGAGGGGGTTCACAAAGACGAGATATCTATCTTCAAGAGCATATTGCATCATGCTTCGAATTTTTAGAAAACGGTAAAATAATGCTTCTAACGAACACTTATTGGTCGAAAACATCATGCTCACCACGACAGTGAAAGTGATGATGGTTATATATAAATATGATTTTTTCTTGGTACTAAAAGAAGTCCTGCTTCTGCTTCTTCTTTGCTTCTTCTAAGACAAGCAGGCTTTGTCGCGTTAATGACATTTATCGTCGGGTTCAACGTACCAGGAGCTACATTTATGGCATTATGCTCTGGCGTATTCTTCTCTCAGCCTTTCGCGACCGTGGCTGCTTTCTCTGGCTACACGATCGGCGCCCTCATCAACTACACGGCTTGGAGACTTGTGTTTGGCGATGCAGTACGAGGGTACCTAACTACCCTAAAAGTCGTACATCAAGTGTTCGATTCATGACTTGGATAAGTCTTGTCTAAATCTAAAAGGAACGATTTTTGTCTAAGTCTGAGACGCTCGTAACTAAAACGAAAACTTCATAAGCTTAAGCTGAATTTACCACGACCTTCATCAGATATTTGGCAAAAGCTAGTGGCCAGTTTCGAAGATTTGAAGATGGTCTGAAGAAGGCCGAAAACTTCTGGGAGACTGTCGCCTTCCTCATATTCATCCGATACGTGGCCTTCTTTCCGTTTTGGTATTTTCTACTGCTTGGACTTATTGTTATTCTTGTTCTTTGCAGATATACATCGAAACCCAAAACCTTTCTCATTCTGGAAATGATCGACCTCGAGGACGAACCACTTCAATCACTATTTACGCGTGCAGCATAATATCTCCTTGTTGATCGTTATCTTCAGGCTCGTCAATGCTGCCTGTGCCGCTCTTTCCGTGAAGTTTGGTACGTTCCTGTTTACGACTGCGTTTTCAACAGTCCCTGGCGCGATACTGTATTCTATGATGGGTCGCGTATTTGTGGAGTCCGCTTTGTATACAGTCACAACCGAAACTGATACTAGCACACTGCTGCGATCTCTGCTTTGGCGACTGCTGTTCGAGGATGAAAGCGCTCGAGGTGTCGCAGCAATGCTACTCTTCTGCATCAGCTTTCCAGCTCTATTGCAGCTCCCGAAATTTCTCGCAAGACCAACTGGAATGACTAGCGATGGGACTCGTCCTTCCACTGCAAAAAATAGAAGTAAAAGTAGAAATAACAACAATCGGGACAAAAGTACAACTAGTATTACTAAAAGACCAAAGATACAGATGAACACGCAGCAGACCACTGGCAATGCAGAAGATCATGAGAAAGAAGATAAGGAACGACTTCAGTCGAGCGCATCAAGTAGAACGAGACGTGGAAAAAGCGGAAAGCTCAGAAACAGAAATGCTAGTGTCAAACCATCTTCGGCTAACAAAAGACAGAGAAAAGTACAACAAAACCAAACATAATATGATGATGCCCCCTGGTTGTCGAACAGCATCACAGCGCTCTGTACTCGCATCTGCTGACTCCACGCGCTGTTCCTGGTACCTCCCCGGCTTTCGCACGCACCCCTCCTTCGAACCGTGTGTACGGATCTACCCTGCCTGCACCCATTTTTTCACTCTCTATTTTATCATGAGAACAGGACATTGCCCCACTAACAAGGCCGTCATTCTTTATTTTCGGTTTCCCCATTCACCGAATAGAGATTGATGATTTCCATGACTTTTCTCTACATCACCGTCTTCAAATAGACGGTGTATTTCACCCTGTTCTTGTTGTTCTTTACGAGAAGAACGAAGTACGTACTAGAAGATCACCGTCAAAGTAGAACTAAGGATAGGTTAAAGGCGTTCAGGTTGCCGCTTGTTTTGCCGCTCTTAAGGGAGAGAGGCATAACGATAACAAACGGGCGAAGCGAATACCAAAAACCTACCTCTACTAGAGAATGCTCATCGGCGCGTATCTATGATTTTGTTCGTATGATATTGATGTGGATGTGATTGAGAAACAACGAGCAATTAATATACCAATATATAAATATATCAACAATCGCTTGATAGAGATCAGATTGATGGTTTTGTTCGTCCTCGGGGAGCATCGTTTCATCGTCTTTGTTATCGGTCGTGCGATCAATTCCTAGACATCATTCGTGTAGGTGTGGGGCGCTTTTCTTGAGGTCGATTCGTGTTCGGACACATCATGGTGCACAGTCTTTTAAAACTAATAAGAACAAGCCGCTTAGCGGGGACACGGATCAATACATACGAGCGTCCTATTTTTCGTCTAAACATGTTGTGGAGAGTTGTATGGATCAACTGTAGTAGTTCGCAGGTTTTTCTGTAACTCTCTTTGATGTCCTCAAGGCTCCACATCTTTACCTTCCTCAGGTCTATAGTATAACTTTGTTATTCGAACAACGAGATGATCTTCTTGTTCAATAACCATATTAAATGATGAATCATCATCATCATGAAGACTACTGTGGATCTTGTGATATCATTGTTTTTTTGATCCAATCTCATGATCAACAAGTGTAAAAGATTTTCTCATCATTTTCCTCGTTTTGGAAATAAATCGCTTTGTGAGAGGACGCGTTCGTTTCGTGTGCCCCTCCATATCGTTCTCGTCGTGTAGCTCGTCAAAGTCGTGTGATTAGAAAGTATGCATATTATTCATGACGAGCGTTGCTTAACTACACCACCCCCAGGGCGCAGGTTTTTTCTTCGATGATAGACCGGCTGATGGAGTTTGATATTGATATTGACTGCTTCTTTTGTTGTAGTTTTGAAACAAGTTGACATGTGAAGTGAGTACCTTTTCAGTCGTGCTGTCCCTCTGGTGGTGCTACAAAACACGAGCAAAATTACCTCCCATCACACCGTAGTGGTAGGTAATATCAATGTTTATGTTCGACGCCATCGAACATCATCACGAATATTGTAATTGCTCCTTGATTTTGCTCCACTTTCCCTTCTTCTACTTTGTACTACGTAGACGTAATCAAAACCATTTTCTTCATTTTTTTGAGATTGAAGATAAATAATTTCTCCTTTGTTCTTTTAGAAGTCACTCGTCGTCGTCGGAGGTTCATCATCATCCAGGTCATAAAAATGATAGTTGGTTGGGTCGTCGGCGCCTTAGGCTCGCTATTTGGGAGCACGTTACTCCCTGCGAGCCTCGGGTCTCTGGGTGGCAGTCAAGCACCCAACGAAGGCGTCATACTGCATCGTCAGGCGTGCAGCAGTGCGACATCAGAACGGAGCTTTTCCTGGAGGTCCTTGAGTCCCAGTGCTTCTTCTGCCAGAGGCAAAATAACGAGTACAAGTCCGAATTTATCCTCGTCCTCATCGTCGACGTCGTCTCCAAAAGCGGGAACGAAGAGTGCAGGACCAACTGGTGAGGGGACTAGCACAAAGGACTCATCTACTCCAGGAGCTGCAGCTCTTGCGGAACAAGGACTAGATGAATCATCAACTACTACAAATAGAGGACAACTCCAAGAACAACGGGGGCAGAACAATACAACTACACCTTCGACTTCTTCTAGTACAAAAGACGACGCCAAACCACCTGCGACGTACGTAACTAATGAGGAGAAACATATTGCAGTGGAGCAGTCGGAAATTGAGAAACATTTTTACATGGAGGACGTAGAACCAGGAAGCATTCTGAGGGCAAAGGACGCAGCAATGGTTGAGGTACTCAGTCCGTTAATGTGTGACGAGTTGGTTGTACAATGTATGATCCATACTTCATCCGGACTCATCATTCAGTTCTTTTATCTACTCGTGCCAGGTTCTTATTCTTGTAAAACTTGTGATCAGCACTCAGCAGCAAAGAACAAAATCAACGTCATCTACATGCATATCTATGCATTGAATTCCCGAAAATTTTTCTTAGGTTGCTGGCTTTCCATTAATCGGTGAACAACGAGTCGCCTCTACCGGGAGCGGGATTGTGCGCTTTCAGGGTAACTGTTATGTGGACCAAAACGACATGGATCCGACTTGGAGGGCTGTTAAGCTCTCAAAGCTCCCAGAGGGATTTCGGCTTTTCATCAATCCCCGATCGGTGCCACGCGAACGACCTGTGCCGGCACACAAAGGGATGTCTGCAGGCGAAGGAGCGGGCGAGATACTCCGGATCGCGCCAGAATTATTCGTTCACCCGATTACAGACGAACATTACGTCATCGTGCAGATCAAAGAACGTACTTCCTACTTCTTAGAGTTAGAAATTATTGATAGATCTACCTTGTTTTTCCCACACTCACAAGAACTGAGTCACAGTAGTTTTTCTTTTTTATATGATCTTTGTGGCTGCCGGCCTGTTTAGGGCTTTTCTTACATGGTCATTTCCGAATTATAGACTTGCTTAGATTAGATCATCATCGTGCTTCTCCTGTTCCTCGTGGTGCTGCCAACATTGATTTTATCCCGCTCATACGACAATCCCAGCACAATCTCTCCTCCACAATCAGCTTCGGCATGGGAAGAACTGAGTCGATACATGAGCTTCAAAGTTGTGCTTTTGGGAGATACTACGAGGTTGATTCTGATGGGAGCTCTCACAATCAGCGGCATTGCTGCATTTGGGGGCGGGAACGATGAACAGTGAGCTTCTAAGCCTTGGCGATGAAAAATTAGATCATACCATCTAATTAAATGGAGGAGGTCATTGACATAGACAACGTGAGTGATTTTCCTCATATAAGTAATTAAGCAGAACTAGGTGAAACATCATCACGAAGATCAACACCATGAGGATGAGACGGTAAGATTAACGCATGTGGGGATGAGTTGAACATTCAATCCTGTCTTGTTGTTTTTCATACTTCCGTCTAGTCTAAGGTCTTGTTGCTCGTAGGAGTTCTCGTTCTTCGTCCCCTTCCCAAAATTAGTGATTGTCTGCGCATCCTCAAGCTGTACCAAATTTCATTATCTATTTGCTCTACTGCTCCCAAGTTCCGTCTCCATGATGGAGACTCATCCACCATCTTCTAGCAGAAGATGAATCGCCCTCCTCGACAACGTGAGCATGCCCCTCAGCGCCGGAGATACTGCACGTCAAGGCCTTCTTCTCCAACAGCGACCCTCTCCCCCAGCTCTTGCTTTCGTCTATTTGTCTTCCTGAAAAAAGAGAAGCAAGAACAAGATGCTTGTTTCCCAAGGGTTGAAGAGCATAATTTTAATTATTGCTTTTTTTTACCTTTTCTTGGTTGCCCGCAACGGGACACGTGACACATGTACAGAAGTACTGGCAGCTTTCTTTTGAAGGGGAAGAGAGGCAGTCGAAGTGCTAGTAAAAACGCCACTACACGACTTGCCTTTCTTCAGCCTGGCTACTACAACAACAGAATGGGCGAATCATGACTGTTCACTTTCAGAGGCTTATGGGCTCACTACACAAGAAACATCACGATCACGTGCACAGATAACATAAGCCAGATAACGTAGTCCATGATATCTCAAATTTTTTGAAGATTGGTTTGAATGTTGTACTCCTCACCAGCAAAAGAACTTGGCCAACACTCATGTCTTGTCCTCCACACTCAAGGCCGTACATGATTCTGCTTGCAGATTTTCATACTACACTTTCCCCGCTAACCTCAATTCTTTCACGTGAGCTCCTCATTTATTCTTTCGTACACATTACCTTCACACATCACCATCCACCATGTCATGATTCCACTCATATGAGCACCCTTCAAGTGCGCATACAAGTAAGTATCTAGAAAAAGAAATATCACGAACAACTAAGACTGAACTGTATAACCCTCCAACCTGCGGATTGCAACCCTACCTCACCGACCTAAACTTATCCATCTAAAATTGTTACTTGCTTCAACATCTACTGATGCAAAGATAAATGCCCTACAGACCACCGTATGTATAAATATGATTGAAGATGAACAAAAAGTAAAAGATTTATTCTACTGTCAGGTTGTGATGAAGGAGATTGAAAAATAAAATCGCTTCCCTGCGTTATGGTTATCCCCGAAATCATGAAACCCAAGACTCCACGAAATTTCTAAGAACCTTGAGCGCTAACAAATTGCTGAATTGATGATCAAAACCACATCCAGCATGATTATGTGTTGTAGGTCTTTTCACTTTAATATTGAAGATCTTCATCGTCAATGTGTTGATTCCGATCCTTTTATTCTGAGTACTAGGGGGTTTCGTAAAATCTTTCTCGTAGTTGCCGTAGCTGCGGAGTCCTTGGATGACGTGAGAGCGCATTATTATGGTCGGTCTCTGTTGTCTCGGCATGATCTTGGAGATCTAGATAACGGAGCAAGAGGACTAATAAGTAGAGGGTTCGAGTGATCATGAGCGCGTCTAGAGGTCTTATTCTTTGCGTTGTTACGGACGATCTACCCCGCGGCGGATGTTGACTAGTCAATGGATGGCCACGACATCGCCACCTGCGCAATGAAGATAAAGACTGGCTTGGCGACCAGCAGATTGTAGTGGCATCCGATGGAATCGCCACACAGCCTCTGTGGCAGGCGGAGTTTCTTATTACGGCGGCTGCTCGGAGGTAAATCTAAATAAGCAAGCAGACGAGTATGCGGGATTCTTGAAACACGAGCGATTCAGCGCGCGAGTGAAGCACGCCAAGCACCACCTACTTTGAATTTCCCGCACAAAAATGGCGAGCACATCAAGATTGCGCGCTCGAGTAGCAGCTCAAAGAACATGGATAGTGCCGGCAGCTACACCATCGTTTGGCTTTCTCTTCCTGTTTGTGTTCCGCGTATTTGTGCAAAATGTACACGCATTTTCGTATATGCCGAAGCAGTTCTGGGGTATCACGGACCGCGAGTTGCTGACGAATGCGTCAGCCACACACTACGGCGTACTGGTAAATCTCGATGGCTTTCTTTGTGTCGATGGGACTGATACGTGGTCAAGATGGAAACACCGAAACACCGACATAAAATCCGGTGAAGAATGTGAGCATACTTGCCTACTGCATCTGGGTTGCGAGGTTTGGCAGTTTATGCTGGATGAAGTTTTTTCTCATTGCCTCATGATCTACACCTTATATACTTCTTGAAAATGGAATGTATGAGTTATAGTTCTTCTACTTCTTTCATCTAGTTCCCGATTGTAGATAAGATTTCGAGGAGTAGACAAGAAAAAGAGTGCCGAAATTCTTGGTCTAGATACTGAAGAGGAAAGATGGTGAAAATCTCTCTTCATATATCGGGATCGCGTTGAGAAGCGATGTTACAGCGGGTCGCCACAGATAGGGACTGGGAAAAGCGAGAAGGTCCGCATTTCCTTGTCTACGGCCATCAGGATGGGCATCGTTCCTCGAGCTGCAAGACAAAAACTGGAACAGCTAAACCGAAACGCAAATATGAAGCTCCTTGTGTTTGAGGAAGAACAACAACGAGAACGGACACTGTCAGAGGACACTCTCGCAGGAGGTGGCAGTAGGGATGCGCTTTTTGCTCCAGTGGCAGAAGCTCTTATGCAAGTGAGCGGAGGGCGAGCAGAATTATGGCGTGAGCCTGGGCGCATGGGTGGTGATGGTTCGGACGAGCATCCGAAAGGAAAACATCAAGTCGAGCATGATGAGGTGGATGACCAGAAAAGAGGAGCAAAGAATAATCCTGATCAATATTACAGATCGAACATCAAACATAATCTCGAACTCGATGAGGAGATCCTTTTAGTCGTGGATTCGGCGGATGTGGTGCACCAAGATGCTGCACATAATGCGAAATACAGTGAGTCAGAGGAACAGCGCCGTGACTTGGTGTCTCGTGGAGCTGAGCCAAATCCAGCCGCAGCTTGCATGCGAGGGCCAGCACGAAATGCGACAGGACGCGATCGCGCAATCGTTGGAGCCCGAACGAGAATGACCTACTTAAGACAAACATCTTGATGGACTACTTATACTATTAGTATTACTTGGAGAAGGTTATATCTGCATCGTCATCGTGCCTGGTTAACTTCAACTGGTGATAAAAATGTGAATTATTGGATATCATGTTCATCGCAATCGCTCTCGATCAGAAAACTCTACCAATAAGAGTGCAGAGAGCATGAAGCTCCTCTCTGGCATCTTCCCTCTGCATCTTTAAAGATTGTTTTCAACGATTTGAGCCTGTTCTTTGGTCTGCAGAGCGTAGAGGAGGAGGCGCGTGGCATCTGCAATATCTGGAACGCAGGACAGCTGCCAAGAAATGGCATCGTAAACTGGTTCAATATAAAGGTAGAAGATCAACTTAAAGTCGCTGATGCTCGCGGTAACCTAAAAAAGACGCTTGACGCCAACGGTATCAACTCAGATCACCTATACGAAGAAGCTGCGGCAGAGGAGAGTACAGATGCGGCTAGTAGTACTTCCACTAACAACATTTCTTTCAGATCTACGGACCACGCAAAGCCAGACGAGACACCTGCACACTCAGCGACCTCTTCGCAGTCCCCGAGTTACAATTGGCTCAATGCAACGGATCGGCATCGCTATTACCTTGCCTGGTTGCGAGACGGAGCGTATCTAGAGAAATGGAAGGAGTTCAGACTCTATAGGCAAGTCTTCGGCGCACTTCTGGAAGACACGGCTGACGACAAAAGAATCGGAACTCCTGGGCAGATGGTTTTCGCACCTTCGTCTGCCAATCTAGCGGACTATAAAGACCAGCGAAGCAAGGGTGGACCAACGTCATCTAAAGGTAAAAAGAAACACAGGGAAACGAAAATGCATATGCAAGTGGAAGAAGTAAAAACTAAGAGCGGCGGAGGACCAGGACAGGCACAGAGCCCTACTTCTGTTGTTGTTGAGTTGAGTACACAGCCGGCGCCCACGAAGTCATTGAGTGAGAGAATGGCTCTAGTTGCAAAGCGAAATGATGAACTGGTTAAGAAGGTGAGCACCTCGTATGCCAGATTCTCACCCTTTCGCGGTCTCACGAGCGCCAACATGCGCGAGAGGACAACGGAACTCCAACTGCCACCGATAGGCCAGGAGTTGGCGCTGTGGAATCGAAAAGAGTGGTTTCGACCCAGAAATGTGCACAAGTATGCAGAACTGAGACGGAGGACCCGCCAGCAGCTCTCGTGGGCCGTTGACAGTGCGATGCGTTTCAATCTGAACGACCTCACTCGCCCCGCGGCCGGCCCTTTTTTTCCAGCGCGCAACAAAGAAGGAACGGAATACTACTGCAGCAAATTTGAAAAGGAGAAGGTTGCTGGAGATGGAAGTGGTGACAACAACATGAACCCTCGTGTTCTCGAACAACATGATCGAGGTGGCACGACTCGTCAGGAGATGAATTCTACTCCAGCTTCCAATCCATTGCATACAAGGGTTGACGGGGAAGACCGGTTGATGACGCGAAAGAGCATGGTACGACTACGAGGATTGGGTTTGCCAAATTTCGCCAAAACTGGAAAATTTTTGAATTTCGGATGTGGGACGTGTGACGCGGAGGATCCTCTGCATTGGCTCTTTCCCGCAAACTACAGGAACAACAAGGGTATGGAAAATTTTTCGTCGCTTGCGGAAGAAAATGTTGGTATTGCCAGCATGGCAGAACCACAAAATCAAATAAAGAGTGAAAAGTCGTCGAACGGACCACGAGGACTAAAGCGTCTGCAAGGGGGGCCAACGCTGGAACAGGAAAACGCAGATCGCATTTTGGAAGCCCGATCTGCTTTACAGTGGATAACTGAGCCGCGACCGCTCTCTGGCTTTGGTTTTGAACTTGACGTGGATGATGCCAGAACGTGCAGTCAGCATCTGGGCGACGACTCAATCAAAATTTTCACCGGCGGCGTTACACCAGAAAATATACACGAAAAGCTAGATGATACTGGGTATTTTCCTCCTGTGCTGATAGAGGACAAGAACTTAGAGGAGAAGATGACGCATGGTACTGGGAGAAGCGTAGCTGAAGATAAAGTAGTTGTTAAGGAGCTATCAAACAAAGAACGACAACGACAAATAAACACCGAAACGCGATATATTGAGTTTGTGAAGATTGACATTGATTCTTGGGAATACCAGATTTTGGAGGCGGTGGAGGATAGAGCACGCGCATCTGGCGTCACAGTCCTGGTCTACATTTATGACTATCGCAATTAATAAATGCATCTTCCATTTTAATTTTTGAAAATGCATTCTAGAAGTTTAAGTTTTTGTTTTATTCGCTTTTTCACAAATTATTGTGGAGCGAGTTACTGTACCTCAGTTAGCGATACAGACAAAGACGACCACGATCATGACAAGGAGGTCAACATCAAGGATTGTTGATGTTTCATCCAAGAAGGATACCAGGAACAGCAGGGCTGCGATCATAGCTCTAATGCATCATAGAAATTCAAGGCCAATTTCCACCACCCATTCGGTACTACGCGAAACACACACCAGGGGAAGGCGTTGTGCGACGTAAGATACAGCGACAAAAGGAATCAGCAGAAAGGGACTACGAAAAAGCCAGATCGTCTACTTCTAGTGCAACTTCATCTCCTGGGCCAACCTCTACCTCTCAGGAGCACGAAGCGCAAAGAAAAGACCACGTCGGATCTCGTGTCCTAAAAAACGTGGATAATTCCTTCAAAGCGGTTGGGTCTCCAACGAGTTTGCAAGAAGAACAAGCCGTTACTACCAGTGCTCTTGCCCTGACTCAACTGGCAGCCAACAACATGGATAAGCACCACCGTTTAACGCGACGAAGTCGGCATCCCCACTACATCGGGACGAGCCTCCAAGCCGTTGTGGACTACCTGCGTCCGACGCATAGCCTCATGATGCTTCGGGGTATGGACGCTATCTTCGTCGAAAACAGTATTGTCGTGCCACAGATTCAAAAGGAATATCAGGTACTTATTGAGTTTTGTCAACTCACACTTATGCTTCGTTCTCAAGAAGAAGAAGAACTCGAGGTAAACATTAACATTGTTTTTTTGAATTGTCTCATCCTAATACAATCCCTTACCCTAGATTCGTCTTCCCTTCGACGAAGAAGCTTGTTTCGAGGTGCATGAGGCGTGGCATGCCTGGCGAGAAGAGTACATCAGCGATTGTTATGGCTAGAAGAAGTAGTTTTTCAGTATCCGTATCCTGCTGTGTGCCTGCAAAGCCGAAGAGGTTGTATTCCGAGGAGTAGACTTCCCTGACAAAGAAGTAGAAGAGGCAACACGATCCAAATACGCGACTCACAAACTTAGGGAATTATACTCTCGAAATCTTCCCTCGAGTCACCAGAGCCAGGATAGTGAAAAATACGTTGAAAATTCTAAGGTTGGATCTACGGCGACGATGCCTGGGAGAATAGGGTGCCTCGGATTGCGTCTAATATGACGATGTGCGATCCACATTGGGAGAACCCGAGCAATGAGACGTGGCCAGAAGGTGTGCGTGCGCCAGATTTTGAAGTAGGGATCTGATGAAATTGTGTTTCATGAAAAATAGTGATATTGCTCTTTTTTCTCGTTGTGATCATCAACATTCGATTTGAAGATCTATCTTTGTACGTAGTTGCAGCATGTTCATATATCTACAAGAAAATTTACAGATCAAGTACAAAATTCACCTACATCATTTCAGTTCTTTCATCTTCACCCACAATAATCAGCAGCCATCAAGTCGCCTTTTCAAATACCCATATCGTTAATCTAAGGAGCATCTTTCTTCGGATTCGTTTTCGTCAACCTCAACATACGTAACAACAATCGCACCTGGCTAGGTCGTTATATCAATATCGTGACTAGAATCTCTTAAAAAACGTCCTAACTCGAGCTCGTCGATTTCTCACCTCACGCGCGGCTCGTGCTTCTTTTTCTCTTTTGTCGCCTTTTCCGCTGTCGACATTCGAGCAGGAGGAAGGAGCGAATATCATTCACTATCAAATACTTCGTAGCAAATAAAAAGAAACATACTATTGTTGATGAATAAAGAACTGGTATGACATTAGAATAAAAAGAAGGGGGCAGACTGGCCTCTCCTCCCAAACTTAAATTTATATTTATACATAGATTTTCTTTTCCGCTTATGATTCCCCCGCACCCGAAATTCATACTTACTGAAACCTGCTGATTATTACTATTACAACGAATGCTCCGTAACTTGTGTCATCAACTACAGCTGCACATCTTCAGCAATATTTGAACATGCCATCTTCCCGCATGCTCAGCAGCTCTGCCGCTGAAAGCGCAAAGCCGTACACGTTGTATGGCCTTTGCGTCTCGCCACCGAAGCGTTTGCCTCGCGAAGCGTCTGGTGAAGGTGTCGGGGAAGCTTCTTCTACTCGACCTGCAGCCCACAACGATCCGACTCAAACGGCACATTCTGACCATGATGATCAAGAGCCTCAAAAGTACGGGCCACAAAAAGAGCGGATTGACTTGAAGCAACGACCACAGGAAGAACGAGAAGAGGGTAAGCCTGACGCCGCCGATGAAAAAGAAGCGCCTCAGCTCGTTCACAAAACATGCTCGATCTGCCGTGACAACAACCCTGCTTTGATTCGTCAGGTTCTTCGGGAACGCGGCTATACGGTTGTGGAATCTTCAACGGAAAGCGACGACGATGAAAATGCTGTCCATTTTCAATGGGCCCAGACCGCAGTTGCTGTTGACTTCACGAAGTTTCAGAAAAATCATGTGAAAGTGATGAACAAAAACGACAATGTCAACGGGACCCACCCAAACTCCACAGGACTTCTAGAGCGCTTTTTTACGACTAACCGTTTCGTGAACCAGCTGCACGGTGTGAAGATTACCACGAAAGAGGGCATGCTTTCAGCGATCGAACGTCAGCACATGTGGCCACCATGGTTTTTCCCGACGTTCGAGGCCGCTGATCTTTTAAAGAAGTGCGGCACGTCTTCATCAAACAAGCACAACAACAAGAGGAGTGATGAGATTCAGCAGCTCCTCCAAGCACCGCACCCATGGATCTACAAGACGCAGACAAGGAATCGCGGCCAGGGCATTGAGCTTTTCCCAACACTCAGTGAATTAGTATGTCACTTGAAGGGCAAGAAAAAAGCTGCCGGCGCTTCATCGAATTCTAGTACTACAAGAGGACCTGCATCCGGAGCTAACACTTCTTCATCTAAAGCCGTTGGTGGTGTAGTGCAGAGATATCTGGAACGCCCCTTGCTTGTTGACGGAACGCGGAAGTTTGACGTCCGTGTCTTCTTTCTTGTGGCGCGTGTTCGGCCGTTTCTCGCATTCATAGCTTCCCCGGGCAAAGGTTTCGCGTATTGCAAATGCTGCGCGTTGCCTTTCAAACAGGTAGCTGCTGTAGACCAAGCGACAGCGGTCACGAAGACTCATCATGAAGAACATACATCAAGATCGGAAAGGGAGCATCAAGCATCTCCAGAAAGCCATTCTGGTGCCAGAACAAGTAAATTGGAGTTCCTAGCGACGCACATCACGAATCAGGGAATCCAGCGTGAGTTCCTCGGTGACTCAGATTATAAGCAGCGTGAGCACGACATGGTCTTGCCACTTCCAGAGGTTTTGGGAGGTGAAGGTGCAAACCAGATGGGGGATTTCAGTAAGCAGACGAAGGACATTCTGCGGACGCTTTGTGCTGTGATTCAGCAGCAGGCGGCGACTTACGTTGGTACCTTCCAGCTCTTCGGTTGTGACGTGGTGCTGGACGAAGAGGGCAAGGTTTTTTTGCTAGAGGTGAACCGGAACCCAGCTCTCCATACGAACTGTGCTACTCTGCGAGACATGCTGCCTAGACTCGTACGCGAAACTGTCCGACTTGTCGAGGGAGCGCATGCAAGAAACGTCGCAGACTCTAGTACTTCTTCAGCATCTACATTCCCAGTGTTGAAAAGCGATGTGTTCGATGTTGTCTACGACGAGGAGCAAGAGCAGGCAGAGGCACAGGTGACTCCACTTGGAAGTTCCTGTTCGGCGCGAAAACACGACCAGAAGCAGAACACGGCCATAATATCAGACGTGGACAATGTTCTTGACGAACAGAATTTGTCGCACCCGAGAAGCTGCTCACAGCAACATCCTAGGCCTCAAGAAGATGGCGTTATCGAAGACAAACCAGTTTTAGCGGTTAATGTACCACCAGCCAGAGCAAGCTATACAACGCAACCAAATCTTCTTCTTCACGAGAGAGATCGACTAGTTGTACTGGCGGCGACAAAACGAGAATGCAGCAAGGACGGACGAGAAGAGTTTGGTCGTTCATCTCCGCTCCATGCTCATCAACATGACACGAGCGCTCTTGGTGAACCGTCGATTCTAATTAGCCTTAACGCAAGCAAGAGAATCTCGGAAATATCAATCGATGGTCGAGAGTTTCAGCAACAGCTCGAGGGCGAAGTCGAACGTCACAACACTTCGGTCATTGCAGAGAAAGCAGAAACATGCAAAGCCCAGCAGAGTTCTGGGCGTGGACGGCCTGCAATTGTACCAAAGCTAAATGTCCCTGCAGCTGCTGGAGGTGGTGGGCGGGTTTCATCCACTGTTGAACAGCACGCGCCAGGTGTGGGTACTGCGCGCAGTTCGATCGTTTCAATGCGTGGCAGGGCGCCGAAGAGAAGTATCGCAGAGTTGTCAACTACATATCATACAAGACTCGGTGGAGCTGGAGCTGCAGCTGTCCCAGGAGGGCGGATGTCTGCACCAGGAGGAGGAGGTTCTCTCGGAGGCCCGGTAGTGGATTGTGTGTCCCGTTCCTGTCATCTTGCCAGCGACGTGGATTTCAAGCAGCGCGAGCAGGAGTACATCAAGAATACTGCACGTCGTTGTCGCAGTGGGAGCAGCCCAGGCGCGCTGGTCACTATCGAGGATATGTATTTGAAACGGCGGATCTCAAAATTACAGCCGACTCCTGTTCCTGAGGCACCAGATGACTATCCGCATGGTGCTTCTGGTGACATAACGCAGCTTCTGCACCATGAGGATCCCTGCATTCCTCGGCTACAGGCTTCGCCTCCCTTTGCTGCCACAGGAGACTCTTTCTCGTGCAAGACGCTTCGCAATACAGAGGATGAGCCAGTCGCTTTATTAGCCTCGCCTGCTGCACTATTCGGTCTTCCCACAGGAGGTACTGCTCACCACAGTGAGCACTCTGCAAGGACTGCACTCGCAAAAGTCTGCAGCCAGAAAATCGTTCCAGGTTCGTCGCGTCCTCGCGGCCAGCCCTTGCCCACTCAGCAGCAAATTAATAGCAACTTGCCGCTTGCGGGGAGGAGCAGCGCAGCGAGCTGTGCTAGCACGTTGATAACAACGGCAAGAGGACAGAACAGAATAAAAGCGGGGGCATCTTCAACGGGAGATCAGCAGCATGCTCCGATGCAGCGACCTCCGCCCATCGTCGGCATTGCTGAGCAGATCGAGGATGTGAAACGCGCGATGGCTAAAGCACAAGAGGATGCGAGTGAAGCGGCTGCGTCAGCGGAGGACATTCTAACTGCAAAGAGAGCACTCGGACAGCTGGCAACGATTCTTAGGCAACTAGAACGGGAACTAGCAGAGGAGCGCTTTCGCGTCGAGGAACGGCAGATGCGAAAGGAATTCCAAGAAGTAGCGAGAAAGAAACTGGATGCCAACCCGTCTGCATCACCACCCTCGAATCGAATCCTCAACATGCGTGGAACAAGTCGGAGGCTGCAACCACCACCAACGTCGTCCTCTGTTGTTGGACAGCATCAACAACTCGTGGGCGAGGGTTTATTTGCTCGTCCTAACCAAGTTGGCACTTGTGCAAACGGGAGTGCGACAGGACCGGGGGGCCCGGTCTTCCCTCATCGAGAGACTCACGCGTCACATCGTCCTGACGTAGCTCGAGCAAAAGGCGGTTTAGAAGCAAGCGGAATTTCTTCATCGGTCGCGCATCCGACTAGGAGTAGCAGTGCTGCCAGTGGTCCAAGATCATCCTTTAGCCAGAAGGCGTTCTGTGAACGATGGCGGCGAAAAGAAGTCAGGGAAAGATTGAGCGCCACTAGGATTCCCCAGATCATGGAAGAGTTTCCGCATTTGAAATTGGAATTTAACGCCCTGCTGGACTGGGCATTCACCAGCACGGTCAGCCCTCCTGCGAAGCGGCTCACATCCTGGATCGCGCGCGCAGCTCTTGCTAGAGCAAAACGAAGAGAACAACGGAAACGACAAAATTCAGATGTTGCTGCCAACATCAACAACAAACACGACGAGAACGTCATCCCTCGCGAACAAGAAACTTCATCAGTATTTTTGCCAATTCCTCAACCTGCAGTTGAAGAGCACGAGCACCAGATTGATGGCGACGAACAAGACGATGTGGAGGAAACAGAAGAATCCAAACTGAATCGGCCACCTCTCCCGCACGACTTAGTGTCCGATTTTCGACGCCTCACTTGGCTAGCAGAGTTATTGTTTAGACGGGGACGATCTGAAGGTGAAACTTCCTGTCGTGCTCTGCTTGGGCTTCGTGACGTTTCGTCGTGTCTCTACGTCTTTGGGGACCCAGCAACTACACGTGATTCTGACAAAAATAGTGTTTGGAGCTGGTCCCTAGGTGACTACGTATATGAGGGAGACCATCAATTGTATGCGCTTGCATCGCAGTCAGCAGGGCATTGGGCGGATATGCGGCCGGGAGATCTTGTTTTTTCCGAGAGTGCGCCATCAGAGGGAGCTTGCAAGAGTAGAATGCAAGTTGGAGTTTACCTTGGACCTCACAGGGAAACGATCAGCTGCAGTACTTCTAAGAATAAGTTTGAAGTGCTTTCCAGTTTCGACGAACTCGAATCACACTCAACAACGGGAACCAGGATCGAATGCCAACATCATTTTCGCAGTCTGGAACCTTGGCTCGGTGAGACGGGACCTACAGCGACGCCGGTACTCGCTACCAACAATCTGCTGGCGCCGCCTCAACAACTTGAGCAGTTCGGCATTGAAGGTGGGGGAATGCAAGAAGAGGTCTTCCGGATGAATGAAGAAATAGGCCAAATAAGGACTCCACGTTCTCTGGAAAAAAGGACGCTAAATCTAGTCGAAGATTTGAGTAGTGACGAAAAAATGTACTTCTAAGGACTGACTTACTTCTCATTGAGAAATGTCGTGCCAGAATCGAGAATAGGAGTATATCGCATGGGAAGCGCTCTAGCATCCTGTACCTATACTAATACCATTTAGCTATACTTGTAGGGATGATGATGATCCAATGCATATTAGTAGATCGAGTTCCTTGTTATTTTGTCTCGCGGATTGCAAAGTTTGGAACAGCACATCGCTGAGCTCACGTTCTCTAATGTACAGAACAAGAACAGTCCTCATTTTTCGCTTCGGCGATTCTACTTCTTGACATACCAGCATTCTACTTCTTCACTATTACCTTGTGCTTTTTTTCTTCTCCCCTTTCCCTTAAGTCTGGAACTATGAATCAATAGTACCTAAAGCTGAGCCTGTTTTTGCTGCATTTCCTGTGAAGTCGTCGCGGGAGCAGGTCCGCAGATCGAGCTCGAGCAGGAGCAATCATAAATCTGCACAGAGATGGAACTACATTATGATAGACGTCAGAACCAACAAATACAAAGCTGTATCGTCAAGAGCACATGGTGATGTCGGGTTCACAGAGCAACATCTGGCCAATTGCTGGCTACACTGCCGCCCGTGTTGTTCGCCAAGAGGTGTTATGATTCTGTTGATGTTGAGCTAAGCTAACCAAGTCCAAGGCTTATTCCTGTGTCGGTGATGAGCCTAGTAAATGCACGGTCGATGCAGCGCCGGATACTGATTATAAGAATAAGGTGAGAGAAATGAGCATATTAGTACGAGGACTATCATCTGTAATAGACGAGATAGAGATCATCCACCCCGATCTGGCTTGGTCTTCCCATGTTCAGGAGAACAGAGAGTCACCACAAGAAAGAAACAGATCTACAACTTCATCTCTGTGAAACAAACAAAATCTGTTAATTGTCCTGTATGTTCCACCTGACCCTGAGTGAAAACAGATAATCATGTTTTATAATCTTTTTCTGGCTTGAGGTGAAGGTTGAGGTTATGAAAGATCGATGCGACTAGGCATGAGAAGAGAGACTGATAGAGTCTGTTTGATTTTATGGAGGTTCTTTAAATTTAATTGCATTTGTGCCTGTCTCAACATTAATTACTTGTAATTATATCTGTGCTGAGAGAGAGAGAGAGCAGATTGCGACGTGGTGTCAATATAGTCAGAGGTTTTTTTCTGCTCTTTCTTGTTGATCCCTTCCTTTATCCTACAAACATTGAAGTTGGTGGAAATCGATCTTTGCTTTTGCAGGAATCAATTCGTTAGAGTTTCCCCAAAGCCCAATAAATCGTGTGCCCCCTTCAAGAAAGCAATTTCTTTCATCTGCCCCTGCTGTTTGACTTGTTCTTTGGGTATTTAAGTCGAGGATTCAAAAGAACGTGCCGCGACGCATCTACTTGGAAACATCTTGATTACTTCTACCACGAGTACCTGAAGGTAATATCCTCGTATTATTTTTCTATGAAAATCTTTTGAACAACAACAAATAGACGAACAAGATGTCGAACTCATTGGTTCCGGGACCCTTGCAAATGCCTCAAATGGCACCACTTCCGGGTATTCAGGGTGTCAAGCTAAATGTGTCCACGAGCGTAGGTGGTCAGTCGCCAGCCGCTGCACCTGCCGCAATGCCTTCGATGCAGAGGCAGCCACAAGGCGCTTCACCTCCGGCTCAGTACTATTCAATAAGTCTTCCGCAATTCAAGAAAAGATCAACATCAGGATGTTAATTCAATACAAGATCAAGATGTTGTTACCACGACGGACTTGCTTCTAAGTAGTAATATAGTACCTCAACCTCGGGCTTCGATAAAAGTAGTCTAACCATGTTTTATACTAACTTTCTTAGTCTTCAAAAACTCTAAAACTAAAGATGAATAGCGATAAGAAGGCGAAGAACTTGAATTTCTACTTTCACACCAGATCTCAAGGAGTACTGCAGACAGGCATTCCGCAGGCAGTAGTGGATAGCGGCAACGTGAGACTGGCGAACCAGTGGGAACGAGCTACTACTGTTTGCACCAGCATAGATTCTATGCTTGCTACTCTTGCAGGTACAGCTACCTCAAGAACATTTTATCTTACATGTTGAGGAAGAGGATGATCTTCATTGATTCTACAACTTCAAACATGAACAACATGGTCTTGTTCTATCGTATCACTACATCTACTGACCAGCAGCAGCATAATATCCATTTTGTTCAAGTGGCCTGCTCATCGAAAATGAGAAACAAAATCAATATTTACTATTCCCACGCTTAAACATCACCCCTTGCTCAGAACTGTACGAGGTGAACTCTTTCTGGAAGGAGAAGTACATTGAGTCGAAGAAAGAACATTTCTCCAAGTACATGAATACAAGTGCCTCTGGTCTTCTAGCATCATGCTTCCAGAGCTGGAAAGGATACACATTCGAGACTTTCTCAGACCGAAAGCTGGAAGGGTACTTCTCACTAAATAAAGTTCTTTGACTTTATTGCTTCGTCTCCTTTGAATATATTGTCGTGATCATGCTGGTCCTGGTAGAAAGTCGTCAACTACAATAATATTAAAGTGAAGTAGGGTGCATCTAGAAGGATTTTGAATACAGTAATCCTTCGCCCCTGAAGAGACCTTGACTGAGCGATAAGGTAAGGACCTACCACCCGTAAGGCCGACCTCCACAAGGGTTCCACCTTTAAAAATCAAACAGCAAACGAGAAGACATTGACCAGCTGCACAAGGATTGTCAAGCGCTGATGGACCGAAGAGAGGACGCCTTGCAGAAAAAGCTTGCAGCCATGGAAGCACGACACGAGCAGGCGTTATCGGAGATGGGAGCGGTGATTGACAAGCAGAATCATGGGATCAGCAATCTGCAGTTTGAGATTAATGACATCATCGAGAAAACCGACACTGCGAAGGGCATGATGAAACAAGTTCGGGGCGCTATCATGGGTACTGCTGACCGAGTTGATTGATTATCCATATAACTATAAAAATAATGATAGACAAAAATATTGAAGGAAAAGATAGAGCAATATTCAAAACGAGCTCTACTTTCTCTGTGTAGCTTCTTGTTATAGCTTGGTGGTGGATTAGCAATAACGTATATGAACATAACGATACTTTCTAGGTGTTCCGGAGAGCGAGTACAAGGTCTGCGATCCGGACAGCCCCGACCCGCATGTGAAGCCGAACGCGAACAGTTTTGACTATACGAAGCAAACGCTGCACGACTTGTTGAACGAGGTCGATCCGAAGTACGTACCCCCAGTGGGTTCGCTCTGCGTTGGTCCGCCGCCGGCTCCGATCGGTTCCCCTCTGCTGCGAAAACTCGATTACCAAGGGAAGGATGTACTGGGTATCACTGCAAGCAGAGGCTAAGACCCTCATCTTGCAAAAGATGAAGATGTTATTGCAACAAAGAAATGCCTCTGTCTCGCACGAGGGTCTGTACAGTATCGACAGGTCTACACAGCATCGTGCTCGCTGCACATAAAGTAACGAGTTGTAATCGAAAGCAAATAGATTATTTCGGGGAATGTCAAAAACAGAATCATGATAATTAGACGCAACCGGCAATCTACTCATGTTGTAAATAAAACGTTTCATGTTCTTCTTGTTTAATCCAGTTTGTGACAGAGGGTTCTTGTAATTGTATAGTGTTATTGGATATTAGACAAATTATGGGATCAATCAAAGTCTAAAAAATAAAACAACTGTCATCCGTAGATGTAGAAGCAGAATGCAAAATGTATGTCATCGTAGATGAAAGATTCGTGATATATGATTACTTCTTTTCGTTATGATTATCAAATAATTAGAGGCACGCACTGAGATTTATTGGGTGTTGGGCATATACGTGCTAAGACAGAATAGATCGATAAACCACGCAAATGCAAATTTCCTTTTTTCTTTGGGTTGGCTGGGCATCGAGTTCCTTCTAGAATATTTTAATAAAATGGGAAGACAATCATTATGACCATGTGGGGATGCACAGTGCGCTGTACTTAACTGGCTTGGCGCTTTTGATTTATTGTGTCAGAATAGAAACGATGACAATCTTCATGATAAATCGCACAAAAACCAAAAGAACGCATGACGAAGATTGCTAAAAGCGCATATTATGAAGGACAATCTACTTGGGAAATGAAAGAATATCGATCGGCAAAAAGTCATTGCCGGACTCTAACACGATCAGGCCTTCGAGGCCTGAGTTAATGAAGTTGACCGCTGTTCTCTTAAATTTCCTCGATTTTCCGGATGACGATGTTTTCAGTCGCGTGTTTTTGTATCTGTAGTAGTTCAACAACACAAGGCAGGAGCACGAGCATCCAGAGGGCAGCACAATATTAAAAGGTGAATGAATGATCATCATAATTCTTTGAAGAAAGTTCTTGTTCTCCAGGGAGGTACACAACAACAGCTTCTAAGTGGATCACTTGTTCTTCTTCTGTCGCTCCAACTACAGCGGAGGTCTCGCGATAAAAGATCAAAGACACACAAAGACTCTTCCTTCTGATGAACAATGTTAATAATGCATTCTCGGTCCTCCCATCGTGCATCCTTATGAAAACTCTCGGTTCTTTTCCAATTATAATTTTTAGTATAATTTAGATTTTGTTGATTGTGTACATCAATGATTAATAATATCTGGTATAGGTACGGTGTCTTTTATTGAAAACGAATACGAAGGATAGAAAAGGCCATTATCGAATAAGAAACGCATCAGGAAACGGCACTCAATGTCTAGATTCGGAATTAGTAAAATAACTCTTTGTACCTCTACTTGTACGGCAATTCTAACAGGAGGTGATGTCCCCGAAGGCAACGAAATCAAGCTAGAATCTCTAGAGTTAACTATCCGCTACGAAATCCAAAGCGCCTATCGACTCACTAATCTTGTTTAGTTTCGCTCCTTCATCAATTTTTCATGCAGGCAAGCGGTAGTGATCGAAGATGAGGAAGAGATAACACCGGACAGATAGGCATCATTTAGTGTCCTGGTCAATTACTTGTGGTCTTGGTTAGCATTTGCTAATTAATCTCAATTTACATTTAGTCGTTTTACAACATTTTCAGCTACTTTTACCAAAAAATAAGTATTTAGTGGCGGATACCCACCACTACAGCTGAAAAGATACCAAGTACTACGAAGGCGAACGCAATCTATCTGTTTCATCACGATCACCATACATAGAAAAGAACTCAAGAACTCGTTCTCACGCGTCGTGTCATGAGCTGAAGAATGTTTTTTGGTGAGTAAAGTGACTGTGAAGAACCCAGGAGCAAGCTGTTGACCGCGATTCATCAACCCTTTCGAAAAGAGGCTAAGTTTTCCAGAAAGACCCAGCGCCACAGAGTATTGAAAATACAAACAGGATGCCGCAAAACGGAAATGACAGGATGGACCGTGGTCGCGGCGATCGGGGACGTATAAGTTTGACTTACGTAATGTTAGATTGCTGCACGACCTTTCTCTTCTATAAGTCCCATATGTGGTTTTCCATTTTGCATGGACGAGCTTCGGTATAATAATGATAGCGCTAGTACCTCTCATTCATTATATGATCACTCTTGGCCGCTTTACACTTGCAAAATATGAAGGTGGTGATGGCGGTGCGCGCGGTCGGCCTGCAAAACGGCGAAATGAGGAGCTTTCCTCGAGTAGAAGCGTAGCACGATCAGACGCGGAAGGAACCAAAAAGCAGAAAAAAGACCAAAACAGGTAGAAATCAATATGAAGAACCAACTAGTTATACATGGTCATGGCCAATCCTTCTCTGACAACAGTTTCCTCAAATGATCACGACAAGATGTCGTGTCCGCTGGCAATTATGCACATCGTAGAATTAGCATATTCAATTTTACTTTACCCAAAGGTCAGAGCCTGATAGTAGGCGGATATCATGCAGAAATCTTCCAGCAGACATGCAGGAGCAGCAAGTGATCGAATTTTTTCAGGGACAATGCGAATGCCTAGTCTCGTGGGTCGAGCTGGATGATGGGTACTTTTCATTCTTAAATGACATGACGAGCGAACCGTAAGTAGCGTATGGTGTTTTCGATTCTCATTCTTCACGCATGCCTGACGAGTGATGAAAATGAAAGATCATGATTTTTTGGCATGTGACTACATCCACAGAATTGCGACGTTGCAATTTGCAAACACTGCGGGAGTCCAGAATGCATTGCAAAAAGTAAACGGTCACAAATTTTTTGGTGGTGATACGGCTTTGCGCGTTGACGTGGAACAGGAAAGTCCCGCACGTGAGCAGGAACCTCCACCTGCTAATAAGCAAGACGACAACGCGGGAGGTATGAGATTGCTGAAATTGTCTAACTAGTAGTAGAATATTCAACCATGTTGAGGTTGAGCTTCTGAAGTCCGTCCTCGTAGCGTCAACATGATGTTACCATTGTAGTTGTAGTAGTACAACGCGCAGGAGTTTTCTTCTTTAGTACACATCATAATATCACTTGGATCTCCTACTTGGGAATTCAAGCGATCTACTTCTTCTTCTACGGAACAAGTACAACTGCCGCCCTCGTTACAATGGAGTTCTCACTTAATATTCGCATCTCGGCCAACATCAACAAGGTCGTGCGCGATCGAGCACGCGCAGCGAAGGGAGCGAGAGTAGTCGTGTAGATTTGAGGAACAAGGGTCCCAACATTAAGAGAGGAGGACGGCAGAACGACGGTCGCGAGAATTCCACCTTTCCGAAGTTCGACGCCAAAGCACAAAATGGACACCATGGCAACGGGGGCAATAAGGTATCCCTCTACTTGTATCTACTTCGAAAGATCGGCGTGTTATCATGCCGCGTATGATCTCAGAGTCATACTTACCTACTTGATGTATGCAGATGATGATGACTCCAACAATCCTCTTCTCTCTCTCAAAAGAAAAATATATTTAATTGAAATTGGAGTAAGTTCTCAACAAACTTACTAGGGGCGAAGTCCTTTGCCTCCGCGCGGAGCAGGCGGCAAAGACAGAGTTGGCAAGGGAGATAGAACTCCAGCAGGAGGGGATCGTGGTGGTACAACTAATTACAAAATTGAAGAACGATGTATAAAACATGAACGTGTATCCTATGGTTTCTCATGCTTTACTTGTATATTGATACGGTAGTTTCTGGAGAGCTGAGAAAAGGTTTTTTTTAGTTCCTCCTCCTCCATAGAAGAAAGCTATGAGAAGCTCGGCTCATGTAATAATCAACAGGAGCTGGCATTGATATGAAGCGCCCAGTGCGACGTGTTAGCGATAATGGCAACGCAGATGAACCTGTGCCACGCGTTATTATGAGAAATCTTCCCCAAGGCCTCCAGGAGGCTGATTTTCAGGCAATCGCGGAACTTGTACTTACTTAACTACACGACAATATCAATAACCTTGTCTTCGATTTATTCCTGTTTCACCCCATTCCCACCTCTGTGTACTAATTGATACGTTAGAAGAAAATATCAATATGTCGTGGGTATGTTAATGAGACACATCGCCGTTAACGATCTAGTAGAAGTCCAAGTCATGAAAAAATGTTGATCAACATAGATGGACTAAAGGTTCTCTAACTCTCACCACCTTCTCAGAAGGGCACCCTTTTTATGTACAGATCTGTTCCAAAATGTACAACTTGTTAAATGCTTATACATAGGTTGGTCCAACAGACGGTCGAACGCGCATTTTTCCGGAGAATACGGATAAGGGGCCACGAGTTTGGAAAGGAAGTGTGCAGTACCTGAACCACACGGATGTGGTCCGCGCTATCGCATATTTCGAAAACAAATCTATGGACGGCTCGAAGAACCATGATTTCAGTAAGAATGAATCAACATTGACGTATTTCTGCGTGTCTTAGTCTGTGAAGATGAACTGTTCCATCTTGTCAATAGTTGAGAATGGCTAAGGTGAGAAGATGCAATGACTTACATATTACCTCTACAAAAGATAGAGTATTTACTGTCGTAGTCTTCTAATGAAAACATCGACAAGTGCCCACATCCGATCAAGTGCACCGTTGAGCGCGACACGAAGCACGACTTCACGGTCATCTATAGTAAGGACCACGTAGCAGCATCCCGCAACAACAAAGGAGGCGGCTTTCGAAGGTAGAAGCGTGCTTCCAAGATCCGGGAAGAACTCTGGAAGCTATCGAGTAGTCCCTCTCCACGACTCTGCTGGGGGATAAAAAGAGTATTCTTGCGATAACGAGAGCTAGTCACGTCATCACTGTTAAGGAGATTAAGAACTTCCCCCTACGCCGGTAACTACGCGGGAAATATGTCGGCAGGTTCTTTGCGGAACTCGCTCGCGATACAAAAAAAAAAAAAACTATTCGGCGTGAATTATATTGAAAACGCCAAAACATCAACATCATAAAAAGTTGTTCTCCATAACGATATAGTATATAATCATCGTCGATAATCAATGTCAACCATCGTATAACTATAAGTGTAATTCCTACCCGGTTCTTGTTGTAAGGAGATGAAAATTGTGACACCTGCTCCACACTCGTCCTCGTTTGGCGGGTATGCAGGACGAGGAGCATGAACTAGCGCTGAATTAGACGCTACTGCATGACTGTGAGCATTGTCTCAGGAGGTGATGACGCCATACTGACCAATCTGAAGACAGGCTTTGGGGCCTTTCCGCAAAACGGGGAGGGATTTAAGTCCAACTGGCTGCGAAGAGCCGGGATGATCTCCACGTGTCTCCTCTAGATCAAGAGTCTTGTCCACCCCTGACGAACACGCAGTATCATCAATCGCTTTCTACACGACCTGCGAATCCATTCTAGATTGTAAGGCCAACTCTTTATTTTTTATATCTAACGAAGACGTGGTAGTGGAATTTCAATTCGATTATGTGCTATGTACAAGTATCCAAGAACAACAAGGATTAATAGAGAGGTAATAAATTCATTCAAGCAAAAATGAAGAACACTTTACGAATCGAGTTCAAGCAACATGAAAAACTCTTTTTACCCTCGCACCCCAGCAGAAATGAACTACGACATCGTCCTTATTTCAATCCTGCCCCCATTTGACCACATCAAATCAGTCACTCAAGACCCAGACCAACAGCATGTTTATGTTATGAGACCACCTACTGAGTGCGGTTCTGCGTGGTCGCTTTTGCCGACGGACAGAGTCTGAATGTGGTTCGAGTGATCATACAATTAAGCAGTGGCGAGGCTGTAGGAAGATTCATCAAGAAGAGACTCAATAGAGCTGTGAGCCCCTCCAGTCGCGTACCACCTACATGAATTGAAATCGCGATGTTAATACTATTATAAAAGGCATGAGCGGCGAAAGACAGTGAAGACACAGATATACTTCAACAATTCTCTCACACCAGGTTCTTTCGTGTATTTCGGTTTCCTTGCTCTACTACAGGCAAAAAATGCGAGAACAATAAGGATGACTTCTTCGTCTGGAAAGTGGTCATACAAGAAGAAGAACGAGTCCTACAAGTACTATCTATCTCTCAACACGACCACACTTACTGATACTGTTTGTATTTTCTGCTTTTCTGATTCTGTGCAGAACAAGTGGACAAAAAACGAAGTGACTTTATCCCAAATAACCTGAAACGTTGTACAGGCATCTGGTAGAAAAATTATTGCTTTGAATCATATATGGCGATCGCGATAAGGAATACAAATCGCGCGTAATAATAGGCGATACATTTTGTTTCTTATGATTCGTAAAATCAAGAATGATTCGTTCCTCGTGGTCGATTGTTGCTTAGCACTGCGCACACCCGATCTTCGATGCTCATGAGTTGTAATTCATTGAAAAAAATGAAGCGTGTGACATGATTTGTACCAGCTGGTTGCGGGGTCTTGGTAATCCTAGTGGTCGCGGACAACATGATCATCAGCTGAGGACCTCAAAGCGATTCAGCTGGTGCTGGTGGGAATGGGGCGTCTGTTATTTCCGTCCATCCGTTCTGGTGTCATGATCCAGGAATGTTCTTGAGCCGGCGGCGAAAAGATGGCGACAGGAGCGGAAAGCGTAGACGGAAGCTGCATGCAGGTGGGGGAAAATCAACTTCGTAGCGCACCGCAATATAGCTAACTGTTTTTGTTGGAGCACAAGGACGTTCATTAAATGCTAGCGTCCGACGTTGTTAAACGTGAGCTGCAACCGACCGGGTGGTCGAGCTTGGATTGATGTTTTCCGAAACGACAGATAGCCGCTAGTCTTGCAGGAAACGGCGACAGCATACTAGCACAGATGACGTTTTTGTTCCGTGCGGTCGATAAGCTGGGTGAGGTGGCAGACCAGTTTGCCGATCATGCCTCCGTTTTTTAAGGATCGTCTCTCTGTCGACAATATAGAATGTTGATCGTTGTAATGCATTTTATTATATATTATCTTTAAAAACTTAACTTATTGAACAGCTATTACCAGTAGGTGTAGGTCGTGGTTTACTTAAGGGTTTTTCGTTTGATTTCTCAAGGATTAAGATACGGGTGGGAGTTAATTAATCTGGTGGAGGGCCGCATTTGAGTAGTTACGATTTCGGTTATGAGAAAGAGCTACACCTCTAATCTTGGCTGGATATCGAGCAAGACACAGCTGACGACGAGATTGGTCGAATTCTCGCCACTCTGCGCGTACCTTCAAAGTGGCTTTTCGGTCTCGGTGAGCTGCGAGCGTATGTCGAAACCTATCCGCGCTCGGTCGAAACCATCGCGAGCGACCCAGCAAAAGTTCAGCTTTTGGGCAAGTTGCTTTATCTTATGGACCACGAGTATAATTTTGACACAGCAAGAGGGACTTGTTCGACGCTAATCGTACTATTCTCAGAATTTTATTTTAAGATTGCAACTAGTAGTACATGCGCATGATCAACAAGTACTACTAGTGATGCATACTATGCTGGTTTTTTCTCTAATTCCAAGACATCCCGGTTACAGAAGAAGATGGACGCGCAGTTCGTCGCGGAGAACCCATGGACTCAAGTAGTGGCTGGCCGCGAGCTCGAGGAAGAGCAACGACTAAGGTTGCAGGGTGATTTGCTTACCGTCATCCGGAAAGTGATTCACCAACTGATGCTCGATGAATCAAGACGCGAGGACCGGGCCTACTTTTTCGAACTTTTCATCACTGAAGGAGGTGGAGGTGAATCCTCAGACGCTTGTACTCTCAACGACTCAAGGGGAAGCGGAGGCGAATGTGGGGAAGCCTTGCTGGAGGTGATGGACCTCTATTTGATCCACACAATCGCTTCGCATAGCACCAACTGCGCTCAGCGGTTCGCAACTGACATCTTCAAACGACAGCCAGAATATGTAACCTCATATTTCCTTGATTTTTTAAGTTTATCTCTTGCTTCTAGACCACAACAGATAGACCACCACGCGTGTGAAAATATTCAAGCTAGTACAGAGTATCATCATTTTTCAATAGGTGCCGGCACAATTAACTATTATATCGAGCAGAATGAGAATGACAATGATGAAGAACCACACAAGGAATAACAGTAGCGAATGATTATTCTAAAGTGGTCATCTTCATGCTCATCATCTTCCTCGTGGTCACACTCTCCAGTATAATTTCTTTAATCTTAAGATCCCTATTTCTATCCAACTACAGCTGAGTCGTTTGTTGCGTGCTTGTGATGTATCGACCATTCAACATGCTGCACTCGGAAACGACGTTGGAGGTGGGATTGATCAACAGGTGGACCTGACGCAGCTCAAGAAAAATTGCATCATCGCAATCAGCATACTCAAAATATTTCTCACGCAAGCCCCAGACATGTGCTCCAGCGCCGTATTTGAGGAAGGAGTCGACATTCTTCTTCGTGCTATAGACCAAACGCATCAAGGGCAGCAATACCTTCTGTTATGAACAAAGAAGAATTGTAGTAGTTCTAGTTCTACCAGCACACGTCGTCGAAGATGTTCTCACTTCACGCATAGTAGTTGTAAGTTGTAGTTCTTGTGCTTAAAACTGCGAATAGGAAGTCGAAGATGAGGCATTTTCTACTCTTTGTCCCTTGTTCTGAAACATAATATTTTCTACCAGCAAGCCTTTCCCAATCTCACGTTAATTTTGAATGCGGAGGAGCCTGCGTTGATTGTGCTTGGATGTTTGGAATTGGTCCTTCGAGAGGGCAAGGAGGTGTCCCGCCGTTTCATCCGGCAGCACGCAGAGACGGCAAGTGTGTTGCTGCATAAGCTCGACCAAGTCTTGCGCGTTCCCAATGCAGACCGGCGATTGTTCGAGCTCGGGATGGAAATTGCGGAGCTGTTTTACCAGGACGCTGGAGGAAAGTTCTCTGGCGAAGGTGCCTTCGGAGCGCTTGACGACGTGCGGCGGTTCTGCTTGAGCTTCGTCCCCCTCCTGTCGCGAAAGATGGCGACCTTCCGTGAGGACGACGAGCTGTTGGTGCGTTGCGTCTTTCTGGTTGCCAAGCTGGTTGGTGGAGAGCACGCGGTTGCAGGAGCCGACGCAAAGGGTTCTGCTCGACAACATCACATGCTTGGCGGCTCTGACTCCAAATCAAGTGTTGGGGGGGGAGACAGGGCAAGTATAGATACGAATACGTCGTCTGTAAATGCAGCTTTTGGTGGTGGATCTTCCCAGGCTGGAGCGCGGTCAGCGCAGCGCCTCGAAGATGAAGCAGCGGTTCATGCGGTGCTTCTGGGTGAGAAGTACACCGCCTCCTCACTTATTACGTCTACCTTATCGAGAGCTGTGAGGGCTGCCCAGCAGTCCTCTTCATCTTCCTCGCTCGATAGTGCTGCTACGAAAGGCGCAGCCGCGTACAACTGGTGGTGTCATATGGTCTTCGATCTGTCGCTTCCCGGCGAAACGCGGCGACTCGTTCTGGATAGATTGCTCACGCGCTTTCCGATGCCCGCAGACTTCTTGGTAGACTCCTTTTCGTCTGACAATGTGGGAACAGCTTTGGGAGAAGCGGTCCGGCCATGCGGCAAACAAGTTCTGTCCGTGTTGGCTGAGACGGAAAGATGCGATCTTGAAACCTGGTTCGCATCTGTCGAGTCGTTCTACTTCGCGGTCGAGTGGCTGGCTTACGTTGTGGGCTCTGTCATGCTCCTAGATGTGCATGCTCCAACAGCAGCAGTAGTTTCAGAAGCGACGAGAAAGAAAATGGCAACACTTCTGGGAAACGCGAAGGGCGGTGGCAAAGTCGTGGACAAGCTAGCTGCGGTGCTTCGTTGGGCAAAACTCATCGTGCCGCCTCCTGTCAAAACCGACGCTGCAACGTCTTCCGGAGCAGGTGCAGGCCCTGGCAGCAACAAAGGTGTCGACAGTGGCCTTGACATAAGTCCAGTATCGTTTCCGCTGTCTTCATCTATCGTCAGCTTCGCTCCAGCGGTAGCGGCTGTACCGGTCGTGGCTTCAAAATCAAATCTACCTGCGGCAATAAATGCACCAGGAGGTGGAGGACAGATCCAGACACGGAGCTTCGCTGCAAGGATACAACAGCAACAGGAGCAAATGCAGGCTAATCCAGCGGCTGCAGGAGCAGGTAGTGGACCAGAAAATGACCCGAGCGACGCATTACACAGTACGCAGACGCGGTTCGCCGTTCATGCCGTGCTCAAAGTGCTTTTCCTCGTGTGCGCAGGTCCCTCTTCGGACGACGATTACGGTGTAGAAGCGAAGCAGCAACACATCAAGGCGTCTCTCGCAGAATTGCGGTCAGCGAGCTTTGCACTTGCGACTGAACTCGCAAACTCACCAGTTCACTTGCCGAACGTACTTGGCGCCCTTTCGCGCGAATCGCTCCCGGAGCGACTGCGGGCGGCTGCCGCGGCAGTCGTTGGCACGCTGGTTTTGCAGCTGCAATGCGGCTCCGCATCTTCAAATTCCAAGGCGAGCGCCGTTTCATCACGACAACTGATGGATTTGATATCGACTAAAGTCGGATTAGAAGACTTCAATCATTTTCTCCGCGGTGGCTCGACCCCTGAGCGTATTTTTCTGGGCACCGGCACCCAGAACCTGAACTTTACCGCGGTAGTTGACGCGATTGGCCGCGCGATGGTCAGCGTCTATAGCAGCGCGACAACGGCTGGCATTGACCATTCTTCTGCCTCGTCCGGCATGGGCGCTTCTGCTGGCGGAGCCAACCAAGGCGATCTGACGAATACAACATCGTCGGGTGCTTCAGCTGGCGATGGTTCATCGGGAGGACACCACAAGTCGGGCGGGCCGCAACTTCTAGTTGCCGGCGGCGTTTCGCAGGACCTGCTGCGCATGCAAGAGCGGGAACTTGCCAAGTGCAGCGCTGAGAACAAAAAGCTAAGAGCAAAAGTTGAGCGACTACAGAAAACACAGGTTGATCGAGACCGGCTGTCGTTGACTCTGGAGATCCAGGGTCTGAAAAAACTCGCAGGTGCGCTTCAAACTCAGGCAGACCTGCATTCCCTGGGCTACTTACGGCTTGAGGAGGAGACGCTGTTGCAGAAACAGGCTTGGGAGTCGAGGGAACGTGAACTCCAGAACCACATCAAACTGTTGTGCGCCGAGGTCGAGCACTTGCGACGGGAGGTGATAGACGCGCGCGTAGAACAGAGCGTGGAGGAATTGAGTAGCATACTCACGCCAATGAGCTCGGCGGCATTTCGTGTTCGGGGTGCAGGTGCGGTCGCTGGAGGAGAACAGCGTAATTGATACCTATGCAGTTCTCCATTTCTAGCTCTTGCAGGAAAGGAAAATAAGTAGATTTTTACTAGCAAGTTTCAGAGAATGAAGTTGAAACAGCTGCTACTTTAAGAACCTTTCTGAATAGTATCAATCTTTTTGATAATACCACGGTCATTGAAGAACAAAAGAATCTTCTGAAAAATGGTCAATCTAGGTCCTGCTGGTTTTTTCAACGATGTTGCGACGAGCGGACACTCAACGACAACCCCAGGGTCAAGGCTGGCGCCTACATCTGGGACAAGCGATGATGAGGTAGTAGAATTTGCGCCGATGTCGATTGACGACACACAGATACTCGAAGATTTGGAGGCCATGGAGACTCAGGCTAGGCAGATAGGAGGAGCCTCGACGAAACGAGAGTCATCAAGTAAAGCGACTTCGAACGCTCCTGGTGCTGCTTCTAGTGGTGCATCCTCGATCAAGAAGAGTACTAGTTCCAGTGTAAAGTCGGCTGCATCTCCTAATGACCAGATGAAACGCGATAAAAATGTTGAGGATTCAAAAACTTCTAGAGCAGGTGATGCAGCTAGCACAGGAGCTGCAAGACAAACAGCCGACGAGGAACAGGAAGGTACGCCAAATAGTCCTCCGCCACGTGGGGCAAATGACAAGACGAAATCTAGAGCAAGTATGGAGATTGACACTTCACCCGAAATGGTGGACGCAGTTGCACGCCCAGCGCCACTGTCCCGGACGATTGAGGAGATGCGGAGCGAGACACCCTTGCGACCGTTGACCGAGGCAGAGGTGGAAGGTCGCTTGCGGGACATGCGAGAACTACTTATTCTCTTGCATAAGGAAGTCCCGGCATGCAGGAAGTACATGGCGCCCGTAGACACCGAGGCGATGCAGGCAATGGAACGGCGCGCGGATGCGCGGTACTTCACAACTTTAGGCGACACCCTTTCGGTGGTCGGCTCGACACCGGAAACTAAGGGACAGTTTTTAACGAGTGGAGGTGCGACTACTGGTGGTTCTTCCTCGTCCAGCTCACCGAACAAGATGTCGGAAGGTGCAGGAGGTCATGGCACTGGAGGAACTTCGGGACACGCGATCCGGCACGTCACCGCATCGGAAAAGTTGGTAGTGACAGAGCGAGAGGAGTTCCTGCTTTCGAATTTCTTCAAGTCTCTCTTTGATGCGACGCGAACAGAGGAGCTGCGGCGACGAAATTCGTATCGTGGCTATTTTCAGGAGTTCGACCGCAATGCCGGTGCTTCTTCTCGAAATATCGATGCTTTGATCAAGAACCAAGAGCATATAGGCGTGGTCACGGCACCGGCAGGTGCTGGCGAGGAATCTCATTCTGGGCAGTTCAACAATACAAGTGATATACAACGCGCCGGGAAGAATGCTGCGGAACAAGGACCTTCTCGAAGTGCAGACGACATAACTGCAGGAAATTTGCAGCAAGCGAGCAGCAAGGCCTCCTCAACACTAGCTGCGACATCAGAAGACCAGCATGGCACTACAACTTCGGCTGGGCTAACGCCGCGAGACCGTCTTGCTCCCGGAGGAGGACAGGTGGAGCAGCCGAGCACGATGATAAATGGCGCCGGAACTTCTATCACCTCGTCCGCAGGAGCAGGAACAGGTGCTGGAACTCTCGGAGGACTTTCACTAATGCAACTACCAGGAGTACATCTCGATGCTGATGGAAGGACGACAGCAAATAAGGATGAAAGCACTAGCACTTCATCTCCTAATATAAGAAGTGGAAGCACTGGAAGCAAAGACATAATTGCAGCACTCCTAGATCCTGAGCGGAACAATACGTGGCAACCCATTGTGGATTCCGACGAAGACGACCATGAACAACATCGAGGTCCAGCTAAAAGCGAAGGAAATGTAGCAAAAGATGGAGGCGCAACTACGGCGAGCGACGGGAGCCTCACAATCAAGATTATGGGCCCTCACAATCTTGGTGTTGGGTTCTCGTCATGTAGCACAGCACCAGTACGAACAACAACACAGGCGGCATCTGCACACGATCCCGCCAACAACCTCCAGGACACATGTATAGCCCACATGACGCCCTCACAAGAACAGCATCTGCACTACAATACTGCCCAAGTAATAGGGCAGGGCAGCCAAAATCAAAATCTGTTCGTCTCCTTACCAGGTAACCTGAACCCTCTAGCTGGTCAGCAGCAATGGCCCAACTATGCAAATGCGACCACAACTAACGCTACAAGCACAAGCAGTGGCGCTTTTACGCAACAACAACATCAAGCAGCATCTTCACCGGCGGACTATTTGCCGACAGCGGCAGCAAGTGCAAGTGGGTCCTCCGTTGTTACAGCTGCAACAACACAATCAACATTTTCGCTTCATACCAGAGTCTCTCCATCAGATGGATCCTCCATGCTGCCTCCTCCCTCCCGAACAGAATATCAATCATCTCCCTTTGCCAATCCCGTGGCTGCTAGTCCTCAAAATACTATTAATCCTGCAGCAGCTTCTGGTGCTCCTGGTACTGGTTCAGGGGCGATGTCGGACCTAAGTGCACAACATAGCTTCCTAGAAGATCACGCGGACCGCAGAGCGGCAAGTCATTTGCTCGAACAGCAACAGCATCATCCGGCCACTACACACTACAGCAGTTCCCCTCTACAGGTGCAACAATTTCAACAGCAGATGATGCATCTTCAGCAGTCGCAGCAGATTCTTCAGCAATCTCAACAGCAGATACATCAGCAATCGCAACAGCAGCAGATGCACCAGCAATCACAGCAAACGCAACAGGCAGTGCAGGAACAGCCGCAGCAGGTGGATCATACAGCTTCGGAGTCAGATCAACACCTCCCCTCGGCAACGGCGTCCTCTCCGCACGATAACGCTACTGTAGCAGGTCAAGGCGGGCAACAAGAGTTGAAGCCTGGATGGGGAAAATATAGCACGGAAGACGGCGACACCTACTTTTTCAATACCATTACAGGAGAAAGCAGCTGGGATCCACCGCCTGGCTTTGATTGAGTTCATTTCCCTCCTCATCCTCGCGTGTAAAAATTGTACCTATCAATTCTGATTCACCCACGACCAGCATCATGAAGATTACAAAGAGTCAAAAACAGAGAACAAATCAGTCAGATTGGTCCTCCACGCCTAGTCCTGCGACGGAAGGTAAGAGGCTTCTCTCAGATTTTGTAAATACTGATGAGCTCACAACAAGCTTCTATTGTCGTCGTGTTCACAAACTTTGACCACAGGAGGAGTAGCGAACGACATGCTGGGTAGCTCTTGCCTGTTGTTCGACCCTCTTCGTGGAGCCGAATGTGAATGTCTTGGATATTGTCGGCATCAAGACAAGTCGTGTAGTTTTTGGAAATTTCTTCTGAGTAGTTTTCTCCACGAAGTAGATGGTTCTGCTTGTGAACGGTCTAAACAAAAGGAGCGTCCGAATGTGTGACCGGAATTGCGCCTATTGAACAACAGCATCCGATCTGTCCTGTAACTAATTGTTGAGGGTGAGAGAACAAGACAAGAGTGGAACAAAAGCGTGGCTCTTCTGTATCATCTCCTGTAAGAAGTCATTTCAATTTCAAAGTAAAATAAGGTGGTGAAATTATATATTGTACATCTTTATTCTTTTGCTTTAGCCTACGAGAGCGGACGGTATTAGCTAGAAATATGGTAACAATGATTTTCTTCGTTCTTTACAATACAACTGTGGTTGAAGGTGATGAGACGCGAGCATAGAAAAGAGAACGCCACACGCGAAGATATTTTTAAGGCGTGACGAGCGAAAGAGTATGAGGGAGAGACGTGTACCTTACCCATTGTTCGTGATTTCTCCCAAAACATCTTTTGTTCCTTTCTGAAAAGACCGTCTGCTCCAGCAGCATGTTTGTTGATTGTGTTATTCGGGTGCTTCTTCATGTCTCAGTTTGACTACAGACGATCATGACAAACACTTGTCTGATATTTTAAGGCGTTGCTATCCATCAAACTACAAGTAACGAGACTGAAGCCTCGCAAACAGTCAGGAAATCTGTTACAAGAACATGCAAATGATTCATGCATGTTCTCGTCTGGTCTAGAATCTAATTTTCCTTCCTGCATCAACGTCCAATCCCAATCATGAAATATAACTAAGCGTAGTTCAAGTCTTCTTCTTATGAAGCAGTACAGATCTTAGAAGTCGTTTCTTCCGCAGAGTGATACAATTGATCGTTACTTAGCCAATCGTATTCGTGTATGATAGTACTGAGTAGCAGTAGCTGTAGCACCATTTTTTGAGTGACGACCTAAGCATATTAATCCACTCGTCTTGTTGTTGTTCTACAAATACTTCCCCATCTTTTTAATCGCAAAGTTCATTTTGAGCGCCAACCGTAAAACTACAACAAAAACAATAAAGTAGTGTTATGTAGTATAATATTCTGACTTGATGTGATCTCAACACTGATTCTTCATTTTCCTTCTACGGGCAGCTCCTTGCTCTACTACAGCAAATTTTGCACACAGGAGGTGATATTGATATAAAGTGAAAAAATGAGGAGGCTTTGTTCAGCAGTCGTCCTTGCGACCGCATGGAAAAATGCGGGGGCAGAGGAGACTGTTTCTCCAGCATCTCTCTCCAAATTTATGACTGCGGCGGCGTCGGCTTCGGCAGCGAATATAATACCTGCAAAGTTATGGCTAGTTCTTCGTAATTATTATTATCCATGACAATTTTGAGTGTGTCCTCGTGTGTGTGTGTGGGAAAACATCCCGGGCGCGAGACTTACTTCCCCTGTATAGTTAGTTTTGGGTACTTCAGCCAGGTCGATAATGAAAAGCTAGCGTCCCACTAACTCTTGCAGAAGAAGACATACCTGCAGTAGCACGAGCAGCCACTCCAAATCTTCAACCTTTGCCACCAGCTACGGAGCAGTTGAACAGTGAGCCACCAGCTCGTAGAGAATTGGAGGTAGAACTTCCTGGCGCTGTTGAACAAGAGCAGGTGGAAAAAGACACAGCTGCCGAGGACGCAATAGCCACTATGGACAGTATACCAGAAGCTCCGCCAGAAAAGCCGCACGGCGGATTACTCAGATGGTAGTAAGGCTGAATATTTTTGAAGCTTCCTGCCCTTGGTCGTGCATTTCGAGTGACTAAGATGAAGTAAATTGATAGAGATGTTTAGCTTTCAATCCTAGAAGTAGAATGGAGATCCCTGGGGTTGCCTTTGCTATCATCCGTCCTCCACCCCCTTTCTCCCGCATCTGCTTACGAAAAGTCCTGTAGATGTTATTCTTATTTTGGTAAGAAAATCTTCTGTCACAGAGGAAAAACACACTTATATTATACGTAGTGACTGTGTCCCACCTTTTGTAGAAGATGTAGCTACACATACAACATCTTCTATTCCGACATGACATACTTAAACGAACATCTAATCAGGTTTTGGTGGTTTGTTATTGCGTATATGTTTTACGCGCAAGCGACCATCTGCGACGAGTACTTCGTTCAGGCAATCAAGGTCATGGTCGAAAAGTTTCAGATTCCTGAGGACGTCGCGGGTGCAACTTTAATGGCCCTTGGTTAAGGCAGGTTTTTCATCACCTACTAGCTAATGATAATGTTGCGAGGTCATTGCTTGAAGAATCAACTATAAGGAGCGATCATTTCATCTCGTTTCCAGAAGGTAAAGCCATTCGGATTCAATCAACAAATCAAGAACAAGATGATGAAAAACTAGCTCTAACCTGGTTGCAACGGCCCGGAACTCTTTACCAACTTCATCGCCATATTCATCACCCACAATGATGTTGGCGTCGGTAATGTAATTTCGATTTTATTTGAACTAGATAAGAAAAGTAGATGCTCCTGCTCCTGTGGTTATAGAAGAACAGGATTTTACTTTGTCGCAAGTACTAGGAGGTAGAATAGTACAACGTACTACTACTAGTTCTTGATCATGTAGGGTCATCATGAATTTTTATGTTTCATAAAAATATGCCTGCCTGTCTCTTTCTTCATCAACCGTACCGACCTCAGGAACCATCGTCGGATCGGAGATTTTCAATCTTCTGTGCATTGTCGGAGGATCCATTGTGGCTTGCCCAAAGCTACCGTTGGAGCTGGAAAAAGCGCCGTTCGTCCGCGATTGTGCATTCTACGCTGTGAGCATTCTCATGCTTGCGTGGACCCTGGCTGATGGGGAGGTTACCACTCCAGAAGCAGTGAGTTTACTTGTCATGTGCGGCGTATATGCAGTCACCGTTGCAATGACGAAACAGATAGTTGCGAAACTGTATCCCGACCGGCCGAAGCCAGTGCTCCGTCGTTCCATCACGGGCACTCGGGTGATGATGGCAGACGGTTCCCGACCCTCAAAAGAAGCGATCCGAGCAGGGATGGAGAGTGAGGAAGTGGAAATTAAGGTATACCAGGGTAAACCTTGAGTTAATAGTTTTTTTTACTTTCTCGCTGGATCTCGGTCTTCCAGTACATCAATGCTCTTAGTTGCATGCGAGCTACACAAAAATGAATATTTTTCTTGATGATAGCTGTTAGTTTAGGATGTCGTTTCAGACGACTCTCAATGCTTCATCTTTTCTGCATTAATGACGATGAGAATGAGTCATGCCTTTTTCTTGATTCATGAAAGGCTTTGATGTTCACGTTATTCTCTTGAATCTGACTAAGATCGGATGCAGTCAAAAACTCTAGCTTTCTTGAGGCTTGCTAATTCATTTAGCAAGAAATGAATTTGATTAAAATTGTATAAAATTAAAAATTCTACTGTTCTGTCAGAATTTGAAAACTGGATGCCAGAATGTGAAATCTAAAACTATCTTGAGTATTTTTTTTCTCTAGAGGCTTGCTAATTCGTTTCTAAGGAAATGAATTTAATTAGAATCGAATAAAATCAAAAATTCTAGTTTTTATTGTCAGAATTTGAAAAAGTGGACCTATTTTGATTTTTTTTCTCTTGAGTTGGCGCTTGTTAATTCGTGCCGCTGGAAATAAATTGGAATAAAATCGAATAAAATCAAAAATTCCGACTTTCCTTCAAGAAGAGGTTGAAAATTTGCATAATTTTGAATCTTCTGAATCATTCAATCTTCATTTGGTTGCACGTAGTTGATTTGTAGCTTTGTACGTTGTTCCATACTGCCTGTCACCCAAAACCTAAAGTTTCTCCACTCAATTAAAACCAATTTCAATCGCTTATTAGGTGATACAACCTGCTCGGTTTGACCATGGTTTGGACGCGAGAGAGGTAGTGACTCTGCAGGTCAAACCTGAGGGACTCGCAGTTGAGTGCGAACTGCAGCAAGACCAACAAAGTTTCAATTTTCCCTTGCTGTCACACAGAAACGAAACGGGAGATCAGACGAAAATCCTCAGGTAAAAAAGATTTATGTTCCCTTGCCCTTGTAGTATGCGTATTACCTTACAGTTTGACCGTTACATCTGAAATTATGTTCGCCTATTTTTTCTCAACTTCTAGGAACCAACTTTCATTCTTCTTTAATTAAAGTCAGCAGGAGCGTGATGCCAACCATATAAGAAATTAAGGTTCGACGATATGGTCGTCCTCGAGGAGACCAGCGAACGAGACGCACCCTGCGTGCTTACGTTGGATAATGGTGATAGAGTCGGCGATATGCTAGAGGTGCAGATGTGGTTTAAAGATCCAGAGCATCAAAAGAAAATCATAGGAACTATGAAAGCAGCGATGCCATCGCGCGCATCAATCGTGGAGCAGGGTAAGGTAGAGGCTGGGGAAATGCACAGAGCATCGATGGCAGCCGCAACCACTTGGTACAAAAAGCTGCTTCTGGCAGTGGAGTTTCCGCTTGCCTATGTCTTAGTTACGATAATATCCCGTGGAGGTGCAAAAAAAAAGAGTTCATTGTGATTTTCACAAGGAAGTGTAGTACTAGTAGGAGTAAAGTAACCAGTTGTAAGAATTGTCAAGGAATTTTAGGAAGATGTAATATTCTAGATCTAAATTACCAATTTTGAATAGAAGCTACCTCCTACCTAGTGATAGAAGTGTTGCATGATACGGTCAAAATGGACATCATAATTGTAAACAAAGAATAAAATCCTCCTCTAATTCCGACTTAACTATGTCCTGGTGTGACGTGAAGATTCCGATCAACGAAGAAAAGTGGGGAGCTTGCTTCGGCATGAGCATGGTCTGGCTTGCGATTTTTTCATACTTTTATGGCATGGTGGTCGTGAAGTCATTTCTACTTCTGTTCAAGCTACTTGAAGTTGATGACCGTTGTCTTTTTAGTCCTATTTCCCCTTCATCTGTGCCCCCCAGACTTCGGATGACGAAAGTGAAAGTGGAAGGATTGTTCCCTCTGTCACAATTTCAAGGAGACTCATACTTTATTCTCCTAACCACGCAATCAATATCTACTTAGTTTCGTCTCATGTGGAACTTTTTTGACTATCTAAGGTTTACCCGCTTAGTGTTACTCAGTTGCGAAATTTAGAAGCAAATAAGTACCTGGGCCTTCAGCTCCTCTAATGGGTAATGTGCTCAATTGCGGACATAATCCACGATGAGTTTGGCATTTCTACAGGCCTGTTGGGTATCACATTGTGCGCTGTGGGTACGAGTTTCCCGAACTTCTATGCAAGTCTGATCATGGCTGGAGAAGGGCGTTCAGCGATGGCGATCGCGAATGCTTTAGGGTATCTATAACCATATAGTAACTCTACACAGACTTCAAATTGACTGGAGGAACTTCTGTCATGACATGCTCATTAACGTGTCTACAAATTTCTCCAACAAGAACTTTTGAAGTTTCCAATTTACTACTAGTACTTCCTCCCATCTATTGACTTTGGCCGTACGTAAAACAAATTTTCCACCATAGACACAGTAGATGCCAATCCGACCCTTCTTCTACAACTTCTTGTAGTTATCGTAGGCGTATCCGAGATCCTATTTACCAGGCCATAGTAGGTCCTACGACCTTGGTGACTGGACAATAAAGATTCGACCACCACGACCACGACTTCATCACTTATTAGGTCCAATATTCAGAACGTGTTTCTGGCATTGGCCGTGCCATGGACGCTGAAGTGCTGCGTTAGTGGTTCGTATGCAGTTGCTGCAAACGGCATCGGAATCGGAGTTGGTTGGATGGGGATCACATTGGCGATGGTGGCCGGTCTAGCTGTGAAGTACAATTGCCGCCTCGATGCCTGGATGGGATGGATGCTGATCGCAACCTACGCCGTGTACCTCGTCATCACCATCTTTACTACAAACTAGAACATCTTCACCAGCTTGGACATGCTGCTACAGGAGTATGAAAAAAGATAATGAAGTTCTACAAGCAGGGTAGACAGCCAGAGCTTTTGAAGTACTACAAGCAGGGAGACCTGAAGTACTCTAACCAGTAACAGCGGATGAAGAAGATGAAGTCAACGCTAAAATAGTGCTTGAAGTACTAGAAATTGCAGCTGGAGAAGCACTACTCATGTTACTGTAGGAGGAGTATTCAGCCAGGGACGAGGGAGCTACTACTGGTAGATTGGGTCTTGACACAATGGTGGTTGTAAAGACAGTCGTAGCTCGAAGCTTAGTCATTTTGTTCTTGCACAGTCACGTATATGTGCTGTCGTTTCTTTTTTTTGCGATAGATTGATGGTAGTTCCAGTTCAATGGTTTTCATTTTTTTAGTAAATAAATGACAGATTACCAGCAGCAGATAGTTCAAGTTTATGTCGTGTCATGCGGATTGATGATCATGATATTACGTAAGTCATTTTTATCATCCTTCTAGTTCTTGTATGAGATAAGTAACCACAAACACAATAACATCAAGAGACCTGACATGATTGTTATTCATCCAGTCGTCATTCCTATTCTTTTCTAGGTAAGTGATTCTTGTGGTCGAGGTTATGAACAGATCGCAACATCGCTGAAGATCATACTCCTGTAACGTTGATCCGAGTAGATGATGAGGGAGAGTGTTACATCAAGCACCACGACCAGCTCTACTACGGTGTAGTTCTTCGGAGGTAGGGAACTGCTAAGATTTTTTGTGTACAAAAACTGAAGAAGCGCACCGAACGCGCTGTGCGAGCGCTAGACTATAAAGTCAAGTTATTGTTCTGAACGTGATTAAAACTTCAGTGGCTAGTATGGTCGCTCGGCTAAGAAAAAATGGTGAGTATATGAGAACGGCAACACAATCGCAATCGACGAGGAGGAAAGGCAAAGTAGCATAGCGAAAAAGGAAAGGCCAGAACGTGATTGATTTCCTGGCAAGATGTAAAAAATGTAATATGTGATCTAATGAAAAACTGTATCTCGTGATCTACATGATCTACATTTTCCACGTTCATGTCGTACATTATTGAGAACACCCACGAGCGTTCCGACGTTGTCTAGACCCAAGCCTCTAGTACACCAAAGCCTTTTTTCTTTTTTGCCGTTGAGGTTGACCAACCAATCTCGTATTGATTTTCCAATTCCGCGCGTGCCATCAAAGATGATGTTGCGTCAGAGTCACGCCGGCGGTGGCGGAGCGCCCCAGTTTGACGCAGCAGGCAATCTGCGTACACACCGAGTCTGTTTCACTCACAACAACTGCAGCGACCTAATCGTAGCGTCATCTTCTCCTGCAGGAGTACAACAAATTGTACAACAACGAGATGCAAGTAGTACTAAGAATGGTGTTCTCCTGTCTACCTCATCGGAGAAAACACCTAAGGCCACCAAGGGCGAGTTGCACAAGAAAGGTCAGGACCGCGAGGATCAGAACAAGACGTCAAAGATCAAAAATAGTGCTGGTACACCTACAACTACAGCTACTTCGAAGCCCCTTGATGTTGCTCCTTCTAAAACCATGCGTGCAGCTGAAAATAAGGAAAATTTGAAACCTACGACCAAGAAAGAAAACGCGAAAACGGATTTTTCAAAATTCCATCGAGTCAAATTCACGGCAAACGGAGGTGTCGATCAGCAATTCGTGCAGAAAAATGGTATTACGTCGATGGAGAAGTTGAAAAATTAATCTTGTTTGTGAATTGGATTACTTCCCTCGCAATAAATTATGTTGTAGTTGTGATGTACTAGGACTAGCCGTACTATCCTCGATAATCTGGTAGGACTAGTACAGTTATCGTGGAAGGATCATCATGAATCGATTCTCAACATCAACACACTAAGAGAAATATTGTCAGGTTTTTACTCAGCCACTCCGCTTGTTTCGCCTCGTGGCAGCACTACAAGGCGAAATAATGAAAGCAAGAACAAAACAACCGGTGCTAGGGTATTTGGTACGTCGGGGGAAGAAAAAATGGAGACCACAAGCACCAAAAATCAAATGCTATGATAAAAAATTATAGTTCTTCTAAATTCGTTATACTAGTTTCAGCTAGCATCTTCAAGAAAGTGATAAGATAGTTCTACTACTAAACTTAGTATCACAACAACTGCTAGCGATTCTAAGACACTACGACTATTAAGTACATAGTAGATGTAGTTGTAGTGATCTGGAAGGACTAGGGCAAGAACTACTTCGACTTCGACGTCTCAGTACAGCTGAGCATTTCCCTTACAGCAACCTACCTTCATGCATGGTGAGTCGGACGACTGTCGCTGTCCCCTTTGCCAGATTGTCCGACAGTCAACTGCAGAGTAATCGATCAACGAATTTCCGAAAAAGAATGAGCTTGCGACACTCTCCGGCTTCAAACGCGACGACCACACCTACCAGTAGTTCTTGCGGCGTACTACAACAGTCTTTGTCGGAGCAGGGCAGTAATATTTTCACTCCCGGCTCAAGAGTTGGTGTAGCGGACGACGTGGTATGTAAAACTAAAAACTCTTCGGCTTGTTCTCCAGAGGGAGGCCAAGTGTCGGTTTCCACTACGCCTGCGCGCAGCACTCCAGCTGAACAAGCGCGACGCAACCTTTGCTTTACTGAGCATGCTGCAACTGTCAAAAGCGTCGAGGAAGTGAGAGATCACAACAGTGACACTCGCAGCTGCATCAACAACAACATCCCAGCTCCGAGAGCAACAACGCCTGTGATGAATAGTAGCAACAAGGGGACCACTCCCGCCCGTTCTGCTGCTGCAATCCCTTTGGCTGGGGTCGGTCGCACTTTGCCTCGTACGGGGTCACAGGAGTCCGTGGCTTCCTCCACTCTGTCCTCACTGAGTACCTCTGCACGCTCAACAGCTGGTAGTGCTATTTCGTTGAGGTCCACTGCGTCTACTGCACCCTCGTGCTGCGGAGTCGAAAAGGGTGCTCCTGGCAATACGGGAGACTATAAGGAATCTGCTAAAGTAAGGCTCACTCTCACTTGATCTGATTGATAAATGATATTTGTTCTTTATCCATCATAAAGAACATAGATGGAGTCAGAGCAGCTTCTTCACGACGACCACAAGATGTGCAAGGATAATTCTGAGTAGGTACCGAAAACATTCATATTATAATTGTTGTTCTTGTTCATGAGAAGTTTTTTAGGTCAGAAATCGAAATCGTAGAACAAAAATTTCCAAAATACTTGGAGCTCATCTAACAACATTCTTGCGTAAAGTGAAGACCGCAGCCTGGGATGTCGACGTGAAGCCCACACGCGTGGCCTCGAGCCGAACTGCCACAACGGCCGCCGCTTTGCCAGCTGCTGGAGGGCGAGGTATAGTTAACCCGGTTTGTTTTAGCAGAGTACTAAACCCAAAAGGGCTTGGTAAGTGTCTATTAACAAGATCATGCATGTAGATCATAGTTTTGCGATAGTACTATTTTTGAAGATACGACAAACTGGTATGTAACAGACACTCGTCACATGATCCTCCATTTCCAGTCGTCTCCAACTTCTTTTCTGATCAGCTTCTCTCCTACGATAAAGTGTACGTCTATTGAAAACGGGCTTTTGAACGATGGACGACGAACACGATTACCAGCTGTCACAGCCGCACGAACAGGTGAGAAAGGGAAAGAGTAGGAATAGGCCCTTTTTCCATCGCGCTTTCTTTTTACTCATGCTCCACACCTAGAGCAGCTCGTGAGCAGTTTATTACAACCTAAGTGGGAAATAGGCCTACAATATTTGTAGCTTTGAATTCTCGAAGATAAAACCAACTCTCTTATCACAATCACGTCGTTTTCATGGCCTTCTCTGGGGAAGATACTAAAAATACTGCCTCTCTATTTGTGATAAGATTTCCAATAGAACAAGAAGTCCGTCATTCTGCTTGTAAAATTTGAATTGGTGAAATCGATATTGTCGCCTATTATTCTTGGAATTTCCCGGTCACCTTGCCAATTTTTATATACATGATTGGCGCATACTTCTCATTGTAACAAACAATTACAACACACTTTTTACAGCCTCAAGAAAAAAGCCTGCTAGTACCTTAGCGCTCGATGATTCAGACCGAACGATGGTTACACCCCCTCCCATACTTAATTGAAGTAGTCTTTTCCACCGACATCCTTAGCCTAGCAAAGCCTAGTAGCAAAAGTATAATTAGATAGATTTGGTGTAGCTTCTCCTTCTTTTCTTATTTGTTAGGTTATGCTGTTCATCCACGACCTAAGCGTTGTGAGGACCAGCTGACAGAGGAGGTACTATCACTAGCTACAGTGGCCCACCGGGTTGTCAGACACTTATTTGCCTCTCCCTAGAATTGCCATAGTTCTAAAACCCATGTGTACATTTCCGATATCAGATTGCCATGTTTTACATCTAGACCTAGTAGACCTAGTCGATCTGCTACCTGTCGTGACACCAACATTTCGATTATGGATCCTGAATATAGTGGAGTTTGATGATTTCTTGATGATACTTAGATTTTAGCCATCTTCATATTCATGCCTACATCTTGTTGATATTGATGAAGGACAGCGGCTACTTTTCACGATGTTACTAGTGATTCCAAGGTGAGAGTTGAAGCATATCAAGAAGGAAAAGAGTCGACGTGTGTCGATACCTTGTGAGTGCATTCAATTGCAACGCACCATATTTTCAACGTGTTGCCCTGTGCACCAGATGAAAGAAATCTTGAACTCATTTTGGAACGGGGAAATCAAATCGATCGTTCCAGCGCAGACAATGGTCAGCCTCTACAGGAAAAGGCAAATCATTCCGTGACTTCTTGTTGTAGTCGATTATTGACATTGACTATGAGGCCTTGTACTACCAAATATGTGCACCGATCTTCCTTACAATTTTCAGTGTCTCAAGAACAGCTGCGTATGAACAAGCAACTTGTACTTCCCTTGTGCGGCAAGCTCGCGGCGAAGAGCTCCCTTTTGGTTTGATTCTATTTGAAAAATGAATGTTCAGTCGTTATTACTGTGTCCTTTTAATAGTTGATTTGATTGTCCTTACTAGTCATTCCCGCGCTGGGCTATAGCACAATTGTAATCATTTTTCCGTATAATCAACTGAGAACATCATGAACATAACTATTTAATCAACGATAGGGATAGATTTATACGATCACGTGAAGAATATTTTTCATTTTCATCGCACTCCTCGTATACGATTACGCTGTGGTCAAAATCAATGTTGTGCCGCGTCCTTTTGTTCCAGTCTCTCGTATTAAGTGGTTGCGTCGTCGTCGTGTATACAGTGGAGGGAGCTGCAGCGGGTGGAAAGAATGAACAAGAACAAGTAGTTGTAGATGAGCTGCGAGCACAAGTAAATGGAGTTTTAGGGAGGGGAATCAAATGACTCAAGATTTCGGATGCGAAGATCCCGTTTCCGATTGACAAAGAGTCCCCAGACGAGAGAGCTTGACGCAGCGACAAGTAGACAAGAACAAGAACAACTACGAGCACCAGGCTCATCGTCTGTACCGGGCTCGTCGTGCTCTTCATCTTCATCTCCAAAATCTTTGCGCGTGCTTGTTGCCCAGGAGGTTCAGGTCGCCGTCACGACGCTGGGGGGAAGTATGTAGGCTACTAACCTTTGTTTATACCTCTAGTCTAAATCTAATTGTCCCTCTCACTCTACCTCTGTGGATGCAAGGGATGTATTTGCTCGGTCTCCGCCATAGGAAAGGAGACGAATTTCGGGGTACTAGCTCAAGCTCTAAAGGTATTATTTTGCAAATGACGCTGGATCGATCCGTGTTGGAGCAGAGAGCACAGACAGTGACAACCTTACGAAAGCAGTGGACAGAAGATTATCCGAACTACAATACCGAGTTCCTTTACGCTTTAGTTTTGATGGAGCCCCACGAGGGGCGTGTCTTGAGCGACGAGAACGCGCTGGTGATCAGCAACGTATCTCCGTCCAACGATCGGGAGCCTTCTTCGCTCCCTTATGAAGTGCAGCTGACGGGGGCTGTGCAACTCAAGCCTCACGTACAATCGACTTACAGCTAGCAGATCGGTCTAAGAAAATCTAACAGCTGCTGCAAGAATATTTCAAAGTGCGTGACGGTAATTGTATCAGAGAATTGTTTACCCAATTCGTCGACGTTTACTTTACGCAAGTGGCTGTCGTCAAAGATTACCAGAAGAAAGTGGCTGCCGGGAATATGGACCCGGAACTACTTCTCCCAGCCTACTGCTACTGTCGCACTCATTTAACCACCTCTGAAGAGGCGTTCTTGGAGACCCTTTGCCAATGGGCGGATGGAAAAAGCGAGGGTTGAAAAAACATGTTCCGACGCCCGAAACAAAGTAAATGAGCCAACTCATCGAAAAAGCACTATTCCGCAGCGGAAAAATCAAAGAGCCTGAATGAAGATGAACGTCATGAACAAATGCAAAACGACGAACACGAACAACGAAGAGCAACGACTAGAGGACCGAATCTAAAAATGAATAAGGAAGAACGAACGAGGAAGAGCGACAACGCAGAACACGAACAAGTAGAGGACCTAAGCTACATACTTACTTGATTTAGAATCTAACATTGTTGTTAGAAATAGAATGACAGCAGTCCGTATTGCATGGCATTCGGGGGAGTTACACGCTCCACTTTGTATTCTTTCGCACCTTCAGTTTTTTCTTTTTCTTGTAGACATACAATTGATTGATTATGTATGGTTGACCCCGGTCCATTACTATGGATGATCTTTAGTGGGCTAGGTCAGCGGGAACACAGGCGCGCCTGCACAGTCCAGAGCTGGCCCTGGGTCTGTTTTAGTTCCTCTGTTATCCAGCGCCGCCGCTCGTTAGGCGGCCGCATATAGTTGCCTGATTATGTATAATGGCTTTCTGAAGTATAAGGAGAAGTAGTGTACTACTCCAGAGCCATTGTTATTATATTGATTGCCTACAACACTACTAGCACAAGCACGATTGTTTTGTGGGCGAGGCCAGCGAAAAGACAGGCGTGCGCGGACAGTCCAGAATTGGTCCAGGGTCTGTTAGGTTATTTTGTGCCTCCGTTATCCACAACGGCCGCCCGTAAGACGGCAGCACCTCCATGGAGGGTTTTCCCCTGCGTTCTTTCTTCTTTCTTTTAAGATAGCTAATAGACGTGATCATTGGAAATGAAGATGGACCAAATGACTTAGAGGGAGTCTGCTCAGACCAAGCTTGCCGAATTGCAGAGCTACAATGCTATCGAACGAGGATTCTTGTTCTTCTTGCTTGATGCTGTAGATGCTAGCAGTATTGCGAGGGTCACCTCCTCTAAGTCAATAATATGGTTGGTTGTAGTTGTGCAGAAAGAGAAATATGAATCAGGTTTTTCTCTGCTCGCAGCATCCATTCACAAATAGAAATAGTTATCGATATCGTCATTTTTTTGGTGTGTCCTCCCTTGTGCGAAGAATTTCTTCTCACCTAGATAGGTTTCATCTTTCGGAAAATCTTTTCTCTCAGGTTTTTGGAAGATAGTTGTTTGTGTCAGTTTTTGGTGGAAGATAAATTGTGATATCGTTCGGAACACTGATCAGGGCGAAATTCCATTCCATAAATTGTGATAGAAGAACGACGTCCACTCTGATTTCTAGATTTTGGCAATAAGAATTAGAATTTTGGAAATCACTCTTTCGTACACTGACTGATCTCGTTTCTGCCTAAAAATGTCGTGGTTTTCGCCGTCAAAAACATCGCCCTTTTCGTTGTGCGTGGCAGCAGCGGTTTTGCTGGCCTCAGGTGCGCAAGCCTTTGCAAAAACGAAAAGGGTAGGAGGCGAAGCGTCCGTTTTGCCTGAAGATCCGTTTCTACTCTCGTCTCTCGTCGAGAAGGATGTGGTGGATGCTGTACAAGATGAACAAACAGGAAGTTGTGAAGGTCAACATGTAAAAGGCTCTCCGACAACTCGTGAACAAGAACAACAAGGACGCCACGTAGCCCCCCTGCTCGAGCAACCAGGACAAATGCATCAACATCAAAAAGTAGTGGAAGGAGCAGTTGTGGCAGACACCAATGATGATAGAGATATCCTCGTGCTTCCTTCCTTATCAACATCTTCGAGAGAAGCTCCTATCATCTCAAAAGAAGCAGAGCCGACTGTTGTGCGACTGTTGAAGCGTATTGAGAAGCTGCATCAAAATGAATTGAGCTTATCGCCAGCAATGGCGGAAGCTCTTAGTTAAGGCGCCACTCGATCAGTCATCGTTTTGAGATCACAGTATGTTTCAGAAGAACAAGCCACTTTCTTAAGAATACTACATTGTCGTAACTTCTTTTTCAAAGGATGGTATCGATGGTCTGTCTGGGAGATGACTATTGGGTTGGAGCGCTAAGAAAAAGAACTCATTTCGTACTTCGAAGAAGGTAATGGCACAGAAGAAGAGCATCCTGACAAGGAGAGGCATGCAAGTAGAATGTTCCTCCCAGCGAGGTGGACGGTTAACGAGTCGTTTCTTGTAGATGACGATGAAGTTGCAGAAGAGAGCATCACCGACGTTGGAGACTGGACAAATACTTATAGTTGCCCGCACGTATCGAGGATACCGGATTTTTACGGAGCTCAACATTTTCACAAGAGCTCGAGTACGGAACTAGCAGAGGGAGATGGACAGGTTCAAGGCTTACGGGAGGAACCACAAGTGCAAGGGCAAAACGAAAGAAAGATCTGCGCTACATTGTCTTTGCTTTGGTCCCAGCTGCTCATCATTGAAACTGTACTCTTTCGAGTGAGTGACGGCCTCTTGGACCACAAGATTACCAACATCAAGCGGCACATGCAGGAGATGAATGCAATCGAAGATGATGCATCTAGAACGGCCTTCCCGTCGGATGGAGGTATATCATACTACTGGAATCGTTTCCGAGAGGCAAGTCCCTCGTTTCTCCCGCCATTTCCATGGGGAGGTAGTCGTAATGAGCAGGCTGTACAATATGCAACGAGCAGCCCGGTCTTGGACCAACATGCTCTGGACGGGAATAGCAGTGCTCAGCATCGACAGGTGATAGATACACCGCGTGATCAGCAGGATGATGTTCTGAGTTTCGCAGGTGTTGTAAATACAACAACTAATCAAGAAGTGGAGCAGGAGAAAAAACATGAAGATTATGTTCTCGACCACGAAGTAGTTCTAGGACGAAGTCATGATTTTGCTGTTGGCGAAAAAGAGCAAGAGTGTCCTTCTTATCTTCTTCTTTCACCAAGTTTGGAAGTAGAGCGTGAGAAGTTGGCAGCGTTTGAGGCCGACAGGGAGGAAAGGCGTGTCGTGTACGAAAAAACACGACTGTTCGCAGAGCAAAAGATGCGCAGAAGCTTAGTCGATGACAAGAAACTGCTCACGATTATCAACGAGCTACTACAAAAAGAAGCTACGGGAATGAACATGAAGCTCCTGCCAGCAACTAGTAGAAGTGGTACTTCAGCAGCAGGCGGAGCAGCAGCAGGAGGAGGACCTCCAACATCTTCAACGGGTGTTGCTGAGAATGATGTCGTAGAATGTTCTTCGTCCACGGAATCCAAAATCCTTATAGATGTCTTTGGAGGAGGACATGATGGCACCAGTGGCGGCGGTACGTACTCCTCACACGCCCTTTGCGCATCAGCCACGACAAACGTTTGGTCTAGCCTTTCATCGTGGATCCCGACTGCACTCTCGCCGTCCCCGCGCGCTCAACAACAAATACTAGATGTAGGACGAGATGAGAACCCTGTTAGGACGAACAAGAAAATGTCTGGAATTAAAAGCAGCCCGGCAATTCCTTCTTATACAGGAGGTCGAGGTGGTGGCGGTCGTACTAGAAGAACTGTGACAAGGACATCTGATGACGTTCATGAAAGAATAGACGAAGAGGAAGACGATGGCCTTTCAACGTCCAAATCCACACCTAGCTGTACCAGACGTAAGTCATCTCTCCGATTTTTCTATGCGGAGGATGGTCCGGTGACGCAACGAGTGAGCGAGTATCGCACTGCCTTGAGGTCAGTAACGACAGTGGCAGCGCTGGGTGCCAGAGTAGTGAGTCAACGGGCCTCACACGCCACTGAACACGTGTCACACACCGCAACGGACGGCTTTTTCTGCGTAAGCCGTGTGGCTCTTGCTTATCTTTGTTCGAGCTCGTTGTCATGGGGTGGCGCAGGACAACAAGAGCAGATCTGTCAAGACCCAACTTTTTATCATCAATCAGTCGAAGTTCAACATGGTGAAGCTGTTCCTGCACAACAACGACAAGGGGTGCTCCGGGACGAACGCGAACAGCATGCAGTGGTTGGCGTTGTATCGCCAGGCTCTATGCTGGCGCACCAGATTGGGAATGTGGTGCTGGATAGTGCTCACGGTCTCACTTCTCGTACAATTTCTTAAGGGGATAACTTTTATTTCATGTTGATTTTTAATACCCGGTACCAGTTGCATGAACAACTATCATGAAGATGTGAGTACGATTTGTACAGGTGTCTTGACAAGCAATTAGAACCTCCCTCTTTAGTTAGTGCAGAAGCACTGTTCATCAACGACACCACACTCGAAGAGTCACTTATGTACTATTTGCTCAAGATTCACATTCAGTCAGGATACGGATAAAAAGGAACAAAAGGAGCTACCAATATTATAGTTCTAAATAGCGCACGGCCATCACTGTGCCCGTTGGGGTATCGAAACGGCAGCAATTGCGGCTCCGGTTCTCGTTGACTTCGCCTTGGTGGCGGCGGCAAGAAGCCTTGATGTCGTCCTTGCAGCGGCCAATAGTGGCGTCGATGAAGATGAAGATCATCATGATATTGTCAAAGACGATACTTGTGAACGCGATTAATATGGAACGGATGCCTTTCCGTCTTCCGCCATTGAGTTTGAGTATTTTTATGACTGCTAAAAGCGAAAACCTCTACTACTCGTTTTGTTCATACGGGCACTCCATCACGACGAGAGCATAGCGAACGAAGGCAAAAAAGGATGAGCTTCAGTTTGGTGGCAGGCCAATGAAAACTTTAACGCTACTTCCACTAAGGCAGAGAACGTGGTGAAAGTAATTCACAGTCGCGTCACTTTCACACGTTGTCAACACTTTTCTATGTACTATGGACGTTTAAATTGACTAAAACTCATTTTTTTTGATACCCTACCTGAGCAAGCGCCGTGTGACTCGTGTAAGTAAGTATTTTTCATGTACTTGTTGAAGATTCATGATACATGTGGAAGATTTCCTATGAAGCAACTGAACATCAAGAAACAAAATGTAATCATCTACACGAGGACGAGGAGATACCGATATAATCAGGGCTTCATTTTCTTTTATTGAAGAATGACTTTTCCCGGTTTATTTGATGGGCGGACGAGCATGGAATCATCTCAGCCATTCTTAGTAGATGGTAACATGGCAAAATGCTAGAGCTAGTGCAACAAGTCAGTTGCTGCGCTAGCTAGTGATTTGATGTTCTTTATCTTTACTACTGAGTCTTGATCTTGTGTGTGAGCGTCTGTCGTCTAGTGAGGGAGACGAGGGAGAGTGTCGGTCTCCTTCTGCTTTATGTTACAGTGACGACGACCGGGGCGATCGGGATTTTTACGAGTGAAAAGAAACCGGAGAGAGTGTCCTGTTCACGAGATTTCTCAAACACCGAAATCATGTACGTGCTTCTGCAATAAAGATTTATCGGAAAATAATGCCAGTCACAGTCTTCTTTGTTGACATTCCCCTGGATTTTGAGCCTTCCCCTGTTGCTTTCTCACCAGAATGACTTGCGGAAGTCTACTACTACTTAAAACTTACCACCTAGGCCGTCGTGTACAAAGTAGAGAGCAAGTAAGCTCCTGTAAACATTGAAGTAGCTAGGGGGGCAGGGGACCTCCGCTTGATGTTGCGCTCGATCTTCATGAATCGTTTTTAGTGTAACTAAGCAAAACTACACCTACTCTACTCAAGTTATATTAATTTTTTTAAAGAGTGTTTTGCTTTTACTTTTAGTCAGTCTTTCTTTCCTACTAACTGTTTTATCTTGCTGATAAATTTTTGATATTGATCGCGTGTTTCAAAAATGAGTTCTCTTCGGACGGGCTGCAGGAGTGTGAAGATGATGAAGACTGTGGCTCGGAGACGGCTGGTCAATGTCGGCCCGCTCCAGATGCTGGATCGGTGCGCTGAGAAGAACCCGAGGGAACAGCGATTACAGTATCAGTTGAGTAGGGGAAGCTCATCGTCCTCTTCGTCTTCATCGAGTAGAAGCTACTCTTCAACACCTGGAACTACGAGAACTACTTACAGTTTTTCCAATTGCGGGAGATTTTTTTCATCATCAAGCCTGGGTGCGGCGGGGGAACAGTTTAATCTGTTCACTCCCTCACCAGAACACGAACAACTGCGACAATTAGTTCGAGAGTTCGCAAAGACTCACGTGGAGCCACAGGCTCTAGAGTCGGATCGTGCGGAAAAATTCAACCACGACCTTTTCAAGCGGCTGGGCTCGGAACTCGGCTTACTGGGACCCATGGTCTCCGAGGAATATGTTAAGGTTGGTTCATGAAAACACTTTGAATTAATTTGAGAACAAGATAGATGAACATCCAGCAGTCGCTAAAAACTATTCCCCACTTTCTTCAAGAAGTTTTTTTTTATGAAGCGACAGCCAGGGGTTTCATTCCTAGTGGGGAAACGGTAAGAACTCCTAGGTGTGTAAGGGGAATGAGGTTTCCTAAAGCCGCACCAGGAATATCGATTTTTTTTATCCCACTATGCCTATGTCTGTCGTGAATGTCCACCTTGTCCAACAAGGGTCGTAGCTCTAAAAACGGCGGGGCGAACTTTGACGCGACTGCAGCATGCATTATCCATGAGGAGCTTTCGTATTCGGATCCCGGATTTTGCTTGGCCTATCTTGCGCACTCGTTGCTCTTCGTTCACAATCTATTTCATAACGGAAACGCTGCACAAAAAGCCAGGTACCTGCCGAAGACGGTTAGCGGGGAATGGATTGGGGGGATGGGTACTAATAAGTTCAGCAGAAGTTGTACTAGTTTGTAGTAGTTGCATGTGGTGTATTTTACTGTACCTCCTCTTGAACAGTACTAGCTCAGTCGTTTTCCATGAACAAAAAGAGACTGCTCCTAAAGATCAAGCACATTCAATTTTTCATACTTCGATCAGGAATTCCATGATGGACACACAAAACAATCGAGAAGAATCGACTTGTTCTTTTTACGAGCCACGTGGTTCCAAAACAGGTATGTCCGAGCCTGGCGCGGGGACGGATGTTCTGGGCCTTAAGACTCGAGCTGTTGACAATGGGGACCATTTTGCGTTGAGCGGAAACAAGATGTGGATTACAAATGGTTGCCTCTCTTAAGGCTGTAGGTGATGTTGTTGTAGCACGACGTCGTGTACGTATTATTGGTTGTTGAGGATAGGAGCTTTTGTTGTCAATGCATTTGCATGATCATGATCATCTGCTGCATCTTGATGCTCTGGCATGTATTCCATCGTCTTCTCGACATCTCGTTAACTCTATAATTTTCCTAGTTCATGTCCATCATCCTCTAAGGTTCAGACTCAGAGCTTGGAGACGTGTACTTGGTCTACGCCAATACCGGTGACTCGAGCACTAGCGCGAAGGAAAACCGGAAAAATATTTCGTTATTTCTCGTGGAAAAAAGCTTCCCGGGATTTTCCTTAGGACAGAAGATTAAGGACAAGTGCGGGATGCGAGCCAGCAATACAGCAGAGCTCGTTTTCGACAACTGCAAAGTGCCGAAAGAGAATCTTGTTATGAAAGATTAAGTCTAAGTTTGAAAGCGAAGTGGTACAGCTGCTTTTGCTTTTCCAAAGACTAAATCCGATGAAATGACTTTTTATTTTCCAAACCCAAGAAAGTGACTCACTTTGTCCTTCCTTCCACCACATTATCATCTTTACCTGGTTCGTGAACAAGTACAACGACCTCTAATGCTTTGGGAGGACTAAACCAGGGAACGGTTCCGATGATGCGAAATCTTGAGATAGAGCGCATCGTTTTAGCTGCGATGAGTTGTGGTATTGCTCGACGCGCCATAGTTAAGACTTGTTGATATTCTATCCCAAGCCCCATGGTCAGATTAAGGGATGATAACCAATATGAATATCTCCATCTTCTCGCACACTGCCAATAGGAATAGTTCTTCTTTTTAGTGCAGCTAAAGCCTACCCACAGTCATAAATTTGTTGGTCTTGTTGTACTAGTTGATGTTGGAACGTCTAATTATGATGCTATGAGGAAGTATGCAGCTCAACGAGAGGCATTCGGGAAGACGATTGACAGCTACGGCCAGATACAAGAGTACTTCCATAATTTGAAAGATTATTAATCATGTCTTTTTCGATCACTGTTTTTTTTTGTTTCTACCAAGAACCCCCGAGCTGCAAGTAGATCTACTGCTCGCTCTCGCCACTTGCAAACACCTATTGTTATTTCTACGCACACGCTTCGTTCACACAGATGAATTTGATGGTATTACAACTTATCGATGGTGTTACAACTTATCGTGTAAGTGTATTTACAAGTACAACTCATCATGTATTTCAACAACACACATTGACATTCACATCAGCATGATCGCTACGTCGTATGCCGAGTGGCAAGCCTCGCGAAGCTTCCTGTATCGAGTCGCCCGCGGCACGGACTTGGAGGCAGCGGGACAGCGGATTGATTCAGACGCCATCAAGCTCGTTGCGACGAAGATGGCCACGCGAGTGTGCGACCGCGCCATTCAGGTGCATGGTTATGGCCATGGTTAGTACTTTTTTATCAAGAAAAATCGCTACTTGTTACATCAATTATAATTATGTCTATTAAGTACTAGATTGTACTAGTGTTTGCATCTTCTTCAACAGCATTGTTGGTAAAGTAGTACAAGTACTTGAAGCACCAACTGCAACATTACTGCTTGGCACATTTGGATTTGAAGAAAGAATTCTTCTAACGTAGAGGTTACGGCTACGTTGGAGAGTACGTGGTGGAGAGGCTGTGGCGGGACGCGAAGCTGCTTGAAATTGGTGGTGGGACCCTCGAAAGCCATCAGAAGAACATTGTGCAGGATTTAGCAAGATCGATTGGAGAAGGTGACTTGGCGGACTGAGATGAAATTGAAAACGATAGTGCGTCAAAGACGAATAACCTAGTACGAAAATTATAATGTTGTACTGATCGTGTTGATTAGTACTTTCTATTGTTTAGGCACATACAGTTTGTAATGGACCATCGCTGGTTTTTAAGCGCGTCGATTTCACAGTTGACTAAGTACATTGTTCTTCTAGTCGCGCGACAACCCGCAACCAAGTAAGTACTTAATCCAACCACTTCTCATTGGTTTGAATTGTTCAATCCTCCCAACTCCATGAATCTCCATCGCTACCATACTCTTGCATATACTTATAAAATATATAAATATGGATACTTTCTGTTGTGTATGAAGTCGCCTTTGTTCTTGTTATGCAAGCATATTATCCGAACTGTAAGGACAGGGCTGTAGTCGTATGTCAAGAACATCCTCATACTTGAAGTTCGTCATTTGTGTAGTGAAGTAAAGAGCTGATGAAAAATGGTGGATGAAACTGCAGAAACGACATGCATTCTGCCCATGTCCTGACAGATCGAAGCCAGTGGCTTTATGGGCGAATGGTGTATCAAAGAGGCGCACAACTTCTTAACAATTTTGAAGACCTAGATTTTTTACGTGACTGATCTTGAACAAAATAGGGCATTGAATTTGTAGCTCAAGTTTTTTGCTCATCGCAAAAACAACCAGCTTTCTAATAAAGAAAAATCAAGATCAATTCGCATGGTCGTTTAGGTTTACAAGTACCCCCCATAATGCATTCAGAGGAGGTTGTTGCATTGTAGTTTTGATGGTACGCACTGAAGGAAACAAAAAACAAGGAAACTGCGCGGTACTCACTGAGTCAACAGAAAACCACCCATTTTAGAGACACGGAGAGACTGTGCAGATGAGATGAAATGGACAGCATTAGCGTTGCACATCAGAGGGGAAGCCCCGGTACCAGTAGTTGCTGTGCAGATTTCCCTTCATCAGTTCAACTTTATCTATACTTCTGTTTAATGGTTTTGATTCATGTAGTGAATGTGATTCGCCTGACCTGACTTCTACCTGATTAGAACATACTAGGGAGCAACCAGTGGTAGAAAATATGGATCCTCAGTTGGAATTGACTGGAAAAATCGGCACGTCGCAAGCAACTGGAGAGCTTGATGTCGGAGCCGGAACGGGCCTGCGCGCACAAATTCTTCAGCTAGAGGAATTAGTGGAGGGGGAAATCAAGGCAGCGAAAGCGAAGATTGCGGAACTAAAGTACGTTGTAGCTGCATTCCGTAATGCAGTTTCCGTTGTTGACTTCGTAGAAGAATGTCCTTGTTCTAACGCTAACCATTAATCCTACTCGTAGGACGCTCTTTCTTGCTACTAGACGAGACCACCACCACGGCAGGATGATGTTGAGGAAGAACAGGGATACGTACATACTCCCTACAATTTGTTTCAGGTCAGATGGAACAGAACCGGTTAACGAGAAGATAGTCAAAGAAATGCTGGACAAAATGCAGTCCACGATTCAGGAAGCGCACGACAGGAGTACCACTACTATTTGTGATCCACTAGGTATCTCCACTACTTGTCTTCCTTGTAGGGTCGTGTATCCTTCAATAATGGAGTCCATTCTTCTATTGGGATAAAGATGATCGTATTTTCCGTTGTACTTGTACAAGAATCAGGTTGTACGGTATAGGACATCATTCTTGATCGATGTGGTCTACTTGTGCTAACTTGGATGTAAACAATGCTATACAAGAGGCACCATGAGGACATGACATGACATGATTATGGTGGACGTGGAGGTCTTCTGCCACTAGGATCATTTCTCATGATTTTCAGCAAACACGGATCTGCAAGACTACTACGCGTCGGTGCGAGACAAGAACGCGACAACGCAGAAGGAAATAACCAATGTGAAGCTCGAAAACGCGCAATTGCAGCAGACATTAGTGGCTGTACATTAAGGCTTGGAACGATTTGAATCACATTTATTCTTGTTGGCAATGTAAGTTTGTTAATCTTACTGGTTATTTCTTCTCCCCGGGTTATGTTTTGTCTTGCCGGTGATTTAGTACAGTCACTCGAGACGTAATGAATGAATTCGCCCCGTTGCCGAAGGACGATGGTGTGTAGTGATGAGTCTTCTTTGATGTAGAAGGGAATCTGATCAAGTGTGCATCATAATGTAGCAGTTCCAGTACGCACAATTCTCTAATTCCCGCGCCGGCTCAAGATGCTCGAAGTTGCTTTAGGAGATTGAGCATCATATGTGGGGGCTGAGTCAGAGCACCGTATGCGGCAATTTTCTTGTTCCTCTTTTCTGTTCCCATCCCGCAAGAAAAAAGATAAGCATGGGTCGTTTTCAAGTGAGAAAAATACTAAGTACGTTGTTTACGAATATGTATTTATCGTCGTCATGGTCAGCATCAGCATGGTTTTTCATCAATATGGTTCTTATTCAATGTTTGCACCTCCTAGCAACTCACGGAGGCAGACGAGCAGCAACCAATAGAAATCATAGATATAATGATAGAGTGATCATAAGTAACGCTAGAGGTTCTCGCTATCCCCGTTCCTACTTCCCCATTCAATATCAAAGATTTGATGTGAATGACTTTCAGCCCCACCAGACAATAGATAATGCACAGATGTTGTACAGGTTTGATGTTTATTGAAGGCAGTGATTCGGCTCATTTTGATTCTTCGGCTCATTGCGATTCTTCGGCTCATTGTGATTCTTCTGCTCATTGTGATTCTTCATCCTCGTTCAAAATGTCAGCTCATGATCATCATGTAGACACTATAGACTGAGGACGGCAGATGTGGTTTTTTCTGTCATGATCACCAGAGTCAGACGACGAGACACACACACACAGACCACATAGACATCAAGATTTAATACGAAGCGGCCCCATGAGCATAATAGGCACTCACTGTCTTCAAATGGAAATGGTACGAGTCACAAAATCTTCGACAATGATAACAAGTCGCTCTCTATGCTGCTCTATTCTATGAAGAGTAGCTGACGAACACGAAGTCGAAGATCAGCGCATTGGGTTCCTGCTTTTTTTATTTTTTTGATCTCTCCAAGGTTACATGATAACACGTGGACTCGCAATAAAAGACGAGATAAATAAACAAAGTAGCAGGAGGCGAGCAGAACCCATGCTCGACAAAAAGTCTGAGTGTTCAGTTGTTCATCAGAACTTTATCTCGATCAACAATGCTATACGGTTGATCCCGCGAAGCTGATTTCTGATCCTTTTCCGGCGTACGCATATTCACAGAACAAAAGCGCTCTCTGATTCTCAACGTTGGATCATGAGGAGCAAAATCTAACGCAATCACGAATGCAGTCGCCTTCGAGCTCCGAAAGAACAGTAGAATGTTGATTGCATAACTAGATGGAGTAAAAACTGAAGGAGTTTCACCAGGAACAAGAGCAGCCCAAAATATACATCATCTCTTCTATCTGTATCAACTAGTAGTTATCGTTAGCAAGAGGAGCGTATTGGCCGACCATGTGGGTGCTTGTATGAAGATGAACTAACGATTGAGTCATCTGTCAAGTAGAAGCTGATTGTCAACATTTGATTGCTCGGACAACAAACGGTCTACTGACTACTAGTGCTGAGACTTAGTTCTTTCACTCACAGCTATAACAGCAAATTATTTTTTTTGTAGTATTTATATGTAATCAACATAGTAAGATGATGATATATTTCCTCTATTGCTAGCTGTACAACAAGAAGAACAGGATCACCAAAATGGAGAATCTGTGCAACCATTTGCAAAGCGTACTCAGCCAGGTCGGAAAACTGATCGACAGTGGTAGGGTGCCAAGTTCGTCGCAGTTGGAGAGCTACACGAAGCAGGTGGTCGATCAGCTGAAGTTAAGAAGTGAAGTTACCTCATGCTCATCTTCTGTTGAAGATGGTTATTAAGTGATTGGCCTTTTTCTTCGCCACAGGGAAGGATGGCATCGATTGAATCAGCAGGGGGTATTACGATTCCGTCTACTACGACTAGCCCGCAACACTATTTCTTTCATCTTCGTTCCTTTTCGTCCACTTTAATTCGTCCTGCTCTACAAATATGATTACGTAGAAGGAATTATACTTAGACACAGAGCAGCAGCAGGAGGCTCTTATATTCATTCTGTAAAAAACATTTACCTGAGCACCTCCAGCTTCTAATAAAAGGGCTGACGACCCGTGCGCCGCAACATGTGAAGAGCGCGTTAGCGGTCCCATGGACCGCGGAGTATGACTATGATCGCAATCAGTTGATTCCCAATGCGAATTTCACTGCCGACAAACTGCTTGAGATTCTGAAAGACCTACTGAAGATGTTGCAGGGTATGCAGACAGGAGGTGGCAAGGGTGCTGGGCCTTCTACCTCGACGTCTTCTAGCGGAAGTCACGGTGTTGGTGCGCCTGCTGCAACGGGGACATCAACATCGTCGAGCGGCCTTATCGCTAAGGCCTCGGCTCCGAAGCCACAGCCGCCAGTTCCCACCACGACTAAGTCAACCGGTGCGGAAACACAGAGAACAGTTCTCATGGGAAAGCAGATGCAATTCCTGAAGAAGGGCTGGATGCAAGATCTCTCTGGAGGTCAGGGCCAGGGTGCGCCGACGAGACGAGCAGATGCACCACCAATCTCTGAAGCGAGCATGAAAATGCCGACGTACGAAAAAAAGGACATGATTCTGTCTGCAATCCGTCGGAACAAGGTGACCGTGATTTCTGGTGACACGGGTTGTGGTAAGAGTACGCTAATCCCGCAATTGGTGTGTGATGCTATCAACCTCGTTCCAGACGACAAGGTTGTCGTCTGCACACAGCCTCGCAGGGTAGCGGCGATCACATTACCGGAGTACGTCGCCAAAGATCGAGGGCAAACGATGGGGGACGAAGTATTTTCAAGCAGACTCTCAACCATTTATTTCTCCAAGATCAAGACATAAGTACCTAACATCAAGACAAACTACTGGTAGAATTAGAAGTACCTGCTAGCAATGAATTGTTGCGTACCTCCTGCTCGTTGTTTTCCAACAAGTTTATCGTCCGATGTTGCATGGATCAGTCACGACATTATTTCTATGCCAAGAAGTTCTCCTATATGACCATGAAGATGATGATGATGAATAACTCTCATCGCGATCATCGCTACCCTACTACGACGTCTGTCAGGTAGGCTACCAAATCCGTTTTGTGAATCAATTTTCGGAGCATACGCGTCTGATCTACGCTACTACGGCAATCGTGTTGCGCCGTCTCCATGCGGAACCTGATCTGGAGTCCATCGGTTGCTTGATAGTGGATGAGGTGCACGAAAGAGACGTGTACACGGATTTTCTGCTTCTGCTTATCCGCGAAGCGATGCTACGGGGGAAAATGCAGCATCTGAAGATTGTATAATACCCTTGATGAAATAGCACAAAATGAAAACTACAGTTTGAATATTCATTGCTCTTTTGACGCAACGATCGAGGAACCTAAATCTCCACCCTTTAGTGACGCCTATTTTGACAACTACGAAGACGAACCACCAAACTCAATCAACAACAACAAGGTTCTGATGTCTGCGACTCTGAAAGCTGAAGACTTTGCTTAAGGGTTGGATGTTGGCACCTCTATGAGCATCTCTATGGTTTTTTCAAGTAGGAAACAAAGCCATAGATATGCGAGCTAGCGCGGTCAACTTTCAACCCCTAACTTGTGCGGTACTTTGAAAAAGTAAATGGAGAAGGTACACTGAAGCCCGTTCACATTCCGGGGCGCATGTTCACAGTCTACGACTATTATTGGGAAGATGCTTGCGAGTGGCTTGACTACTGTCCTCCCGCTAAAGTTATGCTTCGGCTAGTACGTCTATTGTTTTGCTAAGGTGCTTGGTCCTAAGCTCTTTGAAGAACTTGGAGAAGATGAATTTTCAGTGCTGATTATGAATTCGAATCCAGTAGTTGATTCTATGCAACAAGGATTTCAAGAGTTTGAAATGTGCTCCTTTTTTTCGTGTTCGGGCAATAAGTAACGAAATAAGTCGATTCGTAAAGCATTGATGCGGCAAACTCTCGAATTTTTATGATTCTCTCTAATGAAGGCAAGGGAAAGGGCGGAAAGAAAGGAAAGGGCAAAAAAGGTAGGGGCGGTGACGATGATGATGCCAACGAATACGGCGCGAGCGAGAGGAAAGTGACGGACGTAATGCGCATAAAAATGATGAAGCACAGAAGTCAGCATATGCTGAGCGTGACGTTGAACTTGCAGAACTTTATTTACGCCTTGCACTACTAGGAATCAACCGCGGCGGTACAGCCACTGGTGTCACCAGCCGGTGGTCCCGATTGTATGATAACCATTTTGCAAAACACCTAGTAAATTATGACTACAAATTTTCAATCAGGTTTATGATCGCATCGAGCGAGACGATTCTTTGGTTGTGAAAAGGCCAGACCGGGTCTACGAGTACGCCAAGAAATCGCTGTCCGCCTGTGTCTTGTGGCGCGAAAAGGAGGTGTATATCGATCTCGTGATGGAGTTGATCATGTATTTTCACGAGCATGAACCGAAAGGTCCTGGCGCAATTCTGGTGTTTCTTCCGGGTTGGGGTGACATTTCGAAATGTTTCCTGGCTTTACACGCCAAAAATCAAAAGTTCAAATTGATTACCCTCCACTCGCTGATGACTCCGGAGCAGCAGCACGAGGCTTTTGAACCTGCACCCAAGGGGTACCGCAAGATCGTTCTGTCCACGAACATCGCGGAGGCCAGTGTAACCATCGATGACATCGTCTACGTGATTGACAGCGGCGTGCGCAAGGAGCGAAACTACAATCCCGCAACCGGATCGTCAGCCCTGGATACGACGATGGTGTCGCGCGCCAACGCAATCCAGCGCCGCGGTCGTGCCGGCCGAGTGCAGGAGGGCATGGTGGTGCACCTTTTTCCTAGCTACGCCTTCAAGGGATTCGAGGAATTCCCTACACCGCAAATGCTCACGAGCAGCATGGAAGAAGTTATACTGCAATCCAAAGTCATCTACGGTGGAACCAACGACGAGGTTGCGAAGATGCTTACGAGCAGCATGGCCCAGCCAAGCAGTGCCGCTATCAAAGACGCAGTCACGCTTTTGAAGGTACTTCCTACTACTAGTACGATATAATTGATGAAGAAACTATATTGAAAACCAGTTCTTCAAGTTCAATAAACAAGTAGCTTCGGGTCGTGTTGATAGAGAGAAATAGGAGCGGATGGACGATTGTTTTATTAAAACGATCTGAGATGAAGATGTAGGTCTTGTTCATCTTCATCTTCAGACAATGAACTGCCTGTCGCGTGGGGGTGAGCTAACTGCCCTTGGTCGAGCAACTGCTGCTATTCCGATCGCGCCGATCCAGGCGAAGATGCTGCTGCTTGGAGGCGCCTTCCGTTGCATTCGATACGCCGCTATCGCCGCAGCTTTCTTGGCCGTGAAGAATCCGTTCCAGACGCATCCTGGGACCAAAGGGGGACGCGATGCCGGCAAGGACCACTTCAACAAGGACTTTAACAGTGACCACGTAACGAACATCCAGGCGTACTATTTAAGGCTTCGAAAAATACACTACACTTTCAGAGTTCTCAAGTAGAGGAGTCCTCAAGAAAGGCTTGTATGAGTGGAAGACAGAATGAACACTGACATCGGTCAATCATCTGCTTTAGTAATTATCGCTTCTATCTAATCTACGAATGGCGACAGGCCGTAAAGAATCACGAGGGCGACGAATTTTGCGAAGCTAAGGGGCTATCACCGGAGGTGCTTGACATGGCTCACATGATGGTTAATCAATTTTTGAATTTTATGCTCGATGCGGGTTACAATGGCGCCGACGTGAGCCCCGATGGCGATATCATGGACATGCAGCCGTTCAAGAAGAACAGCGCCGAGCACTATGCATTGAATTGCGCTATAACCGGTGGATTCTGGCCGAGCGCGTGCGTCCTGTATAACAATGGGCGGTCGCCTTCCTACTGGTACACCATGGGGGGCGAGACCGTGTCTGCGTTCCGCGGCAGCGTCAACGCAGACTACGTCATGTCCAAAAAGGACGGCGATGAATGGATGGCCTACTGTGACAGCATGAAAATGGGACCGCACAACAGTATCATGGATTCCTCCTTAGTCACATCGAACTACGTCCTCCTCTTCGCGAACCACTTATACGTGGACCGAGTGAGAAAAACTGTGCGATTTGACAAGTGGAAAGCAGAGGTAGATGACCTCCGTGATTTCGACGAGATCCTGCATCTCCGAAAGGAAATCATGCCTGAGTTCAAGGATGCCATTGAAGGTATTTTACCTGAAGATTAGGACCTCAGTGATAATATTCGTGATATCATGATCTAAAAGTAAGAGTCCGGACCGTACTCGACGTAAATACTTGCTCTTCTGGTTCTTTTTCGTAGAAGCAAGTTTGATTTTGTGCTACTTTCATCATGATTTTTAATGACTAATGACAAGCACCCTTAGCGCGACAAGGTCGTTGGAAACCAAAGTCAACATAAGCGTCATTGTCACGACAGGTCGAGATCTCTCAACATTCCCGGAATCGCTGACAAAGCGCATGATCAGCTTCGTGTCCGGTCGTGTGATAGCACTGCGAAATATTGATACCACGAAGAGCAGCATTTACGACGAGCTACCAGAAGGTCAATGGGACCAGCTGTCGCTCTTTGAGTGGCCCCAAGACGACGGCCCGGACGATGACGAAGACGAGGACGTAGAAATGAAATAGCCAGTCGAAACATGAAGATGGTGATGGAACAATATAAATATAAACTTTTAAATATGAAAAAACATAAAGAAACAGCTGTATATTTTCAATCTTCGAATACTAGACCGATATACATATATCTCCAATTGCAATTATTTGCTTTTTAACTCGCTGTTTGATGGAAGTAGGACGTTCATCTTCTGTCGTCCCCGAGAAAGCGCAGGTACCCACCTTGATTTTCGTACCTTGATAGATTCACATGTTAGTTTCCCAATCCCCTTTCCCTAACCCAATAGATCAACGGGACAAGCTGATTCCCTGAAGCGCATTCACGATTTCACCACCGCCTCTACACGAAAAAGAAATCACAATAATAAAGGCTGTGACTCAACAGTACTAGTACAAGCGGCACACGTGCTGCTCTCGCAATATTGGGTGCAATCTGTCACTCGCTCCTGAGAAAATGCAAGTGAGTGAGTATGAGAGTGCCAAGTCCACGGTTTCATTTGTTAGACGTCAATCTCAATGTTTGAGATTTTCGTACTCGTTATAGTTGTTGCAAATAAAGCAGAAGAAAAATGAAGCGAAGATGGAGGAGGAAAAACCGGAGCCTTCTCTGAGTAGTCGCATGGGAGTCCTTCTTGTGCTTAGATGAATATGCCACGGAAATGTTTTCGCATCTAGAAACTAGTCTAATACTAGGACAAGCGTGTTGGTGTTGCAGACCCTGACCTTCACCAACGACATGCGCATGCACAGTGCTACAGTATGAATGAAGATATCTTTGTTGGATGATTTAGCAATCAGTATCTGAATCTGTATTTGACTTTGTTGACAGGAGTAGCAACCATGGTCTACTTACTAGTGAAGTTGACCGCAGGAGCCCCTCACCATGGTACAGTCAATGCCTAAATGATGTCGGTTCTTTTAGGCACCAGTCTTTCGGAGCGAAGCCATGTTCATCTGGCAGGTCTTGCTAAGAGTCGTGGACACTCGGGTCCGAATCCTGACGATTTTAGGCCACCGTTCGGTCGCGAAAAAGGTGGGAACATAGAGAACCTGGAGCTGCCATCCAGGCCTTCCGGTGATGTCCACGGAAGTCGTGAGCCAGCCACATCAAGTCTTGAAGATGAAGCTTCGTTGAAGCGAGTTTCTGCGGCCGGGGCTAAAGCGTACCTCAGCGAAGCGTATTGGGACTGCTCATCAGCAAAGGCACGAGCGGACGCAAAAAACGCGAGCACTCAAAGGGAATCGATGGAACCTGCTGCACACGGCTCTTCACGTGGCTGGAATTGGGATTCAAACAATGCAGCTGCTGCGCCTGCTACCTCCGCGTTATCTTCAAGTACACGACATGCTGGCAAAAAGAAGTTGCGCCCGTTCTCGCTTGTCGATATCGACGGGTTTACAGAGCTGGTCGTGGAGGTCCCTGAAACGGGCATCATCCAGGACGTGCTAGAAGGTGCTGCGAGTGTCATATTGGGGAGAATGGGACGACAAGAAATGGCACCACAGGCAGCGCCGACGCGGTCCCGTCTGCAACGTCTGGCAGGGATGCTCGATCTCGTTTCCGACGTCGAAGCCCCACCTGGAAGAATGCAGGACCGTGTTGTGTTTTCGCGAAACTTGAGTGTGAAGGCTTGCCACTTCAAGGGACGTTTGCGCGTGCATTTCCGTCGGGTGATGGCGCAAGAAGATCCTCCGCATGTCGACGGCGAGGATACGGACTTAGAGGACATTTTTGACGACTCGATACAACTTTCGGATCCGGTCCGCTTTTTGTTCCACGCGAGGACCTACGACACTATCTATTTTGCCTTGGCGGCACGTGCGCTTGAGGATCGTGATTTTACACTGCGCGAGCCTAACAATTCCGACACGGTCGTTTCGTGCAACTCTGGATATAACAGGAACTACAGCTCTTTCTCGCTGCTCATCGAGCTGGCGCGGAAGGCGCACCGGCGGCAGCATGCGGTACTGTCGGTGCTACGGGAAGCGGTGAACCGAAGTTATCACTCGTTGCAGGGACCGGCGCTGTTGCTGGCGACTTTGTCACACCTTTGCCACCGTGACACAAAGCACGGAGAGACTATTCTACACGCTTTGCTTAGACCACACGCCGTGCATAGTGAAAATGAAGCAGATCCGCCGCCACACGATCCAGGAGGTATTGACGAAACAAACAATGGCGCAACCGGTAATGCTCATTATGCTCGTGAAGATACCGCTTGCGTAGTAGAGGCGCTAGAACTTCTGGAAAGCGCCGTGCAGACGCTGACTGAGAGACTTTTTCTCGACAACAGCGAGCGCGATGAAGCACAAGGTTTTCGGGAAAAAGTTGCGAAGCATGTTTGTTTTCTTCTGTTGGCCATCGTACCGTCCCCGGCAACTTCAAGAGCCGCTAATGAGCAGGGTCGCACTGTCGGCATAGAGGAGATGAAGAGGGGGAGCGAAGATTTAATGACAGGGTTAGAAGAACGCTTGGTTGAGGAAGAACTTAGCTTGATGGTTGCAACAGGCGTTGCGACCGGGCAGGTGCGAGGCGCACGTGGCAATGATACAGATGAAGACCACGACACCAGCAGCGTTGAAAGCAGGAGACATGTGGTCACACGCAACACGGCAGGGTCTCTTCTGATGCTATTTTTGATCGCTGCGCGGGATCGTTATCAAGTAACGTGTCTGCATGTAGCCGCACGACAACACAGCGCGTTCTTCCGAGCGGTGTGGAAAACTCTAGGCGAGAACTCAAAATGCCTCAGCCGCGACAGGGCGCTCCAACGCCAAGTACCGCAACTGATTTCCTTACTTGAAAACCTTCTCTGTGATGATGACGAGCGGGAGCAACCTGGGAGATGCGCATCGTTTCTGATGACATGGCTTTATGGCTACTTTGCGCTTGAGAAAATCGATCTTGATGTAGTTACCCAATATATCGGCGCTACGATTTTCTTGAAGGTAAAAGGTGCACCGATTAGTAAGTGCTCACCATATATTTGATGAATTTCGCTGCGGATCACGTCCACGATATGAGGTCTAATAATTCCAGAAAGAGCGCGAGTTGGGGAAGGGGAACTCGGTAGGGAGCTTGGCCCTCTCAGAGCTGATCGCTCAATTAGAAGCGGGAGTCGAGGTTTTTCAATACAAAGCACCAGCGTTACGGTTGTTAGTCTTTCTTCATTCATTTCGATTTTGTGCACAAGATCAGATGATCCACCTCCCTTGTTGTAAAAGAATATTCAATCAATGGGAATTCCCATTCCGTCAAAATAAGTAGACAGACAGGATATTCTCGGTCAGGGAGAAAAATGGTGACATTCTCGACCCTGAGAAGTACTTGAAATTAATGACTGTGGCAAGGACCACAACTACGAGGGACCACCAACAAGGACGGGAAATGAATGAGGGCGTCGTGGTATATATAATTATACAGAAGAAGGAGAAGAAGAACAATTACTTGGTGGAGAAGTCCTCTTCTAGACGAAGACATCAGAAGGAAGCGCTGTTGCTGTGTTTGGGTCTCGCGTCCGGCATACCTCGTCTTCTCGCCGCGCAGAACAACGAAGGTCTAAATGCACTCCATCACGCGACACGATACAACTACCCCCGTCACGTGGCGTTGCTCTCGCGACTGCTCTCCCTCAGCGTACGTCTCTTTCTGGCGATGCACCTTCCCGTCCATTTAGAAAAGAGAGTTATGGGTGGCGTGTGATCAACATAATCAAAACATTTTACCATTTACTAGTGTTGTTGTAAATATGAATATGTAAGTAGTCAAATAGAGAAGGTCTCGGAGCACCTCATGTTGATCATTCTATCTGTCGTGAGGGTATGAAGAAGAAGATCTTCATCGAGCTGTAGGAAGCAAGCTCTAGTGTTGTGCTGTATCTTCTAAAAGGTCGCCGCACGAGGAGAAGGGCGCCAGAGATCTGCGGCATGGCAGCGATGCTTTTGTCAGACACGACCACGCTCCGGCGGATCTAGATGCGGTTGTGAGGGCGATTGATTCTGCTACGATTGCAGCGTCTTACATCTCGCGTGCAGCAATGGGTTTTCTATTTTGTGCGTGTGGTGCTGGGAATACAGCACTTCATTATCTTGCTTCCCGTGGCGACTTCCCAAGGGCAGAGCTCATAATCGAAACGGCGGCCGCGATTTTAGAAGATGTCTCCCAGCATTGGAAGCAGTATCTCGAACCGCAGGTGCTAGCGTCTCTGGACGAAACAGCCCTCGGAAAAGGCGAGATTCTCTTGAATTTATGAACAACTCTCATGTCGATATGGATGTTAAAAATGCTCTTGATGTTATAGGCATTGGCCAGATGAGCACTGGCGCCAGGAATATTTGGAATTCTTGCGAAAAGACCGATAAAGATACGGCGGTCGTACTTGTACTTGCGAACAACACGGATAAGCTTAAGCAGCATGCATAATTGAGGGTAGAAGACTCACCCACCTTTCTAATTCCGAAATTAAAGCGAGACCTGGATCTTCCGAGTTTAGGAGAATACTTAGGCCGACTCGACTCCGCAGGAAGGGACTTCCTCATGGTTGCAGACACGCGCGGTGAAGTGAGTTTCTTCTATGTTGACCTTGACTACTAATAGTCTACTGGTTGTTAGCACGGTAGTCAGATGAAGTAGAAGTCAAGATGGATATGTTGAAATTTCATCTCAGGTACGAAGGAGGTAGTTGTTGTATTAAGAGTTACAAATATAATAAGCTTTCATGATCCCTTTGCTATTCATTGCTTGAAAGATTGGTAATGACGAATCTTCTAATCTAAGCATGCTTTTGGAGGTTCGCGCTTTGCATCCCTGATGCACCGGCGGAGCAGCTCTGGAGGACACAGAAGGGATAAAGATTATGCCTGGTCTCTTAAAACTAATGAACTTTCGTCTGTGTGTTTTACTCATCTTGTTCGCGAGCAGGTCGTAGGTGGAATGATGAGTTGTTTTCACATCTCCGTGCTCTTAATAAGCATAGGCGTACAGAACGAAGTTGCGGCTGTCAGGATGGTCGTGTACAGCTAAAAAGTGCCTCGACAGAAGTCGCACGTAATAAGTAGGTCAAGCAAACAGAGGAGTGGTTCGTCTGCTTCTGTTGTTGGCATTTGCACTAGCATCGTGAATAAGTATTTTCTAAGGCTGCACGCATCACCATCAGCTGAGTTTGAAATACCAGAAGGCACATCGGAATACGGCAAAGGTTTTGGGAGGAGATTCGATTCTGCGACCGACGGAGGAGGAGAGGGCGATGCTTACTGAGTACACACGAGGAGTCAATGACAACGTCACTACCTACCACTAGTAAAAATCAAAATGATCTCGTTCCTTGTAGTTGGAGCAGATGATGTTGATGAATATGAATCTTCTACGTCTTAGTCAGACTCGCATCTTCACGAATGGAGAAGTACCGCGTTCGACTTGATCGAAGAAATTTAGTTTTCTGACATGAAGAGTCTTGTCAGAAAAGAAAGATCGCTAGCTGTACTAATAGAAGTATTTCTTGCTACTTTCTTTAGTTTAGCAAGAAGTTCAAAGAACTTCCCGATGTTGCTCCGCTTCGCACTGGTAATCGTCTCGTCGTGATATTACATTTTATACATAGATAGGAAACGCTGTAGAAGTGCAATTTCAATCAGGTCGATGAAGATGATGAAGACGGCTGGGAGGAACTTTATGTATAACGTCGATTGAGAAGTATCAAAAAGTCTGTCTGTGTTCCATCTTTCTACTTTTCCGAGTCTCGCAACGGTGACCCAAGAGTCTGTGCTCACGGACAATTTTGGGCACTGTAAAAAAGGATCATTAGCGACGAATCACAGTTCTCGAGGAGTGTTGCCCAAGATGACTGACTAGTGGCATCTAATGTTGATCAAAGAATCTGGTAATGGATAAGTAGTAAATCTAATAAATGCGACGTATGTTGTCAAGAAAATAATATGAGGAGCTTTATTATTCTTGGATTTGGTTCGCGATCCCCGACCCCGAGGCTGGGTGTCTCTTCGTGGATCTGGATAGGGTTGCTGGTGGTTCGGCTGTAGTTGTATTGTCATGGCTGTTATAATACTAGACATAGACAACTTTGACTTAATTCCTAGCGTTTTGAAAATATTAAATCTCTTGACCCTGTACCTGTTTTTGTTTGAATGATGTGGTATTGATTGATTTGAGATGATTTCAATGACAGGCCAATCGTGTATTTATACTTATCTGTGTTGATGGAACAGGCAATTTCCATTTCGATTAAGATGGAAGTACACGTGCAGCTGTATTAATATCATTAGGAAGATCTAATTCCCTTAGACCGTGTTGAAATACCCTTGCCCGATGTAGGTCAACAGGTTTCACAACAAAGTTATGACGTATCGACTTTCCTACGTTGAAGAACTAATCTGCAGATTGATAGAAGAAAGGTATAAGCATGATTAATTCTGTTTGCTGCATATATTTATTCGTTGAACTTCGACTTCGAGCACCTTCTACCGCAAGCTTAAAGTCGTTGCGCATATTATAACGTGGCACACATTTTCATTTTCTACATCAATCTCGATGGCTTCTCCTGCGTCGCCTGCTGTCCTCTTGCCTGCGATAGATGGAGCGCGTGTAGAGCTCGGGAGGAGGACAGTCACACACACACCTACGGTGGATCACGTGATGAGCAGTATGAGAAATCCTTCTGCTGAATTTTCCGGAACGACCTCCACGCAGACTGTGACGCCACCACCAGCAAACTATGATGATGGTGAGGTGAGTTACCTCGATCGAATCCAGAATATCCACTATAACCCTTCCCCAAGAACCGCAACAGGAGTGCCTCGTGGTCATGGAAGTGGAGCATTTTCATCACAGGCAATTGCTGATGCAGCAACAGCAGCTAGTGCTAGTAGTATGAGCGAGGAGCAAGTGGACGCGGTGGAGTACCATGCTGGTTCCACAACAACAGGACGCACCAACTGGCCTGCAGTTGCAGTGTTGGTGGGTCTTTCAGTTGGTGCAGGTGCACTTGGTGCTCGGTACTCGGTGAGGGCGGCCCGACGCGCGATGGAATCGATGGCCGCCAACACCGCGACTGCTGCGTCAGCAAACGGAGCTTCGTCGTCCTCCTCAGCGAATGCTTCTTCTAGCGGTGGTCTGTTCGAGCTGCTGCAAGGCTCCTTCATTAAGCGCTGAGGTTTTTCATTTTCTTCCAAACATTCACAACTCCACATTACTAGATAGTTGTAAGTAATGAAGATTTGAAGCGGGATCGATTAGAATTAGGCTGTTCATCTTGCACATCGCATAGGCAGCAATCACGCACACGCAAATACCAAAGATCTGACAAGAAATAGATATAAGTACTTATCATTCAACAAGCACATCAGACAGAAATAATCTGAATCTGTGGAGAATGTGAAATAGCACCACATCAACCTTCTCCTGGTTCTAATTTGAACAAACAATTTGGGTCGGGAAGCACGACCGCTGGAGGATCGGGTACGACCACGACTGCAGCAGGAAACTTTTCGTCAACCCTGAAAAACCTTTTCACATGGCAGACAATGGACGGGTTCGAGAGGGAGATGTCACGAAGGGAGGCGTTGAAAATCCTGAAATATGACTTTGATCATAGATATTGCTCGACGAGCTCGCTTGAAGTCCTCAAACAACATGATGTAGTAAGAAGTGTGTACTCAACATTGTCGATTTTGATTAAAATTGTCGCACGACGACTTGAAGAAGCCGAGCACTAGTATTACTTATCTTGATGATCATGGGGATTCTTTCTCTTTCATGATGCTACATGATCATGAAGACTTGTTCGTTTTAGGTGTACAAGATGAAGTACGTAGAACAAGTTCTTGTGCCTAATCACCCGCTTCTAATGCTGCCTTCGGATGACTCAAATGGATAAAGAGACTGTGCGGAAGCAACACCGCGATCTTTTGCTGCGCAACCATCCTGATCGTGGTGGCTCGACTTACATAGCGACGAAAATTAACGAAGCCAAGGAAAAGTTGATTGGCAAGGGGCGAGGCTGATTTTTTTACGGGCTTCACTTTCTTGGTTGCAGAATGCAGACACAAACAAATAATATGCTGAACCCGATGAAGATGAAGTTGAATTTGAACAAATCAAATGGTGGACGACATGGACGTAGTCGCAGTATTATCATGATGCAAATGATGAGAAGATGACGAAGCCTCATCGTTGTCGTAACAAAAGTTCTTTATCTTGTTCCAACCGGTTAACTTTTCACTCGTTTTTTCACTCCCTTCACCCCCTAATTATGTTCTTCTAACTCTCCTACTCTCAGAACTCTTCCGTCTCCTCATCTTCTGACTACAGACTGAGAGTGCGACGAGACCACGGCATTAACTGGGACGTCTTTGGTCCAAAGGTGTTCTACAATCAGAGCGTAGAGGGAAGAAAAACTTAACACAAGTCTCGAGAAAATGAAAAAGTGCAATCATCATAATGCGTAGTGTATATGAGAGATCGAGATTGCTGACCGTGCACGTGCAGGAGGCAGTGACGAATTCTGTTATGGGTAGACGAGATGCGAGTGACTACGAGTGTGCCATCCTGGAATTGGTGGAAGAACTATGTAAAAGATGTTCAAGAAGATGGACAATTCGTCTGAACTAGTTTTACAATTTCTACCTAGGAAATGAAAATATTCTGGATGTTGATAGAAATACTCTTACGATGACCTCCGTAGTTTTATTTACAAGGAGCCAGACGTTCCTGCTCGTCCCGTCCGGGTCCTCGCGGTCGTCGTCCTAAGACACTCACACTCTGCCCGAACGACAACTATGCGTCGCATTCATCATATATCACAATATATTGCGGTAACCACCTACTTCAGCTCGCGGGGTGGATGTCTTTCTCGGCGAGGATCAATAGAACGAGGACACTTCAGAACAACAACTTTTAGGTTTTAGTTGAAAACTACTGAGTGATGAAGTGCGCGCGCTTTCGTTGTTGTATTCCATTATGGGTTCTTCCACTAAACAAGATTATGATGCTACTTAGGTACTTGTACTTCACCCAGAAATACTTGGAAGAATCTGAGCTGCCCCTTCATGTCGCGGAACAGCTAGGTACTATTAAGTCTATTTTAATAGTACTAGGAGGCCATGTTGCGAAGTAGTATTTTTGTGAAGGCATCAAGATCAACACGGCTCGTGCCGAGTAAGGTACTTAATCATTTCTGTCATCTAGTACTAGAATGAACATACATGATTATGGATGAAAGCTAGAAATGACCCACCAGGAGCATTCTTTCTTCAGAATCTTTTTTTTTGATTTGAAGAGGATGATCTATCATGAAAAAATGATCTCCGTGCGTCTGTGTTATCAAAGTTCGTGTATTCGTGCAGTGCCATTCGATGTGTTATGTTGCAGTTTCTAGCACCATCTCCAAAGGGAGCATACGGCGACGCCGATGATGATGATGATGATGGCGATGCCGACGATGCTTGTATCTTCTCAAGATCTTCGTGCTGTTTTTGCGAAGAATTCAGATGGCTTTGGATCACGAGAGGAATTATACCTTCTGGATCTCATTTTTCTTGGCATTACTTGAAGATCTAATACGTTCGTCTTCGTGGTTCTGGTGGAAGATCTGTATTATACTGTGTGATGATGCGCTGATTGAGTAGCGAATTGTTGATGTGAGATACGAAGAGTCGATCGAGTTCCTTGTGATGTTGGTCTGAGGAACTTCAGACCGCGACAAATTAAAGAAAGAGCCGGAGAAAATTCTTCTTTTGCGCTGTAGTTTGTCTACATTTTCCTTTGCAAAGACCGATTATCTTCAACACAATTAGGTGAAACCGTGAATTCTGCACAGCGATTACAACGTTTTTCCAGAGTAAAATTTCTTGTGCGTGACATAGTGCGATTCTTCGATACGCACGAGAATGATATGAAACTGAGTTGGAAAGGATGCATCTTCATAGAACTTGTTGCAGTTGGGAATTTCTCACTCCCGTTGATCTAAAGTAGTTGTCCCTACAAGTACTGCGTATCCACATCAACATATTAATAACTACTCGTCGTGTAGGTATACCGGTAGGACTAAGAATTGTAGTGTGGTCTTGGAAAAGATGGTTGCATCATCCTTGCCGGGAGGGGGTTGTGGCACGATATTTGTGCCAACCGTTGTGCGCCCGGGTGTAGCAGGTTCGCGCCCTGCCTATCGGCCATCGTATCCTTTGACTTCGAGATCTGAGGCTGAGCACAGCAGAAACATTACATTTCTGCACTCGTCGTCGAATCAAGAAGATGCTGCTCGCGATGGAGAAGCTAATCCTGGATCTTTTCTTGGCTCATCGAACAAAGAGGGTGCTGGTCTCGGCTCTTCGGTTTTGAAGAAAGCAAAAAAGATAACGACAGCTACACCTGGTCGTGAAGCTTCAAAACAAGAAGAGATGAAGGCCAGCGGAACGGAAAGTCCTGCTGCCATGAAAGCAACTTGTTCTAGCAAGAAGAAGAAAAAAGGGGGGGGTCTCGACAAAGCGGTCGTCTCTCTGCTGCAACATGCCCCCGCAGCAATGGAGTTAGACGAGTCTCTGATAAATCTGCGCGATCAGATTCAAGTATTGCAGGAGAAGAATTCGAGCAACAACTCGCCGCAGCTAGGGGAACAAGATGAACTCTTAGTGTTCTACGAGGAAGTCGAAAGGGAGAACGGTCGCCGGTCGTTTGAATTCGTTCAGCGACAGCATCTTGATGATAGTGTTATGGGCGAGGGGGGTCGTGCTCGAAAGCGAGTTGCGACACCGTTTGAGCAGCTAAGGATGGTTTTGCCCAGGCTGGTCCTTGGCAAGAAGAAATCTGCTGAAGCAAACGCAGAAGGTGCTTTACCCCCGTTGGACGTTAGCGCCTCTATCACAAAGCTGGTGCGAACTGTTTTGAGCCGTTGCAAAAATGCTTCATCATCGCCATCCACAACAACTTGTACACAAGAACGAGGACCGCCCTCTCCATTTGCATCGCGCCTGACACACTTACTAAGCAAAAGTCTCAAACGGAAGCCATGGCGAGGAGCTCCCAAATGCGGCAAAGAGTTTTTTCGTTGGGTACAGAGTCTCGACGAACTCTATTTCGACGAACAGCTGGAAATACCGAGAGGCAACGTGAAAGACGCCTCGTCGCTCTCCCTCTCACCGCTTCCGCCCCACGCCTTCTATAAACGACTCATGTCTGTCGTCCTCACTGACAGTGTGTTGGAGAACAGGATGCTGAGCATCACTGACAAGAAGGATGGGAACAAAGATGCAGATCTAGTAGGTTCTGTTTGCCAAGAAATTCTCTCGGCCACGCTGGGCGACTCGACTACTGCAATTGTACCATCCGCACAAAAATTTTTAATTCCTGACATCTTCGGCTGTCTCGTTCCGGAGCTTCAGGAGAGCGAGCCTGTGCCTGATGCGACTCGCCATATAAATATTCCTCCACCTGCCATGGAATTGGTCGTGAAGAATCCCCTTGCAGAGTTTTTTCTAGCACGCCTCCAAGAGTTTGCATTATACCGCCACAGAATAATGGACGAAGCTGATCATGCAGGTCCTCCTGCTCCTCGTAATTCGGTTCAGGTGCTCCGGGAGTCGCATGCGAATGTCACGCGCGATTGGGCAGCTCGTTGCTACAGTTTTGCGGTACCAACGACTGAAGCGGTCGAGGCCATTTACCGCCATTTATCGTCGTTTACTGGTCCTTATAGGGATGAATCGAATAGTTGCGAAGAGAGTTGCGAACTACAACAGATGAGGAGGAGCATGAAGAAGCACCCACCTGCTGCAGGAACGAAGCGGCGTCGGGTTAGTAACAGTTTCGCCAAATCTAGTAGTTGGCTACAAGAAGAAGACAAATCACGAGAACATTTGTCATCTGAATCACAAGTGGCAAACGTGAAGAAAGGTCGGTCCGCATCTATTGTGGAGATGGGCGCCGGTCTAGGCTATTGGGCGGCATTTTTGGATAACTGCTTTGACGCCAAAGCTGCAAGGCGACCCTCCTCTTCGTCGAGAATAACTGTTCGGGCTTTCGACGTCATGCCTCATGAAGGTGGGCGCAACTTATTCAAAAACGAACTTGGTTGTACCAGAACCAGTTCTACTCTCTCATTCTCTTCCAGCAGCAAGACGTCCGCTCCCGGCGCACTTTCTGGCACGATCAGAAGGATTGTCGAGCGATGTCGCGAAAAGCTTACTGACGACACGACTGCGAAAGAAGCTCTCGCGTCTGCGAATGCACTCCTTCTGTCTTTTCCTCCGCCTGGAGAAACCATGGCCAGCGATGCGCTCAGCTTTTTTCGTGGAGACCTACTAGTGTATGTCGGCGAGTGGGCGACTGGGATGACAGCCGACGCGGCGTTTCATGAGTCGATAATCCAAGACTTTGATTTTATGGAAACGGTGCCACTACCACAGTGGGCGACGACATGCTACGCGATGTTTCTCTTTCGCAGAAAAAGAACCCCATCTTCTGGTGTGCGAAATGATAACGAAATGAATCAAACTCCGAACATGACGCAAAATAAAGAGCCGCAGCGCACTGGAACTTGCTCGATATTGGAGCGCTCTATAGCTTTCAAGCCCACGACGACTAGTGCTAGTTCATCTTCGGCTTCTCTTGAAAGCGCGACTAGTAGCAACAAGAAAAAGAAGGCTGCAAAAACTTCTGTACTTACAACAAGACCCACAAACCCTAGAAAAGCGGCGCTTTCTTGCTGGGTATGCACTTCCTGCGGATCACGTGATTTATCATGTGGTGCTTCATCTAGGAATAGTAAGACGTTGTCGCGCTTTACAGCGGGCAATAGATCTTTAGTGGCTTGTAGTGAGCAATGTCAATCGAGGCTGCTACGAGAAGATCTTTTCACAACGTTTTACTTCGGGAAACAGTTTGGATTGTCATCTGTTGGAGCTCGCTCCGAAACTGAAAGGAGATCTACTACATCTGCTATTTCGAAGGTGAGTGGAGTTGGAGCTAGAGAGGAAGACTCTGCCACCGAAGCATATGAAGCTGCCGATAGCAGGAATGTGAACAAGCAGAAAGACGCGAAGATGTGGGAGCCGCTTGCATTCACAGACTACGATGAGGAGAGGGCTTACAATGCGTTAGCACTTGCAACACCAAAGGCATAGTAATTAAAAAAAGCTGAGGATCATGTTTACAATATAATGCAAATGTCCCTGAAGATGTCCTGCTATCGCGAGCGAATCGCAGTCTCGCATGATTACTATGTGCTGTACCGGTATAGCTCAATTTCTTCAGTGGAGCCAGCCCATTACCATCTGGCATTTGAGAAAAAAATGCAGAAACATTGACACGTTAGATTTCACTATTCTATGACACCCCACTAGCACTATTTTCCACATCTTCAAGAAGAACGTGATGTTCATCTTGTCTTTTCGCTGGAATTTTCTTATTGATTCCAATGTGAGTGTTCTACCTGCTCTACACTTTCGCAGAATCTTGATGACACAAAGCGCTGCAGCACTAACTTTGCTCGAGCCAATTGCGTACGGGCATGTAGAGTAGCTCTACGGGTACTACACCCTCTTCTTCTTGATGAAAAGATTGGATGACAATGAAAATCACAATTTCAGACTGAGTGCTTTTCTTGTTCGAGAATATTTTCGTAGATGAAGGAACTAATGACCATTTTGACCTTCACCAGCATCAAAAAAATGAATGCTGGAGATCAATGTTTATCCTAGAAGTGGTCTCGCTGCATCCGCAAATCAGATTATTGTCACTCTTCTAATGTGGGAAAGTCCGTCAATTGGAATTGATTCACATTCGTGAACTTTTGACAATCAATGTTAGCAAAATTGTTGTTCATCAACAACACGAAGAACTTGGTATAGCTATTGTGCACCTCCTAGTTGTGCAAACGGAAGGCGAAAATTTGGCCCTAGGTCGACGAGAAGAACAACGTCGATTACTACACGAAGAGGTGATGCAAGGAGAATAGTATCCACCTCTTCGCAGTTCACCAAACCTTGTGATTTTCGTTCTGAGATCTTCTCAACGCTGAACGTTTGGAATTGAAAATCATACTTTCCCCGACCCGTCTTCTGGATAATGATGGTCATGGTAGTGCCTTTTCATCTACAATTGGTCCTTGTGGTGCAACATTTCGTGCATACTACATGATACAGTTTCTGATGTTGTAGATTCATTGAGTTTGTTTTTCATGATTGACTCAGATAGGAAATAAGATGAAGATTGAAGATGACCTTGTTCTTCATGATCGATACCCAGGTTCACACGCCACAAATGCGCTCAGTTGGCTATATCCCTATGGTTTAGACATCACACTTATAGTCAGCTTCTAACACTACAAGCATAACGGCTACGAAATCATCTTCTAGAAGTCGTTATTAATCTTCAACTACTCACGAACGATGAGTGTTCATTAGTTGCGTCTTGTAATGTAAGATCAATGTCCGATAGTCTTGGACGTTCTCCGGCGCGGATCTAAACGCAGGGTAGTGAAATGAATACAATCTACAATCTAGTGGCCCCTTCATCATCATTATATATAGGATCTTACTTCAAGGAGCTCGAGACTCATCCACAAATAAGTTTAATCTTTTTCGTCTATGATGTACGATCGAGCGACAGCGAATACGACAACGACATCATTTTCAGTAGGATCATTAGTTCTATGCCCATTTTTGCCTGATGATCTATGATTGTTTCCGCGACACTTCGACTCAAGAACGATAACTTGGTACAGTCACACTAGTCGTAAGGCTACAGCTTGATGTAGACGATGAACTAGTTGATGCTTGTGGCAACCTCTTCCATATCACGATAACAGAAAAAGATAGTATCATACTGACTAATGGTCCTGCTCGTCGGGTGCTGCTGCCGTTTTACTTCTGAGGTGTGACTACATACTGTTAGGAGCTGCTTTCATCATCGTCGCGGCCGGAGACTTTGATCGGCCTGTAGTGGCTCACAAAAATGTTTGGTCGACAAGGAGGTGATCGAAGGAGAAATCACAGCGCGATGGAAGATAGGCGTACTTCTTTTTTACCATTTTTATTAATGGCTATTTATTTTATCTCGACGAGGGATATAGACCCAGGTCCCCCAAAAAAAAAGGGAAGCCGGTGTCGCCCAATGAATGAATGAAGAATGAATGAATGAATATTGTAATTTTTAGTCTCATGAGTAAGCACTTCTTGTTTTTGATTTTGGTCAGTCCAGGTTCAATAGATTCTCCCAATGACATCAAGACATGTAAATTTTCTTTTTCATTCTATCTACTAGCTGGAGCCGGTGGTGGGAATCGCCGTGGTGGTCCGCTGCGAACGAGGAAAGAACGAGAACCGTCCCGCAAACGCACACGAGATGGAGACAGACGGCGCGGCGACTCTCGTGGCAGGGATAACAAACGAAGGCGCGGCTCCTCACGACGCGGAAGTCCTCGGAGGAAGTTACGGAAATGATGACTTTAACGCGCATAAATTTTCATTTGTATAATCTTATGTGCCACTTCTCGATCCAGATCCAACATGCCAATCATCATAGTGCGAGTAGCGACACGAATGTACTGGTGCGTGGATGATCATCTTGCGTAGTATTTAATGAGTAACATGCTAGGTTTAGGCACATCTAGGCATTCTTCTAATGAATGACCATGGTGGGGGTCGCGGTCGTAGAGGCGGCGGAGGACCAGGCACGACGTATACCGGAGGCGATGTGGGACGTGGTGGAGGATACAACTCTAGGATGCGACCAGGAGGTCACGGTAGAAGAGACAACCACAGAGGAGGTGGCAAGGGCGGAGGGCACAGACGCGTAGGCGGTCGCTGGCGGGAACGCTCGCCGCAGCGGTTTCGTGAAGGGGAAACAGACCTGCAAAACCGTGCTCGCTTGTTAAGGCTCACAATCAATCATCTTGACAGAACATGATCGCTTCCCTCGTCTCTCTTTATTCTGTAGTTTCCTCCTGAGAAGAAGAAACTGAAGAGTAGACGAACTTGATGGGGTGTATATAATTATGAAATAGTGCAACTACCACCTCTAGATCACTATGTAGTACAATCTTCATCATCATGGTGTTTGTGAGCTCGTCTAAGTCTGCATGCAGCGCCACAAATTCACATGTTGCCTTCACGCTCACAGCTGGACTCTTCGAGGATGCGAGGACAACACCAAGACTCGGGGCCACATAGTATGGCTGGCGCCAACTCGATCGCGCATCCTGCAGAGCATGCCAGATCGGCAGACTCAAGGGCCCCAAGACCTCCTGCTGAGACAAACAGCACCACCAAAAGTACCACTAGATTTGATGAGTCGATAGAAGTGGAAACTTGATCTTTATTGAGATCGGGCTAGAGGCTTCACAGAACATTGATTTGCAACATAACCGTAGAAAATCAAGAATCTCGAAAAAGCTCTAGACAACATCTTCTAAAAGAGGACTTCTTCTATCACATTCTTTCAGCCGGTTGCGCAGCACACAACTCAGAACGCGACAGTCACGAGGAGAGTGAGTCAAAAGGCTCGGGATCGGACAGGGTGGTGCACTTTGACTACGAGAGGGAGCGCTTTCTAGGTACAAATTTTATCTAGGTCTTGTGCCATACATGATATACCACAAGTCGGGGGCTGCTATTGACAAACTAACTTCGTGCCTTTTCATATACTAACTGACGCTAACTATGACTTTTAGGATCATCATCATGCACTAGCTTTTTTTCTAGTAAGCAGTTTCTACAACAACAGCTGTAACAGCTTCAACCTGGTAGAATCATGAATCTTCCAAATCTTTTCCTTCAGGTGAGGATCAGGCTTGGCGTGTTGACAAATATCTTGGTGAGGGAACTTTTGGGCGTGTCATTCAGTGCACCTACGAAGGACCGCGGGACAGAATGCGGAACAGTCCACAGCGCGCTCGTTCGCGAGATGTTGCCGCGCTTCTTGGAAACAGTTCAATCACCAGCTTCAAACCGCTAACGGACGACCCTAGTTAAGGCTACAGCCTACAAACCTAGTTTCTCAGAAACACCTAGAGCAAGTACTACGTAGACCTCCAACGTTTTTTTTTGTACGGGCTACATGCTAAGCACAGGATGTTGAAGTTAAACATATATCAAAGTACCTCCAGCGGTTGCGGTAAGCGGTTCAGCCGCACTTATTGGCTTCTAAGATGAGGACCTTCTCCATAGAAGACAAGACGATGCCGGCGCAGGAGTATACACGCAAGTGGGTAAATCCTACGCGGTCAAGGTAATCAGGAACACAAAAAGGTACACGGAGGACGCGCTAATGGAGGCAGATATTCTCGGGAAGATACAAAAAGAGGGTGCCCCCTTCTCCCAAAAAGGTACAGCGCCAGACGCTTGATATAATTAAATTTTTGATGAGCTGCTGAAGCAGGTCAGATTAGTCACAGTCAGTTTTTTAGGATGAACTAAAGACAAAACTCCTCTTAATAAACATAAAAACGTCACGAATTACAGGACGGAGCCGTATTGTCAGCGTATTCGACTGTTTTTTCCATATAACACGCGCTGGGGAAAGGCACTACTGCATAGCGTTTGAGGTGCTTGGGAGAAGTCTGTACTCATAACTTTTTTGCCTTCGTAATCTTACTTTTACTCCTGCGTCTACAAGTACTAGAAGTAGACGCAGATCAGACTCATCTTGTTGCTTGCGCGTTTCTGTTGAGGTTGACCTGCATGACCATTAAGCCTATCGATATCTTTTGGTGGGCTCTCTTTCTGTTGCTTTTAATCTCCACAAGTATGAGTAGAATTTTTGTGTCAACATACCACGGCCTCTGAAACAATAAAGGTTCGAAGTGCTGAAATCGAATGAATTTCGCGGTTTCTATATGTCCGATCTTCAGCTCATGGCACATGACGCATGGAACGCGCTTGCCTTTCTCAAGGTATCTGTTAATAGCACTTTCACTTTGAGAATTTCTCTCTACGGTAATCAGGAAATAAGTTGACGACAGGAACGCGTGCATGCATGCTGCCGCTGCCTCCCTGAGGACATCAGCATTGACGTGCTTGAGACCTTACTGATACCTTGTTTCCTGACTTGCTATCGTTTGACAACTCCTCTTGGTACTTTAACTGGTGCTAGCAGTACTAGTATCCTCATACAGATACAAATGATAGAAAACAGATTTGTTGGATGTAGTGTTAAAACTACAAGTTAACACCAACACTTTATGGTCATCTTCATCTTCAGACCATTGATTTGGCACATACGGATTTGAAGCCGGAGAACATTCTTTTGGAGTTTGCGGAGATGGAGGAGACTCCGCCTCCGCCTAGAGTGAGGCGAAAACCTGGCGAAAAGCCGTATCTGCGTCCGCGCTGGCCTCGAGTCAAGATGATAGATATGGGCGGAGCCACTTTCGCCACGCAATACCACTCCAAAATCATATCCACAAGGCAATATAGGTATTTTTTAGAATTTCATTTTCAGTATCATGTCATAGTCATTCGCATTCACATTCTCATAGTCATAGACATCACGGTAGTAGCATACGAGTAGAAGATGTTGTAATGATGACCTTCTATCATGTAGTAACTGACTTCAAGGGGTGGAAACGGAATCTACCACTTTCAGTTTGTTGGACTTCCGAAATAATGGAGCAAAATGATCTTAGATTTATCGATGAATCCGAATATTGTTTTCTATTCTTTTCCAACAACGGCCTTGCGGCTGGTTCTTGTGCAAGGGCTAGCGCACTTCATGATGATTTATTGACCTTCGCAACAATTGAATAGGTCATCGGAAGTGTTGGTCGGCGCTGAATGGAACGAGAGGACAGACGTTTTCAGCCTTGGGGCCATTCTAATGGAACTTTTTTTACGGCGCTAGTTTCTGTTTCAACAACGAGTAATTCTCTCTGTCTCTTTGTGTACCTCTAGAAGGAGAATAATAAAATGAGGATGTGATGAAATAGGAATTATGCCAAGAACGTTCGTTGATGTAGCGTCGGAGTCGTAGCTTCATCGTCTAAATTGCCTCGGCGATTTGCTGTTGACAGCGCATGACGATGGGAGGCAAATCGCGCAGATCGAAAAAGTAATCGGCTGGTGGCCAGACACTCTGATTGAACGCGGCGACCCAGACGTAGTCGACAAATTTTTCGATAGGATTCCCATAGATGAAGACGACGACGACTACGACGAAGAAGCCCTCGTCGACGAAATTGTCGAAAAGGAAGATGACGAACGCGCAATGCTGGACGATGGACCTGAACATGCGGGATACTTAGGGTTCAAGATGTTGATCTAATTTTATCACTCCACAACTACTAGTACTGACTTGCTGATGTGCGCCAAGGATGAAGACAGCCATAAATTTTAGAAAGACCATTTTTCTGATCGTGGTCTGCTCTACATAACGACTTGAAGATGTATTTGTAATAGCACCCACGAGAATAAAAACAACATCAGCGAAGATCATTAGATGCGAGAAGTTTCGTTCTTTTTACATCACCTATTCGATACAACATGCATGATTCCGCTGCAACTACTCGCCCCACAATTACTTACACGGTATCTATAATTGAACAGAAAGAGACTACTTAACTTGATACTAAGGTAGTAGTAGATAGAAGAAGCTCGAGCTCGACGTCGTAGTTTCAGATCAACCATTTCTAAGCATAGATCCCGTAAGTGCTGGCTACACGCTTGGGGAGAACATGAGACAGATCAAAAGGCGGTCTGCTTCGGAAGACCGTGACGTACCGAAGGGGTCGACGAACCTCCATGGCGAAGGTCCACCGAATAAGATGTTGAAAAGAATCGATCGCGCAACGACCTCGGCGGCCCTGGTTCGCGACGAGGCAAGACCACACGAAGGCGGAGGCGCTAAATCAAGCAGCGAGCTCTCTTCCTCGAAAGACCCGCCCTCGTCATCGTTACGGATGCTGTCAACTCCTTACCTTCATTCTTATCTGACTTATTTATTTTTATTATGTTGTTTGCTAATTGTAATTGCAGCAGGGGAGACTAGATTCTAACTAAACACCGTCTATTCCTTTTATCATTATCATGTTGTTCGCTACTGGTTCTCTTGGTAATGGTGAGTGAATATTCTCACCGGTGTTAGACTTCATGTAATATAATGAGTTCGGAGATCTGACAACTTCGAAGTGGTCAACTCTATTTAACTTTGTCTATCTTATCAGTTTATACCATGTTAGTTTATTGTTCAAGTGCATCACACCGCGCCAGAGCCGTCGAGCCTACGTTTCATTTGTGTTGTAGTAAATTGTCTTTGTCAGTGTTAGCGTTTTCGCCGGCACCAGCTCCCAAATATTTCAAGAAACATGAAAAATGTACTTAAATGATAGATAACTTCGAGTTGTAAGCCGCCAGCCTCCGCCAGGTCGAGAGAGGTGTTGGAGGCCATGATTGTATTAATGACCAACAAGTAAATAAGTAAGTAAGTATTTTATGGGACTGTTAATGTAGTTTGTCCTTCTTGCACTAAGAGATGCCGAAGGAGGCGCACCATCGGGAGCACATAATGCACGACGGGCCGAGAACTTCGCCCCTCCCGCAAGACGTGCTACTCTAGACGACCGAGACGAAGTAGCCGATGAAAGTCCGACGATAAAAGTAAATGGTGTCGATAGGAAAGATGATGAACAGAAAAGCACTGTTCTTGACGTTGAGACAACAAGGGCCCCCACGAATACTAGTAGTACAGAACAATTGGCTACTTCGTCCTCATTAAAGAGCAAGGAGAGACCAAACAGCGACACAACTACAAATGTAACTAATAGTGAAAATAATCCGAATGCTCCGATCAAGGGTAATAAGTCTTCATCTCGAACACGAACAGCTTCGGCGGGTGCTGCGGGCGGAGGTGCGCAACCCTTAGTGGACAAAAAGATCAGTCATGATGTTGAGCTGGACCACCCAACCAAGTCCGCCACCTCCAGGGCGTCAAATATTAATCTCAATCCTGTACAGCTGGAAGGTGATGTCCGAGAGCTAGACACTGCTTTCTTGGTCGAATCGCCAAACGCAGCTGCCTCAGTCAGAAGTCTAGTGATGAACGGGTCTTCTATTTCTTGTAAAAGAAAACTGGTACAGGAGGAGCTTATGAAGACTAAAAAGGAGCTGAGTGAGCTAAAAGAGCAGGATAGGATTAGGAATTTACCATCGCATGAGAAGCTAATACCTTCAACAACAACATCAGGAGACATTCTGAATAAATCATCTTCAACGCCCGGTCGTGACCTCTCCTGCGTACCGCAGAGCGACTCCTTAAGAGACATCCGAGACGCGGGTCTCGAAGAAGATTCCTACCTGAGGTGTGAGGATGACGAGGATGATCCTCTTGATGGTCATGATGACGTAGACGAAAACGGCGACCCACTAGCAAGACGCGCACCACGTAGAAACGACGATCAAACGCCGACACATCAGCAGCAGAGGGCTGGTGTAGGAGTTGGACCACGAGGAACACGAGCTTCGCCGCGTCGTCGATCACCAAAACCCAAAAGATATAGATATGTGGCTGCGGAGGGAGACGCGCGAAGTTCCGTATCAGCAGACGATAGAGACGATTCCCGGACATTGCGTGAGCTCATAGTGCTGAGAGCTGAAACGGAACGTGGTGCTATTGAGATCGACAGAAAGACTAAGGAAATAGACGATTCATTATACTGGCAATCGTCTGCGATCGCTGGATTGGCACCCGCAAGCAGCAGAAGGGGTAGCAACAAATCAATACTTTTAAGGTTTCGGTTTTGACGACCAGCGTTAGAATTAAGTAGATCTAGATGAAACATCGTATTATAACACTGAAAAATTAATATCTAAGCACGTTATTCGTAATCGTATAAATCTGCATTTTACAGATTTCCATGAACCAAAACTGCGCAATAACTTTTCTAGCAAGGCGGAGTTGCTCCTTGAGGAATAGGTCGCGACCTTTTTCACAGAGCTGCTGAGAATCAGTATCTGCATCATGAATTTTCTTCATAGTTCATCCAGCATGACATTAACTTAATCAAGCTCAGCAGTAGTTATGAGTAGTTGCAATTAGTTCTAGTTGATCTTGATGTTACTATTATACATTGTAGAATGCCAATGCGTTTAGTAGCTAAGTTAATGTACCTCGTTCTAATCAAGTTCAATTCTGAAACGGTGAGAAAAGCCATTATGAGCATGAGCGCATTCGCCGATGACAGGAAGGAGGAATTTATCGGCGAAAAGGAGGACGAAGAGGCACGTAGGCTGCGCAAGGAATGCTTAAGAAAAAACTCCTACTCATTAATTTATATCCTCTGACAACTTGATGTCTGTCGTTGAACTGCTGCACTTGTCGTGTCATCGTCCACCATGATGTGCTATTTCAATGATATTAGCATCTTTGAGTAAATAGTTGATGATGAGGATAAGCTCTTCCCATACCATATGAATTCAAGTCGGATAAAGTTCATGTTGGCCGGTGATGAAGTGCGAGACGATTGTAATCATACACAAGACCCTCGGGAGTCTTTTACTAGATAGATCTCCGCCTTGTGCTCCTCCCTGTCAGGTTCACCAACCATTTGTCTTCATAATTGGCGTACGAAGTGGATTGCTACGTGGAGTTCTATAGGATGTGCAAGCACGCGCTGACGCTAGACGATCGGCTTCGTCCCCAGGCTGTTTCTTTCCTCGGCATGCCCTTTGTTGGAAACTTACCGATACATCGGCACAGGTGAACCGCGTAGAGATGGCCCAAGATGCAATCGTGTCTTTACTGGAAGGATGGCCTTAAGGTGTGTCACTTCACGGAATTTCCTGCTTGCCGATGAACAATAATAGGGAGTATCTTCAAGAACTCTATCGAAGATCGATAGAATCTGAAATAGTTTTACCTTTAGTACACTTTTTTTTCATGATGTCTTATTTTTATTTCTTTCTGATACTAATTATCACCCGTGGCCCTCCTAGCACGATTCCACGTCCCCCTTTTTTGTCACCCCCTAAATAAGATGATTGAACAAAAACGAAAGGAAGCGTAGAAATTTGGCGAAGGACCATTCATTGTCTCAGGTCTAGCTGGCCGTGACTTGTTGTAGCTATAGTACGCCCACGCGCGCTGGGTTCTCCACCTGGGGAGACGAACATCGTTCGCGGTGGCAGGTATTAGGTATGTAATTGCTCTTGCCTTTGCTCCTAGGTTTGACCATTTGAGTAGAATCGTAGGGGCATTACCGTAGTCGTTAAGGTGGGTAAGAACTCCCCCCTATGCCGGTCCCCACGCGGAAAGTACCCAGGTAGGTTCTCACTTATCGGAACTCGCTCGTACTAACTACAAAAAAGAACATATCCAACGAATTGGATCCGGCGCCCTACTCGACGCAGTGTGCATTGGTTTGTTTCCCTCAGCCCGCTGCTTCATTTTCCCAAGGTGTCCTTTTTTCGATAGTCTCGAAAAGTAGAAATGAATATAAGTAATGAAAATAAAGCGCAGTCTTTTTTTTGCCCTCCCCCTTGCTATAGCAGAATACGTATAAGAATATGCATGTTGACTTTAACTTATATCGTTCGCAGCAACTAGCTACGTCATCAAGAAATTTTAAACTCCATTTTTTAACCTCCCTCGTTGACGGGAATTCCAGCATTTTCGTCTCCCTTCAGAAATAACAACGTTATAGCAGGTAGTATGGATTTTCCCCGGCAGAGATACGCAAAAACTTCTCATAGCCGATAGATTTTTGGAATCTATGTTACGAACGCACAAGTGTATTGGCAGCATGTGCACTTGTGGTCCATAAAACCACCCCTAATGCAGATCATGACCTTGTTCGTAATCTACAAAAGATGAAAACAATTACTCAGAAGTTTCTTCATTTATTTTGGAGAGGCACAACTACAATGTCCATGAAACAAAAAACTCTCCCGACCTCATGACGCTTCCTGTATGATCTCCCGATCCACAAAGAACTGACCAAAATCCGCTTTGCAGTCTTAGGTGTATGAATGTGTGCTACCTTTTTCTCAAGAAAGTGACTTGTGAGTGTTCCTCCTGCTGGTTCTTGCCAAAGTGTAGATGGCGCGATCTGTCTGCCACTACAAGAATAGATCACAACTTAGTAACTGGATTGGAGCTTGACTAGTAGCAATCTATTGATCACGATCGGAGCTTCACAATTTTTTATGTGCCTTGTAGTTCCTAATCCCCATCTTGTTCTTGTTGTTCACTGCTTCTTCGTGATGATCAACGCATGCCCCAGTCTGGTCAGATTATTCTCGCTGCCCAGTACAGTAGACCGATTCTACTATGAATTGAATGCTTCGTTGAACATCAAGCAGATTGAGAGAATAACCAAGTAGGACTAAGAGACGACTAGTACAACTTGGGTATCTACTTGTCACTTTTCAGTCTGGAAGGACATGGGTGTGAATGTGAATGGTTCGCTCCGTCCGCGATTGTATGCATTGGCTTTATTCTTAGAGAATGAGGCACGAAGTTGTGGAAGTTTCCGCCTTGAAGTCCTCTACGCCTATCCTGAAGCTCATTTTTGTAGAAGTACTAGTCAAAATGCTAGAGTAACGAATCAAAGTATGAGTAACAAAAATTGATAGTAAGTTGTAAGTTTTAACAGCCCTTTTTATTACCCCTCCATCTCAATCCACGAGCGAAGGAGCAGGATGTGTCCGGAACGTTCTGTGTAGTAAGCAATATATAGATGTTGTTCAAAATTCATCATCTTCTTGCCGTCAGCTCCGTTTCTGTAGCGAGTCTTTATTTGTGATTCGTTTTGATCTTCTTGGTGTTGGTCGCTCTGCTTCTACGTAATGTTTTCATATTCGGTTCGTTGTTGAGACGACAGTAAGTATCTACAATAGAAGATTGAGTTGGGAGCGATTCTTCTGGTGGCCGACGTAGGAACAGGATGGCGGTTTCACGTGGAGGACCGAATAAAGGCGCAGCTGCGCCGCTTGGTAAAAAAGCGCTGAAAAAGCAGGAAAACGAAGCGAAAAATGGAACACCATTACTCATGACGAAACAGTTCTGGTACTTTAGCTTATTCCAGCGACGAAAACGATATGTGTGCATGATGTCTGTCGAGGACATCGAAAGCATATTTGAGTGAATTTTTCGTAGCAGAAGGAGGACATCTGAAAGTGAAAAAGAAACTCTTGAAGTTGAATTTCGTGAAGCTGGTACTTGTACTCAGATGTAGATGAGTACCACCAGTGGCATTTTGGTTTTGAGTTTACTCTCTTACTATTTGTACCATACCATAATACTGTTCTCACACTAGCTACACTCGCTTGTTCTAATCTATCCAGTTGATGTAAAAACACATCATCCGCTGCTCACTGCACATGATATCTTAATCAAGGTATGGCTCCGTCGCAATATTTCTCATTTTTGGTGCTGGGATAATGCAGTTTGGTATGCTGATGAGCGATTTTATCGGCAAAGGCGGAATTTCGGTCGGCGGTGTGCGTTACATTGACTCGGCGACAGACGACGCGTCATTGCGGGAAGCATTCTTCGGAGGTGAACCGCATGTCTTATACTGCTTATGAACCGCATGCCTTATACTATAGATACCAATTGATTATCTGCTTAGAAGGACAAGTAGTAGACGAAGCAAGTGACTCATTATTATCATCCAAAGCTGGTCGATTTGTGCTTCTACTTCTAGTTCTATGTTGTAAGTAAGACATTAATGAAAGCCCTGTAGTAGTACAACTGCGAGAAAGTTATGTCGTCGAGACCTGGGATACTGATACGACCAGAAGTAAGATCGTGAAGTGATGAAGGTGGTAAAGAAGAGCTCTAACTTTCAGCGGAAACAAAACGGAGCATGGCTTGGTTCCGCAGGTCGTTACGGATATGGCAAAGATGATCCACAAAGATAAGAAGACCGCAGCGACAAACTTCATCACCTCGAATTGCTTCAATTATGGCCACTAGACTAAGTTGTATCAGTGAATCAGTTATGGTCAGCTTCAAATCCATCTTTCTCGGCATCTTGGTCCCCGTTTGCCTTGTATTCTCATGAAATAAAGGGGGAAAGGGGTCGAGATGAGGGGGCCAAGATGGAGGAAAGCTGAGTCAAAATCGTAATCGCGCTGGTTTTGGTTTTGAACTAAAAGAATTTAAGAATGATCTTTTAAGGTTTCGCAACTTCGGTTACTGCTCCTGCTACTACTACAGTTATATTTGTTCACAAATCTTCATCCTGATCCTTCTCTTGTGTCAGATCCTTCTATGAAGAAGTGTTGTGGGCAGAGGTAGATCGTTCTAATTTTTGCCAATGAAGAGCGGGAAGACAATCGCGGAACGCTTCAATTTTGGCAAGAACGAGGGTTTTATCGCTGTCTTCGCAAACGACGATCCTCCAGTTCAGCTGAACTACTTGCAGAGCGCAGAATACGTCGTCAAGCAAATTAAGCCGCAGTTGAAGACAGGCATCGTGAAAATTGTCTACAAGAAGGACTGGGAGAAGATCAGGAAGAAGAGATCTTACCTTCTTCTAGGAGCAAAATCATCGTACTTTGATATAGTGCGCTTCTTGTTGTATTAGAAGACTCAATTATAGCGTTAGTCGAACTCGTACTCGTTGCTTTAACTATCATACATCTGTTCGTTGAAAATGTTGAAGTCTATAATTTGTAGTATTATCTACGACTCCTGTCATCCTCATCTGGAAAAGTTTGCCTTTTTGTAAAGTACCTCCAAATAAGAGAGCAAAAATCATCAATACAGCGTGCAAATTACGAAGATGCACGAAGTATACACGCCAGAATTGAAGACATATAGGAAGACCAGAATAGCAAGCGTCGACACATCTTTTTGGGAGGTAAATCATTTCTAAGAGTAGAGTCCTCCCCCTCTTTCTGCTCGACTACTTGGTTTACGCTTTATTTGCTACACGTCTTCCACCAAGTTTATTCTGATTGAAGACGAAGAATTACTATTATTTTCAATGGTACTTACATTCATAAGCTTTGTTTTGAAACACAAACACCTTTGAACTTTCTCGTCTACTTCTCTTCAAACCTCCTAATTAAATTGAACATGATCTCTACAACTAGATAAACACATCGGAGGAAGTGAAGAGTGTGATGCCAAAGGAAGACCCGGATTACGGCTTAGCTATGTGTGTCGTCAAAGTAGGAAAAGGAGACGGTCTCCCCGAGGATGACGAGGAGGAGGATGGTGAATCTAAAGGTGTTAAAGAAAAAACCGAAGAGGAGAAGCGGGCAGAGGCAAAGAAGGCTTTCAAAGAAAAAGCAGCAAGCGCAGCTGCCGAAAGCGACAAACCAGCGGCTGGAAAAAAGTCAGGAAAGAAGTGGAGAATAGGATACCTCAAGGACTGGGAAGGTGCGTCTATTGCATGAGTGTTGTTATCATTCTTGTAGATTTTGTTTTTGGTGGGGCTGGAAAATTTAGTGGTTGTAGTAATAAATCACAATCTACTTCTTGATCATCTCCCCATCCGCTTGGTTCAACTACTTACAACAATTGTCATTTTTCAACAGGTGATGCACCGGGTGAGTTTTTGCGCGCTTGTGGTGCGGGTGGTGACGAGTCTTGGCAGGTTACGGATAAGAGGCCAGAGGTGCGCGTTATCCCGTCGAAGCCAAAGGTTGTGAAGCGACCAGGCCGTGGTCGTGGTGGCGCGGCTGCCGACGCTGCGGTTGGTGGCGACGACGATGGTACCAGAAAGGGTGGTAAGGAGCGCATTGGCCGAAGAGAAGAGAAGAGTAAGGAGGAGGAAGACGACGAAGACGACGAGCCGGCTCCAGGAGAAGGCGAGGAGGGCGGCGAAGAAGAAGAAGAGAACCTCTTCGGAGAAGAGGAAAACAGTGGAGAAACTGCTGGAGACGAAGTATAAACGGCTTCTTCTTTTTCTTTGGTACTAGAACGAGACTAAAAGATGCAAAACTTGAGATTGAAGAGGACTCCTTCTTGTCATCATGTTGTCCAAAAAAAACAAGTTCTTGCTCTTCAACAACACGGCTCAACCGCACATAAAAGAAACGAGGGTGGGGGCGGTTGTTTTTCTATTTCAATACCCGGAGCAAGCATAATCCTCCTAGAGCTAGAAGTGTTTTCAGGAGGATGTCTAACATTTAATGTCACCAATGATTATGAACAGAGAATGCTCATTACTTCTCATACTCCTAGAAATCGGATTAGATGTTGAGATGAAGATCTTGACAAAAATGAAGATCAGGATCATTTTCATACTCGTAATACTAGCTAGGTATGGGGCTTCAAAGTTATAATTACGAGTTCAACGATGACGATCACCTCTGCGTAGTCGTGCCCCACGTCTATGTAGACTCCCTCCGACATTGAATTTTAGCTTGTAGTTGATCCTCCCATAATACGTAATATCTTCTACGCCCTTGCTCTGCTCCATCGATATTACGAACACTTCGATTAGCACGACCACTACGGACCACGTCGCACGAACATATGACACGAGGACAAGGGACGACTCCATTTTTACATCGAGCATACGTCATCCAACTCTCAAGGTGAACCTTGCTTCCCCATCACCTATGTAAAAAAATACTTTGTCCTGGAGGGGTTTGATTACGCAGACACCAATCAGGACCATTCGCGCACCAATTTGCATATTCAACATACTTAATTTGTTGTATCGACACCTGCTCATGACGTATTGTAAAGGGTGTCAAGAAAGGCACGAAGCTAAGGCCGTATATGCAGGAAGAACATAAATGGGTCGAGCTCGAAACGCAAGCCAGTAAACTCACGCAGTAAGAAGAAGGAAATTCCTTTATTGAAGTCGAGAGCTAGCAGGCAACAGCAAGATGAAGAAGGAGTTAACGTTCGGTGCACTTGCGATCTGAGCAACGAACAGTATCTTTCTACGAATAAAGAATAAGAATATTCTAAAAAAATCCTGCATTCTGTCTCTGCCTGACCCCATTGATCGTAAAATTGCAATACTAAAAAATACCGCACTGTCCTAGCAGTAGCAGCCGAGGCACATCTATCATAAGGAAGCCTCGGACCGAGTGGCTGGTGCTTTCAGGCATCAGCCTCGGTCTAGAATGCGTTAGTCCCTGCAGTCTGAATATGGAATCTGAATCGAACACGTGAAAGTGTTGAATTTATAGTTTCTAGTCAATACTCAGGCTTGTCTGTCGTGATGGGGGGTTTCTGTAGCTGAAAAGATGGCTCTTCTTGATGAAGCCTCTTCGAAAAATCAAAATTGAAAATACGATTTCGTCCGACTGCATTCATCAAACCCATACATCGCAGGAGTTGTAGTGATGATCTACATGTCAGCAGGTAGCTGTTTTTTTACCCACTTATGAATGTGAGAATAGTAAACGTGCTAAAGGTTACATTATTGGCCTAGCTGGTACACCAAGCAAAAGCATCACGATTTACTAACTCGTTAGCGTTTAAGAAAGTTAACGTCAACCCAAAAGAATCATGAAGCAGCGTGGTGAAACTACCAACATCAAGGGACTCGACTTTCTCGTGGTGACGAAGAAAACGATTCCTCTACTAGGGACCACATACTTTACGCAACTGAATAGTATCAGGGCACATCTCGATTCTGATGCAAGTTCTTTTTAACGCTCACTGTGGCTGTAGTACTTCGAAGCCGATCATGGCTGAAGTGCATGCGGGAAAAGCGGTCATGGAGATGGGTTCCTTTTTGACATTTTTCTCGTCCTACAAGAATGGCCGCGGAAGCCGACGTCTAGATTAGGGTACGCCTGGTGCCGACACTTCAATCGACGACTGCTCCTAGTACTAGAAGCTGATAAAGGGGAAGGACACATGATCAAGGGGAGCAAAAAAAAACATGGCGAGCTCGAGTGTCTTTCTCCGCTATGCGGAGGAGGAGATCGCATACGAAGGAGAGGGCATTCCGTACGCGACGGTGCGTGCACGTTTGGATGAACGATGGCCACGGGAGAAAGCTGGCCTTCTGAATGCCTCTGCCTGGGACGCGCTTGCGGATCTCTATTTCTATCGCGTGCTAGTAGAGGCAAAGGGGATCCGAAAATATGACCTTAAATTTTCTACTTATCATCAAAGAACATCAACTTTATCATCTACATCTTTAGCATGTTAAAGATCATCAGATGCACTCTTCTAGTGTCAACATGATACTAATCGCACCGTGTAGTTTTCTCCAATAAATCTCTTTTCAATTGTTCTCCCTATGAAAGTCTTCTAATGAAGGTATCGCGCAAGAGACCATCAGCATCAAAAACCTTCGACGGGTCCCCGCGGAAGAAACAGTGCAGGCTCCCTTGAAGAATCCTCGGGAGGAAACCGCAAGAAATCAGTATTACAAAAGCAAAAAGCCAAGTCCTCCATGGTCGATGTAAAGAAAGATGGCACGAAAAAAGCAGGTGCAGGCGCTGCTTCCATCGTAGACCAAAAAGATAATGATCAAGACGTAAAAAAGGCCCTAGGGGTGGGAACCCTCGAGGGTTCTGGAGACCGAAATAATGATCGAGGAAGAAAGGCTGAGGAAGAGAAAATAAGCACCTTACTAACGAAGCACAGTGTGCCAGACATCGAGAAGCAGGAACTTCTGAATGACGTCGACGTGACGCACATTTTGTCGCAGCTCGACAAACTCCTTATCGAAAAACGACAGCAGCGCACAACCACAGACTTTGGCCTGTCGTCAGGTACAAGTCCACACTCGCAACACTCGATTCTTCAATACGCGCTCAATATGTCTATGAATGTACTTAATGAGAATATAAATCAAGTGATCAAATCTTAGGATTTTTGGCTTGTCAGCTTATTCTAGGTAGAAGAAGGAGGTTAGAGCAAGGATCTTCGTCTTCCAACATGTCATCAGGTGGCTCGTCGTCCGCTTCGGCACCTGTAATGAAGACTACGTCGACGACAGGACTTACTTTTGCTTCTGGTAGTGAAGCAATCACTGGCGGTGGAGAACTTGCACACAACGCCGTGAGCAACTTGAACACGACGACGAGAGGCGGCTCTGGTGGAGCAGGTCTTGCGCCTCGAAGTAGAGCTACGTCAGGTGACGGCAGTCCCTCGTCCAGCTTTGCGAGCGAGTTGGATACGATTTTTGGTCTTCGCTTCGACGTCTGCGACGATGTTCGGGCAGGCGTGGTGTTCGGCGCAACTCATCTGAGTTTCATGGCCGCGGGACAAATGTCCCATATGGCGCGTAAGATCGCGTACCTCGTAGCCCGACATCGGCACATCGGTGTGGCGGGTCCCGAGATCGCGCAGCTCTTGGGACAAAAGGCTCACGACATTGATCACATCCGCCGCAGGCTAGTCGATGTGGGTGTGTTACACCAGATTCCGCTGTCGCGGCGCACTGCGCGAACAGTCCACCAACTCAAGTTCGTCTCCAGTCACCTCTTCCTGCACAGCAACTTCTATCGCGAGGAAGCTTCGGGTACCTCTGCCTCGGCAGGCGCTGGTGGACCTTCATCAAGTTCCACTTCATCACTGTCACTACTCCGCGATCAACCCATTGTCGAGGGAGATGATGTAATTTCCCAAAGCTTAAACGACTGTGCCGCTAATGACAAAAATCCAAATGGAGGAGCTGGAAGTCGAGGTGCGTTTACGAATTATGACTTACAGCAGTTGTCGTCCGCAGCAGCAGCGGCGCACGAGGCAGCAAGACACGAGCATCAGGACAAGAACGCACTTGTTGAAGCATTCGTAACTCGAGGAGCCACTGCCTCCATGATCGGAGCTAAGCACACACTGAAGCGCGCGGCGCCTGGCTTAGTACAACAGGGCACCAAGCACGAGAAGGGAGCCGGCGGAGCAGTTGGGGATACGCTATTTGACGTTGACGAGAACCAGATAAATGATGCAGAGCTTCGTGGAGAAGAATATGACATAGAGGAGCAAAGTGACGCCGTTCCCGGAGGTGATGCAGGTGTTGCGGCCATAATGCCATCTAGCTCTACAACAAGTCTGAAGAGACCCTCTGCTGATCTGCTCCTCGCAGATGACGATGATCATACTGATCAGGAGGAACAGGAAGGGGAACTGTCATCATCAGGAGAGCCGCGAGGTGGTGCTACGGTGAACGTCTCTGGTGTGATGCCGTTGAGCGACGTCGAGAGCTTTTGCGAAAGCAACATTTTGGCCCTGCTACGTCGCCACGTTCGCAAAATTATGCTTGAGGACGACATTTATATCATCCTACGTTCTCTACTGCCGCAGCTTGGGCTCCCGCGCCGTGGCTTTTCAACGACTTACAAAAACGTTCGCACACAGCTCCTTCACGAGCGACGTTTGGATCTTGTGCGGCTGCCTGATAGAAAGACCCCGGGGGCGTACCGACAGGCCCTTCTGCTGCTAGAGGACGGCCGTCGTGGCGGCAGCCGTGGTGCGGCTGCGGGGGATAAGCGACAGGAAACTGAGATCAGCGAAGAAATTACGAAAGAGTTCACGAACGGATATCGGCTAGGCTTACCGGTGCCACTTCAAGCCTTGCTCATCATAGGCGACCACGGCGACGAGGTACTTTGGCTTACCCTATGCTTCACAGCTATTTTTGTGGCTCTCCAAGACACAGACAGGTATGTTATATATGGGGCAAATTATGCCATGATGATAGAATTTCCGACACATTGATCAACACTAAACAGGGCGTTCCGATGTCGATGTTGGAGACCGTGCTAGGCTTACGTCAGCGGGAGGCTCAGAATCTGATGCTTCACATGGAGCGCGCGGGTCTCATCCGCAAGGTTCTCGAGTCTTCGGGCAAGGTCCACTCCAATCGCTTTTTCCTAGCTACTTCCAAACCTCCTAGTAACACCCTCGCCATAATTCCTTCTGAGCGAGCAGCTAACTCTTCAACGAAGCAATCGGCGGGAGTTCTTGCTCTTTCGCACTCTTCGACAACAGTGGCAGGACCAGGTGGACAGGGGTCGTTGCAAATAGGAGGCTCGTCTTCATCCACGTCCCGCTTGAAGGGTAAAGATAGCCCTACTTGTGCAAATGGGAAGCAAGCTGTAGCAGGTTCTCCTGGAGCTCCAAATGCAAGTGCGAAGCTCCCTCAAGGTGCCACGTCTTCATCATTGTTGTCCGGTACTTCTTCATCTTCGAAGCGTGGAGCAGGTCAGCAGTTCCAGTTGCTCGGAGGTCAGCTAGATCATGATGCAGAAGCGGCAGCAGGATCAGTAGTTGACCCCGATCCCGATGATCCGCCGGACGGAGCAAAAAAGCGCCGGCGGAATCTTACGAGTGAAACCCGGGCTAAACAGGTCGTCAATTGGTTTGAGGCGCATCCCGAGAGGCGCGTTGAGACCTGGAATGTGTTACGGAAAGTTTGTAAACCTGAGCCGTCTGACTTGCGTACCTTTCGCTGGATTCTCGATGTGGCAGTGGAGCTCTGTCCGCAGCTGAAGAGGGCGCGCACAAAGCGGCGGTTCGAAATCAACTTTGTCTACCGAAGCGACCGCTGCTCCCATGATGAAGCAGTTAACATTGTCTCGAAGCAGTACGACGAGAAGTACGGCGTCGGCGGCTCTGCAAGCAAAGTGGTCATCGGTGTAAGCGGAACAGCACTAGGTCTCAAAAGTCGTCATCAGAGCGGCGACAGTGTTGACGCGATGCTGAAAGGCGCGACCAACTACAGTGTCGATCTTCTTGGACAACAAGAAGGGGATGCGCTTACGGGACCACCGAAACTTCTCGACAAAAATCGAGAAGACATTTTGAATACAACTGCCCAAACATCAAGGAAGAACAGTTCCCATGTAGTCTTAGGTGCCAGCACAGGCCTCGATCCGACAGCTGACGATGCTCAGTATGTTGATGACGCCCGCCTAATGTTGGAGGGTGGCTCGCAGAGTGGGGTCAACTTAGGAGCTGCGGTTGGCCTCGGTGCCGCGGCGGCCCTTGCTCGTGGAGCCGCCGCTTCAAATAGAGGACAGCCGGCCTTCCTAATGCAGGATCGGGATACCGCCAACCCGCTGCTGGTAGACAAAAAGTCACGGCAAGTACTGCGCAACGTTTCTACGGACGACGTCGCCATCAACAACGACACTTTTCAGAGCTTGATCGCGTCTAACCTCCGGAAAGCCACGCGCAACTTTGATATGCACATCGCCGCTTTCTACGGCTTTGTGCGGCCAACGATGGTGCGGCTGTATCTGCTGCACCGTGTGCTCATCGACCTTGCGATGGAGCGGGGGAATTGGTGCATCGACGCGAAGTCCATTGTGGACGAAATGGAGCTGACGCACTACCTCCAAATACTCGGTGTTGGGTGCAATTGTGACTACGTGCAAGCATACATTCTTGGCCGACTCACAGAGGACCAAAAAGGAGGTGGTGGAGGGGGGACCCGAAGTACTACTACGACTACACCAGGAGGAGGAACCACGGGAGGAGTACCTTCAGGTGGAACAGGAGAGAGTCGTCTGGGTCCTCCTGGTGCTGGAGATGACGCACAAAGCTCTGGCCTGGTTTTAGCACCCATGTCCTCTGGTGCTGGAGATTCTGGCACAGGTAACATGGGAAATTCAACAGCAGGAGTATCATCGTCGTCGACCAACAAAAATATATCAGCACCACCAGCCTCCAACTCGCCTGCAGCTGGTAAGTGCGAGACCGGTGTCAACAACGAGCAGGTTGTAGGTGCCGTGGCGACTGCCAGCGTTAGTTCATCGCCTGGTGGTCCTCGTCGTGGCGGTTACAGGTCACACGCGATGGCGCAGAGCGCAGGTCGATTTACGATTCGAGTCAAGGATATTCCTTTGAAATACTGCGTAGCAATGCAGAGCCGCAGTTTGAAACGGGATCTGAACCAGCTTCGCCTGATGATGCAGCATCTGCACAAGCTGCAGCTCATTTCCTTTGACTGTGGAGAGGAGATGCAACGAAGCGTCCACGTCCGCTACAAGCTAAACCAGACTGCGACGTTGCGCGACTTCTGCACTATCCTACACTTGCATGGCGATGGCGAAGATAAAGAGAGCGATGCGGGAGGAGGAGCCAGCGCTGGCTTAGCAGTTGGGAAGCAGACGGCGAAGACGAACCCAAAGAGCCGTGCGAAATCCGCGTCAGCGAAGGCTGCAAACAAGAAGCAAGTAGGTGGGAAAAGCAATAAGGCTAAGAAGAAGGGGGCCGCTGAGGACGCTCCTGGGGAGTCATCAGAGCCACAAGAAGTGGAGAAAATCGCTTCGATCGATCTGACGGGCCCGAACGGGAGCTACGACCACGCCAAAATCAAGGCTCTATTGCAGGAGCGGCGAGAGATGTTGCCGGTTGAGGAGTTCGACTTGCGGCAACCCGGTGGCCACGCCCAGTACTGGGTCCGTCTCCGTGCGTTGTGCATTCAGTGGGTGGAGCGACACCGCGCGAACAAGAGCAACTACAGCGGCATGGTGGATGAAGATGATAATTTCAACGACGATGTAGACGTGGACAACGAAGAGGCTGATGACGACGGCAACGACGAAGACAATCCTGCACAGAGTTTCCCAGAGAGCAGCGCCGCTAGTCCTTTATCCTCCACGTCTGGGCTATCATCAAAAGAGTCTAATTCTAAGAAATATACGAACAAGCTCAAAAAGAGCAAACCACGAAACAACGCGCGGCAAATCGACTATGCGTTGCCGGGACTTCCTTGGGCGTTTCAGCTGAATCACTGGAACTCGAATGAATTGAAGATCACCCACGTCCAAAGACAGCTTCTAGAGGACGCTTTGTTGCAAATCCAACGAGAGCGAGGTAAGGATAATATGCCTCTCTTGTCGCATAGCAGCCGTGTCGTCCTCAACATGGCGAGCATCACTGGGCTTGACTCCGAAAGAGTTCTTTCTTACATTATGAACGGAATTGCGGTCGGAAATTCATCTGCAGCTCCTGTTGCATACTCTCATAGTTGTAGTACAACTACAACATATAAGACAGCTGGTTTTTTACTTTTTAGTTCTAGAAGGTGATCCTGATCTTGATGATGATACGAAGCTAGAGTACTAAAACCACGAATGAGCAGATTACATTTGTTCCTAGACCACCTAGAAGTGCAAGTGGCATACATTGTAAATGAAAGTTATAAATATAATATACGGCTCGTCTAATCTTGTCGGGAAGAGAAACGCGACGTTGCTGGACCCAGCTCAGCGAGTCACGATCAAAGCCGTTCGCGAGGTGCGGTACCGTTGCCACATCTGTCAGGCTCGAATCGAGAAGGACATGACGCGTACGAAATCGGCACAAGAGGGCTCACAACTCGTGATCTCACACGAGGGGATGGCTGACCGCAACGGTGAGCTGCAAACGAGCGATAATAGCGGTAGCAACGTCGTAAAAATGTGGAATAGCACTAGCGGGAGTTCGACGGTCATCCGCGCCCAGCGCGTCCTGAGAAACCCGGACTATGTTGCGGAAACTAGTATGGGAGAGTCTGGGACCGCAGAAGATGTCGGAGGTCCTCGAGGACCTGAAGTTCAGGCGGATGAACAAACAAATTCGACTGCCTTTGTTTGCCAGCCGGTTGTAGCGCGACAAGAATATAATCAAGACGGTGTAGGGCTCGGGCAGCATGGGGGCCCCACTGCCAACAGCAAGATTTTCCATACTTTTACACTGAAGCGCGGGATCGTCGATCACTACCGGAAAGTGCACAGCATGGAGCTTCCCGATGATGAGACCGTCTACACACTACCCGAGTACCTCGAGCAAATGAAGGCAGCGCTGAAGAGCAAACCCACCCCGCATGACCCAATCCGACAGCCGAACGGTCGCGCGAAGAAGTTTCGTCGCGTCCGATTGCCTACAAAAATGATGCTCATGACCAATGCAGCAGGAGTAACGCTGCCAGTTCCGAGGGACTCGCCTCCGTCGGGGCTTGTAAAAGATTCAACAGCAGGTGGAGTAGAAAATCGGGGTATGCTCGGATCATCCTCGTCTTGTCTAGGAGGTGTGGGCGACACTAGTAGTGAAGCACTCGCACTTGGAGGCGAAACTCTTCTTGTGACTGGTTCTGGTACTACGACAAGTGCTCTTGCACTTGCGATGAACCAGAAATTGGTACAGCGCGTCGCGAAGACGACGCTTGGTTACCGTGGAGGTACGACGCTCTTGCAGGAGCGCTTGTTGCGGCAGACGCGGCAGCTAAAGAAGCAACGCTCTGCAGCCGAGTGGCTACGCCTCTACGCCCTCGCTGGTCGGGCTTCTAACGTTTCTACCACGGTTTTTTCCGCATCAGGAGCTCCAGGCAGCAATGTGGACACGGCTGCGCGGCACTTGGGAACACAAGGAACGCGGTTGCACCCGACGGAGTCCGCTCTGTGGCGCGTCCTCGGTAAGTTTGTGGGTCTTTCACCCGCGCAGTGCCGCGACGTGATGGCTGACTGTGCTGTGCATCAGGCAAATCGGATCACCTTGTCAGACTACTTCGGAGTTTACCTGCCGGACACGTTGCCCGGCGCAGTGGATGCACGGGCAGCCTCCTGCGCTGGACATTTGAAGTCCGTCCTCCTAGGCATGCCCGTATCGGAATACTCCTCCAGGAAGGCCCGCGACGCGCTACAGGGCTATCCAAGGCACCTTATCGAGAACATTCAAGACAGTTTCGCAAAACGCGGTTGGGTTACTCTTTACAAACGGCGAAAAATCCACGTGACAGGAGGTGTCAACGTGATAAAACGCGACCCACCTGGGACGACTGCAGCGGCCCCATGCAACAATGAAGAGGGTGACGTCACACCAGCAGGAGGAATGGAGTTGACGCCCGGTTTCGAAGCTGCCACCCCTAGTGGTGATGCGACTGTAGTGAATTTCTTAGGTGCAGCTGACGGAAGCACTACTCCTGGAGGCTTTTCTGCGTCAGCATTTATCACCTCTGCGACAGTTGCTGATGTTGGCGACCGTCCAAAGTGGATCCTTTCTTACAGGACTAAGATGCAGCTTTTCGGTAAGCGGACGGAGATGCTGCGCTTCTCAGCCCACTTCCGGTTCGCACTGGATTTTGAGGCAGTCGGAATGGTCGAAGATTTGGACTCCAGTCTGAGTGGTGAGTACGTGGAGTGTCTCACAGAGATTCTGCTCGACGAAAGTACGCATATTGAGCAGCGACTTGCGGTGAAGCAAGGTGCTGGACAAAATGGTGCTAGTATTAACAAGACAACGATAACGAACAAAAACAAGATGAACACGTCCACATCGTCAAACAAGGATGAACTGGTTAATCATGATGATAATCCAGACGTCGTCGACATAGCGGCAGGTGCAGGCTTCGGCAAGGGTTTTCGGCAAGGAAATAAGAATACCACGATGAGTCAAAAGCATGCGCACATAGCCGCCCAAGTAGCGAGTCGAAGCACTAAAAGCAAACAAGCTGGAGCTGCGTCATCTTCAACGTCAGTTTGGAAGAAACCGACCTTGTTGGCACCACACAACTTCGAACTGGTTCGTTTGAAGGGATTAGCAGACTTCCTCTCGAACTACGACCCCATTTCCGGCGTATCGGCATCGGCTCATCAGAGTGAAACTGATGAACTCGACGACCGAGGTCCTCCAGGAAAGCAGGTGCCACCAAAAGCAAGAGGAGAAAAACTGGGCAAAGTTAATGCACCGACGAGCAAATCGGACAAGCGCAGAAGAGAGTCACCGGATGAAGAAGACGATCTTCTTGCTGAAGACGCAGCTACGTCCTCCAAGCCTAATAAATCTAGTCCTGTGGCGGGTCAGAACAAGAAGGGAGTCCTGAAAGGACTGCGAGCAAAGATGGGTCGCGCGCGGGCGCTGAAGCTCAAAAGCGAGAAAAAGACGATAACGGCACAACATTTCTCCTCCTCGAGCGGCCAAGAAAGAAAAGCAAAAACAAGTGTTGACAGGGCAAGCGATGAAGAGGACGAGGACGATGATGAAGAAGACTGCGACGCCGAGGGAGAAACAGCGGACGAAGATGAAGGGGATTGGCCGATGGAAGACGACGATTCCGAAGACGAGGCCTCACCGCAGGTGAAAAGCATGGACGAGGATGCTAAGATTGCTGCACCTCCGAAGATCAGTGCTGGCGTTGAACAAAAGCCCAGTACGGGCACCACTGGGGGAGGTCGTGGTGGCGGGACCGGAAATGGTCACACCAAGAAGCACGGCAAAGGTGTCTCTCTGCATCTCCAGCGTACGGTCGACTTCCCGACCCTCACGTGTGTGAAATATCACGATGAGGGCGGAAGCCGAAGCACGTTTGTTGATGCGTCAGATAGCATGTGGCTCCGGCACCACGAGAACGCCTGCGCCCAAATCCTCCACGAGGAAGAAAAGCAAACAGGAAAACCCGTTTTCGACTCTGTCACGCGCATCCGCAGGGTGGCAGCAACGAGCAAGATTCACGACCCGATCGAACCCTTTTCCGGTCCGACAGACTTCATACAAACAACTTCTGCAAGCCGTCAGGCGTACTCCAGGGCATTATTTGGTGGAGATTCAGATCTCAATGAAGACGATGCTGATGAAAACTACTTGGAAGATGTTGAGGCTGGTGCACCTCCCAGTGCGAAGCGGAGACGGAAATCCACGTCCGATCCAAAGAAGCGGAACTTAAGCTTTTCGCAGAATAACAACAACACTAAGGTGAAGAAAAAATTTGACGACGCGGAGGATGACGATGAGAAAGAATTAGAGGCTGCCGCACGTCGTGCTGTCGTGTCATGCGGCGCTGCGCTTACAGTGGACGGAGAATCTGTGGAGTTTGGTCCTGAAGTCCGGTTACATCCCGGGTCAAGCGTGAAGCAACTTGCCGACCGCTTGCTGCAACTCGTGAAAGCTAAGGAAGAGTGCGTTCGTCTAGAGGACGATCCTGTCCTAGAAGACCTCGAGAAATTGCGTCTGATCGTCTGTTTCTTCGGTGGGACCCTGTTGCGCGACTCCAGCCACGTCATCGCAACGCCGGCGCACGTGGGCCAGAAGTTTTGCCGGTCGCGCAACACAATTTTGACCAAGCTCGCGTCCTCTTCTCCAGCCGGAGGCACTAGCGCCTTGCTTCAAGAAACCTTGCCTGGAGGACGTGGCGACGAGCAGACGAGTGGAGCAGTGTCCAAAGTGAGCAATGCAAAGCAAGCAACTTCTTCATCTTCTGCAAATATCGTGGATGAACCCTATCACAGATTCCTCCCGCATATGCGCGGTCGGATGGCGCGGCTGTATGGTCCGCCGCCCGTGAATCAAAAGCATCTGCAAGAGAGGGCCACGAGTGTCATTCGTTATCTGAATCAGAAAAGCGGGTACGTCGCGGACAAAAATCTGAATTTGATTACGCTGCCTTTCGCGTACGCGCCGCCTGCAGCGTGGACAAAGCCGGATGGATCCTTGAATGTCCATATGCTCAACTTAAGGCAAAAACTTGGCCTTCATTTTGCTTACCAATGTAGTTGTAGTTTCACTTTTTTGCTAATCCTACATCAAGTTCAGCAAAGAAAAGTTAAAGTATCCTGTTCGTGCTCCTCCCCGGTTTGTAGCACCTAACCTCGACGACTCCACCTCGTTTGCATAATTTTGTCCAGAAGACAAGATAATGAACAGATGATCAAAAGCAACCTCTAATCTTTGTCTTGAACATGCGAGTCTGGGCTATTTTGTGCAAGTCACCAGGCATGTCTGCGTCCAACTTATCGCAAGTGCTTCCCTTCTTCGACGCCGCAGAGGTGAAAATGCTCGCCGAGGACTACCTATATTTAAGGCTCGTTTTCCTTTTCCATCGTCCTCGTCGAAATCTAGTCCCTGACCCTGTCCCTCAACAAACCCGTATTAAAAACATTTGCACAATCATTCTTCATCTATCTCGAGTGGACGACACTACTTCTCTTTCTCAGACTTTGTTAGACACAAAAAGCAGAAGACAGGACTGTGAAAAACAAAAACTATCTTCTTCTAATAAAAGGCTTCGTCGAAACGAGACCAAGCGCTCTTGAAAACAAATCCATCTACTTTGCGAAACTGCTCAGGGACGTCCAAGCAAACTTTCTCTAGCATGACTTGCTGGTGGTCTAGACTCATCTCGAGGATGAACATGAAGGCTTCCAAGAATAGCAGGAGGAGGAGGAGCGCCGTAGTTAGTAGAATTAGAAACAGGTAGAATCTGATTCATTTTCCTTCATTCTCATTCTATTTTTTCTTTCCCCTTCTGATAAGACTGCACCGCGCACATTGATTTGTAAGAATGTTGTTCTTGTGTTGAACCTCCTCCCCATTCCCATTATACTCCTCCCAAGGAGATTCCCAGAAGACTGTGGTTGCTCGCATAACAAAGTCAGCCTGAGGACCTCGTCGTGGCTGTGGCTCTCATCTATGATATTTTTTCGATGATTCATTACTCCTTCCTACTTGAAATAAAACTGGGCGCGAGAAGAAGATGGGCAGTTCCTTACGGGCGAGGAAGTGGGAGATGTTCAGTATGCAGCTGGCACTACGAGTACAACGACGCGATGTTAATCATCCTCATCAAGAAAATATGTAAAATTATTATAAGTTGATAGATAAAAAACATAACAAAAAAAAAATCTATATTATTAATCTATATTATTAATCTATATTATTAATCTATATTATTAATCTATATTATTAATCTATATTATTAATCTATATTATTAATCTATATTATTAATCTATATTATTAATCTATATTATTAATCTATATTATTAATCTATATTATTAATCTCGCCATTGATCGCCGCCATAAAACTCCCCGCCTAACCCACCGGAGATTAGTCAGCTGCTTTCGCGAAGCTATTGCCTATAGTCTCCTGCCCTTTCCCCTCAGTCTCAAGCCCGATAGCCTCCGGCCGTTTCCTTGTTGGGATTTACGTTGCGGCCCCGTGGCAGACCACCAGAAAAGAAGGCAGAAAAATGGCCGACGGGGGTGGGGGCGCAAGCTGGGGAGAAAAGTCCAAAGAGAGACAGCCAACGAAAGACCGCCCACCGAAAGGGCAAAGACCTTGGACCAAAGACACATGGGCCAAAGCCGATCTTTGGACCAAAGACGAGCTTTGGACGAAGGGCGACCGTTGGACCAAGGGCGATCTTCGGACTAAAGGCGACCTTTGGACCAAAGACGACCTTTGGAGCACAGGCGATCTTTGACCCAAAGACGATCTTTAGCCCAAAGGCGATCTTTGACCCAGGGGCGACCTTTGGACCACAGGCGACCTCTGGACCACAGGAGACCTCGGGACTTAATACGACACTGGGACCAAAGACGACCTTGAAACCAAAGACGACCTTGGGACCGAAGACGACCGCGGGACCACAGGCGACCTCTGGACCAAAGTGCGACGACCTCTGGACCAAAGTAGGGCGACCTTTGGACCAAAGTAAGGCGACCTTTGGACCAAAGTAAGGCGACCTTTGGACCAAAGTAAGGCGACCTTTGGACCAAAGTAAGCCGACCTTTGGACCAAAGTAAGCCGACCTTTGGACCAAAGTAAGCCGACCTTTGGACCAAAGTAAGCCGACCTTTGGACCAAAGTGCGCCGACCTCTGGACCAAAGTAGGACGACTTTGTTTTGGACCAAAGTAAGGCGACCCTTCGACCTCTGGACCAAAGTAGGGCGACCTTTGGACCAAAGTAAGGCGACCTATGGACCAAAGTAAGGCGACCTTTGGACCAAAGACGACCGCTGGACCAAAAACGACCGCTGGACCACAGACGACCTTTGGACCAAAGCCGACCTTTGGACCGAAGACGACCTTTGGGCCACAGGCGACCTGTGGACCACCGGCGACCTGTGCGTGGACCAAAGACGACCTTTGGGCCCAAGACCTCCGACACGACAAGAGTGAGACCCGCGACAGCAGACATCAGTCGAACGACCTCCGCCAGAAAAACTGACGCGAGGCCTCCCTGTGGCGCGAGGCCCTTGAAGATAGCGAAGACCTTTCGCGAAGGACGTCAGTTGTCCGGCGAACGCGGTCAATCTGGCGAAGCACGTCAGTCCGACGAAAGAACGGGATCAATCTTACGAGGGAAAGACATCCGCAGCCCGAAGAAAGGCCCCGCTCAGCCTGTTCCCTCTGACGCAAGGCAGACGCCTGGCGAAGCATTGCGCCGGCCTGGCGAGAGGCCTCACCTGGCTGGCGAGTGCATCAGCCTGACGAACGGCGCCGAGCTGAAGCAAGCCATCAACCTGACCAAAGGCGTGAGTCTCGGCCCGGCGAGGAATGTCAGCCAGGCGAAGCGCTTCAGCCTGACGAGAGACGTCGCCCGACCCTGACGAAAAGCCTCAGCCTGACCCAAGACGCCTGCCGAGAGGCGCCGGCCTGCCCGACGAACGCCGCCAGCCTGGCGCAGAGCGTTGGTCTGACGAACGGCATCAGCCTGATGGAGGGCCTTAGTCTCCAGCTTGGTGAAAGACGTCAGCCAGCCGAGAGGCTTCAGCCACAGCCCGAAGCGCGACGCCGCACGACCCCGCGAAGTGCGCCCGCCTGTTTCTGACGAGAGACATCTGACGAAACAAAGAAGCCCCGCCAGGTGTAAGCGCGTAGAGAGACCCAAGCAGCGCGGCCCTGCGTTGCTTTGTCTTGTTTGGCCCATCAAGGTCGCCCCTCGTTCTTGCCTGGCGCCACCGCGAGGCGCTTGCGTGCGTTGGGGCTTGCGGATTCTTGTGCGTGTCTGGTGGCTCTCTTCTGGTTTTTTTGTTGGACTGCCGTGGGGGTCTTGCAAATTCTTAAGAATTTGCATGACCCGCCCGGCAATCTCAAAAAAAAACCGAAGGCAGCGCAATGCCCTGCACATGAGTCGACGCATCTGAGTCGGCCACCGCCGGCACTCGGCTCTTGTCGTAGTCAATTCGTAGGGTGCAACAGCTCACCCGCGGGCTGTCTCTACTCTAGCGGCTGTAGCCCGTGGGAGGCCGCAGAAAAGTGCTAAACTAACTTGAAGCCGGGCGAAGCTTGTGGAGGCTAGTGATAGATTATTCTTTTTCTTATTATATGCATTGTTCAGCCTCGAGGCTTGAGGGATCTCGCACTCGCTGGAGGCGGGCGTAACTTGTCATTTACTTTCTCATTCATAAAAGGAGGAGAGAGAAGCGGACAAAAACAGAAGTAGAGGACAACGCTTCGCAAGAAGCAAAGAAAGTCAAAGTCCTTGTAGTGTATCACGTAGAAGCACTTAACTCCTCCGGTAGACTAGGAGTACTACTACCTAGGGATGCGAATGAATGAATCAATCATGGAATACAACAACTAGATGCATGGCTGTTCGTCTATTCCAGCAGCATAATCGTAGCACGACGACCACAATCATTTAGGGCCTAAAAGTACAACAAGTACTGGAAGTACAACTACAAGAGCTAAAAGAAAATGTAAATGAAGCAAAAATTTATTTAGCAAGGTAGACAACACCAAAAAATGACCGTGACGGCGACACCAGCGACTGGGCCGCTCTCGTCTACGGTATGCGCTTGATACCAAAACGACCGGACCCACCGTGTGCAACTACAGTTTATCGTGACGCTCGCACTGTTTGATGCTCGCAACATATATTCTGGAAGCAAAACCAAGCGTGTGAAGCGTGAGGCAAAAAAGAGATTCACTCACTGGAGAAAAAGCTGCTGTTCTTGTGATCGACCCTCGTGGTCAATCTTAGCGAAGACGAAGACAGGCTCTGGCTCATGATCGTCTGATCTCGAACCAAGGACCCCACAGTCTTCGAGTCTAAAAAATCGGCGGGACCCCGAACAACGGACACGCTACAAGCGGGAGAACTGCGCTCCTAAGGAGAAGTTTTCATCACGACTGAGAGCAAGTGTTTTGCTATTTTGAGACATCTTACTTTCTGCCTGCTCCACCTCCTCGGAATCCTCGATTCTTGGAGCACATGATCGGCAGGAGGGAAGACAACATTGCCAGCAGCAACAGATTTTGGTGAACCTAAGCCGCGCTGCAGAACGTAGTTGTAGTTCCGCAAAAAAGCGAAGGCGAAAAATTACAGAGGATTCGGAATATTGCAGGTTTTGAAGAGGTCGTCGATAGATCGTGGTCTTGCAGGAATCGAGCCGCCTCGAACAAACATCCCCTTTTATCCCGACAACTACAAGTAGAAGGCGAGGCGCTTTTTCGGACTACAGCAAAGATCATGTTCGGTCGCAAGTTCAGTCCTCTGGGGTCGCCTGGATCCGTCGATTATCACAGAGCAGGTGAAGAGCTAATCCGCAACGTGCGGCGCTACAACGAGCTTGACGCAGTTTACGAGCACCCAACAACAGGCGCAAAAGTGCATTATTATTTATTATACTGAGTTTCGTAGTGTATGCTACATTCAAGAGAGATAGAAAGTTGTCGTTGGAAAACGAAACTAGTGCATCGACCTAAAAGTCAAGGTGGATGATTCTCATTCTTTCTCTACTCCACCAATCCATATACATCAAGGTGTATATTGGCAACCTCGTATCGGCGCAGACAAAGGGCATTCTCGACCGACACGGGATCCGACGAGTAGTCAACTGCCAGGATACCACAACGGAAAACTATCACCAGTCGAATCCAGAATTCGAATACTTTCGATTCCCAATATCACACTGGTATGATTGTTCTTCATTTTCAGTCAAACTCAAGTAAGTACTTTTAATGATCGATCAACACGCTCATCATCAAGGGACTTTGGTACTTAAAAGTGCTTCCTGGTAGTTGTTAAGCTTAAGCTTACAGTTAGTACGGTTACGAATTTACTACTCATCATCTTCGCGCCAAACACATTGAAGATGCATACCCGTTCGCTTTCTTGGTCTTCTAGAATAAGCGTTCAGTTCAGGTGGCGAGAATCGTCGATGGACTCGGCGGAAAACGTTCTAAAGTTTTTCCTTAGCGTATTCAAGTGGATAGACACTTATGGAGTTTCAATGAAATTCAATATCTTCTTCAGCCACCAAAAAATATAGTAATAGGTACACTGACAATCAGTTACTATCAATTAATATGCTAATGCTTTTATTATCAAGGAAACTAGCCGTCTGGTTTTCCTCGATGGATCGGATGTAAGTAGTTCGTACTCTTAGTCCCTTCTCGCATCGAGTTGTAATGTGTAAGTACAACCTGCTTCTGAAGAAGATAATTGTGTAGTTCGGCTTCTATTCTAACATTGGCAGATTGAACAAGGAAAAAGTGTCCTGGTCCACTGTCTCGCGGGTGCACATCGAGCCGGCAGCACGGGTGTCGCGTATGTGATGTACGCAAGAAATATGGGCTTCGACGATGCGCTGGCATATGTAAAGAACCTGCGACCTATAGTTGACCCATTCGGACCCCTTGAAGACTTGCTTCGCAGGCTCGAAAAAGGTATCATTGAAGAAAGTAACTTTTACAACTTGCTTTTGTTCGATTTATTGTAGTTCTTGTTTTTGTGAACTACAACTACTTACACTTACCCTTACGAGTTTCTTCTTGAACGACTTGCTGAACGTCGTAACAGCTACCAAATACGGTTTTCAGGTTTGAAAGTCGGCGCGACAATCACATTAAGGCACGATTTGTTTGAGTTTACAAGCAAAGCTAGAGTCCTCCTCCCATTCACTAACACTAGTATTTTTTTCTACTTCTTCTTGATTTTGAGAGAACTGCTAATTTTCGGCTCAGAGCATATGGCGTCGGGCGGGAAACCGCTGCTAGGCATGGGACGCGCTGCCGCGGCTACGCGCAGGATTGGCGCCTAAACCATCATCATTCAAGCCAACGAACTGCGCGATCACCATGGTTCGAAGCCGGTACAATTTGAAAACAATACAGCAGTTCCTTAGTTTAATGAACCATTGGTACTGTCTCTGTGGGTCTATTACATTCATAACATACGACTAGACCACTTTGGATCTTTACATCTTCCTTTCTCGAGAAAATACCAAAGTAAGCTGAATCTCCAGTGGAAGATTGGTTATCTTCGCCTTGACGAGTCTAGAAGGGTCAACTATTTCTCTCCTAGAGATTGATAAATTAGGTGCAGGTATGAAACATTCCATTTCCAACAGATATTTCCAATAATTCAATTATGGTCACTCGAGGACCACATGCTGGTATGCTTGTGCTACGTACTAGATGAAGAACAGGCTCAAGTTGTGAAATATTTTTTCATGAAGAATATGCATAATATGATCCGCATGATAACGATGAAGATTGACCTCCATACAACGAGGACCAGGACGCTCAAGTTGAATTTTACTTGTCGTCCTGCTACTGCTTGAACCAGCATTATTTATTTATTTTCCTACGATGTCGATAATCATGATGTCGATGCATTTTCAAATATTGGCTGATACTCATAATTGTGATCCTGCTGTGGTCCTTTTCAATCGGTGTGAAGCCGATTATTTAACGATCAAGATCGGTTTTTTCGTTGAGGCATTCTCTGGCAAGGAGGAGAGAGAAATGCAGAGCGAAATATATTTTGTCATTCATGTATCATTATTTGACCAGTAAGTAGAGACTGCGATGTTTCTGACTCTGCTGCAACCACGTCGGTACTAGAGCCCAAAAAGGAAGATGACTGCTGTCGATTGTCCTTCCATGGTTCTAAAAATAAGGTATGAAGTGGCTGAAAAAATCTCACCTGTAACCCTACCAATCACATGATGTGACGCAAAGAAATATATACTAGAGTAGTTTATAGAACGGATGTAGGATGGACTTGGATGGATCGGATGGACCCCCCTGATTCTTCCGATCCTACTTGAAATGGTGGAAAGTCCAGCCGTTCCATCCGATCCATCCCATCCCGGATCTGGCACCCCTATAAAGTATAAACTGCTCTAATATAACAAGACAATAATGAGCCGAATCAAAAACTGCTGTTACACAACAGTAGCAATCCTGTTTCTGCTAGCTCTGCGACAAGACTACTCGGATTTTTTCACTGGTGAATGACGACTAAACCGATGAAGTTCAGTCAATCGAAGCTTTACTAGAAGGTACAAGTGGTATGACCAAATTCTTGATGGCTGACGAGTGCATATGGTAATCGCAAAATGGCGTGAAATAAGTCAAGCAGTCATAGTTATCTATGTTTTCCTCGCGCCAAGCTCGCGAGCAGGACAAATAGATTCTGACTCCCTGTCGGAGTTCTTGCGGAGGAGGAGCGCAAAAACGCTCAGGGCTGTTCCCTCGGTAAAAAATAAACATGAGGGGCTGTCATTCGGCTACCATGAGTACAGCATTATCCCCTAGCCCAGCGAGTAGACGCCGGAGACGCCATCTTGCACGCTCCTTCAAAGCTAACACTTCTGCTTTTTTTCTCCAAGTCTTTCTGGGACGCGACCACGTCGTTACCCGTGTTTTTGCTGTTGGCGAACGTGAACTGCAAAGCCCTCCAGGACAGGTGATACAACAACAAGACGAAAACACGGAAGTAGAGCATTATCCTGGTGGGATTCTCGGTGCTGTCTTACACGGACTACCGCGGTCGACGTCGTTGTCGGACGATGAAGTAGATGTCAAGCACGTCGTCATTTCCGATCAGGGTGTCGACCTACCTTCTCCTCAAGCTCAACTCCAAGACCAGCATGATGAGGAAAAACATGCTCATGATAACCTGCACGACGGAGTAACAAGTTAAGTAGGAAGTAGAGTTTATATTCTGAGTTTCAGCTTCAGCTTTACCTTCACATTCATAATTTGTTGACCAGCATGACACGTCGTGAGAGCTATTTTCCGACTGTGAAAGCGGTGTTGATGTCCTCAGGGAATTTTCTAGAAAGAGGCACCACCACTTGCCAAACCATCAAGACCACACCAGTGAAAAACTATAATATCGCGAAGAAGGTAGAGGCACTAGCATCTTCAATGGCATGCTCATGATGGACGACGAGACAAGCGGAGCAGCCATGACTCAACTAGATCAACATCAAGCGCCGCTTTCTTCCACATTTACGATGCCAATGCATGTTGTAAGTACATCTTGACCTTGCCTGCGGTTTAGTTGTACAACTCGTAGAATCAATTTGCAGTTGAATGCGATTGCGATTCACAACATTCACTTCTTCGCTTATAATACACTCACATTAGCACGATATACAACAAACATGATCATGATCTTCGACGGCGATGACTCCATCAATGAATACAGTATCATTAAGGTGGAATGAGTTTCTACTGATGTTGCACCAGCAGAGGAACAGAACTATAGCAGTTGCCGTGCTCTAGTAGTTTCTAATGATCTTTTCCAGACGAAGACGATAAGGAAGAGAACTACAGGCATTGTGAGTATAGCAGACACTGCCGGACAATACCGCTCCCCCAATGGCTTTCCGGACTGGCTATATTTATGTTCCCGTTCTCAATCGACCTGCAACAGGAGTCTTGTCATTTTTCTTGCGTTTCTGTTATTTCGGTGTATTTCTATCATTTGAATTTGTATCATTGTTGCGAAGAGTGAGCCACAACTAGTAGTACTGCTGCGATACACATCAAAAATAGAGCATAGAAATCATCTTCATCTAAGGCACATCCCATCTCCGCTACCTCCTGCAGCCGCAGGCCTAGAGGAACATGACGGAGCAGTCCAGACGAACCACCCTTTCTTGGAACAAGAAAAGGAACATCACCAAGGCCCTGAAGCGGCTTTCACGGACGTCAGTGGACAAGACGAAGAACACAAAGACCGAAACCTAGACATAGAATTAGCCTCGTCACTCGGACAAACAAGACGTGCTTCCAGTAGCAGTTCTGGCGCTACTGTTGTATCCGCCTCAGCACTCGTCTTACACGATGACGATCCTCGAAGTGCTGATCCGGCCTATGTGCAGCGTCGGAGACACAAGGAACGACTTCGCACACCGGATGGTCGCCGTTTAGAGCATGGAATGGAAATACAATTAATGGTCTACGCTGACAGCCCTTTCCAGACGAAATACCATGACCAGTTGCGTTCTCTGCGGTGCTACGCACGATACTGGGGATACCATTTCAATTAAGACACGGACAATTCTTGAATGAGAATGACTTTTTCGAAGACGAGAGTCGACCAGCTGTTGCTTGTCCTCCTGAAAGAGTAAAACTAACACTAACATCATCATCATCATCATCCTCATCATCTTCTAAAGGAGAGTGCTCGATCTGCAGAGCTATCGCGATAGGAGTCCATGCCACGAGGTGTATGACCACTTCTTTCGTCGGCATTGTCTCTTGGCAGAATACATGGAGGACCAAGCAGGCCGGATAACGAACAGCACCCAAGCATCAGACTAAGGCTTGTCGCGATTGTCTCAGCTTCGATCACACAATGGATCGATGAGCTCACGGTCATCAAAATGTGTGATCTTCTCGAGCTGAACTCTGCGTCTCGCCTCATCCATTACCTACTCTGTTTCTAAAGACTTCACAAGCTGCGGCACGATCATGAAGATGAAAAGTTCCTCGCTGATGAGTTCGCACAAATCAGCAAAGCTAGAGATGCAGATATCTCAGGAACTACCACGAGTACAGATAAAAGCAGCACGGGTTTCCGTGGTGCCCTATTCGAGCATCTGCACGACGACTCCTCGGTCCCTCCACAGAGCGAACTAGGTGCACCAAAAGATCCAGCGTTGATTACGATGTCAGACGGTCGCATATACGCAGAAAAACCACACCAAGTTCTGATCATGCTAGACGCGGATATCGCTGCCCGAAATCTCACCCTGAGCCTCGACAAGTTTGGAAAAGACGCAATTACCAGTGGAGCTGACGTATTGCAACAGAAAATATCTCGATAAATGTTAATGAAAAATGCTCCCCGGCATAGACATAAGAAGTTGCTGTTTTGGTGTCGAACAGAAGAGGACTATACTTATTTCATTCGATGATCGGAATAGAACTAGAATGAAGCAGATAAACGAGTATGAACTTCAAGATTTACATGACGATTTTTACCCAGGCCATGTTTTTCGAGCGGGATTGGGGTGTGAACGATCACCACGAGATCATGGCCGGAAGTTTCATCGTGCGGAACACAGAGCGCGCGCGTCGTTTCGTCCGTCACTGGGCTGGGTTTCAGACGCGAAAGGAGCGACCACCTGGCTTCTCAAGCTCCGACAACGGCGCCATTCACATCGCCATTCCCGAAACTACGGGCATGCAGCCGAAAAAAAGAGTTCGAGAGTGCCTGGATCGATACGCCGCGCTCACTGAGAGCGTCATGAACATGGACCCATACTTCGATTTTGTCATTATGAGGATCAACATAAAGTTGGTGAAGATGATCAATTTATCTGATCATATAATAGAAGCAGAGTATTTTGAACACTCACTCCATGACTTGACTTTTGGTTTTTATAACTTAGAAAAGGCATGCATGTCGCCATCACATTCGTGCGAAAAAATTCTTTCTATCGGCCTTGAGCACTAGCCTAAACCTCGCTCAAAAAAATGGGGGAAGCCTATCGATATGCGGCCGAATTACTTCTGTGATCATTTTTCATATTGGTGCGCTTTGGAGTAATTATTTAAAAAGCTAGTTTTTGATGGATCCAGGTCCGCTACTTAACATCACAAAGGTATTTTAGTGTTCTGGAGCCATGAGCATTGATTAGTTTCCTATTTCTTGCGAGCCTGCTACTGAACTCTTTGAGAACTTACAACCTTAGATCAGCAGAGGAGAAAGCCAGCGCTTAAGTATTTGATACTACAAATATATATATATAATGAAGATACCTTCAGGTTCAGCTCCGACGAAATGGAATTTCTCCTATTAAACCGGAAACTTCAGTGCTGCTGATGAAGCAGCACTTCGACAGTTAAACTCTACCTGGTGGTCCCAGCTAAGTACTTCTAATCTGCAATGCGAGCGAATTTTGATGGGAATGGGAAGCACGCCACACACGAAAGTTGGCCAAGCTTTTGAGTCACGTCATGCGGTAACGTTTGCCGCGGTGAAGGACAAATCAAAGGCAGATGCTCCAGATTACGTCATTCCTGGAATTCGCATTCGAGTTTTAGCTTTCGTACTTCGTCGAGAACTTTTTTGTGCAACTTCTAGCTTCATAATTTCTTGCTGGTCTTGTTGAGATAACTTGTTGCTGGTCTTGCCGATATTCATGTTCATCCACCTCTCATATTTTTGAAAGTCAAAAAGTGCACTCTTTTTGTTATTGATGTTAACGTACTGCAGCGAGTTGTATCTGTATGCATTTTTTGGATCATTTCCATCTCCAGCTCTGTCACCATCCGTTCAATTCAGGAGGACAGCTGGGCTCCAGACTGGTACTATTCGATTTTTTTCAAGTCTGGGTCAAAGTCGCCACTCGGCCACGGGGCAAAAGATATCAAAGAAACAATAAATTACGGCGTTGGCTCCTACAATCTTTTAGTAGTTATCACATCATACACATGAAGATCGTGATGATCGTCAAGAAAAGATAGGCAGTTGTAGCTGTAGATTTGATGTTGCAAGAGCCCGACATCATCTGTTGCTGTTCAGAATTCATCAAGTAGGTGAAGGTATTGATTTCTAATCCGCGTCCCTCTTCACAGTCAGTGTATACTTACCCTGCTCTAATTCAGGCAAAATTGGCTTCAATGGAAATCCTTGGACAACTGTGAGGATTTCACCGGCGCGCGTCCATCACCAGAGGAAGGCGCATCTGGAGCGAGCAGCTTCACAGGACTTATGCTTGTTCCTAATAACTACATGTTGTACCAATCCGAAGTGAGTAACAAAATCATCATCAACTTCATGTTGTTGTAGCACTCACATCTTCATCTTCAAACACTCACGACAATCTATCGAAATCTATGTTTTTCTGTCGTCCTACCCCTAGCTCTTCTAGGAGTGCTACAAGAAGGACTTTACTTGTACTTACAACTACCTCTAACATCGTCAGCAGAGATGCAGAAAGTAATGGCCAGACACATATTGCAGCGAATTCGTTGTTGGAAGTGTCCGCTTCCGGTGCGGTCTCGTCGCCCGCTCAGATGCTTCGTCGAGAAAAAAATGCAGGTGATCATCAAGAACACAAAATATAGGGATAGGCTGCGTCGTTCGCCTAGCAATATCAATTAAAATCAAAACACGATCAAGAAGACCTACCACTACCTCATGGTCATAACTAAACACAGACAATTCGTTACATAAAATGAAAATGTAAATGATTCAATGCGCCCTATCTTACTTTCTGATCCATCTTGCGCTTGCCTCACGGGGTGGTTGAGAACGTCTTCATGTTCTGTTGTAGTCATCGTGAAAAGCTGTATCTATACTCAATGATCGTGTAGAACAGGTACTAATGTGCCATGTACAAACTCAGACTAGATTCTTGCTATAATTGTTCGTCATCCACCTGGTTTTTGGCCGGCTATTAGTGGAAAGTACTTAAGTAGAAGAGTAACTCTAAATGAAAATGAATGTTCTCTAATTACTACAGGTGGGGCGTGTGCAGTCCTGTAATCCTTCACAAACATCAGATTATGTTAATCCGGACCGTCTATCGAGGAACGAGTTCTACCAGGATTTTTGCACTCGCCTCGGCAAGCATAAAGATATTGAAAATGAAAGCGTGGATGATTTTCACATGAACATGCAGATGGCCACGATATACTAACGAGATTCTAATTCGTCCTAGCCTGGGGCTAGCTTCGTCCCTCGTGCCACGTCTTCTCAGCGGCAATACAACTAGACTGCAAAGCCTGGGGGGCTGCGACTGATCACTTCATTATGATTGTTGTTGCTATTGCAGTCGCAGTGCAGCAAGTATATGCTTGTTGTATATGTTGATCGGCAGCTGGTGGGCTTGGGGTTGTGGATGCATCATGAGATGAGTGAAGAGAATAGATGAAGTTCGAAAAACGATCAACCGGCTTTAATTTCCGATAAATCAGAGTAGTTTATAGCACGCATGGTGCATGGAGTAGCATGGAGTGCATGGAGCGCAGAGCTTTCAGGGGCGCAAGAAGCTCCCCCTTTAGCTCCATGCTACTCCATGTGATCCATGCACTCCATGCCATGCGAGCAGCGAAACCTTATAAATTGCTGCCCGATAATATTACGATGAAAACAAGAACTAATATCAATTTGTTCCTGGAGAACAACAGTGTCATGCAAAGGTCACTGCTCAATCAATGACTTCGCAGGTTTATTCCTCAATGCCAGATGATGAAAAAGCGAGGTTGGATGAGGCAAAGGCAACTTCGATTGCTAAGTTTCAACGAGTTGCTCTCCGACTTATTACTTGTTGTCCCCGTTTTACTGTCAAGCTCCTGTTGTCGTTTTATCCATTCTCCAATTTTTGCAATCGCACTTTCTGCACTTGATCAAGAACAACGACAACATCGACAAGTTGAAAGTGGAATCGTGCATCATAACAATGAGGAAGATGAAGACACCGGACTACATCCTCGAGATGAACATGAAAGAACAGGACCATTGCGGAGACCGTTGTTGTGTCCAAGAGGAGTCAGCGCGCTCTTTCCGGAGGAGAGACTCCTCGCTGAGCTGGATTTGGAGGGCTATGATCGCGTACAAGAGCACGAAGGGACATCAACATCCGCTTCTGATTGGGAATCAGCACAACTTCGCTACGTCTTTCAAGAGGACGACGACTCTACAAGAGTCCGCGATGGCTTTTTTCGGGATTCATCGACTCATGGGAAATCGGATCGACAAGACGAAATTCCGACCGTCACCACCGAGGATAACAACGAGGACGAGGTGTGTGGAAAGCCCCACCAAGAAGGCACATCGCGTACCAGCCCAACGTCGCAAAGCAACACTTCTTTCAGTGACTCCGTAAACTCAGCATCCCTAGCGAGTTCCAGGTTTTTCGATGACTCGCAAAATCTCTTGCATGAGATCGCGCATGTGCACGACTGCGGTTCAAAGTTTTCACCAGCCCTGTCGGCGGTGCTAGATGACACACGGGATCTTGCACTGAGCGCATTGGCAACGCTCATTGAGCGTGAGGCAACAAAGATTCTGGCACTAGAGGGTCGAGACAGTTTAAGGAGTTTCTCGAGAATGATTCATTCCTTCTACACGACCACAATCAGAGGACAAAAGCCTAGTCTTGTATTCCTAAGTAGAATTAGCGGGCTCAAATTCTGAAGAATTTGATGCTCGTAGTAGGGATCACTCTTGAAGAACAATTGATGACTTAGCTCTAAACAGGGGCGGCGGTGTATGGAACAATGACGAACTTCGGAGTAGAAGGCCAGGATCAGCTGCCTCGTCTACCGCGGCTTCAACACCGGGGCACCTGCAAAAGACGACTATCGTTCTCGACACGCTCGAGGAGGACGCACATGTAGATGATCAGGAAAAGGAAGAGGTGGACGGCGCACAGGTTCATTTGAATTCACTATCGCCACCGGCAAAAAGCACCAGAGTGAAGGGTGAGACTGAAGCAGATGACGAAACCGGTACCGTCGAGAACGCCATTTTCGTCGATGAAAACACGATGAAGCGCTGCTTAGGGCTCGATCATCAGACATTAACTCATGATCGTAATCGCAGCAATGAAGTAGACGAAGACAACGACTGGCCGAATAACTACACTAACACATCAGGAAACCTAGATGCCGCCTTGACGCTCTTTCGTCGAACCTCTTTTGGCATCCTGTTGGCACTCGCGACCGAGCGAGCTTTGCGTAGCGATGATCCAGAACTAGCCGCCAAGCTCGAAGAGTTGCGAAGCCTGCTGACGAAGCTTATAGAACACTTTGAAGGTGAATCCAGTGATGAGATGAATTACGCCAACGTTAGATCCCGCAAGCGCAAAGATAAGGATGGAGGTGGTACTTCAGATGATGGTGGATAGGAAGTTTTCCCATTGGTAGTAGAAGTATGTAGAGTTGTTTTTAAGACCTTGAGTTAGAGAATTCTTAATTTTGATATCCGTAGTTGGCTATCAACATCAAGTGGGCTGTTGAAGTCCGTAACGATCAAGACAGAGTGGTTTTCCTTCGGCGACACATTCGCCACAGCATCTCTTGCGTCAAAATATCAGAGGGAGACGGAGAGGATCAGGATAGAACCATCAGTATGAGACTTCGACCATGTTGGACTTCCATTGACTCGTCGCTAATCAGGTCGTGCCTCTACCGCCGCCGAGGTGACGCATGCCCTAGTTGCGAAAATCGGATCGAGGAGTCTAAGGGGTCGCTTTCTCTCTGCGTTCAATTTTCTAGATGCGATCTCGCATCTGCAACAAGCGCGCACAAGTTCGCTCAGTTACCTTTTTGTGGACGAAAGAATGTTGAAGAGAAATCAGTTCGACTCAGTCGCTGACCCCGCTGCGCGTCGCGCCTTCGAGCGGATCACGCACGGCCGCCTGGTTCCGCGCTACATGCTGCCCCACGTCGTGGCAACAATCGAAGATCGAATCCAGTCGACTGACCCGTACAGGGTGGCGGCGACATTGAGAGAACAGCTATCGATCCCTGGGGACGTCACGACTGCTCCTGCAGCTAGCGGCGCTATTGATGCTTCTGACACTCCAGTACGAGTACCAGCTCCATCGCATATCCACCTAGGTACTTCTGCAATAGAGGTTTCGGACGAGGTAAAGCAAGGATTAGTGGAGCATATGCGAAACCAGATTCTTGACCGTTTACATGTTGGAAATTCATCAGCCATGCTTGCCTTGAATGATCTGGCATTATGGAATCATGGCACTTTGCTACACCCCGCTCCCGAAATGCGTGGTAGATTCTTAGCACGCCGCCACGCTTATCAGTTTCTTACCAGTATCACACATTTATCTCACGCTGTGATTCAGCATCCAGGACGAGATCAAATGAGGTCCTCCAAGAGTCCTTCTGATGCTGTAGCTGCGCCACCTGCCGCCGTGGTGACCACGAGGAATTTGCATCTTCAAGTAGATGATGTTGAAGGTGATGGTTCGTCATCAAGTGCTGCATCTCCAGGAAAGCGCGCTCTTCCTTGCACACACGTTCTTGAGTGCATACTTCGAGGGTTTCAGGGTCTGAAATTATTTGGAATTTATCCGGAGATGACGTGGACTGGATATCGAGCTGTAAAAAGTACTATCGTGCGGAATGCGTCGACACCCTGGCGCCAGTTTGCCGAGATGTTCGCGGCAAAGATAGAGGCTCTTCTTTTGCAGCAATTGCACTCACGCCTCATGGATAGTTCTCTACTACCCCCAACATATGGTCGACGAAGTGGTGCAGAACACGTTCTTGAAGTAGGGAATGGACTACGAGAAAGCTGGGACAGCGATATCTTGGAGAGTCCAACATTTATGGGTTGTCTTCGTGATGGTAACTTTCTTGACAGTTTTGATCTGAGGTCTCTCCCATAGAAATAGTAGGGCTCGACTTTTTTGGCGTTGACCACTTAGACCTAGTACTATAGGAATACCAGTAAGCATGTAGAGTTCCTTCGATTCCTTGTACAATTCATCAAATAAACATGGCAACTTGATAAACTTCAAATAGATCATGCAATACCAGCGCTAAAACCGACTATCGTGTTGATGGAGAAGCCTACACTATTCGTTGGAAACAGAGTGACTGCGAAGCAAAAACGTTGGGTCGTTTTCCATTCATGAGTAAGATTGAGGAGGCTGAATGCAACTTGCATATTGTCCTTCGTGACCTCTTGGCAGCCGCACCACAACAAAAACGTATCCGGGGAAATCGAGATGTTCATCAGCTCATTGGGCTGGGACGCGCAATGCGAAAGGCAAGCGAAGCAGTGACTCCTGATGTCGTGTTCGATTTCTCAAAGCAGAAAGTGAAGTGGTCGAAACATCTGGACGAAGTAGGCGCAAAAGTACAGGAAACCGAAAAGAATCAAGTACGATCTTCACAGTTCTACCTTTTTCGCTTGAGCGCGATCGTCGAGCAGATTAACGCGTTATTCGACCTCTGGTGTCCGGAGCCTCTAGGCTTAGAGCAGAAGTTACTGAAACAAAGTGGTCGAGGTTTCTCGATTTACGCTGACGTACAGGTCTTCGGCAGCCATGGGCTGGTGACACCCTTTCTAAAAGTTCTAGCTGAGGAGAATGAGCACCAGGCAGACCAGAACAGTGGTGAGACAACCGTAGAGAAAGGTGTTAGTGTTGGAAGAGCACGTAAAGACCAATATCGCCTTTTTGTCGATTACACGAGTTTGCCGATACTCGATGCTCCACACACTACGCATCTGTCGGATCTGGCTAAAGCTCGAGCGGAACAAGTTGTGCGGAGTACGAGTCGAGTCTTTTCGGCGCCTAATGCGGACTTTGCTGAAGATCATAAGGACATCGTGCTTGGAAAGATATTTCAAGTACTAGACCTAGACCTGCCACCAGGACCAAGAGAGGACATGGAAGGTGCGAAGCGATCGATTGCTATCACCGAAGCCGAACGCAAGCACCAAGACCAACAGGTGGAGAGGAAGAATCATGAAAACGACCTGCATCCTGAGATCGAGCACCAGTCACCTTCTTCAAGTTCCAGAAAGAAGTTTTTTGTTGAGATCGGTGTCGGGCCAGGTGGGATCGAGCACAACACAAGGTTTCTCCGCACCTTTGCAGGCTGGGAGGGTTTGCTGTTGGACAGTCACTACTCTCTACCGCGTATCAATTTGCACCAAGAAATCGTCACGGAGGACACCATTCTTTAAGGGTTTCCGAATTACATTCCAGACTACCTTCATCCTTGGCTCTTTTCCTGGTAGAAAAGAAGCCACGGAAAGCGACGCGCTGAGAAGTGTAAAAATTCCGTAAAGAACTCTAAATTCTTGACATTCTCAACAAGTACAAAGTGCCAACTTCGAAAACGACTGGCTTGGATCTTCTGAGTTTCGATGTAGATGGTATGGATTACCATCTGTGCAGGAAGATTTTGCTGGACCAGAGGTGGGCTGCACGGGTTATCGTCGTAGAACATGTCCACGGCTTTGCCTGGCCAAACGTCGCTGTACCTCTTGACCTGACACTCGTTCCGAAGAGGATGAAATCTGACGGTGAACAAGAACTCCATCATCATGACCTCCTTGATGATCAAGAAATAGATATAGACGAGTATAATACTAGTAGAAGTAGAATAGATATAGAAGAGCAGCAACCTCTTCACCCCCATAAGGATGCTGGCGAAGAAAGTTTAGCAGACTTTGTTGCTCCAGAAGCAGATGATAACGAACATCTGATGTTTGGGAGCTCAGCGACTGCGCTGGTTCAACTCTTGAACGCCTTCGAGTACGATCTGGTGTATTACGGTGATTACGACCTCATTTTTGTGCGCCGATCCGAAGTTCAAGCGACCGCCAAACGTTGGCGGCCGATGCTTCAGCAGGAACTTGCAGATACTCGTCTGAAACAACTTCCTTCTGATGCAGGAGAGAACGTCGAGAGAAGCACCGACGAGGCCACCGATTCGACTTTTGTTATGGTCAGCTTTTTTCCATCATTCTCGGCATCTTGGTCCCCGTTTCCCTTGTATTCTCGTGAAATACAAGGTAAAAGGGGTCAAGGTGAGGGGGCCGATATACAATCTAGCAGACTCTAACTTTGGTGCAGATACGCTGTCAAGAAACCTATTGAATGTTTCAAATCTTGATGCTGCGTTGTCGTTTCGTGACGTGAATAACCTTAAGACTCTTTGCCGAAGGTATATGACAAGCATGAGAGTCCTTTTTCGCGACTCTGAAATCCTCGACAGCGATCGTTTCTGCATGATTGCAGGGAAAGGCAGGGATAAAGACACACACTCTTCATCTCCGAGTACGAACACAAAGATATCCGGCTACTCTTAAGGTTCTGGATCTGGTCTTTTGTCATCATGCTCTTTTGCTGGTGACGTGGTGTAAATCAGCAGACGCCATCGCTATCTTTTTGATCCTGCCTCTAGTCTTAGATTATTTTATTTGGAGGTTTGGGTAGGGTGATCGGCCCGCAAGAAGTTGTGTCAGTATGATGAAAGGCTCCGTCTAATGCTCGCTTGAAACACTACGCCAGAATTTCTGGTGGGCTCCGCCAGGCAGCGAACTCGTCACCGAAGAACAAGTGAGAGACCCAACCTTCCAATTTTAGAGGTGCTGGATGAGTAAGTGGCAACGTGCTCCTGCACGTCCACGTGGTGGCACTACCAGTTTTCATTTTTTTCAGATCGACGGACGGAAATTCATTTTTTTAATCCTGTTCCTGAGCTGCAGATGATGATGCATAAAGGCTGCCTATTTGTAGAATCTGCCGCATGCAGGTGGAGATGCGCAACTACTGCAACTTCAGTTTCTTCTCTTCAACAAACAGTCGGAAAATGCAACATTATTATTTTATTATTATTTTCAACTTGTCGAACCAAGATGTCGATGTTGATGTAAGTATTCCATCGAGTTCTCCAAGTCCAACACTCGTTTGTTTCATCGCTCCTTTATTATTTTTTCGTTTCGTCGAAAGACTGAACGGACACAAGTTGTAAGTCTTATAGCAGAGTAGTTTATAGCACGCATGGTGCATGGAGTGCATGGAGTAGCATGGAGTGCATGGAGCGCAGAGCTTTAAGGGGCGCAAGAGGCTCCCCCTTTAGCTCCATGCTACTCCATGTGATCCATGCACTCCATGCCATGCGAGCCGTGAAACCTTATAAACTGCTCTGTTATAGACTATTATAGCTTCTAGGACCAGGGGCAGGGCTGAGGATAATTCCACGCATGATTTGCGATTATCGTTGTTCGAGTGAAGATACTTCCCGGTTCGGTCAGATCGTATCCTCCATCATGGTTGTTCATCGCGCTCGGTAGGTCGTCGCACACACCGAGGTGGCTAATAGTGTCAATTGTCGGTCTCCTCGGTCACTGCCAACTAGAAGTAGAACTACGAGGGGTCCTCGACATGAATATATGCTCAACCAGCGAGAATAGAAGATAAAGCGTTGCCCCTGCCTTGCACTATAGTATCTCCAGCAGCGAGAAGCTGCTGCAGAAAAGCTGCTAGAACTAATGGACAACTAGACGAAGCCGAAAGTTGTTCAAATAATTTCAATTAGCTAGATATAGAATGCACTCAAGCTGCATCTCTGCCGAAAAATGACCTCACGTACATCAAAATCATGTCCGTGATGCGAAGTTCAAGCGTGCCTCGTGGGAGAGGGGGTCCCGAAGTGATGCGGTATCCAAGCGTGCCTCGTGGGAGAGGGGGTCCTGAAGTGATGCGGCATCCAAGCGTGCCTCGTGGGAGAGGGGATCCTGAAGTGATGCCGCATCCAAGCGTGCCTCGTAGTCGTGCTCAACCGAATTTCGCTGCTTGCATTACACCACATAGAGCGACTCCAGGACAGCCGCAGCTGGTCCAGCGCAATGGTAAGGTGTTTTACGCGATGATTCCGAATCATTCAGCAACAGCTGCTGGATCTCGGAGTACAAGCGCCAATGCGCGTGGTGGAAGTCGGGCGCGGGAACAAGAAAGACCACGCGCCTCCGATGTCGCCACTCCTGCTAATCATGTCAAACCACAACAGCCGCCTCCTCCGACTGCGTCATCTACTAATAAGAGAAGGGTTCCAAGCGCAAGCGTGTCACGGAGCGACCAGAGAAGGGCTCCAAGCCTGTCGCGGAGCGAGCAACACCAACAAACTCGGTATCACGTCGGAAGTAGCCCGTCTTCTGCTCTCAGAGCTGGAGATGCCGGCTGGGGCACGCCTGCGCAAATGAACTTTGCTCCGCATCCTCGGACACCCTCTAGCAATTTTCAGCAGGGTGTCGATTATCTTCACCCACCATCCGCAGGGGCTATTTACCATAATAGAGGTGGCATCGCCGAGGACAATCAAAATCAACACATCCATTCAGTAAGAAACGCAAACAACTCAACGACTCCCTCGACGAACAACTTTGGACTGCATCATCAACACCACTACAGATCAGCAGGACCCAGAGTGCCCATGGGTTCCTTCCACGGAGGTGCATCCCCAATGGTGCATCCGATGCAGCAACATCATAGAAGTGCTGTGTTTCTTGGTGCGCCCCCGTCCTCACCTTTTCATCACTCTGCGGTTCCAGCCTCGCCGATGAATCCGATGTTTGCAGCTCAATCAGCTGGAGAATATGCTCGTGAAGTACGAGGAAATTCACAATACGGAGGACGACCTGGCACACCGAGTAGAGTGCCGAGTTACAACTACATGGACCAGCGACAGCAGATGATGATGTCACACATGAACATGGTGGCAGGTACAATGCCTGGTACACCTGGTCACCACGTAGGAGGCCCGCTACAGAGTCCGCACGCCCCCCCGAGCAGCATGATGTTTCCAGGACATGACCAAGGGTTCTCGCATTCACACCATCATCCGTATAACGTCACGCCCAATACTACTTGTACTGTGGGTATGTCGCCTGGCGGAGACGGCGAGGACTTCCCCCGCTTCTATGGCGGTGGTGCCGAAGAATCGTCGCAGTACGACCATGGCCAACACCAGCTTCCAGGAGAAGGCGCCTCTATGATGGCCAATCCAGGACAAGGAGATCACGGAGGGGATGGATTCATTCCGATGGATAGCCAGGAGCAGCAAGAAGACGCGCCACAGAATAAATCATCACGGAACTTCTACGAGCAGACGAAGAACAGACCTGAAGACTCGTCGTCCTCGAAGTGTCGACACGAGAAGAAACTGCCACAGGCGAGAGAGCAGTCTCTAGACCGCGCGAACTCTCAGCAGAGTCTTCATATGCAGGACGCCGGTCCTGAACGTACACACTCGTCGAAGCTCGGCGCATTCCTGGAGCACCGAACAGGGCTCCCGAGCGACCACCCGCAGTATTCACCCGAAGCTACCAACAATGGCATGCACCAGCGGTCTCACGACGAACCAAGCGCAGAATTGCGATCGCAAGGAAATCTGATGGCGCCACCGACCGAGCGACCTTCTAGCGCTAGGGCGAAATCCAGAGATGAAAGCTTTCCTCCGATCACTAGAGATGCGAGTGATGCATCGTGGCCGCGCGCGCGGACAAACTCCAACGGACGCACGCACGCACGGACGCCCGAAGCCGCAGGACATCAAGCGAGATACACGCCTCGAGGAGGACTCATAGACGGTCAACGTGGTGGCACGACGTTCGGTGGAGGTGAAGGACCTTCATTGACGACTCAACATCAATCATCTTCAGGTGGATTGCTTCCTGCCAAACTGGCGACTCAGGTTGAAAAGGCTCGACAATCGAAGCGCGCTGGTGAGCGGCTGGGTCCCGTACACGATACTTTCCAACCTTGGATGAGACTAGGCGAGAAGGAGACGAAAGTCTGTTTGGGTGTTCGCGGTGAGGGAAGCTATCTGACGGTTCTGGACCCACGGCCAAAGCATAAGTACTACATGTGCACGTTCTGTGGCGACAACAAACTCTTCTCTTCCCCACTCGCGATTCGAAATCATTTGAATACCTGCGACAAGTTGGTTGTACACAAGACGAGGAATGAGGTGTGGCCAGAGAAATTAAAGATGGAACGGATGCAAAGGAAGGCAAGCGAACACGGAGACTCGGGTAACTTTTACTTTTGCAACTTTCTATCAATTTTGTCTTTTTCATTGCAATCCTAGTTCTACTTGTAGAGTTAGAACTAGAAGTAGTACTACTAGAGGTAGAACCAATAGTACCAAAGAAGTAATGAAAATAATGGTAACCTTGTTGATGTTGTGCAAATGTGTAACTTAGTCTGTTCAAACATTGAAGAACTGTCATCAACTTCCTTTCATGATCATCTTTTTTTCAGGACACAAGAATGGAGCTGACGACGCAAAAGAGTTTCCACCTTGGGCGACCGCACAAACAGTGTCACTAGGCGACAATCCAGCATTGACGAAACTCCAAGACGCTGAAATAGACATGGTGGAGAAGCTGACTTTGCCGAAAGAAGTCGAGCAGAATCGATGGCCGTCCAAGTTAGAGAGTGACCGCATGGCGCGGCAACTTGAGGAAATGAACGGGGCTGACGCCACTGCTGGTGCCAGCGGGAACGCGCGAGGAGCTGCGGAAGCGATTGGAAGCGGTGGAGAAGGGAAGAATAGAAAGCGAACAGCGGATAACAAGACTTTTCGCGATGAACCAGGGCAAGCGAGCGCAGAAGGGAAGAAGGCGACTAATAATCGCAGTGTAGTTGTTGATAGACTGTCATCTGAAGTCGATCCCCTTGCCGATCCACTTGGGTATATGCAACGTTCCATCGCGAACGCGCTGCAGACCAAGCTGCAGAACGACATGTGTGGCAAAAAAGGCTACGGGACAATGAGTAAGAGCAAGTTGATTGCGATGATTTCGAACGAGCCGGGCGTCGTTGCAGCGCGACAGCGGCTTTCTAGGCTCGGAATTTTGGATGAGTACTGGGAAGCGGGTGCAGCGGCGGCTTACTGCGATACAATTGGAAATCATCGTGAATTTGGTGAAGATATCGGAAATAAAATAAGTGTTCCCTCATCTACTGCTAGTGGAAATGACCCAGAGAAAATCAGCGCGCATGCGGAACAGCAGGAGGAACGCCGTCGCATTGTTGCGAAGCGCACGCAAGAGTTAAAGGACTGGGCAAAACGGAATCAAGGTGGCGCAGTTCGCATGGGACGCACTTTCGAAATCACGGACACGGCAACCTGTCACGGCAACGATGCGTCGTCCAAAACCAACAATACTAAGGCTTGTAAAGGGGTTAACGCAACTGGCAAAGGGAAAGAGAATCATAAAGAAGATAAGGATACGAAAGATAATGAACGCAAGGTTTCTGTGAAAAAGCAGCGGAAGTTGCAGCAAGAGAAGGCGACTTCCTCAACTTGCGACCTGTCGGACAAGCTAGAAGAACAGCGGTCGACGTGTAGTAACATATTCAAAAAGCAAGCGGTGCCGGTGCCGGTGGAACGCGTTGATGGGGGCGACAGGGATAGCAAAGCAAGAGCTGCGGCGACTCCGTCAGAGACGCCATCCTTCTTCGGTTCGTTCTGTGCACAGCCGTGTCCCCGTCTCTTTGAAGACGAGCAGGAACGGTGCGCCGTCCTCACTTCCGCCCCGGCGGCGTTGTTTGACAAGGAGCAGGCACGCAACCCAGAGGCGGAGCCATCAGCAAAAGGATCTCTAACAGCGACGTCTTCAAAGCCCAATAAGCGCAAGCGTTTGACGCCACATCCCAGTGATGGTAGCTATCCTGAGGAACCGGCAGATCCCGGTCTCGTTCGTCCAAACGGTAACGGTAACTCTGAGGTGACTAGTGGCCCACCCCCAAAACCAAAAGCCAAAGCCAGGGGAAAGCGAAAGATCGCAAAGAAAGCGGCGCAAGGTGGGGAGCAATCGGCATTAGCCAAGCGCCGCGGCATCACTGAGCACGATAATCAGACAGCAGGCCACGGTCGTAGTGATGCTGCCTCTAATAGCACCTCGATTTTCCTGGCTGCACTTCTGGGTCGCGAGCGAGCTTCGAAGGATGATTGCATGACCGCTTTGATTCAGTCGTCACCATGGCAGGGCAGCAGTGATGTTGAAGAAACGTCAGTTGCAAAAAAGAAGAACAAAGACGAAGCAGGAGACATCAAAGTAGCCGACGTGGAGATCACAAAGAGCGGTAATATCGACTTCAACGCTGGTGCAACGGCGGATGACACAGATGCGGGGAGCAAAACTGCGATCGCTAGTACGGTGACACCGTCACCAGAAAAACACGGCACTCCTAATGTGCTGGAGATACAGCAAGATCAAAAAGCAAGTGGGGCGATATCCTCGTCTTCAGCTGTCAAGAACAGTGTAAATGAGGCGTCGAAGACCACGCCGCGAAAGCAATCGGAAGAGACGAAAAGCGGAACCCAGAAAAACGGTGAAGCACACCAAATCAGTACTCCGGCACCCAAGAAACGGCGAGATCGACCTCCGAAAGGACAAGCGAACAATAAAGATCGCAGCGGTCACGGTGCTACTGCGACCACGTCTGCATCTGCTACCTCCTTGGAGAATCAGTCGGAAACTGCAAAGACCCAGGCTCTCGATCTCGGTAAAACAAAAAAGACTGAAGAAGACTACGATTCAGCGACCGCCCCAGGACCTACTCCGGTAGCAGCTGCGAAGGAGAACGCCAAGCCGAAAGCTAAGGGGCGCCCTATGAAAGTTGCGAAGGCCAAAGCGAAGCGCTCGTCGAAGACTTCTTGTGCAAAAAGTGATGGTAACTCTGGGAGTAACGATAAACTAGATAGCATGGTAGAAGTAGTCGAAGCTAGAGCAGGATCACGAACAAGAACAGATGATGCTAATGGAGCGAAAACTCCACATCGAGAAAATGAAAACCTCCAAAAAGTCCTGGGAAAAGAAAGACAAGAGAAGACAGTACCTCTTACGCTTCCACCAGAAATGGGAGCTGCGGCAAGTAGATGTAGTACTAAAAGACTGTCTCGGTCTCCTAGTAAAAGTGAAATGGACGACGGCGCTGCTGTAATGGCACCACCACACGGGACTGCGAATGGCGACGGAGCGGGAGGTGCGGGACTAGGATCCTACAATCTGCCAAAGCTTTTCGACGAAGAACCAAAACAGGATTCCTATCACTTGCCCTCCGATTTTGATTTTGAGAGTGATGAAGATCTCGGGCTGCAGCCAAAAAGTAGTACTAAAAAGTCTTCAACTTCTCATCTTCACGCAACTGGTCCGCGGCCGACAACTAGGACTAAGAACACTTCCAAGAATTACGGCTATAATAGGTAGCTCATCTCGTCTGAAGAGAGATTGCATCCCTCCGCGATTACATGTTCTTCCGGTGATTTCTCTTAATCAAATACACCTCTAAATTCAATTAATTTCCAACTCAAATTAGAAAAACGGAAGACAAGATGCGCGTGCTTTGAGATGAGCTATCGCGCACAACGCTAAGAAAAAAACAAGAAAAAGATTCAATCCTCGCGCCTTGACTTTACCGGTGATTCATCTTCATCAAGCAAGCAGAAACAAGGCGTGTCAAGAGTCATAGGCTCTTCGAAAACGGAGATCCTCGGAACGTCGTCTTCGTCAAGGAAAGAAGGAGTGACGGCACCACATCCACCGCCGACATCATTGAAGCACGCTGATAATGAAGAGGACGTGAATCCTTATGCAGACTCCCAAGATGATGTAAACCCCTATGCCACTACCTTTGAAGGTAGCCATGATGGTGACGATACTAGGGGTTTGACGACGACGCGGCTCCGGGGATTTATCAATGCGGCGTATCTGGAACAAGGCCCTCCATCCGGTAATATGATAGGTGCGAGGCTTTTTGCAAATACGACCCCAGAGTCAGAGTGTGGACCAAGATCTCCACCAGTGCCTAAAGAACAGGCAGAGCAGCAACTTTATTCGGTGCAGTGCGGCCAACAAGATCTGCGTCGAAAGCAGCAAGTAAAAACAGTGCCAAGTAAGGCATCTTGCACCTCTACGTCGAACACGAATACTGCTGCAGCTCGACGAAGAATGCCTTTATGGTCACCAACGAAGGCTAGCCCCGTCACGAAGAAGATGCGGCCTTCACACAGTCCATTGCTGCCATCGTCCTCTAGCAAAATTTTTGCGAAAGACGGAGCGAGGGAAAAGGTACTTACTTACATAGATCATCCGGATCCGTATCCGGTTGAGTTCTTCATCTATGAAGTTTAAGTACGCGCCACCGCCTGCTTATAGAAGAACAAGAAGACTTAGAATAGACCTAGAATGAATTATACTCCTCCTGGTGCAGCTCCTGACTGAAATGAATCGTTTGCATCTAATCGTCCGTCACGAATTCGATCCAACTCTTCTTCGAACAGGTGCCTGCAACTCCCGTGAGCTTCCGACCGGAAGCGAGGTCGCCGTCTTCTCCGTCTGTGAACGCACTCCTTTCTGTTCCTTCGCACGGTCGTTTGCGTAAAATGCGCAGGGCTTCTACTGATAATAACGGGAAAGACAATAAGAAAGGTAGTGGAAGCGGGTGGACTAGTTGTACGAGCAGAACACCCGGGCCTCTGTCTTCTAGGGCCATGTGGGCAGAGAGTGGGAATTCGCGAGATTATAGCGCGAGAAAGGAAATCGACTTCGAAGAAGATGACGCTGTATTAAAGATAAAGGCTTGATGTTGTGACTGATATCCGAGGTATTAAGTTGTATAAGTAACTACTAAGTAAATTGCTTTTGCTGTTAATCATCGAGCTTTTCATAGTCATCAACAAAGTGAAAAATAGTTTTAGTTGTCATATTAGTCGATTATATCCTATTTTGATGTTCAATCTTCCGATTGCATCCTCCTGCTGTGACAGTGTCATAAATCTGAGATCGAGTAAGTAAAGTAATGTAAGAGTAAGTAGTACAAGCGAGAACAAATAGTAATGGTTCTAGTCCTGCTCGTATTCTGTGCTTCGTTCTTGGGAATGGACATAATTCATGGATATGCATTGTATCCATCGTAAAGGTGAAAAATAAAAAATGCAGTGATAATCACTCGTTGGTCAACCTGCGGCAATCGATGAAGGTTAGGGTAAGATACTACAGGGAGAATCAATACAGAACTGTGGAAACATCGATCCGTTATTTTCGTTGAGCTCTCTTAATAAATTTTTGTTATGTGAGCCACCGACCCGCACCCAGAATGAACTACAATAAATTATCACGAAGGATGACGATGATTAGAAGGATTATTATCTAATCATGCGCGCAGTCTCTTTTGATATGTTACTAGTGACAGCTGTAGCTGTTAGCTGCCTGACGATCAAATCTTTCTAATTTTTTGTAGTAAATATATATAAGATAATTCGCATCCAATTCTAATCTTTCAATGTATGGCACGCTAGTAGCGCATAGAAGTGCGAACAAATAGCAGAGCTGTTTTTCCAAGAATCTTGATTTCTGACTTGTATTTCTTAGATGGCCTGGATGAACTTAATTGACAAATTTTGCAAAAGAATCTAAACCTAAAGGTAAGGTAGGGGCAACAGAAGTAAGGAATAAGAACAACAACGATCACATAATATCTGTAAGAATGCAACAGTGACAGAGTTCTAGTTGTGCTAGTAGCGAAAAAAAGCAACCTCAATAATCAATGAATACAAACTTGGGGTACATTCCTCGTCAACATTTCTGCTACAGAATTCCTGTCTGCTTCATCAAGGAGAACAAAAGTAAAATGAAAATCGAATCGCTATGCATAGTTTGTATTGGGCTGCTCATGATGGAATCAAACGGAGTTGAAGTTAATTATATCTTTCGGGAGCGAGTCGCTGTCGTGACCTTGGCGTGCTTTGGGAGTCAGAAAACTCTGCCAGTGTCCTTTGTCCTTTTCAGATCTTTGTCCTTTTTGACCCATCCTGAGCAGGTTGTTCAAAGTCAAACTTTTGAATCTTCTACATGTCTTTGAATTTAGTTGTGAAGACTATTTGCGACCACCCAGGCCAAAGATCCCAGTAAACTTCCGCCTTATAATGTACAACTTCCGCCTGTTCTGATGATCCATGTAGTATGGGTCGAATTTGCTAGCAGTAAAATCTGAAGAATTAACATTCTAATCGCATGAAATCAGGAGGATGAAAAAACAAAAGAGTGTGCTGGTAAAAACGTCAATACGTCGCGATATTAATTCTTCTACGTTGTACTTATGCCATTTACTTTTTGCGACTTTACTCTTTTGCGAAGAATGGCCGCACACGCATCAAGATGAAGATAGAGGGGAGCGACGCACGCTTAACATCGTATTCCAACTTTTGACACGCCGACATTGATTCGTATATTTTCCGCACGTCAGTAGTCATCAGTCAGCAGGCGAGCAGTATGACGCCAGATGACAACTGCTGCTAAAGCCGGTTGCGTCGCATGAACCACGACGCTATGGAGGAGTTGCGTATAGCATCGTCGCGCTGCTTCGTCGTGGTGCAAAAACAATAGAACTAAATGATGTCGCCGTCTGGTTCTTTTACATGATAAAGCCAACTTCAACCTGTAAAATCTCGCCGTCTGCGTCTATCTCGGTAGGGCTTACGTAGTTTACGAAACACCTTGTTTAGAAAAAGGAAAAGCGCGACTAGACCATGGAAGAAGCGGGGACGACCAAGCGGCAGAAAGTAGTCCAGGTGATTGCACCGAATGAGCAGGTTGGCGGCTCGTCATCATCCTCCGTGAGGCCTGCGAACGTCAACAACACACGACAAAGTCGTGGTGTAGGTCGTGGTGTTGTAGTTGGTGATCATCAGGATGTACATCACGATGATCGTGGCGGCACCGTACAGCAAAACGAAAATTCTCATGTCGAAAACCAAAATGCTGCTGCTGGAGATGGTGTAATTCCAGGGGCTTCGTCCTCGTCGTCGTCCGGAAACAAACAGCCTCTATTTCGAGGTTTGCACCTCGGCAACCTGCTGCGCCCTGTAGATGATAGTGGTAAATCACTAGGTAGTCGGACAATAAATGAGTCGTGTTTCGTTAATCGCACGGACGTCGAGCGTGCGTGCCACGTTGCCGCACCGGCAGCAGACACTGAGCAGGTCCTCGCGCTGAAGAATGAAGCTGAGGAAAAGGCAGTTGAAGTGCGTGCCGTGCATGAACGTGGCCGAGGCATCGCCGAAATCATTGCTGCTCGACGGCGCGAAAAACAACTGAAACGGCGACGCGTGATGGAGCAGGGCGAGGATGTATCTGGAGGAGGTTCCATGTTCGGGAACAAAAACAACGAGTATGACCCAACGATTATGATGATAGGAGACAAGCACAAGAATAGTTCTTGTTCGTCACAGTCTGGCTCTTCCGCAGAACCTTGGAACGAAATACATGCGCTAGTACAGTTTCAGCCACCCGGTGGCTCTGTGGAGGAGCTTTTTCTTGAAAAGCCACCACATTTGCCACGAATGCAGGATACTGGCATCGTCGGGACTGTAGGTGGAATTACAGCAACTGAAGGCCAGCAAATGCGAAGTCTAAAACGTGTCTCGGATGATAGTACCGAAGCAGCAGCGTTCATCTTTGCTCGAAAGCAAGCCCGACGTGGAAATCGCGAAAGCACAACGGGGAAAGCAGATCATGAACCACATGAAGTATTTCCATCGACTTCTAAACAAGGATTTCCAGCATCATCTCCTCCACCTTGTGGAAACTTGAAGCCAACAAAGAGCCGTAAAATGGCGCATATCATGCGGGACTTGCGTTCGCACATCATGGTCGAAGAGATTGATAATCCCGATGACGCTGAGTTTGCACTGGGAGGAAGTGCTGGCACAAGTAGTAGTTGTAGAAGTAAAACGAACTATGGGTATAATGGTCGTGTTGGTGATCTAGTGAGAAGTCCTAGAGCAACAGAAGGAACACTCGCCAATTATATCATGGAGAATCAACCGGAAGATGAGTACGGGTATGTTGACTTCCAAGACGAGGACGATGCTCCACCACCAGCTCTTGTTGACGATCCAGGAACTGGAGATGAAGGAGAGGGGGCACCAGGGACATCAACTGTTTTCAACATTTCCGCGAAGTTGATGCAGCAACAGCTCGACCTCTTTCTTCAAGAAGATGACGAGTTTCTGGGTCCGGCGATACCTTCAGCGATAACAGATCAGGCTTCTAACGAAGAACAAGAATTTCAATTCCCAGGGACTGAGGATGCAGGAGTTGTAGATCAGCACTTCCCAATAAGTACAGAGGCACTCGGCGCTGGCGCGTTTTCATCGTCCGGCGTAACTAGTACGATCTTTGAACCTTCTACTTCTACGCAGCATCTGCATCGGGTTGCCACGAGTGCTGTATCGTCAGCAGCTGCGCCTAATGAAGATATCTTCAATCAAGCGCCAGAACAAGCAACTACATCACCGTCCAGTATTTTCGACGCGTCTGCTTCTGCAAACAGAACCAACTCTGCTGGTGACACTTTCAAGAACATGAGTGGCATTGTGAGCATCGACTCCAATGTTTCGATGGCCGCTTCAGTTTCCTCTTCATCCGCACCGCCACTTTTGGGCACCGTTACTGCAGCGTCGAAGCCTGCTCTTCACCACGACTCAACTTTCAACAACAAGAACGCAGCTGTCTCGTCAGGAGCCAATATTTTTTCATCTTCAACCCTTGAGCTTGGCGACAAAAATACAACAAGCATCTTCGACACACCATCGACAGCAGTTACTGGAGGTGACAATGCAGCTAGTGCAGCATCGAGTATATTTTCGGCACCAGCTAAGCCTGAGGTGGGCACCTCCTCGATCTTCGACAAACAAAAGAATGAAGCAGCAACTACTTCAAGCGCAAGTGGCATCTTTGCACCTGCAGCAAAGTCTAGTGGCGCAGAGGGCTCGCTATTTCCTTCGCATCAAAAGGAGGATCCTACAGCGGGTAACGACGATCCATGGGGCGCTGCCTCTGAGGCTGCGCTTCCTATTTTCGCAGACCACGCGAATGCTGGAGGGGACTTCTCAGTAAGTAGTGCTGGCGCAGGCCTCTTTGGGTTTGGTCTTTGTGCCCGTTCCGGAGGTCGTCCGCCTATCGCAGAGGAAAATCCTGCCTCGTCCGCGGAGGATGATACCAGTGATGAAGCGATAATGAGCGACATAGACATGGAGGGACAGGGAGGCGCAAGAGGACCGGGCCGCAGCCCTATTGGAGGTCGTGGGCGCAGCATCTTCGTAGAGCCCACGCGACCAGTAATACAACGGAACGAGGGTGATATTTGGCCACTAAGTAACACAGAACAGTCACCCGGAAAACTGTACTTTATCTTGTTTTGTAATACAGATACTTAGAATCTAGAGTAAGCTGAAGCTACATGTTCTTGTCCTCCTAGAAGAAGAAGGGCCGTGGCGAGCTAGTTCTTCTTGCTGTTGTACTCACACCATCACCAGCCTTGCTTTGTTATAAAATATTGCTTTTCTAAATTTATATCTAAGCCTAAACATCATGATCATGTCATTGTCATTGTCAAGCTTTCCTGCCTCATTGTGACCTATTCAGGTACATCTATCGTCGTCGTGGTGACCAATTTGAGTTTGGTTCTTTTGGTGATGGCTTTTCACAGCCGCCGGACGAATGGGATGTTCAGGGACTTAAGTTTTTGAATATCCAACTAGACGGGCAGCCCAACGCTCTTGCAACCATTGGACGCGACCCAGATCGAAACAACAAAATTTTTGGCGGAGGACGAGGAGGTGCTTCATCTAGTGCAGCAGGTCCAGCAGGCTCAGGAACACCGTTTGGGCTTAAAGCAGCAGCGAAGAAGCACCTTCTGGTACCAGATGCAGACAAGTATTGGCAAAGCCGCGCTCTCTTCATGTGTCCCGCAGAGTTGCAATCGAGCGTTGCAAACCAAGCTCAGTGGCGACGTTTCTACCGCCTTGCGGGTGTGGACATCGACCAGCTCAAAGCCAACGTGCTGCAGAAAGCCCGCGACCAACGCGAGTACGAAGAAGTGGAGGCCTGGCATCGGGAACAATACGACAGTTGGAAGCATAAACGGGCAGAGGCAGAGCGTCTGCTTAACACCGAAAAGCCTCTGCAATGGACGGCTCCTGGTCCTAAATCAGGTGAGGCATTGGCAGAGACTTCTCAGGGAAAGACGGGAGGTAAGAAGAGCGGATCCTTTGGAGGCAACCAAGCTGGTGGTAAAGCTAAAGCTCCTTCATCTTCTAGTTCTTTGTATCCGCAAAAAGGCAAAGCAAAAGGGGGTGCACCAGGAAGAGGCAAGCCAAGTCAACCAGCATTTGACAACTACGCTGGCGCCGAGGAAGGCAAAGGAGAAAAACCTCCAGGACGCACACGCTTCGTGAGCCCGGAAAAAGTAACTGCCCTGGAGAACAAGGGAGTAAATCTTCGTCATAAAGCTACTGGAGGCTCAGCTTCGGTTTCGGACGCACATCAAAATAGAGACTGGACAGATGTTCAGTGGGCGGAATGGGAAGAACGAAAAGTAAATGCTGCTCTGAAACGAGAAGTGAAGAAGATCTCGCGAGCAGATCAAGACGATTGGAATTACTACGATGGTGGATCGCATGGTCAAGGTGGAAAATACAACTCCTCGTCCTCTTCTGGTGGTAAAAAAGGCAGCAACTTCGGTGGAGGAGGAAAACAAGAAAAGGGATTTAATAACTCAGAAGGAGGTGGAGAAAAAAAAGGACAGAACGACAAAAGTAAAGGTGGTGGTAAGAAGGGTGGTGGAGGAAGCGACTTTTCCGGCAAAGGCGATAAGTCCTCTTCGACAAACAAGAACGGAGGCAGCAATAATAAAGGCTTCTCTTCTAGTAAGAATAGAGGCGGTGGTAAAGATCAGGAAGCGCCGCACTCGCATTACGGACCTGGGTGGGATTCGTCGACGCCAACTCCCGGACAAGGTCAAGGAGGTGGCTTAGTCCTCCGCTCAGCCAGGGACGTATCTTCGGGCGCGGCGAGAGCGTCTGCGTCGTCTGGTGGAAACAGCAGTAGCAGAGCGGAAGAACGAAAAAAGGAATACGATCCTCGCTTCGTCGCGAAGGCACAAGGAGCAAAAAGGTGGCGCTGTCACAAATGTTCGAGACCCACGCCAGCTGAGGATGTCCACTTCTGCTCACGCTGCGACCCGGTCAACGGCAGAGACTGGGTTCCGCCAGCGGATTTGATGGCTACCGTGGATCAAAATGCGGGAGGTGGTGGACGAGAAGACCACCGGTCGTCTAGTAGGCCACGCATTGATCGTGCTGCAGCGCAAAGACACATTCTTGCGGGAACAGGCTTTCAGAGAAAGGGACAAGAACTGTTGAAGGGAAGTAGAGGCAAGAAAGGCTAACAAACCTTACAGAAATTGTCTTTGTCACGAGCTTGATCTTGGACTAAAACCAAGATCTAAAGAAAGGAATCCAGAATTTCAAGAAAGTCCTACTCCCATTTCATCTCGTATAGATACATCTACATACGAACTCTAACTTACTTATATCGCAGATGATCGAAACTCTCCTGCTGGCTCGTTGATAATTAATATGTACTTACTTTCTTACATACCCACTCTAAGATGACATTTAATTATACCCCAGAATAAATCGCACTTTCAGGACGCATCCCGTCTTTTCATCCAGTTTTGCCCGAAAGGATTAACACCGATCAAAAGTCTGTTCGTGATATCTATCATATGCGAATCATGCGAAGAGTCAGGCCAGCATGTTGCGTTCGTGACATCTTCAACCTCAGCTTCGCCAGGTGCTAAGTAAAAATGAAGATCATAATTCTACATGGATACAAGAACAAGAACAACACCGAGTATTGTTGTAAAGACTTAGGAAAGATGTAGAAGAGCATGTTGAGGAGGAGCGGATGAAGACAGTGAGACTGAGAGCGACTTCTAGAAATAGCAGAGCGATGTTTCTCATTCTCGTTGAGATGATGGAAGGGCGCAACATATTCTGTCAACTGGACACGACGTAAACTTATACATAGTTAATACAGCGAGGAACAGAAAGGCATTTTGATTTAAGAGACATTACTCCTGATCAAAATTCTTACACTAATAGACAAATCCCTAACTACAACACCAACACACCACACCTTCCTTCTATCTCCTGCGCTTATTTGATGGAAGATCAGCATCAGTCTATGATCAGAGCGCATGAAGAACAAGTGGCGAAGGCCTGCTCAGTCTCTGCGAACAAGCCTCGATCAGACATTGGTGGAGACTTCCACTGTTCCTCTAAGAAACGTCTAGCAGAAGAAAATAACGAAGATACAACCACGTCCGCATGCATAGCTTCTAAAACAAGTAGGACAATTACAACAAGCACAACCACAATCGCTATCCCAAGTACTAGCACCATGCGAGGCGTGGCAAATTTACCGCCTTTACCAGCACTAAGCGCCTTCCCGTCGCATATACGGACGGGTCAAACCGTCATCGGCGTTGGAAAAAACTATGCCAAACACGCTGCGGAGATGTGGGACCAGTACGAACGGCATCTTTCAAAGAGCCAGGGAATGGTAATCGTAATAATCGTGGTCGTTAAAGAAAGACAAATTATTTTTAAAATCGTCATGGTCATTATATCCTAACTAAGCAATTGAAATTATAAGTGTTGAATCAGTCGTGAATGTGTTGACAAAAGCAGCACAGATATCATTTGTAGAACAAAGAATCCTCTCAATCGATAGACTTCGAATACATGGCACTAGACAGTCACCTGCTCCTACGAGACCTCTTCTTACACTACAGACTGGCCCTCCCCGTCCAGAAGCATCGCCGATTCTGTTCCAAAAGCCACGAACATCCTTCGTTTTTGACAGCCCCATCCAATACGCGAAATCAAAGGGGGTAGTTCATTACGAAGCCGAAGTCGCAATCTTAATCGGAAAAGAGGCTTACAGAGTAAAAAGAGAGGATGCGCTCGACTATATTATGGGCTTTACCGTTGGTCTAGACATGACAGCACGTGAACCGCAGATGGCCGCGAAGGAAAACGGACATCCATGGTGTCCAGCGAAGTCAGGACCCCACTTCTTACCGTTTGCAAAAGATTTCATTGCAATAGATCAAATCTTGAAAGGAGGAGCAACAGCCTCTAGTACTGGTTCAACAACGCGATTCTTTAAAAGCGGACTGCCACATGCGGAAATCGAGCTGGAGTGCAAAATCAACGGTGAATTACGACAAAAGGCAACGACCCGCGAACTAGTCTACGATTTATGGCTCTTGAAAAAAATACAATTTGAATTTCTTTCTTCTGTATTTCTTCTAGATCTAGATCATGATGATCTAAGTACCTTGTCTATGACGCGATTTTCTTTTTCTGAGTAGATGAAAAATATGGAAAATGTTGAACATGACGATGATGTTGACGTCCATTATTCGCGTCATTCACTAGGTTCGTCATGATCATGATCTTCGAGTTGAACGAAATCCTTTGTGGTCCGTCTTCATCATGTTTGTGTGTGTGGCGCCAACTCTAAAAACCGTACCCTTTCTACTTGAGGAAATCACGAAAACCTGGCCTCTTGTTCCTGGAGATGTAATCATGACTGGCACGCCAGAAGGCGTAGGGCCCGTTTTACACGGAGACCACTTTGAGATGAGTATTTCAGTACCAACATCGGCAGGAGGAGACCAGCCTGAACCTTCTAACGATGCTACAACGTGCTCACTGACTGCGACATTTAGTGCTGAAATTTTGCACGATCTGTAGCTTGTTGCTATTGCTAAGGTACTACAACGCACAGCCACACGCACACCGGCGTCTAGCTCCATCTAGGAGCGTTTGCAATTATTTTAAGAACTAGCACACCAAGGAGCACCATCAGTGCCACCTATGGTTTTCTGCAGACATCCGAAGCAAAGCTGTTCAAGTTTTCATCTCGCATCCGAAAGAATTTCATTGGACGTACAATTTTCTTTTTTATCATGTAATGGTGCTGCTCGATAACCAGGAGGTCATTATCCATTAATGTGAAGGAAGGACGTGCACGGTTTATCGTGATTGTCTGATGATCGGTCCTCTTTCTGTGTGAGTAACCCTGTTCATGTAAAAAGACTAAGGGTGAAGCAAATTTGCGGCGAGAAGGCTATACCAATCAGACGTGCAGAAGCAAAGAGAGCAACTGCATGTCCGGCGTCTTAACAACTTTTTCTCAGAAAAAATGCTCAAAGTGAATAAATGCAGCTGAGACCCGCTGCACAAGATATGAGAACATCAACGCCTCGTCCATCCTAGCTTGTCTTGTAGAACGAAGACTTACAAATTGCAATAGCACTTTTTAGAAAGCACGTCAACCAAACCCAACCCTCACCTTATATCATGTTCAAAAAATAATATCTTGACCTTCCCGCTTGCTTATGTTCTCCTCAATGATTTTTCGTTGATATCCTCAGTTCAAGAACATCCTGTGGAAATCTTCGCGTAGGTCCAACGTGAACGCCAAAATCTAAGTGATTATGACTGCGTTATGATTGTTGAATGTTTCTTGAAGAGTAGGTCAGCCTTTTTGTTGGCGTTGATTGATGGATTACTATTGACTATGATATTTTATCACAATGAACAAGTAAATCACGTTGAAAGAAGCTTGGTACCTCGTTGAGCATGAGCATGTTGATAAGATGAAGGTCGCAAGTATTGTGAGAAAGATGAACTTCGTATGAACATCTTCTTCGATAGTTTAACGCATCCAATCCTGACGATCATCACGTCGGTTGAGAATGTGAGCAACTTGCACTACTAGTATTGGTACAACTTTTGATTAGGTATGTACTACTACCACATAGTTGTATCAAGTTCATCATACCGTGATCACAAGAATGGGGCGTGTGCGAAGGTTGCGAGTGGAAAACTTCAAGAGCTACCATGGTAGCGTGGACATCGGGCCTTTTGAAAACAATTTCACCTGCATCGTTGGCCCTAATGGCAGCGGCAAGAGCAACATCGTGGATGCTTTTGGGTTCGTGCTTGGCATCAGTGCGCGCGATCTTCGCGGCCAAAACCTCCGTGATTTGGTTCATCGAAAGCCCGCTGAACCTGCTAGTGTAGTTGATACTCGGGATGCGTGCTTAAGGCTTGTTCATTAATCTGAATGTTGAATACTTCTACCCTGATTACTGTGAGTGAACAATACTTCTAGAGAAAGGGACTTTCTGAACTTCATATCCTTGACGGCCGTCGAAGTGTAGGTTCATCACAGCGACCTCCTAGTTTCTTTGCGCTCGTCGGCAACAGGCTCAGGCACTACTAGGGCAAAAAGGTTAAAGGTAAGAATATATATGGACATGACGATCCAGTCTAACATGCGTTGAGCTCGAGTTCGTTGCTGACAAGAACTCTTTTACGTTTGCGGACGACGGAGAAGACGATGAACTGGGTGGAGATGAGCAGGACATCTTCGACGAAGGTATGCTGGGAGGCGGAGACCAGAATGAGGTAGATGAGAATAGAAAGAGCAAAAAGAAACTGCAACTGAACGACAAAAGCCTCGAACTCGATGCTTTCGGAGACGAAAGGCTGCTCAAAAGTCCGGCCACTGGAAAAAAGAGTGACCTGAACAAGCTGACCGCAAAAAAGAAGACGCCAGCGAAAACGCCTGGCCGCAGTGTCGCACGCGCGAAGAAGAGCGTCAAAAAGGGCAGTGCTGGTCCAAAATCATCGAAGAAGGCGAATCCAAAAAACAAAAGTGGAGAAACTCCCAATGCGCGTGGTCATCGTGGTGGTTTTCTGAACGACGCGGATCACGACCACACAGATGATGGACCTGCTGAGGATAGCCCTTGCGTCGAACGCCGTGAGCGTCGCCGAAAGGAGAAGGACATGCATGTCCTGAGCGGTCTACGGGAGTTCTACAAACGTGAAAAGAACAATACTGCTCCTGGTGGTGCACCGCCGGATCCGCATGTTGATAACGAGGATGTTGAGGAAGAAGATGGAACACACAAACAGAAACAGCCTACAACTTCATCCTCGTCGTTCGTAGCTGCTGGAGGTGGAGTTCTCACAGGAACATCTTCATCCTCTTCAAGCTCCTCTTCATCAAAGAACATTGGGACAAGCAATGAGAATGCAACAACTTCTAGTGATGCGACGCGAGCCATTCGGTTCGGCAGACACATCTGCGGCCGCACGGGAGAAGGCAGCTACAAGGTAGACGGCAAAACGGTCACTCTTGACGAATATTCGCGCATTCTGAAATCGGTATGAATATGCAGTAATTAGGCTGTGGATCGAATTCGATAAGGATAAAGTCACCTAATGATTTTTATGATCAGTTTATCATCATTACCTTAACAAGTAGTTAGTCTAAGTGGTCGTTTGCATTTGTTCTGAATTTTGATGCCGCGCATATTCATTGTTGCATGTATTGTGTTCAACGTGTACATCTCCCATCTCGACGTAGGTCCGAATTTTAACGCGGGCGCGGAACTTCCTTGTTTTTCAAGGTGATGTTGAGGCCCTTGCACAACGACAGGGGTTAGAGCTAACGCGATTTTTCGAGCGCGTGTGCGGCAGCGATCAATACCGTAACGAGTGCGAGCACCTCACGAAGGAGAAAAAAGAAGCCGAAGAGAATCTCCGGCTTTTGTTTGCGCAGAAGAGGTCGGCCGTGACCGAACGCAAGCAAGTCGAGGTACAAATTATGCCGGCAGCAAGAAGAAATCGACTAGGTAGAAATAGTTCTTGTTGAAAGACCAGCCGCAACTTCTAGGAGAAAGAACGCTCACTACTACGCGTGGAGCTGAATGAAAGAGATACCATGACAAGTGACGTGACAAGCTGCTGTCTGTACGCGTGTTAGTATTTGTTCTGCGAGATGAAATTACCAGTTGTAGTAGAAAAAATGATAAGCAGCACAACGAACTAGTAAAACTTCACAATGAATATTATATAAATATGTATACCTAGAGGAAGAGGATGGGTCCAAGAACTGATGTAATCGGTCTAACGCAAAGGCAGAAGCCGAGAAGTACCGACAGTTGATTGAGGAGAGGAATCTATTGCAGACCGAGTTCTGTCTCTACCGCATGAATACGGTGGAGACGCAGTTGCGTGCAGAAAGTGAACGCGCGAACGAGCTGCGATCGCAGTGCGATGCCGCCGAGACCACGTATCGTGGGGAGGTGAAGAATTGCAAGAAGAAGGAGGATGATGTCGGTAAAGTGTCATTGCAGCTTACGAGATACGCTGATGTCGTCAGTGGGCTGAATAACATAGCGACAGGAGCGGCCAAGGCAATAGACGCCGACCATGAATCGGCAAGCAGTGCCGCTGTAGCAAGAAAAAACGAGCCCCGTGTACAGCCTGCGCACGCGAAGTTGCGCAGTGAAAAATCCTTGCTCGAACGAGAGCTCGCGGAAAAGAACGAACTCTTGGAACAAAACAGACAGAAACAAGCGTCCCTCAACAGCCAAGTCGAAGATCGGACCGCGGATTTATCCCAAGTGCAGAAGGGTCTGGATTCCTTGGGGAAGAAAATTGCCGATTGTCATTATGAAAAAAACTAGATAATGTTGAGGTAGAACAAAATAATATTGTAGTACTTCTACCTGATTCTTGTGTAGTACGTCTCCGTATTTTAGTATCGCTATCGGTCTTCTCTCTAAGTTGCAGTGAATTTCAGTCCTGAGCAGGGAAAACGGTATCGCGAGGCGGTTCGTGAGTCCGAGGCTGCCGTGCCACCCGAAAAAACGGCTCTTTTACGAGATCTCGAGTACCGACAGAAGGATTTGCAGGCTGCTGTGGCACGCCGGACAGCGGATGCGGCGCATGCGGGTGCTCGAGTCCAGGCCGCCGCGCAGATGGAGGAACGGCTTGTCGAAGTGCTGGAGACCGCCGTGAAAACGCATGACCAGTTAGACGCTGACTTAACCACGAAGCGGACCAAACTCAAGGATCTTACGCGCAAGTTGCAAAACGTGGGGGAGGACAAGGATCAACTAGCAACTGAGAAACGAAAGATTTTGGACGGGGTTCAAAGCGGTAACCTGACGGCTAGGCAGGTAGAGCGCGAGCAGAGGCTGCGGCAAGTCGCGTCGGAATTGCAAGAAAGCATTCCTGGTGTTTTGGGTCGTGTCTGCGACCTGTGCAAGCCCGCGCAGAAGAAGTACCGCGTCGCACTGAATGTAGCGCTGGGTGGCAGTTTAGACAACGTGCTTTGCGATACCGCTGCCACGTGCAGAAAGTGTGTCATGTTTCTCAAGGCGCGACATCTGGAGCCCATGACCTTCATCCCTCTTCAGAAGGGCGACTTGCGTGTGAATTCGGCCACCTTGGATCCTCGTGTGCGCCAGGGTATCAAAGAAATCACACCGGCGTTGGACATCTTGAATTTTGACAGGAAAGCCCACGCAAACGCATTCAACTATTTACTCGGACACACACTCATAGTAGACAATTTGGATGCCGCAAGAAAGGTACTATTTTTCGACTATTTTTATTTTTTTACGCGCAGGAAGTGAAATAATTTCATTGAGCAGCACAACTTGCAGTTGCTGTTGCACTTGCCCACCTGTTCTTGTCACTCACGCTCCACCACCTAGATGTTCTTGACCTCCACTTAGTATTTTTTCTCCCATCTACATCTTCTTGATCTTCCTCCATGTGCTTCATTTATTCTTCTTTAAGATTCCATTTTTCATCTATTATAGAAGCATACTTTCGTCTCTCCTGACAACGTTTCCCATTCCATCAGGTGGCTTTCACCGATTTGCCCCTTGTGACGAAACAGCGCAGTCACGGTTGCCGCATCGTCACTCTGGATGGCGAGATGATTAAGGCCAATGGCAATATGACGGTGAATTGTGACGCTGCACAAGAGGGTGGCACGAAATTTGATCTCCAAGAACTGCAAAAAGCGCAGGCGCGTCTCGAAGAGATCGGCCGAAAAGAGCTGCAACTCGTGAATTTCGATTTGCATGGCCAGCGTGAGCGCGTCGACCTCGAAGCTGAAATAGCCAGGGTCGACGCGAAAGTGAACACAGACAGTTCAGCCAGGGTTTCGAGAGCGCGCGAAGACCTAGCAAGGAAAAAGCACGACAGAGAAAACGTTCTCGTGCCGGCAAAGGTGCCATAGAAAATTTTGCTATATTTTGAATTCCAAATAGCGATAAATTCTGTACCTTGCAGTTGCAGTGCTCTTGACGTGTGCAGACGGCTTCATCAAACTGATATTCGTAGAGTAATATCGATCTTGATCAAGATCAAGAAGAATTCATACCGATTCCGCCCTTCCTCTTAATGATCTCATCAACTCCCGCTCCCACCAGGTCCGCCTCGAAAAGGAATGTGCTGATCGCACCAAGGAGCTGCAGGAGACGGAAGCTCAACAAGTCGCCCTCGAGGCTGACGTGCAAAAGCTTGTTGGAAGTTTCTTCACCGATCTTTCGAAAGAGTTGAACGTTGAGGATGTAAGAGCCTTGGATCTTCAGTGTCGCAGGGAGCGAGAACGACTGCGAGTGGAGGAAACGAGAGTGCAGGCGCAAGCGGACAATTTGCGGAGTCAGCTTGACCTCCTTCAATCTGGGATTGCGCGATACAGTATCGATACTGTACAGAAGGAGATCGATGAGGTCACTGAAAAATATGAAAGACTTCTCTTCTTGATGCCAGGAGCATGTTTATGTTACTTCTGGTAGAAATAGGAAAAGGAATAAGAAGAATAAAAATTCTTGTAGTACTTCGAATTGATTTGGAGTTAATATAGGTCTTAATATTCAATTCTGTTCCTGAGTAGAAAAATTATCAGGTCGTACCTCCGACCACGCAGTTGCTTGTTCTTCCGACTTTCGTTCCATTGATTGCTCTAAGAACAGCTGGAGAAATGTACCACCGATCTTGCGGAATGGGACCGAATCTATCAGGATGAGTGCAACAAAACGGATGATAGGCGTAAGCGAGCTACAGAACTCCTAGAGCAAAGGACAAAGTTAGAAGGGGAGCTGGCCGAGTTGAAAAAAGGCGTGATGGCGAGAAAGAAGGCGCTTGCGGAAGCAGGGAAGCGATTAGAAGCTAGCAAAGGGAAAATGGAATCGCTGAAATGTATTTTTACTAACCAAAACTTGAACTACTTCTTTAACATGTCTGTAGTAACAAATTGTTGACGAAGACGATTCCTCGTGTTAGAGGTTTCTGAGGATGACGATGCGATTCGTTTACGTTTTCTAGTGTTGCTCGTCATCGCAGGAATCTGCCCATACGGAAAAATTGAAATTCTAGAACTCACGCTCAGAGGCTGCCGAACGTATGTACTGTTGGAAAAAAGAACTATGTATCTAATTGGCGTTGTTGAAGTTGATCTTGATGATGTAACAGGATTGTCTCAAATATTATAATAATGTCGCTTCATATATATATGTCTCAAATATTATAACAATTGTCTCAAATATTATAATAATATTCAACATCATTTCCACCTCAGCTTGGCGCTCCGACATCATGCGTGGCGCATTGACGGACGGAGTGGTGATTCCGGTGGATAGAGAGCAAAACCAATTGCCGAAAGAAGCGGAGCTCGAATCCATCATTCTTGAGACTGGTGGCATCGATCTCATCGTCGATTACAGTTCCTTGCCCGAATCCCATCGCAACCTGCAGGATCTCAACATTATTCGCGAGCAAACCCAGGAATACGAGAGCGAGCTTGAAAAAGTGAAAGAAGAACTTGACTCTCTGCGACCAAACATGAAGGCAGCAGCGAAGATGGACGAGGTAGCTGCGGAAGTCGCCCAGAAGACGAAGGAAGCAGAATCCGCGCGACTCACGGCACAACGACTCGAGATGCGAATCGGGAGATTGAACGAGCGACGCCGCAAACGCTTCATGGAGTGTTTCAACTGTGTGCAAAATGCTATCGGAGACGTCTACAAAACCCTCACCGAAACTTGGGAGGAACAGCAAACAGAAGTGAAAGAAGGAATCAATTATGACCAAATTCTGATAATCTACATAGATTTATATATGCTTGTTCTTGTCTCTCTTGTCAGACTTGTCCTCTAACTCTCAAGAATAACAATCATTTTTTTATTGGATCTCAAGAAGATCTAAAAGTAATCGCGTTCGCAAGGAACGCGCTCTTGTCACTCTATGTCTATGTGGAAGTAGGTTTGAGCTCGAATTTGATGAATCATCTTCGTTCATTTCCCAGAGGTTCTTGTGGACGAAGGCGGGCGTGCGTTCTTAGATCTCGAAAATGCGGAGATGCCGTTCGAAGGCGGCGTAAAGTACACCACGATGGCGCCAAGCAAGCGATTTCGGGACATGTCATTGCTCTCTGGAGGCGAGAAGACGCTTGCCGCCTTGGCCCTGCTCTTCGCCGTGCACGCATATCAGCGACCGCCGTTTCTCCTTCTGGACGAAGTGGATGCGGCTTTAGACTGCTACAACGTGCAGAGCGTGCGTCGCTTCTTGCAGCGTGCGCCGTTCCAGAGCATAATCATTAGTCTGAAAGACAAGTTCTTCAGCAAAAGCAGTGCGCTAGTGGGTGTATACAAAGACCGGGTGCAAGATGCGAGTGGTGTTCTGACCTTGGATCTGCAGAAGTACAGGAGACAACGAGTTGCGCGTCTACTAGATGCAGGAGAAAAATTGCCTGCCAGTGCCCTTCCTGTCAAGGGAAAAGGGAAAAGCATGATACTAGGGCCAGGCGCAGGAGGTATTGGAGGTGGTCTCAGCTGTCCTGGGGCGTTCCTTCTAGGAAAGACTGGAGTAGCTGCCGCGTCGTCGTCTGAAGATAGCAAGAACTACTTTGCAACCCGCCTCTCTCGTCTACCAGTAGTACCAGTTGGGGGAGCTGGAGGTCCTCCTCCAGGTGTCGACCAAGCTAGCGACCTCAAAGACGCACCGACCGGCTCGTCCGCAGAAGCGGGGGGACTGCAGTTCGTGGAGAGTGATGTCCTACAACAGGGAAACGAACACGTGGTGGACGATGTAGATATGATGGACGTCGAGTTGAACCAGCCACGGCCTGCGCATGATTTCGTTTGTGAAGAGGAACTTCCACGCGCTGGCGAGGATGCAGCGAGCGAGCGGCCGCACCATGAGGAATCGGAAATGAAATCCGGAGTACGAGGAGGACAAGTAGTGACGCCTGCATCTGCTCCAGCGGATCCTCTCCTCAGTGGTCGTAAAGACAGGAAGACGACCACAGCAGCTGCCTCGGCATCCCGGCAGAAAGGGAAGAATGCCACCCCCAGTGGAAAATCCGCCTGGGCAAAACAAAAATCAGGCCAGGGATCAGCTTCACGCGGCAACGTCGAGAATGAAGATGATAATCATGACATCGGTGGAAATAGTGGTAAGAAGAAAGACCGGGAACCTTCATCGACATCATCAAAATCCAAAGCATCACCAAAGTCATGTTCGAAAGCTGCAGCGAGGAAAGCAGCAGCGTCGCCAAAGGCGAAAGCGGTTCCAAAGCAAAAAGTGACGCCGAAGAGTAAAGAAAAGCAAGTACTGGCTGAACGATCAGCACCTCCCCCGAAGAACCTACAAGCCGGGGAAAGCAAAGAGTTGCAAAACGAAGCTGCAACGCCGACAGCAAAAGCGTCTTCTAGGGGGCGTGCGAAGTCTTCAGCCGCAGTAAAATCATCAGCAGCGGAGAAGAAGCGAGGTCGGTCGTCTAGGCGAGTTGCTTTTGAAGAGGAAAGTGGTGATCTTCTTGTAGAAGACAAAGAAAATCAAAAACCTCCCGCTGCTCGAAAAGAGAAGAATGTAGAAGCTACATCGTCTACTTCATCTACTAGTCGTGGTCGTATTGAACAGGCACAGACGAAGTCGATAAAGAGTGTGGAGGAACACCAGGCATCAAAGAAAACCACTACGACTGTACCACCACCAGCGCCAGCATCATCTCCTGCAGACTTTCTTGTTTCTGCAGGTGGACCCTCTGCTTCGTCGTCAAGTTCTTCTTTGTCAAAAAATATCAAGCGACCTTCCCATGCTGCACCTGCACTCGGACTTCCACCAGCCAGCATTACTAGAAATAAAGCGCCACTAGGTCTAAATCTAGGACAACCACAACTGGGAGGCAACGTAGCCTCGTCTCCACCTGGTCCGGGCAGTGGTAGCATTCTTGACCGAATATCACGAGATCCTACGTCAGGAGGCAAGCTTTTTAACGCCATGGACACATCGAAACTCTCTCTGAACAACGAGTCCGACTCCGATAAAGATGACCACATGGACCTTGCTTAATTGCGTGTAATAAGTAGATGAGGTAACTTTGACTAATAAAACACGAGATCTTTTTTTATATTTTACCAAGAATTGGACTTGGAGTTACTATCTTCGGTCTTCACCTCTGTTAATATCTCCCGATGCTGATCCTGATGTGGCAGTGAACTTTCTTTTCAACGAGCATGGATATCCTCCTGATACAGATACTCTTAGTTACAAGTTCTTACTCAGTATCTCTCAACTAACATAAGTACTACTTCCAAGCATGATTTTGATATTGATTTTTACAACTGGCTTTGGAGACGTGAGCACCGTGCATCTGATATAATGTCGTCTCGTTGGGCTTGATGCTGGTGCAGGCTTTTCCTCGATCCCTGCATTCCATACTTGTGAGTACATTATACTAGCTTGGAGCGTCCGATAACATCCCTCCCACTAGGATCCCCCTCCTCCCCAAAATAAGAAACTAAGCAAGGCAAAGATGTAAGCGATGCGCGTTTTCAAATTTCGAAAATTTTCCACGTTTTGCCATCGTTTGGGGGTTGGATCTCGTGCGTTTGAAGTCAAGGGCTAAGAGCCCGAAACTTTTTGACTTTCAGCCCTTTCGCTGGAATTTAATGCCTTGGCTTCGCGTTTTTCCAATTTCGAAATTTTTCCACATTTTGTCGCCGTTTTGGGATTGAGTTCTGTGCGTTTGAAGTGCTAAGATCCCAAAACTTTTGATCTTGAGCCCTTTCCCTGAGATTCAATCTCTTGGCTTCGCGTTCTTCCAATTTCGATAATTTTCCACGTTTTTCGTCGTTTTGGGAGTGAATCCCGTGAGTTTGAAGCGCTAAGATCCCAAAGTTTTTGATTTTAAGCCCGCTCCCCCGAGATTCAATGTCTTGGCTTCGCGTTTTTCAAATTTCGAAAATTTTCCACATTTTGTCGCCGTTTTGAGGTTGAGTCTCGTCAGTTTGAAGCGTTAAGACCCCAAAGCTTTTGACTTTAAGCCCTTTCCCTGAGATTCAATCTCTTGGCTTCGCGTTTTTCAAATTTCGAAAGTTTTCCACCTTTTTCGTCATTTTGCGAGTGAGTCCTTTGATTTTGAAGGGCTAAGATCCTAAAATTTTTGACTTTAAGCCCTTTCTCTGCAATTTATTTCCTTGGATTCGCGTTTTTCAAATTTCGAAAATTTTCCACGTTTTGTCGTCGTTTTGAGATTGAGTCTCGTGAGTTAGCCCCTTCCCTCGAGATTCAATTCTATCGGTTTCACGGTTTCGTGGTTTCGTGGTTTCATGTTCGTGGGCTCATGGGTTTGGGGTTTGTTTGTTTTTGTGTCGGAGGTTTTGGGTTTGGGTGTTGGAGGTTGAGGTTTCTGAAGGGAAGTGTTTGCAAAGTTTTACTGCTCTTAATATTTACAATTACAACTAGTGAAAAAGAAGATGATGTTGGAAATGAACTAAGTACCCACATTTTGAGCTCCTTGCTTGATGAGATAACATAATTCCACTAGAAGTATTTTTCGTCTTCGACTACCCACGCGGCACACTCCTAAGATCCTTTTTTTGCCTTTTCTTTGTTTTTGTTACTACTTTACTTACCTATAATAAGCCGCTTTATTTTGATTGTATTTGTTCCCAGCGCATCTTCGAATTTCTCTGTATGTTGATTGTTTGCCGATTTTTGGACCCGTTTTGCTCAGTCAAAATCTTTGTTATGAATTTTTTTATGCAGCTCCGATCAAATACAAATAACACTTAATTAAGAAATAATGCATTTTTCTCCACTTTTTTGGAATTGATCTCGGTAATGTTCAAGCCCGTTCACGTTCTCGTTGCCGTTAGTGACTTGATACTTCTTCTACTTGATCTTGGTTTTGCAGCGCGCCATTTTGTCAATAAATTCATTTATGATTTGCAGGGACATGATGCATACCTTGAACAATGTTAACAGGGACTACAGCATGCATACACCTTACTTCTCGCATTGACCACCTCCTAGGTAGCCAAGCGGTGATTCCTAACGCCGGTGTGTTTCGTTGTTCGTAGCCATGTAATTTTGTTTTCACTGTTGTAGATCCACTATAAATGTTTTTTTTAGTCCGGAAACAGGAAAGTATACAAGGTTGGTGTCGGTCCTTGCGTGCAGCTCAAGCACAGCTCGGTCTAGTAAAGTAGATCCTCTTTCGGCGTTTTCATAGTCGTGAATGCTCACCTCCTCGAGGCGAGCCAGCTCCTATCCTATCTTAACGCCGATAGGAACGAATGGTTGAATGCTGGGCATGGGTCTGATACGAGCAAGGCGATGGAGTCCCTCTGTTTGGTAGGTGCGCGCTGCAGTCACAGTCTTTTTGTTTTTTGTGACCGCTGAGACTCGCAAGTAGTAGCGTATGCTTTTGCTTGTTTGACGCGGATCCGCGTTCGACTTGCGGCAGTGCAGCACGCAGGCTAACTCTACCAAACAGCGGTAGACACCTAACCAATTCCTCCCCGAGAAGAGCGCTGGACTGAGGACCAGGGCGACATACAGGGAGACATAAACTGAGTGAATGAATGTAGTGCGACGGGTCTTCCGATCCCGACGCATCATCAAAAAAGACAACGATCTAAAAAAAGCAGAAAGAGAATTTGATGTTCCTGATCTAGATCTTGATTATGTGTCTCGCCTGAACGATCTGCGTGATTGTGATTCCGATCCTTTACTAGTGCTCATTTGGATTCCACAAGCAAGTTGTAAGTCCTCCACCTTTTTCATCATCTTCTTCTTCGATTAATCTAGTCCCCGCAACGCTGACCCGCAGCTACCGACGTACCCACAGTATGACAATCACAATCAGAATATGCATTAACAATTTAGTCATTATCCGAATCGACTGAGGGAAGTCGTAGGTCCAATCCGAATCGACTACAAACATCATCAGCAGTCCTTAACATAGTAACAGTTGTGACACAAACTTACACATGATGACTAGCCGAAAAATAGTACCACTCTTCATTCTGTCAGCGGCATCACTTAGAAAATTTAACAAATAAAGTATCTATAACTCGCTACGATTTTTCTTTCTACTTCAGGAGTAGACCACGGCAAATGAAAAAGTATGTTGGGTAAAGTACAAGACACCACGAATCATGCAGACGCGGTGGCCTCGTCGAATAATCGCGATCCTGCGGCGGTTACCAAGAATGATATGAAAATAACGCTTGCTGAGGTACAACAACCACAAGATTATGATGCAACGCCTTCCTATCTCGAAGTTGTGGACATAGCATTCAACTTTGCAGATGAGAAGTACGATGGCGTTTACTTTGGCAAGCAGCGCCACCCTCCAGACCATGCAAAGGTTATCGCGAGAATGTTCGACGCCGTTCGATATTTCCCAGCACCGCCTGGACGAGATAAACAAGAGATGAAAACGAAAACTTCGGGTTTGACCACGTCTTCTTTTCCCCCTGGTACTGCGTCTACGTCTAGTGCGAGCAGTGCGACACCAATATATGCTGCAGGCTCTATCGCAGCCAAGGTATTGGGTGGCAAAACTGGTAAAAAGGATGGTCTAAATGGAGGAAAAATAGCGGATCGGAACGGAATAAAAGGTGGCAATGAGGCAGTGGCGCCATCTGCATCTAGCACACCTCCTGCACTGGATCAGCTTCCTTGTGTTTTACGGCGCGCTCTCGTTCAGGGTGGCGGTCTGGAGTGGATAAAGAAAACTTTCTGGCTTGCAGAGCGTTTTGACCCCACATGCAACTCTTTGTTCACGTGCGTAGGCGTTCACCCGACAATGGTAAAAGAATTCTTATTCTTGCCGGAACGGTTCGACCCACAGACCGGAAAAATTGCAATACAACCTGAACTGTTGCAGTATGTCAGGCATAGAGGGACATCATCGAGTGGGGGTCGACCGATAAGTGGAGCGGCGCAAGAAGAAGGTAAAGGAGACAAAGATGGCAAAGTTGAGGTCAGTGGATACGGCTTTTCAGATAGCCGTATACATAAACGGTTTGAAGATCCTGCCTATGCGACAAAGCACCTTGACGCTTTGCGCGCCTTTTTTCTCGACCCAGCAACAAGAAGGCGTGTCCGTGCCGTCGGTGAGATCGGATTAGATTTATGCAAGTTAATATTTGTCATTGTCATTGTCATGTTGTGTAAGTGAGAAGTATTAGTACATTTACTTGTCTCCGTGGTCCTAGTCACACACCACCGGCTTACTCTCTAACACTCTACGAGCGTACCAAATTCTGCCCTCTGGAAATCCAGCGAAGGTTTTTGGCCTTGCAGTTGCCACTCGCGTTCGAGTTCGATCTTCCACTGTACATCCACGTTCGCGGAGCCGGTTGTGCCAAGGAGTTTATGGACACGTTGCGGCGGAATCTCTTGCAAAATAAGGCCTGCTATAACTATGCGGATGAGGCCTTTCGCGATGCTCCTGTAGGAGAGAGGTCGTGTCCGTGGCACCTAAACATGACGGAGGAAGAGTTGGATATGACGCTTGTGGGCAGAGCTTGTACTTCGGCTGAAAGCAGCGTTTCTTCCGCTTTCTCCCCATCTACGCGGCAGGTAATCAAAAAAGATGAAGATGGAGATGAAGATGGACGTCTTCAGGGGGCTCCGCTTCAGCTACCTGCTGCTCCCAGTAGTACTTCGTCCTCCTCGACTACAACACGACCATCAGGACGTGGTTCTTTGCCGCGGGTGTTCCGTTCAGGCGTTGTTCACAGTTTTACAGGCACAGTCGAGGATTTGGAAATGATTCTTGCTCACAATCTGTTCGTTTCGGTGAATGGATGTTCGTTGCGAACAGAGGAACAATGCGAAATGATCCGACGCATTCCGCTATCGCGATTGATACTGGAAACTGATGCGCCCTATTGTGGAATCGACTCCCGGTCGCCTGTCTGGCATGCACTTGAGAAACGCAATATAGAAAAGCCTTTGCATGGTAGGTTAGAAGAATTTTTTGCGCACGGTGGAGCCCTCTCGTACACGGACGACGTGATTGCAGGCAGAATATGGGGTCGCCAGTCTTTTCTAACGAACGCCGGAGCTCGGAACACCAAGCCTGCCGCTCCTCTTCCTCCTGTCCAGAAGATCATAATTATGGAGGATGACGATATACTACAGCAGGCAGATCTACGGACCTGGGTGCCGCCATCGGATCCTCAAGACGAAGTCGCTATGCAAGGAGCAGGTCCTGCACCAGAAATGAAGGGCAAGAAGAAAGGTCTACGCAAAGGAGGTGGAAAAGGCAAGAAGGGGAAGGGGAAATCCGCAGAAGCATCTATCAAGAAACGGAATGAAGCACCGAACGTTATGCAAGTGGCAGAAGCTGTAGCATATTTGAAAGGAGTGCCCACTGCTGTGATACTTCAGTATGCGCGACGAAATGTTCGCAGGTTGTTCAGCATATAGTTCTAGTGTGGAAGACATCCACAGAGACTTTTTATTGGCATTTTCCTCCTTCGACCCGCTCCTCTTCTTCTTCTTGGTGTATATCATCAAATCAAAGACAACATGGGAATACTCCTTAATCCACATCTTTACTTCCTCGTAACGAAGAATCATAACTTCATAGAGATCATGCCGAGTACACATAACCTTTATGGGGATGCTTTAGTAGCTGATGTTGATCGCATGATTTTTTCCCAAGAAATTGATTGAAGCTATTTTTCTTTTTATTGACGACAACAATAACAAAAAACCCCAGCGAGCTGGGTTGGTGTTGTGCGGACTGTTCATGCTTGTAAATCGATCTTGCTTATGGTGCTTCCTGTTGTACATCAGATGCACCAATCCAGCAAAAAAGAGCAACAACAGCAAGAAGGCCTGCAAGGGTTCTTGATCACGTTTCGGGATCGGTATGTTGAAGTCTCTCAGAGGCTTCGTGTCTCAAGACGCCCACAAGTTGCCGATATTGAACTCTCGGCTCTTGCTCCGGTGAGAAATCATCTAGATCTACTTGATTTCGGAATATTTGCTTTCTTACAATCACATCAGGAGAATAAAACTTTAGAAACGTTGCTTGTGTGGGTCTGCCCTAGTAGTCGGGTTTCAGCTTGACGTTAGCATCACACGCCTCCGGTGGCTTGTTGTGTTCAGCATTTATTACTCCTGTTGTGCTTCATGATCTGGTTTTTGCAACCCTATTGATTTGTTCTTGTCTTACTGGCTTGCTGATTGCTGTGTTGTTTTTGATACATCTAACTTGGATCTCGTCCAGCATTTACGTCATCAACTACGTATCACAACCGAATTGTTACAAATTGTTGCGACGTATGTCTTCCAGTAACTTGCTCGACTGGATGCGGATACGACGTCGATTTTGAGGACTCTGGAAGTGTACGCGCTCGCCTCTCGACGTCTGTTTCTTGCCTCAGGCGGCTACAACTTTCTACCGCACTATTATAATACTCTACTAACTTCTGCAGTTCTTGTACCTGTTCCTCTTTCTGGTTGTACGGATCCGGAAAGATGTTGTCCCTCGAAGAGAATTACAAGTACGTCGCAAAGATCGATGGTCAGATCCGGGAGCGGGAGGAGCAATGCAAAAGCCTAACGGGGAAGAAGTTTCTGCGGCAACGGCAAAATTTGCAGGACGAGATCGCGAAACTGAAAGATGGACCACAGTACAAAGTTGCCCTCAAGGCGGTCCAAGCGGATACTGCGGCTAAAGGCTTGCTTCAAGTGGATGCGGGTAAAACCTCGAAGAGTTGTCCTGAACAAGGCAGTGGAGGGGCACAGGAAAAAGCCGGACCGGCCAAAGCCAATGGAGGTGCCTCAAAAGCCGGAGGCGCAGAGCAATCGTCTACTGTAGTGAAAAACGACGCTCCAGTCATAGCAGCTGGTCTAGAAGATGTCGTTGCCAAAGTAATTTGTATTTCATTTTTCATTTAGCTGTCACTGTGATCCCGGACCCGAACATGCACGTCAAGTTCAGAAATCAGGTTGATCATTAATAGTGGGGAGTAGTTTCCAATTCGTATGATAGTGTGGTTAGTCACTTCTAGCTTGCTCATCGTAATGACGTTTCAATTCATTGGACTCAAGTAATTTTCCGCATGCAAAAGGTACGTATGCACCGTAGACATAGAGACTACCATATGGTTACGGAGATATGTACTTCATCGGCCCTGTAGTTCATGGTCGTCTCGCCCGCGTAGAGGTTCGTCGTATTTGAACCGCGACATGATTGACAGTACAACCAGGTTCAGAAAATCCTCGACACGGGATCGAAGAAGGACTTGGAAACTCTTGGGCCTATGGCCCGGTCAGTGATGGAGCGCGATCTCACCCTTGCTCTGGCTCAGAAACTTCAGATCGCGCTCAACACTAAAAAGCCGCCGCACACTATTCCGAATGCGATCTCCGTCTGCGAGCAGCTGCGTTTCTGCAGTTCCTTGCTTGCATACCTATACTTGGATTTGCTCGCTCTGTCGCATGAAGGAAAACTGGCAAAGCAGATCACGGATTGTCTCAAGGGTGCCTTGACGCACGCTTCAGGCAACTCCTTGCCAGTGTTTTTACCGATCATCCTGGGCGCTATCCAAAAACCACCAGGGAGCAAATGGAAAATCAAGGTACTGCGAATTCTAACCCCTCGCTTTTGTCAGCTCGTGGATGAAAACAGCTTTTTTTTCGGCGGCCGATGACAACCACAAGTACATACGAGGACACCGTCAAAAAATGATCTTGCAAGGACCTGACGAGTAGTACAAGATGAATTTATTGTGGCATTGGCAAATCTTTCATTTTAGGTCGTTGCTCTGGAGCTGTGCAACAGCGTCTTAGACCTACTCCGGGAACACTGTCCGAAGCAGATGAGCCATTTTCTGCCGCAAATCGTTCCCGTTCTACGCGCCGCGGTCGCGGAGGTGCGCGGGGAGATTAAGGAGCAGGCGGCCAAAATTTTGACGCATGTTGGATCTTTGGTAACGTGTCCCGAAATCAGAGGAATCTCGCAGGAACTTATCGCCTGTTTGGTCGATTTTGGGAACATGAAGCTGGCTAACGAAACACTGTACAAGATAGCAAATACGACGTTTCTCCACTACGTCGACGCAGCTTCCTTTGCGTTGCTCTTTCCAATTGTGCATAGGGCTATGAAGGAACGGCAACATGATTCCAAGAAAAACGGCATCCAAATCGTGGGAGCCGCGGTGGTTCTGATTCAGCACCCGGATATCTTAACAGGTTATTTGCCGATGCTGCTGCCGTCGGTATTTAGAGTTTGGAATTCGAATTCCTACTTTGGGTTTATACTCACACTGTGTCTGTCACTGTCTACATCAACTTGGCCAGCGCGGCACCAGCAGCTAGAACGATGAAAACGATGACCTATTTCACACACGTTTCCAAAACTGTATTTGCAAAACGATTCTACACTCACAACTGCTCTCAAAAATACCAAATTGACATTTTAGCTTGAGGAGCTTACAGTGGATCCGACATTCGAAATCCAGCGAGAAGCCGCAAAAGCGTTTGGAACTTTGAGCAAACACCTCCCGGACTTGCTACAAACCAGAATATTGCCATGGTTGCTTTCATTATGGGAACGGTGATTTTCAACAGATGCACTCCACTTATCAGCATGATTTTTCGTCTCGTCAACATCTACTTTCGATTTTTTCATCTTGTATGTTCACCAAATTTTTGCGGTATCAGCACTACTTCTGGTATGGGTATGCTGTATTGCTTTTCTTGTCCTTCCCATAATCTCCTCATCTCACGACTCTTTTGTTTCTAAGACGAAATCTCGAGTCCGACGACGCAGATCCACATCAAGCTATGAATGATCGCACTGGTGCTGGCCACTCTCTTGCCGAAGTGTTGAATCAGGTGCCCAAATTGTTGCCCAGCGTCTTCTATCATACGCTGGTGCCGCGGCTTCTCTCCGGTACGCCTGTCCAACGCAATGGTGCATTGTGGGCCGTGTCTTTTTTGTGCAAAGTTGACGCCTTCGGAAACAGGCTCTTCGCGGAACAGTGTTGGCCTGCGGTGCTGTTGAACTTGACGCATGAGGACCCCCTGGCTTTTGAGCGGGCTGCTCAAGCGGGGCGCGACATGGTGCAGGAGTTTTTAAGACCGTAGTTGTGCGTTTTTTTAGTATTGGATTGATAGAGGTGAAGCGTCAACAAGTACCGGCTTATCCAGGGAATAACTGTTCTGTGATTTATCGTTTTTATAGAAGTTTTAATCAACAGGAACAGTCGGGAAAAAGCTAGACTAGCGGGTAGAATTCGCCAGGGAAATCTTAGGCAGATTGCCGAGTAGATTCGTATCATCAGAGGAGTTTTAACACTAGAGAAAAAAATCAATCGGAATCGTACTTCATACTCTTTGTCATTATTATAGATACATAGAAGTTGTAATACTAGAGAAAAAATCAGCGTACTTCCTACTCGAAGTTGTGGAGGCACCAAAGCGCCCGCGTTGCTGCCACCACTGGCGGAAGCGGTCCTTACATTTGAGTGCGTCGCTAAAGCAAGAGAATCGGCAATGGACCTCTTTACAGAGCTCACCGAAAATTAAGGCTTGCAACATAAACTTCTCGTCTTGTGGCGGTATGGTTTGTAGTCTTATTCTTCATGCTAGCGAGTGCTCCTCGCTTGTTTTTAAACCCACATAGTGCAGTTGATCATCGTTCCGGATCATGACTTGCCCTTCTAATATCCAGTGTCCGAGATGAAGAAGTATGGTCAGGATTATCTGAGTATGTCCTCGGCGCCGCTGCGATTGCGACATCAGTTAGTCCTTCTCTTGCAGATCGGGAGAGCAGATGAAGACCCGGCTGTTCGCCGGCAGTGCGGTTTGCTATGGAAAGAAGGGATCCAGAGCGGGCAAAAGGCGAAAAGGGAAACGCTTCATGTCCTTCTGGCAACTCTGAAGAGCATGGAGAACAGCGCATCAGAGAACAAGCGCAATGGAGCGAAACGCTGCATGGCAGAGACGCTGGCAGACAGCGAGAACGGGGAAAAAGCGAAAGAGCTGTTGGATGGTGGCAGCATCTCTGAGGTACAGATTCGTTTTTGAGTACCACGACCTGTAGTTGTTGTACCACTACCGGAAATGCCGACTGTGATAAAAATTATCCTAGTTCTATTTCATCTGGTTCCAACTGCGCCTACTGCAGCTCCTTCTTCACAGTACGAAATCATCCACTATTAACTTGTAGGAGGTCCTCGACGCGTAGCTGATTTTATTTCACTAACTCCTTGACCTTGTCGTTGTCTTTCCCATCATCTTTATCTCACATCATCTCTGTCTTTCAGGCCGATTCCGTCTTCATCGACATTCCCTGGACGGAGTTAGCGACGTACAGGCTTCCAGAGATTGGCTCGATTGCGACTTCGGAAGCAGTGCTGAACTCTTTGCCGCGGCGACCGACCCAAGACTGCCTGGCTTCACAGGCCGGTCGTGTGTTCGACGAATGCAGCACACTTTCGCAACTTTTCGATGCCAATTTGCTGCGGCCCTTCGTTCGAACTCTGATGCTCAGCTGCATCATGGAGACGCTGGACCCGGCCAAAGCGCTGTCTGCGGTCGAGAATGAGCCTATCTTCCAAGGCTTGCTGACCTCGTCGAAGTGGAACAACGCTGGCGAATTGCTGAAATCCGCGTTAGTCGGTTTTGAGGACGATGGAAGCGGGAACGACCTTGGGGAAGACTTGATTTGCCGGGTGGACAATCTGATGTTGATGTACGGTGGCGGCCATCTCCTTCTCAAAGACACAATGTTTGAACTGCGAAAAGGCCATAGATACGGTGTGGTTGGCCGCAACGGTGCGGGAAAAACGACGCTGATGAACCTAATCGCTAACGGTGGGGTCAGCCAGATTCCGAAACACTTGACATTAAGACTGGAGTTTTCTCCTTGATACAATGCACGGAGATAGCGATGAGAAAGAAATCCGGCGGGATCGTACGCGTCGCCCGGAGCGCATCAAAACAAACAGACAAAGCACATCCGAACGAAGGTAGCGTCAACATGCAATCATGGGCGGTCCATTATCTCTTTCGACTTCCTTTGATATCACGTACTTATTCGTTTCAACATCTTCTAGCAGAAGATGGTATTATTGTCTTTTACCTCCAGGACATCCACTGTCTCTCGATCCTCTTCTAATTTGCTGCGTGCACGTGAAGCCCGAGGTGTTGCAGGATTTTCTCGAGATCAGCTGCGTGTCTTTCATCAAAAATGAGCATCCGGACGCTTCAAAAGAGAAGTTGGCGGAGTCGTTGAAGGCGGTCCATTTTCCCCAGGACATGTGGAATGTGGCAATTGGCGAATTATCAGGTGGCTGGCGGATGCGCCTGCTTATTGCCAATTCTATGATGAAGCAAGCAGACGTGCTCTTGCTTGACGAACCTACGAATCACCTGGACGTGACAGCGGTGCAGTGGCTCTGCGACTACCTTGTCGGCCTCGATCAGACGGCGATTATGGTCATTTCTCACGACCCCCTATTTTTGAATCGCGTCTGTACGAAGATCATCAATTACGCGAACGAGAAACTCGTGTACTACGACGGCAATTTCGATGCCTTCAAGACGCAACTGAATTTGAACGATGCGGATGCGGAAGAGCTCTTAGCTGGTCAGATCGAAGTCGGTGGAGGCGCTGGAACACCAGCAAACACTGATGCGACAGTCGACCAAAATGGAGACACGTCCATCAATCTGACCAGAGTTGGCAGTATCGGGGCAACGACTGAACCGGCGTCGTCGCCGGGACACGGTGGCCGTTTGGACGATCCAGGCCTGTCAAGTACGTCAACAGTGGCATCAAGTTCAAACATTATGGAGCATGATCAATCGACATCGGTCTCGATGTCAGCGTTTGCTCTTCTTCGTGGTGCTCTTTTTTTCATTGGTTGTAAGTTTATAGTTCAATATGTTTTTGGGTCCCAACGCAAGAACTACAAGATATTGGTAGAATCATCACCGAAAACTAGTAGTTACAAGCTGGCTTGGTTTTGGTATCACTATCACTTGTAGTTGTTCTAAGCAAAACAGGCCTGCCGAGTCGACAGCCGCAGACGGAATTGGAGGTATCGGGCCAGAGCGCACTAATTCCGTGACTTCCAGAGGTGATCAAGGACAGGAGCAGGGAGGCGGAGCGTCCTCGAGTTCAGGTGCACCGGATCGAAAAGCGAAGATAATCTTTCCGATTCCAGGCAAGGTGCAAGGGCTGACGTCGCTGGCGAAACCCGTTATCGAGATCAAAGATCTGCGATTCGCTTACAACGAAGAAAAGGGTGAGGTCCTCAAAGGCATCACCGCAAAAGTCACGATGAACAGCAGAATCGCGATACGAGGTATCCAGGAACGCAAACATTTAGAAGTCACCACCTCAATTCATCAGCTTCGAATCCTATTTCGATCACGAGACTGGTGATACAAAGACAAAGATAAGCCGGATATTAAACAAGTGGATATTTTTGTCAGTTCTGCGATCATGAAAATGACAGGGGATGGTAGAGCTAGAGATTTTCATACTTCACCCTGCAGGTAAAAACGGAGCGGGTAAGAGTACGTTGATGAATTTGATTTGTGGAGAGATTCACCCAGGCGCGTCAGCAATTCCGCAGAACGGCACTTCCAACAAGCATCGTAATTGCAGATTAGCGTACCTTGCGCAGCACCACATGTTCCACTTGCAGGAATTCATGAATACCTCGCCTTACTTATGGCTCCCGCTTTTGAGAGAGAGTCTCAAGGAGATAGGGGTTAACGTGGAGAATCTTCCACGCTTTAGTCGTAATTGCAGGTCTGTGAGCCTGACCCTGAGTACAGCTAAATCTCTACCTAAAGTGAAAACGCTTTGCTGTTGTTGGAACCTTCTCGGGTTGCAATGGTAGTTTTGCTCGTTGAGAAAAACAGATTGTTTCTCCATTGGCAGTGGTCTATCGTCTAATACTGATATACATCCAGAAGCGCTTTGCGAATGGGTATGATCAAGCTTACCAGGACCGCTTGAAACTACCCCGTAGCCCCGAAGAAGCCGCAGACCGCAAAGAGAGGGGTCGCAAGCACGGGAAATACGGAAATATGGTTGGGGACATTGTCGGTCGTCAACTTCGAGGCAAAGAAATTTTGTACTACCTATTGGAATTGTTGATGATGAAGATTTTATTCTTTTCCGTTCCTACTGTAATCATGCTCCTGCTCATCTACTATGATCATGATCACGATTAAAGATTCTTGAAATGTTGTCAAAAGCGGGGATCAAGATCATAGGTCCTCGGTTTTTTTAGGCTACTTGAAAATAATACTAATATGTTTAACGTTGACGGCTGACCACGACATTGAGATTGACGTCATCTACTCAACAGTTACGAAATCCGATGGGAGGGTCTTGACGATGCGAAGCAAAACACATGGGAGAGCATGGAGAAACTGCGTCTTCTTGGTGTAGAGAGTTACGCATTGGCGTATGACGACAGAATGGCGGCACAAACGGCGCAAATCGACCAACGCCCGCTCTCGGCTCGCGAGATCGTGAAGCACTTCGAACAGTATTTTCCTGCATTTTTAGCATGACTAGATTGATTCGTCAGGCTCAATGTTGACATCACAATGCGAAGGAAAGGACTGTACAGATCATGAAATATCGCTTGGACTTCGTTCAGTTTTTTGGTAAGAACATCAAATTCAATGGTCGAATGAATCGTCACTTCGTTCCTTCAGAATGAACCTTCGTAGTGCAGATTTAAACACTTCCTGGCAATGTCATAGGATCTTCACCTAAGGTTCGGATTAACCGAAGAGCTGGTGCTGAATCGAAATATCGGCATGTTTTCGGCTGGACAGAAATCGAAGGTCACGCTAGGAGCCGCCTTTTGGACCAAACCACACGTCATCGCGCTCGACGAACCTACAAACTACATCGATATGGAGACCCTTGATTCGCTGATAATGGCACTGCAGCGGTTTAAAGGTGGCGTCATCTGCATCTCCCATAGCAACGAGTTCGTCAAAAAAGTCTGCGCAGAACAGTGGATGCTAGTCGATGGCATGATCACCGCATCCAAAGGCGTTGAGGACCTACAAATCGACCCGAATGAAATGAAGTAGGAGGCGAGCCGCACCGCCAGACTTAGACTGACTCTCCTACAGCGTGGTCGTGGTCCGGCTTTTCCTTTTAACGGATCAGGTCAATTACAAGGCATATATTATTCACCTCCTTCTTGTATAAATTTTCAGAAATAGCAGCACCAATTGATGCATTTTTTCACACGCGGGCGTACTTGATATATCTAGAAACCGAAGGAGATATTCGATGACGATGAAAAGTTTTTATCGACCCGTGTGCCTGAATATGTAGCTGTGCAGGAGCAGTTCACAATCATTGGAAGTAGTACTACTTAATACTTGATACAGCGTTGTTGTTGTTCTTGCTCTAAGAAAGTAAGCACCTGAAAATATAGTGTCCAAAAAGACATCATGCAGATAGAGGAATCAGATTGCTCGGAGTTACCTGTTGCTAACGCTGAATCAGGAGTCAGTATGTAGTAAGGTAAATTAAGACTCACGAAGTAAGCTATTATGCTACCCCAAGAAAGTCATATTCACGACCGCAGCATAATTGTGCTTCTTCATGCTTATGGCGGGAGTCAAGACTGATCCACTTTTCCATCTCTCATTCGTGTGAAAAGATTTAATAGGCGCTGAGCACCATGGACATGTTCCATTTTAGTGCTTAATAACCGAGGCTTTATGTTGCGCACGATTAAGAGCGTGTCGTGATCAATGTCTTGATGTGTGTTCACTGTTTATACTGCGCTTGACAAGCCCGGCGCCACCCTGCTTTCGTGCAACCGACTCCGACAGAGGAGTTGGCGATGCTATGCGAGACGGAGACGTGCTGTAACGAGAGAAAGCGAATTTGTTTTTTCCAATTACGTATGAAGTACTTCTTGAGTAAGATGTAATGCAAATGAACAAGATTGATCATCTCGACAATTTTCTAACTACTCGCTCTCCTGAACAATACAAGGTGACATTATATATATGTTGATATAGCAGGTGGTGCTAGTGCTACGACTAGTCAGAGCAACTGTCCAGCGTCCAACAAGAGAAGTCAGAGATGGCACCACGCACATCGACGTTTGTTTTTGTGGCCTTATGCCTTGCTGGAACGACGAGTGTAGAGGCGCGAATAACGAAGAACCTGCTGCATTCCAAGAAAGCAGTTTCCAAGGCGCTCACCGATAAGGTCTCCTTCAACGGAGAGGAAATTTTCGGCTCTGACCTTGGTGCCGGCTCGAAAGAAGTGGGGAAATGCTACAAAACGAGTCGACAAGAACCACTGAGCAGCGTGCAGGTGTGCGGTGTCAACATGAAGGCGGTCGTATACCTGCCGAACGATTGCGAGGACAAGGATCCGCATAATGTGGAGGTACCTAGAAGCACTGCTTCTTCTGCTTTTTGTTCGCATCGCAGTAATCGCATTAGCATAAATCGCTTTTTCTTTGACATCAATTCAAAGAGAGTCAAAAGTTAACAACAAAACATTGGTAGGCACCGCTTGTCAGTCGTTGGTAAGAACTACATCTTCATGGTTCTTCGCGACAGTTTTCTTGCTCTGGAGAAGCACAAAACTGCAGCTTCATACTTTGATCCCCATCACAACTTCCTGCTTCTTTTTGATGGCTGAAAGCGCACTCCTCGTCCTCGGTTGTTAACAGACGAACATTCATTTCCTTTCAGTACAATTATGAACAAAGTAATGAAGGTCCTCCATGAGGCCAATCTTTGATCGCGAATAAAATAGGTCGGCGTTTGCGACGCCGGACAGAGCAGCCAAACGTGCGTTTCGGTGACGAGTGATAAGAAGGGTGATGCATATTGGATCGACTCAGCGCTATCCTACAAGATCGTTCCCTGCGATGTGCAGGGAGAGGCATCGACCGATGACGCTGGCCCAATCGCCCTGGATGGCGGTAACTCCACTAACAGCACGATGCTCCTCTAAGATGATCATAGGTCGTAAGCAGGAACTACTGTATGCATAGGTACGTACATCATCAGAGTTAGCTGGTGATGAAAATGAAGATAACATTGTAGAAAGTAGTGAGAGTGACACCATCTGACTTCATGTAGCAGCACGGGGTGTAGCACGAGTCAGATATACAAGCTTTTCTTCTATTTTTTTCCGTTCGTTACGCCTTGAAATCAGATTTTTTAAAATCGTGGAACAGCAACGTGTAGATCGAGATACGATAAAAATGAATAGACTACCAGTTTTAATTTGAGTTTCCTGTTTCATTGTGTTTTCCATTTTACAAGTTTTGCGAGACCGCTATTGAAATGTTTCCAGTTTTGCTCTCCCTGATATCCCGTTATTGTGTTTCCTACCGTAATGGTTGAGTTCCATACGCATGTTGGAACTCAACAGGTGATCAATATAAGCCAAATTACCTTCGCTTGTTGCAGCGACCTATCCCAAAAAAGGATGATGTGGTCGGTGGACACTGCAGGCGGCAAATGCAGTGGGCGAACCCACAGAGCTTGTTGTCATGGAGGGAATAGAGAGAGAGAGAGTCTGTCATTCAAAAGGTCTTGCTGGGTGTCCGACAAAGGATGAAGCTTTCATGCTCACTGTAAAGACCTTCTAGAAGCGTGTATCCAAGATTCCGTGTTTAATGTAGAGATAGTTTGGTGGAAGTCAGCTGTGCTGGAACTCAGAGAAGTTAAGTAATCTGTGTCACTCACAGTCTGAGAGATTCAGATAGCGAAGGCTGAGGATCTGTGTGAGCCGGGTAGAGATTCATGCGACTGTTTTGGGAACGACAACTTGTGATCTCTCCGTCTGAGTGTGGGAGGTAGTGTGCTGAGTACTTCTGTGTATGAGCGAGAGAGTAGCTACAGAGGAGGAGCCATATGATGCGACTGAGACAAATCTGTCCTCGACAACTTGGAGAACTCTGTGTTCCTGTGAGCGACGATTTGCATTCCTGTGAGCGACCCTTGTTCGATCCATGGCTCTACATCTACTTGGTGTGCCGAATTATCCTAAGATTACTTCACCGCCATCCATCATACATTTATTTGATTCCCATCAGGCTTCCTGTTCTTGGAATAGTTCATGTGGCGGTCCCTACTTTTTTGTGTGTCATCACGAAATAATTAAAAAGAATCACTGACTCACTTTCAGAATTTGCTTTGCACTTATAAGTTGTTCTCATTCTTTCGTCTTGTTCATTCATTGCCCGACTTTCTAAGCTGTCGTTGTTGGTACATTACATCGAGTTCTAACACCTGCGAAGGTCGGTGCTGCATATAACTACCCACAGACTTGTTGTTGCTGTGTTACTAGCACAACATCTCTAGGCAAAATGGAGGACGACGACTTGGGAGAGGAGACCGTGTACTGCGGTGAGTGCAGTAATGAAATTGAAGGCGAGTACTTCATCGGACCTCAGGGAACACCGTGGTGTCCGAATTGCGCCAAGAAAGCTGCAGGAAAATGTGGTATTTGCAAAGAGTCTCTTCTTGGGGCTGAAGAGGTTCTGCACGTCGGAAATGATGCTTACCACAAGGCCTGCTTCAAGTGCTCCATGTGCGGTATGAACATTCTGGGTGAGTTCAAACGAAAGAGAAACGCAGTGGCGGATAAGAAAAAGCGGAAGGAGGTACTCCTACTTTTTTACTTACAACAAGAATACGTCGGTCTTGTTACCAAAACCTTTCCATGTTGCTAGTAGCAGTAGCAGATGCTTACTCGTTGTTCGTATCCGTACTTACTAGGCAGATTTCTATCTTGCTTAGTTTTACAGCTTTACGACTATCTTACTATATATAACTATCCGTTGCCACGACCACGAGCTTTCCAAATTGCTATTCCACATCATCCGAAATCAAAAAACTATGCCATGAAAACGACATTCATTTAATGAACGCCCACAACCACATCAGATGAAAGATAACGAATTTTTGTGTATGGAATGCTGTCCGCTGTTTGAGGAGTTTGAGGTGCAAGACTTCAAGCAGAAACAAACTGGTCGCGGTCCAAGTCTTGCGGACCTTGGTTCTGGTACGGAACGCGAATGCTGCGAATGCCATGTCATGTACCACTATTTGTTTCTAATGCGTCTAGTATTTTCCTACTTACTTACCTATTAATGACAATAGTACTTCCATACTACTTTTTGTTGAATTTATTGTTCTTGAACAAGATTGGCGTTGGGAATGTGATCGAAGTTCTAGTTTCTTGCTGCTTGATATGCGTGTGCTCCTTGAAAGGACCACTAGGCTGACAAATTCATTCCAAGTAGAACTTCGTGCTCATCTGATAAATAAACTCCCACAACTTGTTGTTGTAGTTCAAGCACGAGGAATCATCGGTGATGCCGTCACAATCCCCTCTTCATCACAGGTTTATGGGCGAATACAAGAAAAAAAAGGACCTGATCAAGGATAAGAAAGCGAGAAAGAAAATGTCCGACGACCAATACGTGTGTCCAGACTGTGCGCCTATGTTGGAGGCTACTATGATGTGGTAGAACTTGTCAACTAAGTACATCCTCCAGCACTCGATGAACCGATCCATGGGAGATATAGATGAAGCTGCCTGGAGGCATCTGAGGTCGTCGATGAAGATGGCGTCGATGTTTGTGTCCGCGCTGGCACGTCGTTGTTATCGTGTTGTAAGAAACTTAAACATTCAGATTCACCTCGTCAATCCTGCATCTCATCAATGTTGATTAACTTTAACTTTTTGTTCCCAAAATTTTTTTCTGGTGGTGAATTGCACCACGCTGCACGAAGTCTTCACCAGGCTTCATATTGACATAGGTTTTAGTACTAGTATGATGACTGCTAGTTTTATAATTTTCAGATTGAGTATTTGCAGAGATATCACATGATCGTAAGTGACAAATACACTGGAACAACAGATGTATATCTCATCTACCTTACTTAATAGTACTAGCAGTCGCATCAGCACACGCAACGTGAAAAAGGAAAGTCAAGTAACAAAGTACTTCTAAAGTCAAAGGAAAAACGAAGATGATGAAAATGATAAAGATAATTCATACTAGAAGTAGAAGCCTACTTAAGAGAAGACAGATTCATAAGTAGAATGACAATGACTTAGAAGACAGATTGAAATACATGGCAAATTTGAGAATGACAATGAAACGTCGAATGATTTCTTAAATTTTGTTTTTACTGTTTTTCCATCCAGGTCCACACCATGAGTAGTGGCGCAGTGTTTTGTTGAAAAAATCTAAACGTCCCAACGACAGTTCTCGAAGCAACAGCTCTCCACCAAACGCATCGACTCAAGACATGCATACGTCGACAACGCACGAACTTGGACAAATGAATTGCTTACACCAAACTCAGACGCATAGCTTCTTACATACAGATACCGCTTCATTACGTCTGGTATAAGTGCGGAGCTTGATTAGATTTGGCTAATAGAAGTAGCTGGTGTAGTGGCCGTGCAACGAACTAATATTGACTATCTACTTCTATACACAAGCACATAATGATACTGTATCCTGGATTTGGATGCGCTTGCGCATTATAGGTTGCATATGCATGTTCATCTTCATGTTGGACGACCGCGAGAGGATGGTCATGTTGAAGTCGTGGGACGCCAATGACCACCATGACGGATAAAACGTAGCGGGAAGCCCATGTGCCTTTGAATAAAAAGATTTTCGAGATATTTTCCTTCCATGGAATCGGTTCACTCCTGAAGAAATGAAATGCTACCTATCTACATATAGTATTTGGCCTGGGTGATCTATACGCACCTCGTACTAGACCTAGGTGTCCTTGTGGAGAATTTCCGACAACGAGCCCGAAGCCGAAACGTAAAGCAGTGTTCATCTTTTTGTGGATCCACCACGTTGTCTCTACGACGGACCCCGCTGAGATCTGCTGGCGACAACGCGATACCTCCTGGCACAATCGCATATTGCAGCTTCAGTTTTTCTGTGTAGGCTTTGCGCCAGCACTGGTGGTGATACCAGTCGACAAGATGAAGCAACTTTCCATGAGGATGCGCGGCACCGAAATCAGGAGGCAGAAACGGAAGGACAACACACGTTATACATATGCCGAAATGGAGAGTAGAGCAAGGAGAAGGACGCCAAGAAATTTGTGAACATGCGTGAAAAGCAAAGGTGGCCTCTTCATTTTGTTGCAGATGAACGATTTACTTATTTTGTTGAAGTAGATGTTCATGGTTTTGGGCATAATCACAATCAGGATCACTTCAAGTATCTATGAACTGGGACCGGAGCTAGCGTTTCACACACTGTCAGAAATAGACTTCGTAGAGATCAAACCTATCACTAACACTCTCAAAATCAGTAGGTACTTTCATATAAACAGTAACAAGGTCATGGAGCTCGATCTCTCTGAGTATTGGGCTTCCGACGATTGTGCGTCGGAGTGCGTGCAGCTCGAGCAGATTACTGGAAGCTTGATCGAGTATTGTAATCGGCTTTTACTTGCTGATCAAGATGATTACCAAGATAGAGGAGGAAGCACATCAGAAATGGAAGAGGCTGTCTCTTGCGTATCAACTGGAGATGAAGGAGGACACCATATAGGTCATGGAAAAGATGGAGCAGCGGCAGCATGTCTTCAGCAAGGAGTTCAGGTTGAAACCGTTCGGAACAGCAACTCGTGTGCACCAGCAGTAATTGCGGCAAGGAGTACAAGAAGAGCTTCCACCTCGTCCAAAAACCCCGTCGACATCAGCGCACAGGAAGTGGCGCAGAGCGCCCTCAATGACGGGCATCTCGCCTGCTGTGCAGCGTTGCGGCAAGCCTTACTCGCCCAAAACGAGGAAAAGGTGAGAGTGGCGCTCGAGGCACTCATTTCGAAAATAGGGGAAGAACCATGGACATACCTAAAACTCCATTTGCTCGGAAACCTGAAATCGACGTCCAAGGGATATTCCATTACGGCTCATGTCCTTCAATATCGTCTCGATGACCACCAGACGACCACGGTTGATCATCTTCCTTGAAGTAAACATAGAGATAGAAGCAACTACAAGTGGGATAGATGTAGCGTGTGCGTCTTGTTCTACCAGGTAGGACAGGTTTCCAAAGTTCTTAACATCAAGTATGCACAAGTACAGCATGGCGATCGTAGTGGAATCAATAAAATAGAAGAGAAGTTGTAGTTGATCTCCAATTCTTCCGTTCGCGTACATAGTCGACGCATTGAGCAGCTCCTTTCGTTGGGTCGGGATCGAACTAAACGGCGTACTTTTGCGGCACAGTGTGGGCTAACGGAAGGTCATGTAGCTCTATCAGGCCCAAGGCGCAGCGTCGCAAGTATCCCAGAGAAGCTTGATCAGGAAAAATCTGTAGGTTGTAGCATTCAACATGCAAAACGCATACTACCTGATTCATCAGTAGATAGGCCTAGTCGTCGATGTCCAGAAGCAGAGGAAGAGAACGATAACGAAGGATGTGCTGCAAGAAGTGATGCTGATCATACGTCTACTGAAGAAATGTGTGCGACGGGAAGCATTGTCAAAGAAATTTCGGATCGAGGTCTTCTACTAGCTGATGGTACGAGAAACCACGAGACGAATTGCGCCAAGACTCAGATTGCATCTCAACCTATTTATCCGCATAATAATAGAAACAACGGAGATGACCTCGTGCTGCAGACAGCTATGCGGATGTGCCTGCGAAAAGGCCTCGAGTACAGGTATGGATAACATGCTCCTGGTGATCATCGTCGTGGTACTAGTATCGATGTAGAATTGTTGTAATTGTAAAAAGTAAATGATGGATATATTTATGAATGTGTTGATTATGATTTTCACATCCAGCACGATGCTAGACCTACTTAGATAGATGGAAACTTTTTTTTTGATGTGCGTGCTGGCGACAATAATATGAACGTTAGTCATACAACTCTCCAGCATAATTCCTTTTACTCCTTGTCCTTGAGGAGAATCTTCCTCTTCGTCGTTGACGACCTTGATGCTTGATGAAGGAGAAGGTCTTCCTCTGCGCCGTCTTCTTTAATAGAATGCGAACGCTGAGGAGAGGCGTTTATTCGGGCAGAGTCTACAGCTTGTAGAACGTTACGAAACGCGTCGAATGTACCCTCTTTTTGAGGAAGGGACCCGGCATCTACCCTACGCCCGAGCCCTGGTCCAGCAGAAACTGCGGAAATTGCTGTTTGTCATCGAGTATGAACGCTGTTTGTACTTGTGGAGCTAGTATTAGACGACGACCTGCGTGACGAAAAGATTAGATATTCGTATTGTTGTTCCTTGTAGTCAATTTTAGTGCCATGAGGAAGCAGTCCTAGTCGTTGTTACCTTCTTCTTGGCTTCTTGGCTGAGCCTTTCTTCATTTTTTTGCCCATCTCATGTCGCGAAGTACGTGTGGCGCCGAGTGTTGTTGAAGTTAGCTGCGAGGGTTCGGTGTCATCATCGGCAGTTAACGCGCTTCCACGGCTTTGTTGCAGACCAGGCGCCATTGATAGAGAGCGCTATAGTAGCAGGGACCGCTTCTGTGCGCGTTTTATTACGACGGAGGACGTAGTAGCTGTAGCAGGTCTTGTAAAGAAGTTTTACCTTTTTCATGAAGTAGAAGATTTACTAGTATCTGTAAGATAGATACATCGACGCCACCGCCACGGCGTGGAAAAGGAAAGCTACTAAGTAGAAGAATACTCTAATTTCTCGCGCACGAGGTTGTCCATGGTGGCGCGAGAGCCTCACTCCGATGTTTTTGATCATGAGCAAATACACAGCGTTAAAGCAGACTGGTGAGACGACATCATGCCTTTTCTGCATGCCGATCTCCAAGTTATGTGTATGCTTTCCGTGGCTCCGTGGTCCCAGTTGTTCTTTCTCATCATGTCAACTCGTCCTGCTCTAACGTAAGTTGCAGCGAAGTCGCTTGCTGTGCTCAATGGCGGTGGTGGAGGAAACAACTACTACAACCCGTTCGTGCTTAGCAATATCTCATCGGGGGCAAGTTGGGCACCAACGCCAGCGTCAATGATACGTGATTATCTCGCGGCAGCTCTTGCCACGACCGCCGGACGAGTCAAGGGGAGGGCGACACAGCGACGCCATGAGAACGTCACAACCGACCACAGCATGCCTCCAGGTGCATTGGCGATTGATTTGCGGGACATCAAGGGATTTATTTTTGGTCCTGCATGTTTTCGGGATTACAATTAAGGCTTCCCCAATTCCATCCCTATAGGGATGCCTCAAGCGTGTGCCTCCCAATACAAGGGAGATGCTGGCGCATATTCTTGAGGGATTTCCAATTCCACAGGTATGAATCAATTGGGGAGAGGTCTAACGCAACCGGATAATCTTGCAAAATCTGGCTCAGCACTGCGTCACACTCGTCTACAAACGTCCTGCAATGCTCGCGTCGCCACCCAATCACGGAGAGACCGCTGCTGTGCAGCAACAGCAGCAGCCTGGAGTATTTTATTTCAGTCGCATCATAGACAAAAACAAAATTTGATGTTGATGATGTTTATGCTACGCCGAAATCAGTAGAAACTATGGATTGATGAATGTGTCAACATCTAAGGTCATGATTATGCAATTCCGAATCTTGTCAATCTTCAAAGAAATAATATATCCGCGACAGCATCACCTGTTGACATTGTGTTTTGACGAGTGGGAGACGCTATTTCAGTGGGTTACGGGTTTGGGTATGCAGGTAAAATTGCGGGGTTACGCTTCGAATTGTGTCACGATTCGTATGGTCGTTTTGTTAGAATATCTAATCACAGTTTCAGTAATAATTGAGATAAGTACTTGTAGTTGCACTTCAGCAAGGAAGATTAGAACAAGTTCTCATAAAAGAAGAAACGAATTCCTATTCATTGTTGTATTGCTGCAATGTTGCAACATCGTTTTCTCTGCTTCTTCCTTGTACTTAGTTCCGATCTTCTAAACCTGCACCAGGGAGACTTCTTTGGCGAAGGGTTTTGTTCAGCCTGAGAGGTAAGCTGAATCGTCCTCATTTTTCGTTTGCCAAATGTATCAATGGAATGTGGAGCCAGGTAAAATTGGATCCGGGCTACCGACCTACATTGCTGCCCTCATACAACTCCAGCTATACTAGTTTTGCCAGTATAGGTATGGGTGGCAGTTTGACGCGGGACCGTCTCCTTTTACCCGGAAGAGCATTTTTGTATAGCAATAGGTGACTCTCGCTCGTCACTGCCGTGATTGATGCTTGTTGAAGGATCTTCATGTTTTCTACGTAAATGGCATACTAGATGAAGTAGTATCTCTAGCTCCTTCAACAATTATATGCGCAAAGAACAAGGATATCATCAAAATCAATAAGAATAAGTTGAGTCTTCAGTCTATTTCAATGGAGAAAAAGAATTGCAACGACAGGCAAAAGGACATGTTTCTGTGTATGCTATTCGGGAAGGAACAGAGCCTGGCACCAGAGCTGTGTGTAAATGTTCTATGCACCACCTTTTTAGAAAAGTGTACACGTATGTGGAGTTAGGAGTCATACAGAAGTGCTGCGCGAAACGAAGTAGTTTCATTTCAGCTAGCGTAGCAAGAACTCGGAACGCCTATTCTGGAAATATAGCTGTTACCCATGAAATTACTGCAGTACACCAACAGATTGTTCAGATAGATATTACTAGTAGTAATATAGCTTCTGGTTCTGTCTGATTTCGACGACGGGGTGGTCGAGGATGTAATTTCTCATTTTTTACAGTGACAGCACAATGTTTGTAGCTATAGTACTACAAACTACATTTCTTCTTGTTCAGAGGTAGTAGATGCGATTGCATAAATTAGAGACTTGATCTCTGAAAAAGCTCGTCTGAACAATATATTATAGCAATGGTTTTAAAACTCTGAAAGAACTGTCAACAACATGACGACTTTATCTGCATTACCATCTGCCTCAAGTAGCTCATCTACTGCAGGGGCACAGGGGAACAACAAGAGGACAAGGGCTGATCTTCATGGTCAAGAAGGAAGTACTGGTGGGAACTCGCTGGATCAAAAAATGATGTCTGCTGGTGGTGGTGTCGATAGCCCTGAAGTGGAGCTGACGCTGTTCGAAATGCGACAACTATTGTACACCTTGGATTATGGCCTTTGTACAACTGACATTATCGATGAGCCAACAGACATCAGCATAAGCACATCTAAGTACTCAGCTAGACCTGTAAATTCATTCTAATTCTTGTTCTTTCATGTTCATCTACTTTACCAAATGTGATATTGATGTTAGCTATAATCCAAGGGTGACAAGGCAGATCGTAAGAGCCGAGAGTATACCACGTGGGTCAGAGGGCTAGACCGTGATTTCAGCACGAAGTGGACGCAGATGCTGGCGCAAGTACAGAGGTCACCTGAGATTTTAGAGGTGATGCTGCGAATTCTCTTCCACTTCGTCCGATATTTGAAAGGTATGACAAGAGCATGTGGTTGTGGGTGTTTTTTGTTAGCATCGTCTTCCTGCATGTGCATCGACTAGCACTAATTTTCATATGTGAATGTCCATGTTATCGGTGTTCCTTACGCATACGTACTTCAACATCATGATGATTATGAAAACTTGGACTAAATAATTGTATGTGCGATGTATAATTTATGCAGGTAACAAGGCTTCGCGAGCTGCAGGTCTTGTGCCGTTGATGAAAAGGATTGCGGCGGATACAAGACTTGGGTCATTGCCAAGGCAGAATGTGCGACGGTCGATTCACCCACGACTAAGTTGCCTCCGTGTGCTCTGGGAGTTACAAAAACAGGTTGCACGAACTCCTTCATCTATTAAGGCAGGTGCACCTACTTGTGCTTGTTCCAAGAATAAGGTATTAAAGCTAAATCGTGATAAAAAAATGAAGAAAGCTTAAGTTCTTGCGTCATTTGTAGTTTTCACACGTTTGGGTAGTTTGAACTTGACGTTTACTTATCTTCATCTGGTCCTTCATGCAGTTTCTAATTCCTCTGTAGAAGCGACGGATGGGGTAGAGAAAAAATCAGACGAACAGCGAATGGACAGTATATTCGGGCGGGATTTGTGCCCACTGCTATACGAGTTGTTGGAGACCGTTACATTATGAGAAGCATCATGAAGTAATATAAGTAATTATAAATATATTGGAATTGGATGTTTAGGTTTACGAGTTATAGTTGTACCAGAAGGCAGGTTGAACAGCATTGGCCAAGCACGAGTCATTTCGACTACGGAGCGAAGGAACAAGTACAACAAGTAGCTGCTGACGAATAGACTAGGATGCTGCTCCATGAAAGAAAGGTTTACGAACGAAGAGATCATATGAGACATACATACTTTTTTTTTGATGGAGGAGCGATATATCAATGTGCCGAGAAACCCCCGACTACTACTAGCTCTAACTACAGCAGTGGAAATAGACGACCTACTGGGACCACTCATTCTCGAAATCTATGATCGTGGCGGAGAACCTGCTGTGCTTCGCGGAGAACTCGTTCGTCTTGCCCTCCTGCATGAAAACGGAAGAACTTGGGGAGAGAATCTCGTACTTCATCACAAGAGTCTAGGATGTTGAGGTAGATGTACTCGATAAGGATAGAAAAATCTGAAAAAAGAACCAGAAAGCACATTATGCTTGCCCTGCTAGAAGAAAGTAAGCTGATATTTTTTTCAAAAGAGAGATCTTAAAATTACAATTCATTCTTGTTGTGTTTCTTGGTGTAAAAAATGGATTTATTCGAGTTTTCTATGATTCATCTACAATTCAGCTGCAGTTCGTAAATCGCCGCGTGCACATAAGGGAGGCTGCGTCTATGCTGTTCGAGATTATTGGCACTAAGCAGAACGTCGCATCAGCAACTTCGTCTTTATGAACCTGATAAATAGATGAAGATCATGATCAAGGTTGTTATTTTTGCGGACTGACTCAGACTCTGCTAAGACTAAGTGTAGCTGCCTTGTGGTTGTTGTCTTTTTGTTTCCTTTTTAGTTCTTTCCTAGTTAGGCTGGCCCCACCGCTATAGACTCCTAAGGAAATATTTTTTTGTATATCTGTGCAGCTCTTGCTGTGTCGAAGTTCGTGAATATGAAAGACTAGATGTTCATGGGACTCTGTGTCCGTCCGCACATTGGTCTGTTCCGGCTCATCTAATGACCAACCACAAAGAGGGCGGCGCTCTGTTGAGTGGAAGAGATTACCTTTACAGCAACGACGCAGCGGTGATGGTGGACGTCTTGTTGAGAGAGCGCAACCGTCAACCGTGTTTAGAGCTGCTTCAACTGTTTCTCCGTCTCGACCTCGTTCCGAAAAAACGCACGTTGATCGAGCAGGCTCTTGCAGAAGACGGCGTGACTTCCGTGAAAAATTGAATCAATAAGAAGTATTGGATCCCCAACAAAACAAAAGCGCTGAAAGACCGCTTGGCTCACATGTTGATCTTCATCACGTTTTGATACCACCTCCATTGAAATGTTTTGCGGCGCATGCATTATCTTTGTCTCACCAGCTCAATTTGATACCCTCTGCACATTTTTGAACTACATTCTGGAATGTTGATTGAACATTTTGGTTTTTCAACTTCTTGACATTAGTACACTAGAGCATACATGATAGGTCGACGCCGACCTGCTTGTTGGTAGTTCTGCTTTATTCTGACCAGTACACGATTCGTCCTTTATCAACATGAAGACGAAGAAGAATATCGGTCCCATTATTTGAGGTTCGTCGTGAATGTGGACACCCTGGTATGATGATAGCCACCCAGATCAAGATAGTTTCGGTAACAAAGATGCATTATATTTATGTTTTGAAGATATGCATAGTTACGCATGATGGGTCGACAAGGTTGTGTACCAGCTAAACGCTCGACACGAACGAGAAGGGATCACGCATTCCCGATCCCGAATTATTGATATTCGGATAAGAAAATCAGGATAAGATCAAGTTGTGAACAGTGTTCGTCGTTCTTTAGGAGCTGCGTATTTCGTAATCGCAAAGGCAAAACTACGAAGTCCTAACGTCTTGTTTGATTACGAGAGAAAGTACGAGAGCGGATGATGATTGAAAGTCGTTCTCGTTGCGAGAAGTAGAAGCTGGTGCTCCTGGAGGTTCGGGGAACATACGAACCTTCTGAACGTGCTTTGCCGGAAAATCCTTCACAGGTCGTTTCCCTTTCTCATTTACTTCGCCAGTATTTATGACCCCTTCATCTCCCACTAACAGTAGCACTTACTTCTTCTTGTACAATATGAATATTTTTATTACAAAGATCAGTTAGTTCCTCAGTTATCTGCTTGCTGTGGTGAGTCCTTCATGCTGTCTCCAGCTTTTTTGTTGATTGCGAAACGTACTGCGCCCCTATAGGTGGCCAGAAACAATTTCTGAAATCTCCAAATCCAAAAAAAAAGATGATGATGACTCGCCATCTTTCCCTCAAAGTACCTTCATCTCTTGAAATCCCCTTGTTGACCATGTTGGTAAAAAAATATTGCTTATAATCACAGCTATTTATGATAGTATAGTTTTGTTACCGAAGTTATTTATTTTCGTCCGCCTGTTTCTCTGGAGTTTCCACTCGTTCCTTCATGAACATTCTGTTCACATCAGGAGGGGGAGGATGGGATACGGCACCATCCAATAGCTGGGCCTAGCTCAGGTCGAGGTCTGGTTGTCTTTTTCATTTTCGTTGCAACTAATTTTCATTGGAAGGAAGGGAAACTGAAAAGATGGCATCTTTCGACGATTTTGTCGGGACGGCGACCGCCATGGGCGGCAACGATTTGTCGAGAAGTTGGCTAAAAGAGCTCTGGGAAGGTGCAGACGGAGACATGAATCGTGCCATAAATCATCTCTTAGATACACCGGAAGAGAAGTATCAAAGATCGAGCAAAAAACGAGTTATGATGGTGTTGCTTCTAGGCGTAGCCTTTTTGTTGATCAATAAAACTCATCACTAAAAACTTCAATGTTATCTGATACCAGAAGCAGAAGCAGAAACTCCAGGTCCAGCACCATACTACAGATAAATGATGAGGAACTATTCTTACAGTCCTTGTTTTTCCGTGCTGTCACAGCCTGGCTCCTCGTCAATACTTTTCGGTTTGTTTTTGCTATGCATGATATGCATCGATTTGGTGCATTTGCAACGTTGAAGACGATTGACTATTCCCCGATTCATTTGAACTGACAAAGCAGAGCGGGGCTCGAGTGGCGGATCCAGTCGAAAAAGTAAACGCGGTAGCGTATCGTCGAGAGAACAACAGCCAGCAGATAGCGGGAGCGCAGGCGCCAATGCCGGTGGCGGGGTGGCTGATCAAGGCGCAGATTTGACTAGTTTTTTCGATATTCCACAGCCTCAGCCTGGTGATCAATTTCCAGAGGTGATGTCCGGGCCCGCCGGAATGGCCGGGGTAGCGGCGCAGCAGAGTAGCAACTTCGCCTCGTCTTCAGCTAGCAAAACCAGAACGGATCACTCATCGGCGCAACAGCAGGTTGGTGGAATGGACGGCACGAATGCGTCGATAGTTGACCCACCTCAGATGGACATGGGAGGACAGGGAGCGGGGAACGCAAGCACTAACTTCCAATCACAGCAGATGGGTGGCAGCCGAGGATCCATGATATTCCAGAGTCAGCATCCTGCGATGAACCAGTCAACAGCAAACTTTGGCGACAGTGGATTCGGGGTCGATCCGAATGCTAGCATGGCTATGTCTGGAGGCGCTGGTATGGTAGGATCCTCCATGAATATGAACGCGTCAGCAGCCGGCGCTGGTAACTTCAACAACGCCAATGCGAGTGCATACAACTACAACCCGATGATAAGCATGAATAACGCGGAGTTCCACAACTCCTCGATGATTCACAGTGGCCATCAACAGGCAGGGGCTCCACTTAATGCCTCCATGCCCCCGCAGCAGGCGAATGCCAGTTTTGTTGGAGTTGCCACGAGTCAACCGCCAAGTAGCAGTATGATGATGGGTAGTATGCCGCCCGGAAGTTTCGGGGCGACTGGGGGCGAACCCACCATGTCAATGCCACAGCCGCCCCAATTCGGAGCCTCCCAGGGGGCACCGGGGCAAACCGCGTCGTACGTCCAGCAGAGCATTCCTCCAGGCGCTGCTCCAAGCTCACAAGCTCCGGACAACAACGTTTACAACCCGAACGCGAACGCCGTACCAGTGATGCAGCAGCCGCAGCAGCAATTTCAGCAACCACGAGTCGCACAGGGCGCTGGACCGTATGTTCAACAACAGGCACCTCTAGCACCGCAACATCGGCATCCTCTGGCAGACGTGCTTTCGATGCCTGTGGGTGTGCAACAAGGGATGCAGGAGTCTCTGGGAGGCCAGCAGCCGCTAATCAATAGCTACGTGCAGCCTCCACTTGTGCCGGGTAACTATTTGGCCGGAAATGCGGCCGCCACAGAAGTTGCGCATCCTTTATCGCCTCAGCACACCTGGCAGCAGGCGCACCTTCCGCCAGTCGCAGCATCGTTCCAGTCGGACAGGGACATGCTTTTACGAGGAAACATGACTCCGCCACGGTCTTCTGGTGAACTTGGACTGGTCGAGCAGTTACAGATTGCGAAACGATTACAGCAGCACGCGGATGCCGTGGCTGCAGCGGCGTCGACAAGTAAAGCATTGGGGTTAATGTCCTCGCAAGGCGCAGGAGGTCCTATTGATGAACTGCTGCAAAGAAATGAAGCGCTCTTGCGCGCCTCGGGGGCGCTGTATGAAAGTTCCGACCTGCAATTGACCAACAGAATTAACAGTTTGTCACCGGCACCGGCCGCGAGACAAGTCGGCGGAGCAGCTGGCATTCTTGATGCTGCAGGGGCGCCTGGAGGTGTTATGATGCCACCTGGTCGTGCTGGAGCTGTTGCGACTTCATCTCCCTATCTTCCGCGCGGGCGAGTTACGGCAGGACCACCAGAGGCAGTACCCACGACGTCGAGTGCTCTTGCCATTGTTCCCACCGGCGGAGCGTCCCAGTCCTCAGCATTGCGAAAGGAAGACGAGCAGCTCCAATTGCAGCTTCTGCAACAGCAAAGAATGCTTCACAACATGCGAAACATTGTGCTTATGCAGAATTCGCGCTTGTCCACACTCAGCAAAAAGGAAGGCTCTAAGCAGGGAGACAATGACGCAGACGACTGGTGGAACCGGGAAAGTTCAGGCGGTGGAATCACATCAAAAAATCCATTCGCTGACGCTGCGCGTGGTGGAGGTGGGGCGCATTCTCTATGTCCTGGAGGTGGTCGGAAAGGAGCAGGCGCCGCTGCTTCTTCGGCAGCACTGGCACGCCAACTGTCCCTCTCACTGACCCCCCGGCGCCGAAGTACCGTTGCAGCACCAGGATCGGCAACATGGCTGCAGCGTGCGCAAGCGAACAGCGCAGATCGGATGCCGTCGCCAGCGGTGCTCCCGGCAATGTCACCAAGACAGCTCTTCGGAGACACTTCTACCGCAGCAGCTCAACGACAGCTTGCTCTTGCAGGAGGCATGAGTAACCTGTCTCCGAGCCTAGCCGCGGCAAGAAGTGCAGTTGCTGGGCTACCATATCCTGGTATGAGTGCTTCCGCTCCTGTCGCAGCTGGAGGTCTTCCGCCCTCTTCCAGCAATGGGGGTCTGTTACCTCAGGCTACGCTGGACCATCTAGGAGTTCTAGGTGCAGCGAGCTCGGCCGCGCTAGGTGGCACTACTGGAGTAGGTGGAGGGCTGGCCACAGCGGCTGGGTTGGCTGCTCCACAATCGGCGTATCTGCCGACGTCAGCTGCGTCACTACGAGGAGGTCCCGGTGGCTTAGCAGGTAGCCTTCCACCTGGAGCAGGTCACACACAACTCGGATCTTCATCTGCGCTACTCGCATCAGCAGCGCATCCACATCTCCAAACAGCATGGGGAGCCAGCTTGCACGGACCGCCGACCACTCAGTTGTACTGTTCGCTTCCCACCTGGTTCCCAACTGCGTCGGCAAGCGACCTCATGTACAACCCCAGTGTGTTAACTCAATCCTTACCTGCACAACCGCTGGGAGCGCTGGTCAGTAGCTATCCTGCTGTAGCAATGCGCTGAAATATCTTCTGCTTTTAGAACAAGAAAGACAAGATCAAATTGACGAGAGTATGTGGTGAACGAGAAGTGCTGTGATGAACATATAGAAGAACTGGGTCGTTAACGCTATTAGCGACAAACGCGTACTGCCAGGGGGTGATGGAAGGTACTTCCTCAGTTTTACTGCAACTCTCTCAACATGTTTTTAACAAGATGAAGTACCAGAAGTACTTGTACTCAAGTAGTTATAGTATTTTCATTCGTGGGGGCTGGGGCGTAAAGATAGAGGGTCGCCAGGAGCCAGAAAGCATTTGAGAAGTGCACTACAGTCTCCTACCCCTACCCACTATGGAAAGAATCGATCAGGTGAGCAGTCCTGCAGTGCGAGCCAGAACAAACTCTCTGCATGTCTCACACTCACGACAGACGGCCGGAGGAGAAGCAATCCTCATCAAGCCAAACAAAGTGGATGTGAAAATTCTTGACATCTACATCTTTGTGCAAATAATGCGAAAGTAAGAAAAGGACCAAGAAATAGATACACAAAAGATAGAACTTGGAGTCTGATCAACTTGACAGCATCATCGTCAAACAACTCAGAAGGCTAATCTATTTATTAGCAAATTTAACACACAACAGCACTATTTCTATTGAACATTACAATGACGAACTACTAGCATGCGCATCTTCAATATTATCGAGGAATTCAGCATGGCTATTCATCTTGATTCTTTTACTTACATCTACTGTCGTTCTCGTGTCAATCTTTGTTCCTGAATGTTGAATATTGGGAAAAAAACATCAAATATATTGAAATTAATAAATGCACCAGGACCATCATGATAGATTCTTTGTAGACCAGAGGTAGACCACTAGAAGAGGTAATAATCGGCAAATATGATAGAAGAAAGGGCTCGATAATTGTCTTCGTCGTCAAAGAGAATAACAATAACAACCAGAGCAGCATAGGCTGACTGATGAATGTTCTTGCTGTTCCTTCGAAAACTCAAATCAACGCTCTCACTTTCTGTAAAGCTTTCGCATTCGCAATTTTTACAGCTAGACACATTTCCAACCCTGATCTACAGCATGTTGGTGAAGATGAAGTCGTACTCAACTGGGAGTTTTGGAGTAGAAGACTTAGAAAGTTTTACTGGTGAGAAATCGAACTGTCGTCAGCTCCTCCACTGCTTGCCTTGTCGGACAGATTCGTCTTGTTGCGGTTTAACGCCTACCTCCACTTCTCGGTGTCGGTTTCAGAAACTCGTTCACAACAACGCTCGGCCCTTATGTTGAAGTGCTCGTTTGACTTTGACTCGCTGTGCTTGATGACCCTTCTACTTGATGGCTGGCAGTTTTTGTATCATTTTTGAGGTATGACTATGAGTTTTCGTGACTTTGGTCTGTATGTAAGAAACGAAGACGAAGAACAAACAATAACTACAAGTATAGATAAGAATGAGTTGTGATGAAGCAGCGAGAGAAATGTCGAGTGTGAAAAGGAGATTCTGAGTTCTCACTTATGCCTAGAGTTTCATCCTCGAGCGGCAACGTCAATGATCAACAATAAAATGCCAGAGCTGGTGATTGCCCAATAAAAACATAGGAAAACCTTGGAGGTACAGGTAGAGGTACCAGAAGTAGCATCGTGGAACAAGCCTTGTTTTCCCACCACTGTAGTTGAGCGGTTACCCGTGACGGGCAATTTGTAGTTTTAGAACAAGAACATGATCGTGTTGCATGCGGATCATGAAGATCAAGTGGCTTTTACCTGTGTTCCCAAGACTATGAAAAGCATGAAGTAGCCTCGTGAAGATGTATTGATGAGCCGGAGAACAATAGATACATGATCGGAGCAGGCTCCTATTTAATTGTAATTATATTACTTCTTGATCTTGGGCTCTCATCAGCATCACAAGATGAACATGAGGTGACGTCGTTTGGCCAGTGTTATTAATCTTAATAAGGACAGTCGAAGATAAGTAGATCAAGATGCAGAGGCCCCCTTCATTCCAGTTCCAGTTCTTTGCGCAACCGCGCGCCTCGGCATCTACAAGCGGTGACAGCCAGGCTGATGGTGGAACTGCTGTTCCAAAACCGCGAGGAGGAGGAGGAGGAGGTGCGTCACTTTCGCCAGGCGATGAAGCAGCTCCCACGGATGAATTGTCTTGTTTAGGAGGAGCCGGAGGCGGCCTGAGAAATGCATCAACGACGATGCATCGCCGATCCAATCCCGACCTACTCCTACAGCATGATCCTCGTGGCGGAACAAGTGGAGGTTCCCTAGTCGTGGTTCCTCAGTTAGCGACTCTATGCATACCACGGATGCAGCTCCTGGGTGGAGGTGCCGCCTCATCTCGAGGCATGCTGGCCGACTCACCGAATGTGCCCGCTAACAATGTCGTGGGAGGTCAAGGTCAACATCTTCAACAGCGTGATTCATTGATCCCAAATTTTGGCCTCGGATCGTCTCCTGCTGTGCAGCCATTAAAAACACTCCAACAACCAGGCGCTGGCTGTTCATCCTTGTTGTCGCCAGGAAGAAGAATCCTTGGTCCTTCTAGTGGAGGTGGTGAAGACGCTGGATCTAACGCAAGCTCTAACGCGACTCTTGTGCTTGCTCCGCAGGACCATCATCCACGGTCTTCTGCTTCATGTAGTAAAGGGATGACCACCACTTCCACTGGTCCCGCTTCCGGTGCAACATCCAACTATAAAAACCAGGGCGCTGCTAATTTTAATTCTAGTGCCTCTGGTGCGTTGACCTCAAGCTCAACCTCGACAGTACCAGCATTGATGAACAACGATAATATGCGGTCCACAAGAACGACAACGACTTCAAGCTGTGTGACAGCATCGATTGCCACTAGTCGTGGTAGCAAAACTCCAGCCAGCACTTCCTGTCGGACGCCAACAGCATCAGCGGAGGACGTCGAAGACGGAGAAGAACTCATTGTGGATGCGTCCACTGCTGTACCCCAGAAATTGACGGGTGGAAGCTCAGAGTGTGGCATGGGATCGTCCCAGAGTCGCGTACCGATTCAAAACCAGGCCTTAGATCGACACCCCTTCAGCCCAGAACCGAAACCCGCAGGAGGTCAACAAGGTCAAGCCAAGAACATGATTGATTTTGACTCTTCATCTTGCGTATCCTCTTCAGCATCGAGTTCTTTTAGTAGTAGACCACTTCAAGTCCAGCGGGCCCAGGCGTCCTCGTCGTTTTCCAAAGCTGTCAAAAGGGCATCACAACTTGATCATCATGTAGGAGGAGGAGCTGGAGGATCTTCATCTTCGTCAATGTTGAGATTCTTCTCAAATAAGGGAACGCCAACTACAGCATCGACGCCTTCAACATCTTCTTCATCCACAGTCTCACTTGGGCCGACCACGTGTGCCGGCGGCCAACCTCGCGGAGGAGGAGGGCAGCAGAAGATCCAACTAGGACAGAACAACGCTCCATTTTTGCTGGGTGTCCGCTGCATTTCACCCGCTCCAGCGCGTGGTCCCAGGACGATGACGCCATGCATTGCGTCGACACGTGGCTTTTCCCTGGATCCTCGAGGTAGAGCGAGCGAACGCGTCGGTGGGAGGTCGTCCTCCAGACAACATCATCAGGGGCCGCGCGGATGGAGCGTCGAGAGGCCCGCCATATCATCGATCCCATCTTCCGTAGCTGCAGGAGCGGGGATGATAACTCCAGGTTGTTCGTCATCATCTGCATCTTCTGTGTCGACAGCGATAGGAAGAGACGCGGACGCAACAACCGCTAGCTCAGCATTTTCCGGAGCTGGAGGAAGTAAAAGTGTGAAGTTGAAAAATAACGCTTACTTTTTTCGTGCGGGTGGAGGTGGAGCAACTCCATCTGGCGCCACAGGAGGCGATGGAGTATCTTCAACTCCTACCTGCTCTGCTCTAGGTGTCGGATTCTTAGGGTCGCGGTTGGGCGGCGCCAGTACTGCCTCCACATTGCTATCTTCTTCAGGAGGAGAAAGTGGAGGTGTAACCACAGGATCTGGATCAGCATCAGGATCTACTTCTTCGTCCTCGTCCACGGCGCGAAAGATCAACTATAATAATACCAAGAAGATGACATCTACCTCGAGGACCTCGTTCGGTGGCTCGCCGTCGGATCTACCTCCAGAGACGCCAAAGCAGACTGGAATCGGAGGCACTGACATTAAGCTTCTCGTAGATGGTGCGTCGCCTTTGATATTTGCTTCGCCCGTGGCATTCGGGGAACCAGGCTCCCAACTGGCGGGAGGCTGTAGCAGTCGCCGAGCAAACAGCGTGTCAGAACGGCTAGTTTCTTCTCGCTCATCTCCGCTACAGCAGCTCGGTGGACCTTTTTTAGAGGTAGGCGATGCATTCGAGATGCGTGAACAAGCTAATAACGGAGGGGATCCAGCAGATGGTCGTTGTGAATTTCTTGATGGACGAGAGCATCAACAGGGCAGCAGCCAGGCTGGTCTGAGAACGAGTTGGGCGATGAAGTTCAATCGTCTTGGAATCAATTCGAATGCAGCGACAGGTTCTACTAACTACTTACAATGATGTACTATGTATTTTATTTGAAGTAGACGAGGCAGAGAAACAAGAGATGATTACTTATTACCAGCTCGTCGCTGACTTTGCTTAGTCACAAGCAGGTCACTCATCGAAGGAGAGCACGGCGGCTCCAGTTTCTTCCGTCTCTTCCTCGCCTTCCTACTATCGTGCGTCAGGGACCTCCACTGCCCTTTCACCGTCTTGCGTAGTCGAATCGACGTCGTGTTCTTCCTCAAAGGGTTCTTGCCGTGGCGATATCAGGGATCTTCAACACGGATACAGTGGGCACGCGGCCGATGTGCCCGACGAGCTTGACGAGCGATTGCGAGACGAAGAGCCTGTTAGGCCTGCTTTCGATCAACATGTGCGCCGCTCCCAGCGGAGCAGCGGCCGCGCCTCGGCAAGAGACGCAGCAACACCCGACCGCGCATCGCGCAGCACCCACGACAAGAGCGGTAGTGGAAAGTCAAAAAAAGTAACGAAAAAGTCGAAACATAAGAAGGACCATCTAGGAAGTGGTAGAACAAGCGATGCGAAGACAGACACAGACTCACTATCAGGAGTCGTATCAGCAGCCGGAGCAGGCGCCGGCGGAGGTAGGATGATAAAACTTTTTTTTTTTTCGATGTCATTCTTTTAGCGGTTAGAGAATACTTTGGTCCTCGCACTAATAGGACTAAGAAATTGTCCATGTGCGTAGAAGGCTATCCATATTTTACATTTACTCGGTACCTCCTGATGTAAATCCCCGCGTCTGCTTCGCACTCTCCTATCCCATACAGTGCATTTGCATTATGCACTAAAAAAGTATGCATCATCATGAAGAAGAAGAGGGTTAATGGGATTCCGATCTCGTTTCTCAGGTATTTCTGCTATGAAAGACACTCTGCCTAACTCGACGTGCACCGACTTTCCAAGACGTCCACCGCCGATGGACCGCGTATTTTTTCCTTTTTTCGAGTACTAGGTAGAAGTGCAACACTCTTATCGTACTCTTTGGTGATGGTAGTGATCTTCTTGGTAAATACTTGATGAAAATTGTGCTGCCCTGTGTGTTGCTCGTAATTTTCATCATGATCATGATCGGATTCGGATTCGGATGTATTAGTGGTATGCTGTTCCTTCAGACAACTTACTCGGACCCATGATCAACAACTACAACCTCTTCAACTTTTTCAACAGAAACCTGGTGCCCCTCTCGTCGACGCTAGCCAACAAGGAATGTCTTCAGCCTCTACTTCGTCCTTTAGTGGCCGTAAAGTAGATAATCGACGAGCGGGACGTCCTGGTAGCGGGAGCGCGCATGATCTCGATATCTCTTCTAGAAGCAACAAATGGATACCTACCTCTGTCAACGATCATAGGAATACGACCTCAGAAACGAGTAGAACGACGAGTCGCAGAAGGCGTTCTATGGAAGAGCTCAGCCATAAGATGTTTTCGACAGAGGCCCCTGCTGCACTTCAAGACGTGATGCGAACTCTAGATGCCAATGTGAAGGCAAGGTTTCAGCAGATCCTTTCATCCCACAGTTTGAATGACACGACCAGTTTTGAGGGGGTGGACTTCTTTGACTTTGGCTCCAACTATAACTCCAGCATGAGAAAAACGGGCCCTCACCGAGAAAACCACAAGCATGATGCTGATGTTGCCGAAGGCGCGGCCGCGGTTACCGACGATGTCTTCTTGCGAAATTATTTTGTGCAAAGCCACAGGTTCCAAATGCATTTGTGCAGCTTGCTGGACAGCAAGCTGAACGAACTCGCACAGCTGCAGGCGTGCATCGCTAGGAGTGAGCATGATGGGACAAAGGCTGCATCAAGCTGTAGGATTAGGACCACGAGTAAGCATCCTCCTGTGCTGAACGCGTCGAGCCAAGGTGGAGGTGCTCTCGATCGGCGTGCTGATATCCTGCAACCCGGCACAGAAGCAAATAAGAGGTTGGACGGAGCGAGTCGTGGTTCTCAGCAAGCAGGAGGAAAGATTTTCCTTGACGATTTGCGGCGAAAGCGTCAGGGGTCTCCATCCTGTGTGACAACAGCTGCGACTCGCGTCTCTACAACTGGTGAGAGCTGCCAAGGACACCAGATGAAAGACGGTTCAATATCATCTCAGAATTTTCTAGAACGTACCTCTACTTCGCCCACAAGTTCTTCTTGCAGCACGTCAGCATGCGGTTCCTCGTTTGCATCAGCAACAGGTACTTGCAGCGCGTCTTCTGCCTCTGCCAGTCGTACTGATTTGACAGCACCAGGCCGACCGCGTCCAGAGACTACAGGCAGTGCCTCAAGCAGGCCCTCTGCAAGCAGCACGAAAACTCGCGGCAAGCCTCCTACGAGACGCCCAGGGGAGCCAGCAAAAGCAGGGCCTCAGGCTCAGCCTGCTCCGCGATCACGAGTGGCGGCAGCCGCACGGCTGTTTGGGGGTCAAGTGAAGCCGCCGCCTTCGTCACCAGTCCTAGAGCATGATGCCAATGATTCCCCATTGAGCCCGATGTCGTCGGTATCTACTTTTGAGTAAGTTGGAATTGTATGCTGATAATGTTTAACAATATTGAGTTATGGTCATCGTCCAGACCCAATTCGAATACTGAATGTTGTATCCATCCTCCGAGATTTTTCCTTGGGGCCCCGTCCCAAAGGTGACACGAAAAAGAAATATCACATAGGCTAGGGGACACAACATGACATGAAAACTGTTGTATTATAATGTAGCAAACAAGTCCAACAATTCAAAGAAAAGACTTTTGGAGTTTTTCATGATTTATTCTTTGCTTTCTTCAGGCTTTTCTTTTTGAGCGCGGAGAAAGCGACCCCACTAGGCCATTGCAGAAGGAACATGAAGACGAAAATGGTGCCAAGGACGAACAAGGACAAGATCAGGAGTACCGACATGATCCTTTGACCCCACCCGCCGTTCCTCCCGGCCGAATACGTGTCGCCACTAAGGCGAAGTGGGTACCTATAGAACAGTTGACACGCGAAGACTTGGAAAATTCACGTGACAACGTTGCACGTGACCTGTTGCGTTCTGCACCCTCAACGCCACACTCCACACCTTCTCTCACGCCAGACTTTAGCAGGGACGACATTATCATGGACCAGCATAATCAAAATCATTCACATCTTCATCATGGCGGGGCGGCAAAAAGAGCAGGAGGAGCCGTTTCCTCGTTATCAAGTAAACCGCTGGGGCCAGGGCCCGGACCTCCCGACAGAGTGGGAGGACGTGGCTCGGGCGCAACAGGTACAGCTACAACCAGCAGCAATTTCGCGGCTCGAACAGGAGAAGGGCATGGCCATGGCGCTCGCGTTCCCACAAACAATATTAATAGACGGAACTACAACTACAACAGACTGAAGAATAGAACGACAGGAGGGGCCCCTGGTTGCAACAATATTTCATCATCTTCGTTTTCAGCTAGCCTGATGGATGGTACTGATCCTTGTGCCTCCTCTATGACGAACTTCGCAGACATTAACAACATCAACAGCGAGGACAAGGTGAATCTGAACACGAATACCGGGTCTCAACAAAAAGGTCATCAAGGGCGAGGAGTGCCAATGCTACCATCAAGCATACGAACAGAAGATATGTCGGAAAAGGACTTGTTGGATCTCACTCAACCGCTGCCTTCACCCAAAAGGTATTCACCACCGCCCAGACGCAAGTCATTGCGTCCCACTTTACGCCAGCTCGAAAATGAGTCATCAGCAGGTACTTCACTTAGAACTCTTTTGGATTTTGGAATTCGCAACTTCAAGAAAAGTACTTTCTGCAACTTTTTGTACAGAACAACAACCCGCAGAAAAATAAGGGAAACAACGTGATGCGCCCGCATTATGGTCACGTAGTTGATGTAGAATCAAGAAAGTGGAGGCATATCGATATCGTAGGTATCTTCTTGATCATGTGTACAATTGTCGTGGAGAGCACATCAGTATCATTCTCATGCCGTACCAACTCAGGTGGTGCCGACTGCCTCTGCCCGCAAGAGTTTCCGTCCGGTCATTCCGAGGATGAAAGTAGTGAAAACGAGAGACGTCCAGCATGGCCGGGGGATGCAGAAGATGCTATGAAAGCAAATAGCGCTTCCGAATCCGATCATCATGTGCAAGATGTGCAAAACCAAGAAGACCTCAATCAAGGAAGGTTTTGTAGTTCAGGCATCACGACCACAGGTAGCAGGATGGGAGGTACCTTAGACGAGCAAGTCGACCAATTTCACGAGACGGACACGACGCAAGGCCAAGCATCTTCAATCACAGACAGGACAAAGAGCCTGCAGCAGCAAGTTGAGCTTGAGGCGACTAAAGCAAACATGTTGATGAGCACACATGATCAGGAAAACGAGGCATTGGGTGCTATGGGAGAGCCTTGTGAGATGGAACGAGGTAACATCCCAGCTCCTGGCGAGCTATCGATCGCAGTCCGAGATACCATGCTCTACATGTTGGAAGAACAAGAGTTGCAGGGCTACCGCGTGAAACTTACAGTTCCGGAGAACGTAACACCTGGAACGCTGTTGCGTTTCGAGTTCGGCGGCCGATCGCATGAAGTAACTGCGCCCCCCGATGCGCAAGCTGGTGAGGAAATACTCTACCGCGTGCCCAAGAGGCCCGCACTGGAGAAAAATGCCGCCTACGCCGCCGTTCGACAGCGCTACGGCTGTACTTCTAGCACCGGGGGACAAGGCGGGGGATCTGGAGGAGAAAATGGAAACGGCGTTGAAAGTGCAAATTTGGGCGAAGACCAGCATGGGGGGCCTCTTCACTGTGTTATCCCTGATAGGAGAAACGTGTGCGACCAGGTGCGCATGCCTGCCAACTTTCACCGCGAAACACATTGTCGTGCCTTCTCTGCGCTTGTTGCTCACCGGAATCGACTTCAAGACGAAAGAGCGTCGCTTTCGCCTCGAATGAACATCAACGAAAGACGCTCGATTTCTTCGAATCCTTGGAATATGCTGACCAAAAAAACGCTAGATAATAGGATGCAAGTCGGAGCAGGGAAGAAACGATGGAGTCTTTTACTCAAAGGCGGCGCTCCTTCACAAGCAGTCCCTGGATCAGGTTGTATCCGTGGTGCTCCAGCAACCTCGTCTCTAGCGCCTTTTTACAAGAACTTTGCAGCCACCAGCACCACCTCCGCAGCGGCAGAAGAGGAACTACCACACCAGGAACTACAACACCAGGAGTTTCTTGATGACCTCCTCGATGCACAATTCCTTCTAGATCCGCCAGATAAGGACGCAATAGCCGCCGCAGAAAATCTGTTGCAAGACCCACTTTTTCTTCAGCGTCAAGATCTCTACAAGTGGCTACGCGGAAGAAACATGGACCCGCTGTTGCCTTTTACGCCAGAAGAAACGGAAGACCAAGTACTAGCAGAGGAAGCCGAGAACTGAAGAAGCATCTACAGACTATCAACTACCCATCCGCTATCCGCCGTGACCCTAGACTGACTGCCACGCTAGTGTTTATTTAACATTTGGAAAAATACAAATAGTACGTTCTTGAGCAAGAATAAGAAGAACGATGTGAAGCTGAAGTAGCTCTAGCGGTATTGCAGTGCTACATTGGGGAGCCGTGGTGATGTTTTGTTTCTTTGTGCATTTTATTCAAGCTTCTGTTTTATTTTCGTAAGTATCCGTTCCCGGCCGTGCTTAACCTTAAGCTTAACACCTGAAACCAATATTACACACAAGACCTGTTCATTGGTATTGCTATTCAGGCATATTAACTACAACTTCTAGGGTTCTGACTCCGCGTCAGAGAAAGCGACTTGCAAGAGCTGCAGAGTTGCTGCCTTACCCGCGGGCCTGGAGATGAAATACAAACCCCCGCAGTCGACTTTTATCCGAACAATCATATTGATCATAATGGGTTAAAAGGGACTATTTATTGCGTAGAAATACTATTACAACTATCACAACTTCTTTTTTGATTCTTATTTGAGGGACTGGGAAAGAATAAAAAATTATTTTGCATTTGCCGGAGACTCACTATGATTATGTTTTTATTGTTCTATAACTTCAACTATATCTTCTATTGCATTTGCTTTTTCACCAATTGCTCGGATAAGTTCTTGCTTTCTAGTCTTCACACTTTCCTCCATCAAACAACTACATCTACTTAAGGCTCAACTTTCAATGGTCATTGGGGTCGGTCACTGAGATCGAAGAGGCGACCCCTTGAGAGAACAGGGGAAAACGAAGGGAAAGGGGAGAGCCTTGAAGGGGGTCCCTTCCGTTCAGAGTCAGTGACCATTGAAGGCTGAGCTTTAATTTACATACTAGCTTGAATTTGTAAGTATAAATATAGTCGTGCTTTAGCTTTCTTTTGTAAGTGTATTCATGTCACTGTCAGCATATCAATATCTACTCGACAGTTTACGCTGACCATGTGGAGTTCCTGCAATTCATTGCATCAACTGATCACTCGTTGTCCGTAGAGATATCATGCTCAATGAAGCGCCTCCCTGCGAACCAACTATGATCAGAGTAGGAAGACGTAGACTACTACAACTACTAGTCTTCAGTATCTATCAACAAATTCAATGATCGGGGATGAGCATTATTATATTGTTTTTCTTGTCGAATAATAATAATGCTACTGTTAGTGTTAGTGTTACTGACTTATTATATCTAACAACATTCATAGTGTTACATCAAATTAATACGCTTGCGCCTCAACATCGATTTGAAGTAATCAGTTCTTGTTGTACATTGATTTGGTTCGAGTAGATGCTCGTAGTGGCATATTTGGCAGTGGCGCACCGCGGCGACGACGCGAAGGATCAGGAGAAGCAGCTAAAGAAGGGTACACAGGTATCCTTTTGAAGCATTGGCGCGACCTCCTCAAGACTGAGTGAAAATATCAAAATTATGTTCATGACCATAACAAAAATGATATTAGACAAACCATCTCCAATCAAATGGCAGTGTTCCGATTTCTCAACGTCGCTCTGACTCTGAGGCACCACCAGAGCCTGAGGCCCTAAGTAGAACATGGATACGTACCAGACGGATCTCTATAACGAGCGAATGTACGCCACTGTCAGTGGGGTTCTCTTTTCACCGAGAGAATCTGTCTCGAGCGATTGTACGCCACTGTCGGAGAAGTTCTTGTCTTTTCATCGAGAGAAGAGCCCGGAGGGAATTCCTGCTACGTTTATTTCGCCCCCCGTCGCTCGAACACGACTTGAGGTGTTTTGATTTCACTTCTAGTGGTCCGAGGCGTGTTGTCTCAGGATTTATAGATTTTCTTTCTCCTCGGATTTTTTTTTTGATCGTAAATTATGATAAGCGAAGTCAATTTCGAACGATGATGAAGAAGATGAAGATCGTCATGGGAAAAAAGTGTCTGCGAAGATCGAGAAGACTTAGTGGGCCTTCCGCTTTCTCGCAGGAGTGTTGGAGGACACTTGCAGCACAAGGCGCCAACGCCTAAGTATGATTGTCCGACTGCCGCACCGCCTCCGCCACTTCCACGCAAGTCATGCGGATGAAGAAAACTACAATGACGTAGTCAACGAGGAAACTACTTCATCTGTTGAGGATGTGCATGCACATGTTGCAGTAGAAGATGCTTATGTCGCAGCTTGTGACAACACGCCAGCTCCGCGTCAGCGGCTTCGTTTCGAGGCCCATAGCCAATCTCGAGGAGCCGCTAAGTCACCGAAGCCGAAGCCTAGTCTGGTCTCTCGTTCGGAACAAGAAGGCTCTGGGGAAAACGCCAAGAGAAAGAAGAAGAGTCCTTCGAGAAGATAAAATTCTCCGTATATTTTGTATCGAATCTTCGATGATGCTCAAGAACAACAAGAACAAGATGAAAGATTATAAATTGATCGCATCCGAATTCGAAGATTAAAATAATTTCTGTAAACTTCGACCCTACTTATATTTATACTTGGCAATTTTGTAGACAATTATAGATCAACCACCGTCCAGCATTCTTGTACAATTTTATACTCGTGGTCAGCGTCATCGTCAACAGAAGTACGAATATATCTATGCCGCGTGGTACACATACACTGACATTCTTCTTTAAGTTTTTTGAAAAGAACTGTAACAGTGATTTACTTATTCGTAGGCAAGTTTTGATGATGTATTTCAACAGACCAAATTATCATTAATTATTATACCAGGTCAAGGACAACACCGCCAGCAAGAGATTCCCTGAAATTTTTTCGCTGACAGTCCTAGTACCAATTGTAGTAAAGTGATACAACATTGCTTGCTTACTAAAGCCACCTGTGTCCAAATTTCAGTATTGGAATTGTTGAAATCGAAAAAAGCCTTTTCTGTTCGGCGGCCATGATGAGAAGCCGCTCTGTCTCTGAAGAGTCAACTCGGTAAGCCTCCGGACTGAAGCTCTGTGTTTTCAAGTCGGTGTCATCGTAGCTATATGAAATGAATCCTCTGTCGTCAGGAGTATCTTCTTCCATGAGATGCTATGATCGGAAAAAGTACGGCGACAGAAGATGTAATGTAGTATTCATCGGTACAATTTCGCAGCATGGTGAGGAAGACGTGGCTATCATTTTTTTCGGGAGTGGTCGAGCTCCTTCCTCGTGTCCGTGTGCTTGTCTTATAATAATGATTCAACAACATTCTTATCGCCGGTCCGCGATCATTACTCCAAAAGGTTCGACTGAGAGAACCGATGTGAGCACGACCCTGATAACAACCCTCTTCTTCCGTGGAGCCCTTTTTTCCAAATACCAAACTACATTAAATTGATACTCATATTCAACTCACTTATACTAGAGTAGTTTATAGAACGGATGTAGGATGGACTTGGATGGATCGGATGGACCCCCCTGATTCTTCTGTTTCTCTTTGAAATGGTGGGAAGTCCATCCGATCCATCCGATCCATCCCATCCCGGATCTGGCACCCCTATGAATTACTCTATTATACGATTACGCCTCTCTTTTGAACATGCTCGAAGGATACATCCTCCAAATCGTCAACTTTTTTCTAATACATTTTTGTGCGCGCTCGGCTTTTTCCTTTTCTCTTGACTGTTCCTCACGAGTGATGAGTGGGAGTGTGGCGTCTCCTAGGTCTAGTCCTCGACTCCAACTTCCCCTTCAAGCACAGATATCGATATTATCAGGGACCACCTTGGAGCACTGCTTTAACCTACATTTTAATTTACATGATTGATATCTTATCCCTTAGGTTTAGCCCTTCAAAGAAAATACATGATTGATTTCTTCAACATAGTAGTTCTTGATGTTTATACATTCGAATCGCTTTGTTCTGAATTTGAAGCATGAGTATGTAGTACAACGACAACAAAAGGACTCGGGGGATAAATATGAGCACAACCAGCAGGATGTCGAAGGGGAGGACTATGATAACTACCCCACCTGGAGGTGGTCGAGCAAGTATCGTATGGACACGTGCGCTGCGTTTGGCTCTATACTACGGCTTTGGTGAAACCGTGATAGCAGTATCATCAGCAATGTTGATCCAAGCCCCTGATGCAAAACCACGAGGGGCAGAGTACAAAAAACGTTAAGGCTACTTGTTTTCAAGTAGAAATCAGGATGAATGTTCATCTACTTTTGACATCAAGTAGTTCTTCTAGCTTGAGGTCCCTTGTACTATATTTATAATGAGAAGAAAAATATACGACTAGAAGTTCTTCTTGCGCTAGAACTCAAGAACTTGCTCCTGAAAACGAGGAACCAGCTAGAGATATAGGTAGAGAGTCAGACTCGACATAGTTTGATATCCCAGATCTAGCTGAAGATTTTGTTGATGGGTTTATTTGTCGATAAAGAGAGCAAAATAGGGGGAAGCTCTAACTCGATCACGGCAAGGTGCCAGGTGGTAACATCGATAGAGACCAGAATGATCAGGCACCGCCGTCCTTTCTTGAACAGGTACTACAGGTAGGGCGTTTACTCACAAATAAAGAATTTCAATTTTATTTGTGGTAGGTGTTGGATGACTATGCAGATTTTGATTGGAGTAGGACTTCTTCATCTTCCTCTTCATCTCGGGTGTGGACCTTCGTTTTTCATCTTCTATGAGACTGCTTAGGCTTACGAGTGTTTTGGATAGAACCAAAAGCTTTGGTTTTTCATCAAAAAAAGAACTCAGATTAAGTCCGTCACCGACTTGATCGAGCAGCGTACTATTGCAATGACAGCACGCCAGGGGTTTCTTGCCGCGAGCGCGGACGGAGACCTGGAAAAGGCAAGTGGTAATTATAAATATAGATACATTTTTTAGATGATGTTGTTCTAGAAGATGCAGTAGAGTGTATTTTCTACTTGGATGAAATTCTTCATCGAGTATCTTAATCTCTACTCATTTTTTGGCACTTATCGTTCGATTAGTTGACTAGCATAAGGGTAATTCAGCCAGGAGGTAGAAATCAAGTTAGAGGAACCGCCTGGCCAGGACGAATCACAAAGTCGACCTCATCCAGCATGGTGATTTCCTATACATAGAATCTTCAGTTGATAATGTTGATAGCTGATACTACCACTCGACGTTCAGCAACTACAAGCTCATCATGGCCATCTTGCTCTTGTCGCAATTGGAATCATTTCTTGTGTAGTAGTTGTTTACGAGTTCAGCACCCCCCTCAAAATAGTTGTCATTCCGTTCAGGCCGGTCATAGTACTACTCCATGACCAGGTAATTTTTTACCGGGAAAAAGGGAATCCCTTTGTAGTCGTACTAGTGTACCAGGTTGCAAATACTATTTTTATAGAGTAGTCCGTTTTTCGAGTTACGGGTTGCTCGAGTTCTCTCGAGTTGCCACGAGTTGCCGAAACTCACACGCCCAGTCCGGAACGAGTTGCTAACGGGTTCCTCTCGGCAGCTTGCCACTTTGAAAGCGCAGCACCCCGCGGCGGTATGGCGGGCCAAGATGCCGCGGAGTTCAGGGGGAAGCTCGTGGCCAGTTGTTTCGTGGCAGATCTGCCGTTTGTATTAAAGAGACACGCCCCGGCCGAGCTCTTCGGGGCTTGGGCTTAGCGAAAGCATGAAGGCGAACCCGGGGCCTTTTTTGTTTGAGTGGCGCGCGCGCAAGCCTTGTGAAGTGCAGCGATTTCCTCGCGGTGTCGGTGTCTCTGCATGGTCGTGCGCTGATGTCGGTCGCGGCCTGGCTCTGTTTTTTTTTGCTGGTGAGTGGCCAGCTTGTTCGGCTTCTTGGGGCCCCTGTTTGCGCTGTAGTGGGCTTACTGAGTAGCGCGCCGCCTAGTGGGTAGCGGTAGCATCACAAGCAGGGCCCCCCTGAGTAGTGTAGACGCATCGGGATCGGAATGGAGTAGGTTCATTTGTGTGCTTGTTTTATAGGACAGCAGCTATACATTACCAGGCAGGCGCGCTATCTTAGTAACACAAAACTACGAGGGCAGGGCCCTGGGTGGCGTTGCTCTTGTCTGCCCCGCGCATGCAGCGCCTCGCAGAGAAGAGAGGGCGCTACTGGAGGCGTTCGCTTGTGAGGGTGGTTTGCGCCCCTGGGCAACGTATTTGACGCTTCGAAGATAGTGCGCCCGAAGGGCGCAGCGAAAATTTTTTTGGTATGGAACTCGTTCAACTCGAGCAACTCGAGCAACTCGACCCGATATCGGGCGCAAAAAGTCTAATTCTATACCCTGTAGTTCATCCTTTTGATTGATCTCAATGTTTATCCAGCCCAATTGGATGCCAAATACTCCCACTGCTACAGATGTAGACCCGGACAAGGCAAACGAGGATATAGTTCTGGGTTCAACGAGGAAAGCGTCAGCGTTCTTTTAAGGTTCACGTTGCCGAGACGATAGATATATCGACTTTCTGCGATGATAATGAAGATGATCTCGCACTTTCTAGTGGTCTCGTTGTTACTGTTGTAAGTATAGAAGTTCTGTAGGTGCAGTACTACCAAACAATTAGCTAAGAGGTCTCGTTCTCTTCATTTTAGTGTGTCACCCGTCACGGAGAGGACTCTACTTAATAGCATTCGTTCTTCTAAGAGCCAAGAGTTAGAGTTTGATCTCGGGTTAGAGCAAGTCATTCCCAGTAGATGACGACCACGCCCTTTTTCCTTTCACCTTGGCAAGGTCGTGACCTTGCTAATTGTAATCATGAGAATGAAAACTCTAAGTATCAGACAAGCAGACGCAATACAAAACAAAGAAGAAAGAAATGACACGCACGAAAAAGAGTTCGGGTGCGCAAGTTAAGGCTAGCGGCAGCCCATCTTCTACATCATCGATCTTTCATCCAGTAGAGTCTTCCTCCTTGAAGACATTTAGCTGAAAGATGTTTCCAGAGTTATAGATGGGTTCTACGTACCGATACCTCTAATAACAGCACCGTCTGCGAGCAGATGTTTGGTATGAAGACGAAGGAGTCTATCATTTTTGTCTCCGTCCTGATCGGTCTGGCGGTCATCACGTTCACAGTCTGCATCGTCCTGTTCTTCATGTACTATTCTCGCATAAAGATTAGATCTTTCATGTTTATTTGCTACTTCGACATGTTTTTAATCTTTTGACAAGTTCTCAAAACCCGGAGCATGGATCGCAGAGGAGTGTCTGCTCTGCCTCCTAGTTGTAAGTACGTCTGATCTTTGATTCTGTTGTAATTATGTGTGTTTTCCTAAGTCTGACGTTCTTGTCGATGTCTATCTTTGTTGGTTGATGCGTAGAGAAGAGCTCTTACTTGTTGTAAGTAGCAAGGTCGTAGAAAAATGGTCAACGTCTTCAATCAGGATTATCACCATCACGGAAATTGTCGTCATCCGATGGTTGTTATCAACGTTGACGTTGAGGACGAACACGATTATTTTTGAAGAACTTTTATCAAATGATAATTGGACTTGTGAGAAACTGCTCCATCTCCACCAGGTCGTCCAATGATCTATCGAAAATATCTTTATCTTTTTCTTCACCAATGATCTTCAGATACCCACGTTGCTGTGGGGGAAACGAAGGCGACGACGACGGCAATAGAGAGAGCTACGCTCCTGGGTTTGGAGCTACAGTGGACGAGAACGCAGAACGAGCAGTGTCTGATGAGGAAGAACTACGGCACATTCTGATGCTTGTTGATGATGGAGGTCGAACACCTCGTCTAGTCTTCATTTTCATTATTTTATAGTTACAGATCGATGATGATCACGATTCACGATCAACGCATGTTCGTGATCAACATGGTCAACAGAGACTAACTAGGACTAGCACTAAGCTGCTGACAGAGGACAAGGAGAAGAATAGCTCTTTTTGAAAAACTGCATATTCTTCATATGCTCAACATGCTGGACGGTCGGAGGTCGATCATGATTCATGAGCAACATCAAGGTAAGTAAAGTAGATAGGAGATTTAGATCGAAGTCGCATAAGGTGAGCAGGCTCTTTCTCTGGAGGACGAATCATCTGTCCGTCCCCATGTTCATCTGCATCATCTTGTTTTTAGCTCTTCTAATTTCTCCAGCGGTGATGGACCAGGGTATGCAGTCCTTTGCGCAAGGCGCCGGCGCCCAGTATCAAAAAATGAGAGAAGGGGAGGCCACAACGGTCACGGTCGTTACGGCTACTCATCAACAACAGGTAATTCTAAGTTTATAGTGCTAGTCTTCCGTCACCACCTCAAATAGTGATTATAAGAGATATAATTTTATTTGCTCGTCTTCTATCCCTACTTTTTTTAGCTTCATCATATGATAATGGGTATCTCATCATCGTTGAGAATATATTTCGAGAAGAGAAAACCTTTTACTGGAAGACGAATGCGGACTATACAAAAATGCATTACGGATGGCTCTAATCATGTGGACGTCGGCAATGATGACAAGACTGCCCAAGAGCAGAGAAAGAGAGCTTTCCAAGTCCACCAGTATTACAGCAACACCACCGCCGATGGTGACTACAACGACGATTATGGCTGTCAATTTGACGAGTTTACTGCATCAATGCAAATCCTCTTTTTGATGTCCTTTATCTAGTTTCGGTATGGAGGAGAAGAGGACGCACCTAGTACACGTACAGACTACACGTTGTACAAAGTACTAAGTGTTGATATTTATATATAATCGTCCTGCAAGAAAAATTTCAATTCGTGGCACCAATATGATTACCAGTTCGTTCATCTTCTGGTTTTGGTTATCATGAGTACAACATGTACAATAATCAAGATCGCGACCACCTAATAAGGAACACCCGTTGACATTTTGTTGGTTCTAATGTTGCACCAGTATGCTGTCGCCTTTAGATTGCGATTTACAATATCAGCTCAACACCTCGTGCATTGAAGGAACGGACAGTGAGATCGAAAAGCAAATGATACTGGAGTCTCTTGTTACGGCAATTAACGTTCATCTAATTCGTACGGTTAGTCGTAGTCCTTCCATCCAAGTCATTAATTCATCGATCCTTGTGGGCGGTATAGGGATGAAGGATATTGTCTTCTTACCATGATCATGATGTTTTAAGAGCAAGTACATGCCGTAGTTTTTCCACCACGGGAGAACGAGAGGGTAAGCAGCCCTGTGGTCTTCGGCAAGAGTCACTACTTCCTGGCAGGATCTTCATGATGCGTATTTTAAGAGAAACGAGGGTAAAAATAATAATAAAAGAGAAACTCGATTATAGTTTTCAGTTCCACAGCGATCATGAATTACGGGTAGGTCTAATCTTACAGCGCAGAAGGAAAAGAAGAGGGAAGCAAGACGCGCCGCTCGTTTGCTGAAGGAAGATACCTCTACGCCTACTTCGGTCGCAACAAGAACCGACGGCGTCGCCGCGTCATCCAATGTTAAGGCTCTACAATTTGACCCCTCAACGAACAATGAATTTTTGCAGAGTTCTTGAGCAACATGAAGATGAGTAGATGCAGGTTTCTTTCGTCGTCTGGTACTGGTTGTATTCATCGTAAGGTTTTAGCAAGCATCGTAATCGTTACCTTTCTGTTTCTGAATATGTGGTTCTATATATTTGCATCTATTCGTAATGACTTTAAGGCTTTATCCATCTTTGAAGATGTTCTTGATGGTAGATGACCTCGATTCTTGATGTGGAACACAAGGAAGTGTCGATGTAGGTACAACTTCCAACGTTTACCCGCCAACTAGAAGACGCACATCATAGCGTCAAGAATCCAGACGAGACCAAGTATTTTTGATGAAAGAATAATGACGAAACAATTAGATTAAGTGACTGTTCTTATGATATCGGCTCCTCTAATGAAGCTAGTGATGTGGACTTGTCTACTACAACCGGCTCTCTGTCCGCTTCTTTATCCGCTTCCTCGGCTAGCAGTCATGCACATGGAGCATCCAGAAACAAGAATGGTGTTGATGCTGGTGCAATCCCCAAATGGAAAAAGAAAGAGAAACAGTCACCACCAACATCTGCGACGGCGTCCAAGAATATGGAGTATCACATGCAGTTCATCGATCCACATCAAAGCGACGAAATAGAACTGCAGATGGACAAAGACGAGTCGAAGAGTACAGACGATAGCAGTGAGATGAATGCAACTCCTAGTCGTGCTCCATCTACAACATCGACTGCAAGATCGTCAGAAGAAGAATCTGCCACCTCCAAGAGCCGAAAACGCACATCATCATTTATGAAATAACTCCTCGTGGAACAAGTCCCGCTCCCGTCCCAGTGGATCTACTGAATGTGACTTTTTTCCAACAATATATAATCTTTTTCCATACAATGATAATATCGTCACACCATTCCTCAATAGATTTAGGTTGAATACTAGAAAATGACGCGTCGTGAAACGCCTAATGGTAGATGCCGCTGAAGATTCTAATCTATCAGCAGTTATCTTTTAGCTTCACTCTTTTTACATGCTTGCATAAAAAATAGAGAAGTAACACTGTGATAGTGTCAGCGCCTTTTCTTCAGTCACTGACAACGTTGTGGATTTCTTAAGTTTTACCTATGAAGATACAGGAGCAATAATTCTTGTTAAGTCTTGCTTATGTTCAAAATACAGGAGGAGATGAATTCGTTCCCACCCTAAATAATTTCGTTTTGAATACTAGCCTGGAGCGCCCGACAACACCCCCCCGCGCTAGGATTCCCCTCCTCCCAGAGTAACCCACGGAGCACGCGGCTCGCCTGGAATTCAACTTCTTGGATTTGAATTACTCAAATCCAAAAATTTGCGACTTTCGCAAGTCTTTTCGAAATTCAACATCTTGGGCCTGAATTTCTCAAATCGAAAAGTTTACGACTTTAGCGGGTTTTTCTGAAATTCAGGCGCGCTCTTGGATTTGATTCGTAGGCCTAATTTCTTGGGTTTGAATTCCTCAAATCCCTAAGTTTTTGACTCTAACAGGTTTTGTCGAGATTCGCCCTCTTCCTTGGATTTGTTTCGCAAGCCCATAAGTTTAGAAGTTCAGAAATGCGCAAGTTCGTAGGTTCATAAGTGTAAGCCCAATTTCTTGGATTTGAATTCCTCAAATCCCAAAATTTTTGATTTTGGCAAGTTTTGCCGAGATTCAATCTCTTTGATTTGATTCGCAAGCCCATAAGTTCAGAAGTTCAGAAGTGCGCAAGTTTATAAGTTTATAAGTGTAGGCCCAGCTTCTTGTATTTGAAGTCCTCAAATCCCAAAGTTTTTGATTTTAGCGAGTTTTGCTGAGATTCAATCCCTTGGATTTGATTTGCAAGCCCATACGAATTCATAAATTCGTAAACTCGTAAACTCATTACTTTAATATAAATTCATAAACTCACAAATTCGTCAATTCCTAATTTCGTAAATTCAATCATAAATTCATAAGTTCATAAGTTCCAGAAGTTTAGAAGTTCTTAAGTTTATAAGTTCCTAAGTTTAGAAGTTTGGGCTTTGGAAGTGGGTGAGTGAGAGTTTGGCGGGGTGGTTGTTGTTCTTTTTTAATTTAGCTCTTTAATATTCCACCCACTGGACCCCTCTTCATAGAACCAGGAGGCAATAAAGGCGAAACGCTCCGCTACGATAATCTTGTGAAGCATGAAGCGAGGACGCTAACGGCGAGCACAGCGACCCTAGGATCACTATGCGGCACCACCTCACGGGACGCCTATGTTGTAGATTTGCAACATGTTCAGTAATAGAGCAGGAAACTTCTTCAAGAACAGGTGGAGGAAGACGAGGAGGAGGTTGTACTCATTTCAATGAGACGTGTTTAGTACTAAGACTAACAGATCAGGGTCGGGCTCTGATCGAAGTTCTTCTTTCCTATTGTTGTTGCGCCAACAATAATACAACCTAAGTACTGGCTTTCTCTTCTTGATCAACTACAACTAGAAGATAACAAAGTAATTGCATGTAGGAACTATAACGAACAAAACTCGACTAAGCCTAGAAATTCAAGATCAATGAATATTATCAAGACACTCATTTGTATTTGAACTGACTGACTGAGAGTCTATTTATGTAATTAACTGAGATTGGCTAAATAATCTAGGTTATCGTTCTCCACATTATAAAGACTCATGTATCGGAAAACAGTGACTATGTGCAAATTCTCGTATAACTACTACCATTCAAATTCATGACGAGCGACTACAATACATCTTTCAAGAAAGAATGTAAACAGCAAGTGTTAACAGACAGAAATAGTCAATACACGAGTTTATCAATAATTGGGCGTCTTATTCGCCTCATGTACGCCTTCGCCTTCGACATCTTAAATATTTCTCCGCCCCTGGTGGGGAGGGAGACAAGTGCCTCTGAGAGGACAAACGCCCGCCCCTGGTGGGACGAGGTGCCGCCACCTCTGAGAGGGGGCGCGGGAGTTACGCGCTCAGCGTCCCGGCGGGACACGATGAGGCGCCGCAACGCGAGAGGTGCGCCGCGATTGGTGCGCAGCATTGGGGAGGCTGGGACGCGTGGAGCCCCTTTCTGTGCCTACGTGGGGGATACTGGGAAAGCGCTTCGATATTATTCCTCCATACTGGGACTGGCGTGGCTGCTCGATGGTTATTCCTCCGGTGATGGAAGAGAACGAAAGAGAGACTGCCAGCCCGGGGCGTTCTCCTCCATTGCGTGCCAGGGCCTTCGCTCTTCCGATGAGATGAACCGCCAACGGCGCAGCAGGGGCGGGGGGCGCGTTGGCTTCCGTTCTTACTGTCTTCTGACTCTGAGCGTTCAAGTTGAGGAAAGCCCCACAGCCTCGGCAGGCCGGTGCCGCCTCGTTTTCTTCCAAAGAAAGGCAAACGCCGAAGCGTGCGGCTGACTTCTACAGATATGATATACTGTGCTCGAGAGCACCCATCTGGACTCTCAGGGTTTCCCCCCGTAGGCGTAGAGCTGCGACGACGAGAGAGCGAGTTTATGCTCTCCGTCACTCGACGCAACGCGTGTCGAATCCCCCCGCCCGCGGCCTTCCACTCCTTGCGCACTCCGCAGGGGTGCCAGGTGAAGACATCAGTCGCACCCCGCTGCTGACCGGAGTGCAGGCAGTGCCGTGCAGCGGCGCCCTGGCTTGGAGAAGGACCAAACTGCCCCGCGGGCGTGTTCCTTCCCTCTTCGTCTTCTTCGCCTCCGTCGGGCGAGGCGTTGCGACCCAGCGGACGCCACTCGCTGCAATTCGTGGCTGGGCCTGGGCCCTTGGCTGTAGTGGCTGGCCCTCACGAGACGCGCTTCGCTATTGCGCCTCCGCTGCTATAATTATCGTGGGCGCGCGAGAAGCTGCGGCCTCGTCCTAGCCGAAACGCACACCGGCCGCATGCTGCATGTGTACAGGCTGCCTCGGAGAGCGTTCCCACGTCGAGGAGGTTAAACAGTAGCACCCGAGGGACCGGCTCGGCGCTGTGGGTGACGGACGCGCAGAGTCTGAATGTCTCGAGGAACCCCAGGAAGGCCACGGAAGGTGCTGGCCGCCTGACCGTCTGGGGAACCCCTCCGATAATAATAATCTTAAATATTTCCAGAAGGTGAAGGTTCTTTGTAGAAATCTTCTACTAGAGTCAAGTTTGCAATGTATTTATTGTAATATTTTGATTAGCAACTACTTACTCAAAATCATCAAAGAAACTTCTACTACAGGTATATCAATGAATTATACGGCTATAGTGTTACTGAAATACAGATTCGTAGAAAGGAAAATCATATCGCGCATGCGCAACATAAACTATCATTGCACTTCATCGTTCTTCGACAATTGCTAGTACCACAGCAACCAACAACCAAAAAACGTAATCTTCATCAAGAATGGGAAAACTTGTAACAAAAATAGTTGGGAGTGATAGCGTCGGCGTGTCGGCATATAAAATGAGATTGGAAATAGTATGTATACGCAAGCCTTAAGCTGCAGCTGACCAACAAGAAAACGTCGATTGAAGTAAAATTTATATGGGCATCTACTGCAAAAGAAGAGAAGTTGTAACTAATTACCGTGCCGAGGTGGATTCAGTAAGGATCAGAGGGTGCGTTCCTTCTACAAGAACAAAGAGCGTCTTCTGCAGATACTAGGCGATAGCCTCGGTGGTCATAGCTTGTTTCCCGAGCACGACCGGGGACCATTGAAGATACTCGGTCATAAACGAAAAGTATATGTAAGCCTGCACCCATCATCCTAGGAGTCGAGCAGGTGCCGGTGGGGCTCGATGTGCAGCATCCATAACCTAGCCTAACCTAACCCGAAGAGAATAAGAGGTCGGCCACATCGGTCGAACGAAAAGACTATAATGTGAGGGTGAACTCAACATCTTCGCTGACATTGTCTTAATATTGGAGAATCGAGACGAGAACAACACGAACGACAACGAACACGCGGTCGTCTGTAGACTATTATTTCTCTTCGGTGGAGCGCATTCATGTTCATCTTCATCTGTCCAATTTCGGATTTCGCTTGTTGTCATTGACCCAGACCCTGGACTGCTTTTGCTTCACGTTCACGGATTGTCGAGGTTAATGCAAAAGGAGTAAATCTCCATCTGATCCTGATGCTAGAAAAAGTATCTTCATCATCATCTATACAACAATGACAATTTCTCTCAATCTATAATTTAACGCCGCAGGTAGAAGTTGTCTATCCGCCAAAACTAGGAAGCAAACAGTACTGCCCCCCTGCCCATTAGTCTTGGTCGAAAAAATAATTTCAGAAGAAGCTCACCAATATGAAAAGACGGCGAGGGCCGCCTACCTGGTTACCCACCGGGTAGGCCGTGGCACGAACTATTTACTCTCCATCATGTGCTATTGGTAGCAGGTCGCCTTCACGCTCACTGCGACTTGTGAGGGTACGAAACTTTTTTCCGGTTGCCACATCGATTTCCTTGCGATTGTGCCGGGAAACCGTCGTGTTGACATTTAAAGCGGCGTCATAACCCTAACCAGCGACTGGCTGAGAGAATTTCAGCACGACAGCGACGGGCGCGTGCATTTCTTAGCGACTCAAAGCACATCTCCTTCAGGATCCTGAAACAAAACGACGTCGAAGATCGTTTTTTCTCAACATCAACAGCTTCACCCAGAAGCTGCAAGAACAACAACACTTCTCGGCTAGTGTGCTGCAACTCAGGAAAGCGGCCACGCGAAAAAAACGATGTCGAGGTCGACAACATACTAACACAATACACATCTTCCTAGAACAAAAGGACAACGCTTTCGATATCACAAGCGGTGCCTCCACAACGAGCAATAGCTGAGTATGATTGCCGAGTAGAGGGCGAGGTAGATGATGGCTTAGAAAAGGCAACAGAAACTGAAACGACATCAACTAGACGAAGTTACTACTTAGTACCAACCTGTGCACTTCTACTTCTTAGTAGTCGCCATCGCCAAATACAACTAACTGCAGGACTGAAAAAGCACCAGAGAAAAAAGCAACAGAGGCAGGTGGAGGGACCCTAGTTGTAGCAAGAAGAGCGGATAACAAGGTTTGGAACAAGATGCCGCAGATCTCAGACGCTCTGGAGAAGAGGCTCGCGGCCTTTTTCGACGTCTATGATATTGACGGGAATGGGGACATCGATATATCCGAATTTAACAAAATTGAGGTGCGGTTAGAGGTCCAATCGACAGAAGGAAATCAGATATGGGGTCTAGCAGCGATGGATGCGGATTCAGCGGACGGCGGAACGATCCTATTTCCGACGTTTCGTAAGAAACATCTTCAAGAAGATCTTTTTCATGAAGATTCTTCTTCTAGCTTTTATTGTATTCCTTGCAACTCAATCTACCAAGTCCTCAATGTTTTAGCTTTTCTTTTTCAGGATCCACGCAACGATCATGAACAGAGCTAAGTCTAAGTTAGCACATGAATACCCCCTAGTTTTTTCTTTTACTTTACGCATTGCCATTGTTTGTAATTGTTTTTTTCCAACACTTCAATTACCAGGCACGCGAATGTTGAGGGTAATGCACATGGCGTCGCTTCCCGAGGAGATTTTTATAAGGAAAATCAACGAGCGCATAAGCCTCATAATAAGCGAGAGGAAATTGATGGGTCTGACTTATCACTACGGCGTACGATGTATGATCCAAAAACTTTTCCGGGCCTTTGATGCGGATCGTATCAATATAATTTTCTGAATATCTTCTGTGACGACTACGACATGTGCTCCTTTTTTGTGACTTCTTTTGATTGATTACGATCAGTAACTTTCATGTTGTTTCTGCATCTTTCTTATGGTACTTTGCCGTCGCAGTCGCTGGCACTGTTCGTTGTATTTTTAAGTAGAGCAGCAGCAGCCTATGCAACATCATGCAGTGAGTACTTCTACTTACTACTTTTTTGCAGATGGTGGCGAGATTGAAGCGGAGGAGTGGATGATTGCAACGAAAGTGGTCGCAAGTGGGCTGACGGAGAAGAGCGGGATACCAATTGATACTGCAAAGTATCACGGAGCTGATGAAAGTGGAGATGGTAAACTGTTTATTTCTTAAGTTATTTTGATGAAACAAGGGGAGATCGAGATGCTGGTACAGTTTTTAGGTTGTTTGACGAAAACAGTGGTCAGTGGTGGAGGAGGACGTCGTGGTACAGTTTTTTGTTCTGGCATGATGATGATACATCCTTATCGAGCTGACGAAAATAAGTCTACATGGTCTGCAGTTTGTAGATCTGACAACATGAACTACCTCCCTTTCTCCAGGTAGCATTGATCCGGATGAGTTCATGCAGTTTATGTATGAGGTTTTAGCTCCCATTGGCGAAAAATTCAGTGGTGATGAAATTGAGGAAATGCTGAAACATGTGCATAGCATTGTGCCACACGGAGTAGCCGAGCGCATGATCAGGATACCTGTCTATTCCGCTTTCCCGGATGTCATTCTCAATAGGAAAAATGTAATTTTTTCTGTTTATAATTAATTAGCGTCACTCACTTTTGTCGTAGTTCTTTGGAGTGCCACAAGCTGGAGTCTGGGATGCTGATTTGCAATGTATGATACTGAAATCAAATGCAAAAAGTTTCATCACCATCTACTGCGTACATCTTCAAGAACTTCATCATGTTGATCATTCCCTTAATTCTGATCGGCTTTTTTTTACGACATCATACAAACGCCAAGTATCATGTATTACTCAAGAAAGGACTTTTTTCGACTTTCATCCAATCTATCAAACGACTTTCCTCTTCCACTTCTCTGCAGGAATGGCAGCATCCTAATCAGAAGGCGAAGAGCACGGACGGTTGGGCGGAAGTGATTGAGTTAGCTATCGATCCCATCGTCATGAAAACGAGCTCGGACATCAAGGAAATGATGAATATGAAGCTGAATTTGCCATATGCAACCGAGATGACAGTACTTCCTTTGATTTTGATGCCTTTGCTTTTGCTCGCTTCCTTCGTCGAGGACTCGTGGACCATGCATGATCCCTGCGCTTGATTTTAGAGTAGAGAGATGTACTAGTGAGAATCGATTTTCTGACACAACCAATATATACTACTAAATCATCATGTTTCACTTTCATCATCTAGACGAAATTTGTTATCGGATCGTTTGTAAAAAACTGCCACATGATTCACGCGGCAATCGAAGTTTCTTATTCTATCCCTCTCAGATATTCTGGAAGAAGAGCGTAAATGACATGCAGTTTCAGCTGTTGCCTGACGGGGGTGAGGAGTTTAGGCTCGTTTGGAAGGATATGCAGAAGTCGACGGGAGTGAAACAACTCTGGGTGAAAAACCTGCGCGTTGCGCCGCTCCTAGACGGTTGCAAGAAGGTTGAAGTCATCACCGACGAGGCACAGATAGAGGAGATACAAAAGAAGATGAGCGGTACACTTCAAGTAGAAGAACTAGATGCGTGTCTTCTTTACCTCTACGTCTACGTCATGTTCGAATCAATTCAGTAATTTGAATCGATTTGGACAGCTAAGAGAACGACGTGGTGATGAATTTGTTGCTTTTATTCCACAATGATTTTGCGGAATCAAAAACAGGGCAACGAGCTGGCGTGCTTGACTTCGAAGATTTGGTCCATAAGCAGCGTGACTACCCGATAAAGGGCACAATGAGAGTGGGACTCGGGGAGAGCATTATGTGCGAGTTTCCCGGAAGTAACACGAATCAAAAGTATCCCTATCGTGTCGAAGCCTACGTCCGCGGGACGGACTTAATAACCGGCGTCGTCGAGGAGAAGCTAGAAAAAGCCGTTAAGAAAGGTACTCGTACTAGAAGAAGTATAGCTATGATCATGCCTGTGTTTGTGACCCTGAGGACCATGATTGAATTTGAAAGAATGATAATAAGTTAATCTCATTTATATTAGATATGAATATATTGTGGCGGCAGACCTATGGTTATACAACAAGGCTGGCGCTAGTGTTGGCTTTGGGTATTCTGCTGCGGCTTCCGTGCGAGGGTTTTAAGGTTCGCACTAGATATACATATAAAGTAGCCAGGGCCCTCCTCTCTGGTTGTGGGTTTATTTGGTGAACCGGTACCCCATAGCGAATAAACATGCGCACACAACCAGAGAGCTGAGCACTCGCCGGAGGCGTTGCGAAGGGCTCCGGCCTGCCTTCGGAGGTGAGACCTATGGGGCTGACAGGACGACGATAGCGCCGGCGCTTCATTAGTTTTAGCAGATAGGAGGATACTTGGCGATAGTTGCCCTTTACCTTTTCTCTTTTCTTCTATCTTTCTCGAGTCTTTCTTTTTTCTAGTTAGGTCGGCTCCGCCACATATATTATGAATATTTATAAGGCACCGTGGAGCAGTTTGTTATTATTTTTTCAAACTACTGAAGATTACAACAAGATTCTTGACTTCTACTTACACCTTTACACAACCACGTATGCTAGGTCCTCCAGCGGATTACACATTGCGGTGGTCTTTCGTTGGCGAGGGAAAAGTCGGGGAGGCTAAGATAATCGTGGAAGTTGGATGGGACAACTTCGAGCCAGAAATCGATCTAGAGGGCGGAAGCAACCCATACCGGAACGAGACGGTTTTCCAGTTCATCGCTGATGTCATATGCACCGACGAGGTGCCGAAGCCCGGCGTAAAGACGAATGTCTATTGGCATGGGCTTATCTGGGATGGGACACAAACCAAGGCAACTAAACCCAAATAAGAGTACCCTTCGTCAATACTTCTTTTTCGGTGCCTAAAATTAATGTCTGCAAGCTTCAAGAAGTTCAATCTCCTCGTGTAACCTGTATATCGATTTACGATTACGACGTGTACAGACACCGGTGCTGATGCAGAACCAGAAGAAATAACCTACTTAATGTTACTCACTTCTATTTTTTCTCTTACGTGAACAACGATGCTACAAAATGATAAACTCCAATACTTCAAATATAACGACAGTACACATGACGCAATAAGAGCTATTCGTGATAATTTAAGCTTCTCAAACAACGACCGTGTCCAAAATCGATAACTGTTAGTTGCAACTCACTCTTTGTCTTTCTACTCTGTCTCTCGTCTTTGACGATGAGTAGAATGTTCTAGCAAGAGCAAAGGCTAGGACAGAAAAAAGATCGACGCGTTTGCACAAGACGAGACAAGGATGAAGATGGACTTGAACTAGGGACGACACATATTTATAAGTAAGTAAAATTAACATAGTGTTGGCGATAGGTATCTAAGTAGGAATACAATTGCAACTAGACCTAGAATCAAAATGTGTATGTGATTTCATGTTATTCCTACACACAACCTATACCTAACCTAACCTTCCTCGCTTTCACTACACGACTCACGGCCACCAGGAGTCCTAAGCCCACCAGGAGCATCATTTCAAAGTCTATACTACAACCCGCTCTGTTGCATTAACAAGCGCAGACCACTCGGTATTTGTCCCTTCAAGATACAGCAGACCCCTCGCCCGCGTAGATCATATCAACATGAAGATGCAACACAACAAATACTATGAGATTCTGCATACAAAGCTACATTATCAAGGCTCATCTAGTGAGCTGGAAGCTTGATGAAGATGTAGACGTTGTCGTTGATACATAAACATCATCGATATACTGCTTCATCGCGCGAATGTGTTCGTTGCGATTGCGAAGGGCAAGAAGGGATCGCATTTTTGAAGATGCGACTGTCGATGAAGATGATCATGATCTCTGAAAGATTCGAGATGAGGTCTTCTGCAGCTCAAACTTTCTACGGGACGTCGAGTATGGATGTCTGCGTTTCTCTTCAGCCCATCTTCATGGGAAAAATGATGCTGAACAACGACCTCCGGCTTCATAGAAGGTGTAGGAACTACACCGCTCAGAAAAAATCAACACTGCTTCTTTGAAGACCAAGTCCCAAGCAGGTGAACATCGCGTGACGATCATCAAGAATTAATGTTGGCAAGAAACATCTTTCTGACTGATAAAAATAAGTGAATGAAGGTAGACCTCCTCTCGTATGAATGATCACGAATTGGGAACGCTAGCCTTCGTGCTTTAAATTTCCCGCCCTCCCTTCCCTTAAAGTTTTCTAGTGAGCGTACGTAGGTATCGGCTCGGTGGCTTTGATTTTGTGCAGATCTTACCCTAGTATTTTCTTCTGGCCATCTTCCGACGGCCTCTGGGCCGCTCTAACTGAGTGATCGCAGTTTTATGGTTGGCTGATGTTTTCCTGAAGAATTGCTGCTGCTGCTGTATTTGTTGTTCGTTCCCGTCGCCTGTCCGGGGAGAAGTCAATCGCAGAAGTGATCCTCGAACGACGAAGAAGCACGTGGAAACCCTCTCGCTATCTCGCCTACTTCAAGCATCAGCCGTTTTGCGCGCATGCCTTGTTCGCCTTTCATCTGCGATCAACGACGCGGTTTCTCCTGCGTCCTTTGTGGCTGGTCACGCTGGGAGCAGCTCGAAAAAAGATTGCAGGACTGCTCGTTAGAATGCCCATTAAAATAGAGGCTAGCACTGGAGGACGACAGGATCCGCTTCATATTGATGTTCTCATATTTCTGCACGAGCTACCTCAAGACTTCCTTGTCAACAAGAAATTGAAATGATCACCATGTTTAAGTTTATATCATAGCGCGCATTCCATTTCCATATCTATCATGTTTCTGCGAACTTGATACATCACTTCTGCTCAGAACAATCAATCAAACCCAACACTGTAGGACACTAGCTTTCCTTGAGACAATATTCTTCCGACTTCCAAGAAAATAAGCCTCGCCGGCCCTAATTGATCGCTGTATGGGCGAAGCATTTACTTTTACCTAAGTAAAAAAATGATCATACAGATACTATTTGTCAACATGTCGATGAACTATTAACATGGTTTTGTCGCTGTGCAAACATATGTACAACAAGCTCGAACAAGGAAAGAGCATGTGTGCAATCCAGCATTAACATCAACACTTTGTGTTTGAGCACTTGGCGTAATCAGCTTCCACCTAGTGATTTTCGTGTCAGATCATCATTCCACTTTTTAATGAGTAATGTTATTACTTGTACTTTTTTGAAAGGAACGAAGATGGCGCTGACGCACCACAGGCTAGGGTAAAGGGAAGGTGACGAAGCCACCGCGAGCATAAACATCCTCGTGAATAAAAGTACCAGTAGCAGTACTAGTCCGAAACGGCGACAACACCTTCTCGTCACGTTTTCAGAAGTTGTCTCCCTTCATCCGTATCTTCGTTTGTTTGGTTTTATTTGTAGAATATAAATGTTAATTATGTTACATTACAAGCGTCTGCTTGTGCTTGTGGTTGTGCTTTCGGTTATTTCATCTACATTTAGTTCAGGTTCATCACTCAAATCCAAATGTACTATGATAACGTAGGTTCTTGGTACAGCTGCAACAAGTTAAAGTAAGTCCAAGTCGACACAGATCCACACTGCCCTTGACAAGGATCCACGACCTATTCAACATTCTACTAAGAGTCACGACCACGTCGATTATGCACTTGGTTGTATTTTCTCCAGCACTGTAACAGTATGATAAAATCTTCTGGCACTATGTAAATACAAATACTTACATACAAGAGGACTCGGACGAAACCACGGAGAACAAGAACACCTATGTCTCCGAGAGGCTTATTGAGTTTGAGAGACCGTATATTATGGGCGAGGCGGTGCGTGTGCGCAGTGCTACACCTGATATGCTGATGGATTGAGCGGAGGTCTGAAACTGAATTTCGAGCGAGCTCGAGCGAGATTCAAGTCCGAGGACGACGAGAGGAATCACAAATAATAATCTTTTAGAGAAGATACTGATGCTGCATCGGTAGTACATATAGATGTACTGTTAAGCATCTTCTATTGATCTATTTATTAATTAATGTAATGTTCGTAGTCATACGAGTTCGAGTACGAGTAGGACCAATACGATTATCACCTGAGTTGTCCTCTTCCAAGAATTATCATTTCACAAGCGTGATGGTCATATTACTTTTTTGGGTAAATTGTTGTGTCTAGGACAACAAAGATACCCTGGGAGAACCTACCTCGTAGGAGAGCACTTTTGAATTCCAGCATGAAATTCTCCCAAATCGTAGGAGTAGGTATTGTGTAGGGATTCTACTTCTTGGGCAACAAAGTTTTGTCAAGTAGAAGAGCCACAGTCATGTTGTTATACAAAGCTATACACACTACGCCACAGCCACTGCCCACATCCACAACTATCTAAGAGAGAGATCACTTTCTTCGTTCCGCGTCAGTATTGAAAAAGAATGAAGACCTATCTATGATTCATGTTGTCCATGATATCAACTACAATTAAACAATTTGAAGTAATTGAACTTGTACTAAAAACAACTGTACTATGTATAGGTTCTTTGTCACCAACTTCTAGATCATCGGACACTGTCTTCTACCATAATTGGTTCTATATTTTTCCCCATGAAATTTATTCAATTGATGAAAATTTTTTATAGTTCAACCATCGTCTTATCTTCAGGCAAGTAATCTATTAAGTAATATCGAACACGAAAATACATTTACATTCTTGTGTGTGGGTAATCTTATTTCCATAATTAGTTCCTGCTCCTCCTCGAGCTCTATCCTAGTAAGCTTTAAGGTTAAGCATCAACAACATCCCCGCCGAAAACACGATCAAAGAACACATATTAGCACTCGCAGAAGGACACCAGCGTGGTCTCCCGGAAGCTCTTGGATCCACGACCAGGATTGGCTGAGATTCGACAAGCTGATAGTCTAATCGATTGCTTCATCACCGATTTCCAACACGACATCATCTACAACCACTTAGCTGCAGCTAGGTCTCGGCCACTATTCGAAGTACTTCTCTTCTACTGAGGAAGTAGTAATTCGTGCCGTCGCGGCGGTCTAGAACGCATTGACCAGGAGGAGCCTCATCCAAGACGAGCATCGCCCAACAGAAACAAGTCAGTGTACTCTCGATAAGAAAGCAGCATCTTGCTTTTCGGAGGTTCTTCTTGAAGGTTGAGGTAGTGGATTCGTTCTTCAACACGAGCGCGATAATGTCGTCCGAAGGAGCCGCTGGAACTTCCAGTTTTTTAAGGCTACGAAAATACTTGATCTGCTTGTGGTTCTGGTGTAGTAAGTATGTAAGTGAACAAAGATAGATTATCATCTTCTCTATTTCCACAAGTAGCCCGTGCTCAGGTGCGTGGGTGCGGCGGAGGCTCCCCGAATCTTCTGAATCTCTCAGTCACCAGAACGTCGGTCAGGTAAATGAAATATATAAGAACGAAGCAAGAAGAAGAACGAAGAGCTGCTCTAACTCTACTCGGTAGCATGGACTTTTGGACGGTTGGGATTCAAGTCGCCTTAGTAGCGCTCAATTTGTTTCTCTTCTTCCGATGGGGACTTTGGCCTCGCACCCCCGCTCCGCCGACAGCAACAAACCACGGAGGGAATAAAAAAGTATAAATCGTCCATAGAGATAGTGGCTCGCTGTCGCTCTGAGTAAGAAAAAGAAAATTTTATTGATGAAATTTTTGAATGGTCGAAGTGGTGATATGCCAACATGATCTGCATGTGCAAATGGATGATGAAGAAACTGAAATTTGTATCTTCTGCAGTGTCCTCGTCCTCTCGTATTTCCTGCATCACTGCGATGAAGGAGTTGTTGCAATAAGTTAGAAGAAATGACTTGTGTCTAAAAACTGCAATGAGTGCAACGTACTAGAAATCATACACACAGACACTACTACAACCACTCACGACCGACCAGGACGACACGAAGGGAAGCGTCGGCCTCGTGATCGCGCATCCAGATGACGAGGTGATGTTTTTCTTGCCAACCGTTCTGAACCTTCTGGAAAAAGGCAACGTAGCCCTTCATGTACTGTGTCTTACCAACGGGAATTTCGATGGTTTAGGTGCGATTCGGGAACGGGAAATGCATGCGTCAGCGAATAAACTCGGATTTGCATCTTGTACAATTGTTATGCTCCAAAAATTTTGCAGCGTAGCCTTAGGCTTAGCGTGCTTATACTCAAACTCAATCTCAAAATCATAATCAGGAGGTGAGCTACATATTGTCTTTATCATAAGTTTATTTTGTAGCAGTAGTAAGCGTATGACTCAATGGGAGGTACTCATCCCTGGCACGACTGCCATATCGATTGAGCTTGACGACCACCCTAAAAAGAATAACGTAGTTGATGTCGAGTTGTATTGATTGCCTTTTTTAATAGATGGAATGATGGCGGAACAAGTTGCTGCTTTTCGCTCATTTGGACCAGTCTAATTTTACCAATTTCGTGGATGGAGCGCTGGGTGGAAACGGCATGGCTGCTTTGGAGGCAGTTATGGATTGTAAGCTAGCGCCTTCATGTTTGCACCATTAGCTTCCTCTCTTCCTCGACGCCATGAAACGTCCCTCAACATGAAACGACGGAGTTGCTGCTCCTATGATCATGAAGCTAGTTTCGATCATGATCTGGTTTGCTCAGTGCCATCGTTATCGAGCTCATCACGACGCACCACGACCACGTCTACTCCTCCTGTCGTTGATGTCTTCAAAGTATCTCTATAAGATATGATTGTTGATTCTAACTCTAAGTACTTCTGATCTTCACACACCTCCAGGTGTGCAAAAATTTGCGGTTTCGAAAGAGCTCAGCGCGATCTTGACTTTTGATGAGGAAGGGGTGTCGGGTCACCGAGACCACAAAGCCTGTTGTTCTGCGGTAAAGACGTTGTTACTCTCCGGTCGGACACCGCGAGTTTCCCACTATGGTTTTTTACGGACAGTGTCGATTGCCCGAAAGTTTCTGGGAATTTTCGAATTTTTTTTGGTGGAGTACTTCGAAAAATTTCTCTTCGGTGCCGCAAAGGAAACTAATGACACACAGCAGGATGGTGAGTCAATAACAGGTACCACATCTACCTCTAACGGGATTTCCTCTACATGTAGTGTATCCGAATTTCACCTGTACGTAACAGTGTTCAGGAGGCGGAGCAGCAGAAAATTTTTTTGTACAAATTTCTTCCTACAACATCATCCTCAGGAGGCTCTCCTGGCGAATGTTCGAGCTTTTTTACTTGGGAGGCTATTCAGATAGGAGGAGACCATCATGGCGGATTCTCGGGTACGAGTGCAAAAGAAAATCAAAAGGTCTGCACAGGAGCATCAAAATCTAAGTTGGTCCCAGCTCCCATGCATTATTACGTGCACTTGGCGTGCTTTTGTCTCGGGGCTATCCAGCACATGCTCACGCATAAATCGCAGATGGTTTGGTTTCGTTATCTCTGGTGTGTTTTTTCGACCTATTTTCTGGTGAATAAGGTCGTCTGGGTTACTGGCGATTCCGTATGGTCACCCGAACAAATCAAGCGGGCGCGTGATGAGCAACAGAAGTTACTGAACAATAAAAAAGTGAATCTTAACCACAAGAACCTCCACGATGAGGACAATGAGCCAACGAGAACGACACCCCCGAATAAAGCCTCGATGTATACGGCAGACGAAGGTCTCTCAACGTCAACGCGAGAACAAGAAGGGGGATTACGTGACTACGCAGTAAGCGACAAAATGGCAAACCAACGGCGTCAGATCCCAAACGAGCGTGATCTTTCTGCTTTTCAGGTGACGCCCTGTGGCACCACTGGCGCGGATAAAGAGCAGTATACTGTGGTAGGATGCAGCACCAGTGGCAGCGAAGATCTTCGGCTGAAAAATGTAGTTGCTAGAGCAGGTGAGGAGCGCAGAACTTTGGCTTCCGGACACGAACTGGAAGGTGTTGATCTAAACATGCTTTGTCATCAAGACCGTGAATATGCTGCTCATCTTCAACATGAGGAACTTTCTGGACGCGGCCACCTCGAGGAGAATCTCAGCGAGCTGGAAGTTTCAACAACGGAGAGCACTATCGATACGGAGATGGATTTGACGGATGTGAGCACAACAATATTCACGCCGTCTTCTTATAGTACTAGGGAAGGAGGTAGAGGTAGACGAATGTCTCGTATGAGCGGCATTTCGCTCAGCAGCAGCTCTCGGATCAGCACTTCACAAACGCCATTGCACCATCTACACGGCACACCTTCAGACGCTACAAAGGATGATATGACGACCATGACCCCACCACGAGGCGGCTCATTACATACTGGCGCTGTAGGAGGCTCGTGCACGACCACGACTGAAGGTACTAGAAGTTTCGCCAAAGACTTAGAACGAGATCTTGAACGAGAAGGTCAAGGAGCTAAAAAGGCCTCGCTTTTAGAAGGTGGGATTCATCAGAGAGACGAAGATCTTCAAAAGCCCGCAGCAGGGAAGCAGCTTGTCGACAACAAGCAACAGCAAGAAAAAGATTGCTTAGAAGACGGCCGTAGCCGAGACCGTAGTAATGAAGACGAGGCCGAAGCCACCGTTGTGGATTCGAATCATGCGAACATGGAAGAAATGGTGGCTCTTCCTTTTTCTGCGAAAACGACTATGATGATCGACTGTGAGCAGTCGCAGGAAGTTGTAGCAGCGGCCTTGCCAGACAGAGACAGTTATAAAGCACCACCTTCGTCCACCACTTCGTCTTCGGTGGTAGGTGGGATCCCTGCTAGTATGACAGGAAGTGCTGCCACAACAAAGAAATCGAGAAAACGAGCAGCGAAGGCGAACCGAGAGCGAGGCGCTAAGGCAAAGCAGGCCCAAGAGATGCATATGGAGATGCAACGAGCACGTGACTGTGAGACAAAAAAACTCGAAGATGAAAATCAAGACCCTGAGCGATTCGCTAGTGAACAAGAGAAACAAGCTGAAGAAGCTACTCGCAGCATCAACTCGACACACGGACGAGGAGGAGAAGCAATTGCAGAGCGAGCGCGAAAAAACCAGAAACACAACAACATCAAGACTGAAACAGGAACGACACTGACGAAAATGCAGGACCGTCCACTAGCTGGAGGCATTGAAGGCGAAGTAGACGACGAGGCTTTCCCCTCTGAGCGACAGACAGGATCAGCTTGCGCTGGTGTCGGTAAAACTATTACTGGGAGCGAACAGCAACAGGCACAGGAAGTAGGAATCACAGCCACAGGAGGAGAAGATGACATGATATTGACTCCGCCAGGATCGTTTACCACGAGGAAAAATGCGTTTGCAGTACAGCACAGAGGAGCAGGGAACAAAAACACTAACAACTTGTTTAAGGCTCCACCTTAATGATCCATCTCGAACTTACAACTAGAGGTATCAAGTAATCCGAATCAGAAGAAGCACATTATATATAAATATATGCATAGCTCATTTGACTGACTTTCCAGAGGGAAAGGAGCCAGCCCCTAGCGCTAGTACAAACACAGAAAGTGATTTTTCTTTTTGAGTACAAATTCTAGTAAGTGAATTTATTCGGGATGAAGACCTTCTACTTCTAGATCTAATGCCAACGACAACGTGAAGGTTTCATCACATCAATGCTCAACAAGTCCTCTGCTGGACAAAACTAGCCCACATAGTTGTATCGGTGACGCCATGTCTCCGGGATTTTGCGACGTCTCCAGCATTCACGAGGATTCGTTGATCGATTTGGTAGAACATCTTTCGCCGAGTACGAAGGGCGCGCGACCTCCGCAGGTACTGGACTCGATAGACGAAATCAAACAACACCACCCACCAGACGGATGCGACCAGGACGAGTTTGATCTTCATGATGCAGGTGAAGATCTTTGTCCTCAGGACTACGTATTGAGGACGCCGTCACCGATTTCTCGTGCTGGGGCCGAACAAGTTCTGGCGGCTGTGGCTGGTGTCTCGAAAAAGAATAGTAAGTCTTCGAAAATGATGAAGTGGAGGAACAAACAACAAGCTTCTTTAGCTCGTACACCGCGCGGTGCGTCAACAGACGTGGTCTCTTCAAATTCTCCTGTGACAAAAGAGACCGCAGGAAAAATTGGCCGCAGAAGTGTCAGCAGGAAGAAGTCGCTCAAGATGGTCTCACCAGCTGCGCATCGCGCTTCATCTTCAACGAAGGACAAACGCTCGTCAGGTGGGACTACTTGCAAGAAGCAAGCCCAATTCTCGACAGCTGTTTTGCCTCCTATGGACTCGGAAGAACTCTCTGGTGACAAAGTAGATGCAGCGGGCGAGCATGGGCGCCCTCGCACACGAACTCATAGCAAGACTGGGCGTGACGAGGAAAAGATCAGGGAACCACTGGACCAGGATCGTGTTGATGAAGAAAAAAGACTCCGTGGTCGTAAGCACGATAGTCCCGATGAAGACCACTGCCGACACGTTCATCTTGTCGAGGACGGAAGAGGAGAATATAGTACATCTTCGTCTCTCGGCTCGGGAGCCGCGGCTTCTCTACCTCAGAATGGAGATGAGGAATCTGCAGGATCGATCTCTGTCGAGGACAGTATCCACTATGCTAGTGTGCACGAAAAGGAGACGAGTGAAAGCAAGAACAGTGCTGGAGTTGGAATAGCCCAACACGATGACGATCATTCATCACGTGGTGTCAGAAGTGACCTCTGCCCTACGAGTGGTCAACAAAGTCGATCTCCTTTTAGTGATGAAAGCTTACAGGACAGTTCTCGCCTGAACAGTTCTATATCCTTGATCCACCGCATGGCTGACAGAATCATGGAAGAACCTCGTCGACTCAAGCTGCCTATCGAGCGTCGTCGCTCCTTTTCGAATCGCAGCATGAGTACGGCCAGCACCACGTACCCTGGCGCCACTTGCAGCGGAGGAGCTCCGACGAGTAGAGCTCCTGGAAAAATCGGCAGCAGCAATGCTTTTCTAACCGGAAGAGGACAGACACGGAGTCGCACATGCACATTGTCATCGCTTCTCTCTGCAGGAACGACTAGTAGCGGTCCAAATGCCGTGGGTATGCCCTACAACAACAACAACTCGTATGGGGGAAATGCAACGTCTCTTTCCCGTACCGGGAGCAAAGAAAGTCTAGCGTCGCGCGCAAGTGCCGCACTAATGGCGTCGAGCAGCGCAATGAGCGGAGTTCATCAGGGGGGGTCCTCAGGAGCACGTGGTGGCTGCCCTTCGGCCCGGTACCAGTCGGACGCGATTTTTGCGGCGACTCGGACTGCGGCCCGGACATCGACCACATCTTTAGCCTCATCTGGTATCGGCCGTCATAGTCAGGCTAGCAAGAACGCAATGCTAATGCTGGAAGCCCGTAACAATTTTCTCTCGCAGGAAGCGCAACAGCAGCTGGCCCAGAGCGTGTCTGAGAGCCAACATAGTATTGTGCATCTGAGGCCAGGATCATCGTTTTTCGGGACGATGTTGAAGGACCACCACTCGGACAACTTCTCGGGCTCTTGTGATAACGACAGCCAACTTCAGTTGAGTCGTGCCTATAATGATAATGCTGAATTTCAGCAGCTGGTGGACCAACAAAATAACGAGAACTATTTGAGCAGCATTTTTCGTCGAGCTCAGCAGATCCAGCAGGAACACGAGGACAGTTTTCAGGCTGAGAATCTTGATCCTGACAATCCAAGTGCTGGTGTTGAGCAGGGAGATAATGATAAGATTGGGATGGCATTTCCTGCAGTCGTTCGGGAGACGAGCAGCGGTTCAGTCGTTGAATTGCAAGATGTGGCACACCAGCAAGGGGAAACGCGACATTTGCCGAAAGTCTATGGTAGGAGTCTGTTGCCATCAAATAGTGGCCCTGGTGAGAGCTGGAGTGTGCATTCCACGACCCACGGTGAAGCTGACCTGTCGTCCATGTTCTTCGAGTCTGCCGCAGCGATGAACAACTTATTCGACTTATCTTCTGAGGCCTTATATCCAGTGGTCGGTTCATCAACATCTGGTGCAAAAACGAAGAGTATTAATGTCATTGGTGGAAGTAATCTTGCAGCTTTGTCTAACTTCTCAGCATCAGTTGCCGCTACAACAACAGCGCTCCAAGATACAGCAGCACTGGATGAGCTTGAGCGCCACGTGATAGGCACGACCACGACCTCGTCCAGCACCAGTGTCGTTGATGTACTGGGGACCGGCCGAGCAGAGGGCCAACACCCACAGCTCCTGAATAGGCAACACTCTTCCAATATGTTGCTTCAGCCTTATCATCTGAATACACGTGCGGTCCCGCCGCTACCTCCGAAGAAAAAACGCGACTTCTGGGCCTACAGTGCGAGCGAAAACGAACCCAGTATTCTTGCTCGATATTTTTATCCATAATGAATAGCTCTGGAGAACTGCTTATACTTACATACATCCGTCGTAAGTAATATTCATACTGATCATGGTATTCGCAGTCGTACAGTAGAGTTGTCCTAGTAGTTGTCCTAGCAGGAGCTTCAACAACAACATTATAATGCACTTCTATGAAATTCTTTCTCCGAATTTTCCGTTCATCCAGGTAGCTTTCTTTCGGAGGAGAGTACGAGCATAATGTGCCACAGTCCAATTCCAACTGCAGAGGAAACACTCTGTTTTGTCGATCGCGATGCTGAGTGTGCAGCGAAAAAAGCACTCAATGCGCGAAAGCGTGACACAACTGTGCCAGCACCAGCAGCACAGCAGGTTCCCTCATGCATCTCGAAAAGCCTCCACCTCCAGAACGGTAGAGCAGGAGCTGGAGGCTCTCACGAGCTGACTAGTAGAACTAGCTGCGCCATCAGTGGCACTGGGAATGGCGTTACACTTACAGCTGAGCAGAGAGATCTCAGCGGCACTTTGTCGCAATCGACGTATGGCGAAGCACCTCAGCCGATGAGCACGGTCGTCGATCATATTTCCTCGAACTCTTCTTCGACTTTTCAACGCGCGACTACGTACAGTGGCACGTCCTCTCATATGCAAAAATTTGAAAACCATTCGAAGAATTATAGCGCTTCTTTGGGAGCCGGAGCTGCTTCGAGCAACCTGCAGCAGCAGCAAACTGGTAAATACGGTGGCTCGTGTCCACGAGGTGGGCGTGGTAGCTTCGGAAAGCGCAACAGTTGTAAGACGCATAATAACGCGAAAGGCAACGGCTGCTCTTCGACGAATCATGGCGCCGGAACAAATGGCAGCTTAATATCTTACAATAATTGTTACAACGGCGCCTCTGGTGGGTATCAACACCCAGTGCCAACACCGCCTCCTTCTTCGAACAGCGGTCAGTATCACGGTAAGCAAGGCGGCAGTGCCGGATATCTCCAAAATTCCAACAACAACTACTGTGTAGGCGGTGGAGCGAACTCGATGAGCAGAAGCGGAAGCTGCACACTTGGTGGAAATCATCTCAACTCCTCTTGCTCGACTTCGACTTTGCACTCTTCCTCGTCTACGCTCGTGTGTGGAGGAGGTGGAGGCGCTAACACAACATCTGGCGCCAACAATGGCTATAGCCACTTACTTAACAATGGAGGTTACAACAGTAACGTGAAGGGGCTGCAGCAGCATCTTCACGGCAGTGCTGCAGGTGGCGTACCAACCCAAACATCAACGTCCAACAACTATATGAACAATTATAGTGCTACTGGTGTAATATCCACAGGTACTTCTCTCGTGCCAATGCCGCCACCTCCTCCAGTCGCAATGCAGCTGCACAATGGCTCTAGTACGGGCGGATGCAACAACAGCGTCGTTGGAGGTATTTCATCGATTGATATGATGCTCAACAACGGATCGCTTTCCACGAACCTTTTTGGAGATGGGACACTAGTTAAGGCTACTAGGTTCTCCTCATACTCACACCACTGCGAAGACCCCTGCCTCGGTAATAACATTTGTTAACGTTGTTAAACTGACTCCGAGTTTGATTCGAACAAGCTCATCTTTTATCAGTTAGAGCTGCTTACTAGATTATATTAATCAGCAAGAGGACAAGTAGGACTACTCGTGATGCCAATCAATCAATTCAAATTCTACTTATAGAAGAATGATGAAGTTACGTTCGAAAAACTACTCCTAAGATAGGCAACACCACGACTGCGGGCACTGCAGCCGCTATGATGCCGCTTCTGTCGTCTGGGAATAGCAGCACAGCATGTGTAGGTGGAGAAGTTCCTAATATCGGAATAATGCTTCCGAGCTCGAGCACGACTAGCAACAACGCGCCGTCCTCGTGCGCGACAGGAGTGTGGGTAACTGGGTCTGACGCGGAGGCGATCCGAGACGGCAACAATGCGAAGGCTCTCGGTAAAAATAGTAACTCCTCACAGCAAGATCCCTCATCTACATCTGGCTTCCTATCGAACAATTACTACAACGGGCAATACACATACAGTAACAACTTCTCGTCGTCTAGTACCGCAGCGACGTCTACAGCAGTTGAATTAAACCAAGAAGGCGTGCAGCAGCAGCAACAGCAGGGTCAACAAAATTATGATTCTAACCAAAATTCTATCCAACAACAATTATATCAACAAATGATGTCCAGTTGTAACCACTCGTCGTTGTCTTCGTCTGTTGTCTTGCAAGTACCGCCACCACTGCCATCGGGTACTCCTGGCCTGACACAGTCTTTTTCAGTCAGTAGCGCTACGATAAGCGTCCATCCTCCTCCTGCTCAGGTGTCACAACAAGGTCAAGGAGCTCAACAACATCAACATCCTCTGCTAGCCGTTACGAACAATAGTTGTACTACAAGTGGTACCGGAACATCTTCCCCTGATCTAGACCTTGTTTCTGCGATGCGAACGCTCTCCGCCACCGCGAACTCAAGCACTACGACTAGTACGGCATCACCAGCACCTCCATTTGGAATGGAACAACAAATGTTGTCGAACACGGAGTCAATCGCCGGGAGCAACAGCAACACGAGTGACGTGAACAGCCACGATCTTGTCCGCCAGCTCATATCGCAAAGACACCAGGTATCAACAACGTCACTGAACAGTGGTATGGATCCCACGTTACACCCGCAAGATGGACCTACAACTTCACAACTACAGCAGGGGCAAGGAAATAATTCTTGTTGGGCGACAGCCTGCTCTGCGCCTCCCGGACCTGGTGGAAACGGGCAGCTGCACCCACACCACTTGCAGCAGTTGATTCCGCTCCTTTCGTCGGAAGAGGCTAATGGGGCTGAATTCTCGATTGCGACGCTGCAACAAGCAGAGGGCGGGGCACATCATCAGCTACCCTGCTCTGAGCAAACTGGTGGAGCACAACCAGACCTCTCGCGGTCGCGTACCGCGACGTCTTCTTGTTCAAGTGGCGGCGCAGCTGGCGGCCTGATCCCTTTGCTTTCAACAGCTTCTACAGCAGGATCGGCGCTTACAATACCTCAGACGAGTGGTGCTCAACAAGAGCAGGAGACCGGCACAGCTTCGACTAGTTTTGCAGGACGAACAGGATCTCTGAGTGGGGGAGCCGGTTCCTTGAACAACAACATGAATATTCAACAGGCAAATTCGAATTCCAGCTGCAGCGTTGCTAGTGCGACTAATGGTATGCAGGCGACAACCCCGCATTCCGGAGAACAGCCGCAACCACAAAGTCTACTAGATCTTCTCACCTCTCAGTCGCAGCTAGGGGGCACGGAACGGAACCCACTGAACCCTGAGAACGCGGTCCTGCCTCCGCTACCTCCAGAGGCGTTCTAATACCAAGAAACCTTGTTACCCATTACAAAGTCGACAACAGCAGGGAAACGAGGAGAGCAAAGACTCTCAAGCAACACTGTAACGCATTAACTATAACTGTTCAAATGTACGAGAGCAGCGAATAGAACTACAGGACATCATCTACTTCAAGGCAAAAACAGTAACAGAGATTACTAGATATCTAGGTTAGTAATTAAGAAGAACCTTTTCCAAATGCAGAACATATTAAACTACATCGTATTTCGTACATGACATTAACAAGGTTGGTCGTAACCAAGATGATTGTACCGGACAACGGCCGCCGCTTGGGTTACTATGTTTGCCCTTGAGTGTCCATGATGTTGATGTTGCGGGAGGGCAATCAATAACTGTCAAGTAGCAGTTGCGGCGTGCAGCTTCTCTTCATCTTCTATCATTATTTGAACATTTTCCATAATTGAAATGCATACATATACAACTACTAATAGCAGAGTAGTTTATAGCACGCATGGTGCATGGAGTAGCATTGAGTGCATGGAGCGCAGAGCTTTAAGGGGCGCAAGAAGCTCCCCCTTTAGCTCCATGCTACTCCATGTGATCCATGCACTCCATGCCATGCGAGCTGTGAAACCTTATAAACTGCTCTGTAATAGTACTATGTAAAATATTTATGTTAATGTTTGTTTGTTTGTTTTGATGCGCTCCGGGCGACGCGTACGATCCCGCCGGATTTCTTTGTGCTCTGTGTGTGTAGTGCTATGGTCGTCATTGCGATCGACTATGGTATGTCTGGTCGCCACAGTCCCCGCCAGCTGCGGCTTTTGTGGCATGCCAGGCGCGGCGTGCTGCAGGCGGCGGCGCCTGCGCGTAGGTAGCGCCTGGCGGTGAGGCGCGTCCGGGTTTGGTTGACGTTTTTGCGGCCTGCGTGCACTGTTCTTCGCGTTCTCGTTTTGTCTTCGACGTTCTTTTTTTTTTTTGTCTTCGCGTGCTTCCTTTCTTGTCTCCTCCCTGCTATGTTAATGTTAATGTTGGTAAGATTCAAAAATGCATCTTCATCATAACATACTGATGCAGATTTGATTATTGTCGTGTGCATATCAAGAGAACAATCGATTTTATTATCCGCGGCACTCTTGCCGAGTGCGGCCCGCGCGGTATGAAGAGAAGACTACAGCTTCGCTCGCTCCTCAGTATCTCGTTGTAACTACAACCTATACCGTACGACCTCGGCCCCGCATACGACTCTCGGGGTGTCTGCGCGCTGGAGTGTTCCGCCAGCCTTCCTATAGTAACTAGCTAACTCGTACTCGATTTCATTATTATTTCCACGCGATTTTGCTGACTTGGTTTCAAAGATATCAACATTTTCAACATGAGTACGAATAAAAATTTTGATCTTGACATCAACACTGTATAACTCGTAGAACAGAACATGGTGATGGTGCCAATGAGCACGTGATCATGTGCTGTTCTTGTTCATACTTATTTCTATCATGAATCCCATTCACATTTTTTATCGTTGTTGTAACTACTACAGAACTACTCGACGGCCTGACATTAAAGAAAAAGATATGTTCGTGGATGGCGCATTCCTTGGTTGGAAATAGCTCGCGGGGTGGACTGTCACTGACGGCGCAAGCCAAAGAACTACTGTCCTTGTGTGTCAGCTTCACCTTCATGCTCATTCCAAGTAGATGTTCTACTTCAATTTCTGGTACTACAAAATAATTGAGATTAAGATTATACTTGATTTTTTATGCATAGCCGAGCCCGAGGCCTTTATCCCTTTTGATATTCGACAATATGACTCGTACTAGACTTATTCTTCTGATTTTTTTTTCAGAGAAAACAAACAATCATTTTCCCACTACATTTGATGATATAAATAGAAAAAATAAAGTTTCAGCTCACAGAACAGTACAAGACGGGTGTCTTGCTGCTTGCTGTTATGTCGTGGAAGTACTCAAGATTTCTTCGGCGCATCTTTGCCTTCGCCTTCGCCATGGCATAGTGGAACTCTAATTCTGAGGAAGCGTATGCGATTTAGGGTGAGTTCTTCCTTCATGCGCTGACGGCGGGCCACCCCTTGGGGGCTGCTAGAGCACATTATTGTAGAAATATTCCCTGCACTAGAAGACCTCCTTCCTTTTCCTTCGCAGGTCTTGATTATATCCTATTTGTGGATGAAGCAGGCCTAGAACTAGAGCTTGAGTCGTCGCTTGTGGTTCCAAATCAACGTCGGACCTCTAGTAACAGGGTAACTGTTCGCTTAGAAGTCATGGACTATAATTGGCTCCTCCAAGCCGATCCCTTTCTGGGGGCACCCCAACCGCTTAGGTTCAAAGAATTAAATCTCCTAGATAAAGAGAAGAAAGGCGGATGAACGCGAGAGAGAAACTTTGTGACTCCATCATACTTGTTTGCAAATAAGCGTCATAGCGTTTGATCAATCATGAGGATGATCGTGTATCAAAAACCGTCGTACGACAACGACAAGATGAACAAGAAACAAGGCTGTACAACAAACCAATGGTATTAACTGATTTTGATGATTTTGCTGCAACTACGAACATCACGAATAGTACAAGGTCAAGACATCGATTGAGGTCTGCATTCGCATAGCTATTATTGATGATCACAGGTAAAGGTATAGGTGTAGGCCCACTTGTTGGTTCTATCCCTACTAGTTATGTCGAACAATTCTTAAGGAAAAGGTCGACGGACAGAAGAAGAAAAGGATCTAAAAGAAGAACTGAAATTCGATCACTATCAGAGAAGTCAGAATTTACAGAAAAGTCGCTGTACTAGGATAACAATGCCGGTAACACCAGATCAACATATGACAGAACCATCAAAAAATTTATACTAGTGAAAGAATAAACTGCATACTATTAATTTATTACTACCTCTACTAGTCTTTCTTTGTCTTACGCTATTATTTCTACTCATGAAGATGCACCCAGGACGACGAGCTTGGTACAACCTGGCGGGCGAATTATTGATCATCCACAGGAGGCTACTTCGACTTCGAGTTTGACATATGTAAATAACTAAAGAGAAGACACGATGACGATCATGACTGTGCAACAGTATGTGTGGTGAGTCGTTACTTGTAGTACCTGTGACAGTGAAGTGGCCAAGAACATCGTCATCATGTCAATGTTGTATACGTATGTCGTGAATCAATGTTATAGCGTACCCATACCTTGGCCCCACCACCGCCCCAACACCAGTTTGAGTCTTTAAGTCATTACAGGATGTATGTAGACGAAGGCAGCAGGAGAAACCCCTTTTTTCTCTTTCATTTTTTTCGAAACGCCCTCAGCGGTGATCACCACGTCCCCCTCACGTCCTCCTTGGGGCGCTTCGCCTGCGCTTCTGTCAGCACCTTGCGTGTAGATGTGGCAAGAAAGGCATCCTATCCTATCTTATCCTATCCGATCATGTTAATTAGTCCCTGTGGTCCACTCTACGCTCTAATTTTTTGTCGTCTGCAAATAGATCTAGTCATATTTTTATAGGGCTTTCGAATTTCTTATGCTACTAGAAGGGAGAAGTTGCTCTTTCATAGAGAATTTCGTACTCTACACTTAAAAATTGTTCTATAATTTCATCATGTTGAGAATATAGTGAAAAAAATGACACGTGGTCGTACATGAAAGTATTTGATAGTATACAGATTTCGCATATACTCTGAGAAGATGGCAAAGGTATGGAGTTGGAGGTGGAGGAAACAAAATCTTGTAAACCAGCCTTCTGCAGCAGCCGGAACAAACTACAGTTTTATGAGAACGAGGACTTTTCAATCACATGTCATACCGAAATGTTGAGTTCCAGCTGTTCTTGGTGGATTGTTGCTTGAACAAGCCAATCTTGAGAGCACCACGACGACATGTGTACGATCGTGCAGGAGCACTTCAAGAACATCTTCTTCATGTAAGAATGGCTCTACCAACCCCAAAGAACTCCTGCGAGGAGTACAGGAGGACAAGGACGATTTATTGAAGAACAAGGAGGAACCTGATGCTGAATGATTGTATTATTTGTCATTATGTTGACGAGGAAGACGGTCGTGACCTAGGAAGTTTTGAAATGGAAAAACATTGGAGAAGGTTGATGTTGCTGTATCGAGAGAATGCGATTTGCTGAAAGAACCTGCTGAAGATTCAGTCACATTTTTCTTTTTCAATGGAAAAAAATCCATCGAATTCAAACGATTCATCAGAGGGCCGTCATTTTCATTCCTCTTTTTTCTGATATTTTTCGTTACCTCTTCCACATGATTCTGTTTGCTTTTTGTTTTTTCTTGTTTGTAGAAGAGATAGTAATGCGGACCACGGTTGCTGTCTAGTATTGAAATTTATCTATCATCATTATGTCCGAGCGTTGTGATATTAACCCGAGCACGATGCTGATGGGCCCATACTTTAAAAGAAGCGAAGAGGAACACGAACAAGCTTTCCACTATGAATAAAGCAAGAGAATGACTACAGCGACTCCGCCAGCTCCAAGGATTGAAAAGCATCCATCTTCGGCTTCAGCCTCGCAAAAAATGGTTGAAGAAATCGAAGCCATGTCAGTTTTAAGGCGCCGCCCTACCGCTACCTATTACAAATCACCAAAATCATTCACATTCACTAATACCCGCCCAGCTAATGACTTGATAGTAACCAGTGAGCCAGCTTCCTCTTCCTCGTCATCTAACAACAGGCTCACCATACAAGAAGTTGCGTCTACCATTGTAAGTGGTCAAACCTGATAGATTTGAATTTTTCGTTATCGTTCAAGTAACGACCACGCTGTCTTGAGAAGTAGACCATCCTTTGTGGTGTCTTTGGCTTGAATAATTATACAAGATATTCTTGTGGTCTATTTCTAATTAATAAGAGTAGCGACGCTGGCGGCGCAAGTCCCGGCTCAGACGCACCAAAGGCCGCCAGAAGAAGCGTATCACTGGATGGAGTTTTTCAGTTTCTGGAGAAGGAGAGGTCGCGTGAGCACAAAAATGATAGAACAATCACAGATGAGGACGCAACCGCGGCAAGAGCGAGTCCCTCCTTTGCAGACAAGCTGTATGACTCTTTGTCGACGCTTGCCGACGCCATTCGTGTGTTTGGCGCGCAGCAAATGCTGATTAGCTTCAATGGCGGCAAGGAAGCATCTGTTCTCCTCTTCCTGTTCCTCGTTGTTACCGATTCAAGGTGGGCTCAAACTTGTAGTGACACGACCAGCGCGTCCTCGTCCGGAGCCGTGCCAGCCACTTGCACGATAAACAGCCCTAGCAGTGCTGTCAATGATACGTCGAGAAGTTCATCTTCTGGTACGACGAGCCCTATGCGCGCCGTGCACTTCGTGAACCCAGACGTTATGATCGTGGCTAGAAGATTTGAAATGCTGATTTAAGTGATGATGAAATGAAGATTTTTTTCCTGCTCATATCAACAAATCATCGATAAAGATACTCGAACTCAAACTTCCTACGAGAATGAGAATGAGTACTGGTACTCAATACACGTAAAGCAGTTATCATGACTTCTAGTCATATGCACGACTCCAATCCAAATCCATTTTCATTTTCCAGTTTCCGGAGATCCTGCAGTATGTCTCGGATATTGAGGGGATGCTGAAGCAAGACTCTTCGTCTTCCACAACAAGCTCATCCGCAACCAAAAGGACCAGGCATGTAGTTTTAGAACGTACCTCTGCAGGGTGGCGTGACGGGATTTCCTCTATAGTAGAACGGGCAAGACCACAAACACTGTGTTTTGCTATCGGGACGCGCAAGACCGACCCGAACGCAGGTTCTCGACCTGAAAGATTTGAGCCCAGTAGCGCGTGGCTTGGTTTATGTTGAAAACATCAAAAATCACTTTTTATACGAGAGTAGTTTATAGAGTATAGACGCTGGGCGGCTGGGCACGCTGGGTGGCTGGGCGGCCTCGCTGGGCACGCACTGCGGCAACGCGGGGCTGGGCGGCAACGCTGGGCGGGCGCTTGGATAGCGCTTAGTGGACTTGAGGGCCACACATTGGGCATGCCGAGCCTGCGCCGCGGAGACGCGGTGCAGCGCGTCCCGTGAGGACAAACAAAGGCGGCGCGCCGCCCTCAAGGTTCAGGGCAGCGCTGGCGCAGTGCTGCGCCAGTTTGCGCTGTAGCGGGCTGCGCGGCGCCTGCTCAGTTCAGGCTTGCACTGCGTCGCGCTGCACTGCGCTGCTCGATGCGTGCAATGCTGCGACGCTCCTGTGCACAACGGTAAACTCGCCAGCGCCGTTGGCCTTGGCCTACGCTAGACTAGCACTCCTGGTGGGGTTCTCAAGCGGGCGCCCGAAGGGCGCCCCGCAATTGGAGACGCCCAGCGTCACGCTGGGCGCAGAATTCGGCAGATCTGGCACATTTGGGTCTCCCAGCGACCCAGTGCTCCCAGCGTGCCCAGCCTAGCCATGTTTAGAACCCTTATGAACTGTTCTACTAGCTTGGAGCGTCCGATAACATCCCTCCCACTAGGGTCCCCCTCCTCCCCAAAATAAGAAACCAAGCAAGGCAAAGACGTAAGCGATGTGCGTTCTCAAATTTCGAAAATTTTCCACGTTTTGCCACCGTTTGAGGATTGGGCCTCGTGCGTTTGAAGTCAAGGGCTAAGATCCCGGAACTTTTTGACTTTAAGCCGTTCCGCTGAAATTCAACTTCTTGGATTTGCGTTCTTCAAATTTCGAAAATTCTCCACGTTTTATGGTCGTTCTGGGATTGAATTTTGTGCGTTTGAAGCGCTAAAGTCCCAAAGTTTTT